CCTGCACACTCCCCACTGGGGATGTGCCCGCAACCAAGGTACATGCCCCTGACCGGAATCGAACCCGGACTCTTCAGACCACAGGCCAGACGCTCCATCCACTGAGCCACACCGGTGAGGGTGTGGCTGTGTGGTTCTTGACCGAGTTACTTAACCTCTCTGTGCTCACGTCTGGAGGAAGGGGTCACCCTGGAGCCTAGGTCCCAGGGCTGTTGTCAGGACGACAGAGGGGCTGCGTGGGGGGCACTCGGGGTGCCTGTGGACATTACCGGGCAGCCCAGAACCACACCAGCTGCCTCGTTAACCCCCCGTGGGGCCTCCGGTCCGCCATCAGTGACGGGCCCGAGAGACGGCACCTGTGTGAGGCCCCGCACGCCTCGCCTCCTCCCCCCGCCTCACTCCCATCCGACCAGTGGGGTCCCGGAGGAGTGAGGAGCCTGGGGTCCCAGTGGACCCCACCCTCCATCAAGCCCAGCCTCCTCCTTTCCTGGAGGGCAGGCCTGGGGCACACTCCGGCCCCCGCCGTCCGAATCGCTCGCATCATTGGGAACAAAACGGCGCTTCCACGGAGCCCGGCCCTGCCTCGGGCGCGACAGGAACGGCCTGAACCAGACGCCGCGTGCCCTCTGACTGGCAGGACCTTCCATGTCCGACACGCAGAGTCCACGCCCGGGCCCACGGGCCTCTCCGAGGCGCAAGCCGGGAGCAGGGATCTGACTCCGTCCAGAGGCTCTGCTTCCCCGCAGTGTGCACGCCTCCCCCCCCCCCCATCCTGGAGTCACCCCTCCCCGCTCTCTCCCCTCTTACCTGCCGCCTCCTGGGCTGCTCCAGGCCTCGCCCCGCCTCTGGCCATCTCCTGCCCGAACCTCCAAGTTCCTCTCGGCGTCCCCGCGTGGGTTCGAGGGCTGTCTCATCCTGAGAGCTGAGGAGGTGGAAGGAGTTCTAGGACCTTCCGATGTCCGTCCTGGCCCCCCCAGGCCCTCAGATCTAGAGAGAGGGGGGCCCCTCAGGAGCCAGCGGCCCTCTCTGCCCCTTCCCCCCCCCAGGCCCCATCCCCGGAGCTACAACCCCTCTGAGCCCCCCCTGCACCCGCCCCACGTTGGCTGGACGGGGCGTCCTCGGCCCCGTCTGGTTCTGTGGGGCTGTGTGGGGGCGTGGGGAACCCGCTGCCCGAGCTCTCACCTTTGGGGGGTCCATCTTCTCCCAGTCCTGTCGGCCTTCTTCCCGGATCGAGTCCTCACTTGCAGCCGGGCCCCGGGCCGGTGTGTGGCCCGCGGGAGGGGCCCAGGGCGAGGGGCCCGTCTCCTCCGCCGACAGCCCCTCAAACGGACGTTGTTCCCGTCCCTTTCCAAAGGAGACCCCCATGCGGCCTCAGGGGCCCACACTGTCCATGTCCTCGGGGGGCCAGGCACCCACCAGCACTGTCCCCCCAGCTCCGCCCTCCGCAGCCCTCGCCCCGGCCACGTGACGCGGACTATCCCTCTGTGTGCGGCTCTACAACCCACACCTGGCTGCTCTCCTGCTTAAAGAGCCACGTGTGTGTGGCTCCGTGGCTGAGCATCGACCTAGGAACCAGGAGGTCAGGGTTCGATTCCCGGTCAGGGCACAGGCCCGGGGTGTGGGCTCCATCCCCAACAGGGGGAGTGCAGGAAGCAGCCTATCCAGGATTCTCTCTCATCGCTGATGTTTCTCTCTCTCCCCCTCTCCCTCTCTCTCTGAAATCAATAAAAATGTATTTATAATTTTTAAAGAGCCCTGATTGCTTTCTGGGATGGGGAGAGGGTGCGAGGCTGCTGATGGAGGTGAGGCCGGGCCTCCTAGGGAGCACAGAGCATGGGGACCAGGAGTCAGCGGGACTGGGACTCCTGCAGGCCCCCCGGGTTTCCCTGCGCAGGTGGCTCTCCCCAGGGGGAGGGAGGGCCTGATGCTGCCAACACACGGATGCCCAGAGCTGAGGGAGAGGCCTCAGGACGACTGAGGTCCAAACGGGGTGTCCAGGCCTCAAGGCAAAAAGCCCCCCCCATATCTCTCTCTCTCTCTCTCTCTCTCTCTCTCTCTCTCTCTCTCTCTCCTTCTCTCTCTCTCTCTTGCCTATTTATTATCAACCTGTTATCTGTCACCCATCTCTCATCATCTCTATCCACCGCCGATCCCTCACCTGCTGGGCATGCAGCTACAGCGAGCTTCACGGGGAGTTCCTGCCTCATTCCCTAGCCCAGCGGTCGGCAAACTCACCCGTCCGCAGAGCCCAATAGCAACAGCACCACGACGGACATGTCTCTGAGAGCCACATTTTTTAAACGCAAACGTCTCCTAACGCCACGTCTTCCACACAGACCCCCCCAGGCCGTGGCGTTTTGTGGAAGAGCCGCCCTCCAGGGACCAAAGAGCTGCAGGTGGCTCGAGAGCCGCGGTTTGCCGACCGCGGTTCTAGCCTGTCCTGAGCTGAGGAGGCCACACGCGCCCCTCCCAGGAAGCACCTGCAGGCACCTCCCAGTGGGCCACACCCTCCTCCATGGAGAACCATGACGGTGAAAGGTGGCCCGGAACCACGCTGCCCCACATGCACTGAGCTGTCACTCAGCTGGCTGAGCCCCCGCCTGACCCCACCCCACCCCACCCCACCCCACCCCTCCCCATGCTGGGCGTCCCATCTGCTCTGTCACCCTGTCATCCCATGACCATGACTGCGACCATGGGGTCTTGGCCCACCCCCCTCGTAGCCGCCTTCTCTGCAGCCAACATGCCTGTGACACGTGTGTCCTGGGGTGGCTGGGGTTCACGCCTCCCCTCCCGCCCTCCCGGCCCCCTGAGGCCTGCTCTGTGGTCCAGGCCTCTCTGAGCACCATCCTGCACCCTGAGGCTCATAAGGTGTGTCCTGCTGCCCTCTGCTGGGCAGACTCGGGAGCGCACCACCTCAAGGCGGACAGACAAGACCAAGACCCCACGTTTCGGTTTGTTAAATAGTTCTCTCCCCTCTCCACGCCCCCGCTTCCCCTCTTCGCAGCCCTCCCTCCGCCCATGCAGCAATCCTCCGTTGTCCAGGCTGTGGGTCTCCCTTTGGGATTCAGTCGTCCCCTCGGACGGATCTCTAGGCTTCTCACCGTGCTGGATGGTGAATGCGAACAAAAATCCACCAGGCTCCCCCGGCCGGCCAGTGTGCCTCCGTGACTCAGCGTCAGCCTAGGACCCAGGAGGTCAGGGTTCGATTCCCGGTCAGGGCACAGGCCCGGGTTGAGGGCTCCATCCTCAGTGTGGGGCGTGTGCAGGAGGCAGCCGACCCATGATTCTCTCTCATCACTGATGTTTCTTTCTCTCTCTCTCTCCCTCCCTTTCCCTCCCTCCCTGCCTGAAATCAATAAAAATATAGGTACTGGCAGACTGCCCTGAGGGCCGGGCGACCAGGAGGGGGGTCACTGCCAAGGTCAGCGCAGCTCGCACTGGAAGGCTTGGTGGTTAGACTGGGACCCCTGAAACTTGAAGAGGGGCCCGGGGATTGGTGGATTCTGGCCCTTACACCTTGCAGCGCGCGCTCTGAGACAGCCTCGGCCCCTATTCCCCTGCCGGGACGACAGGAAGAACCTGGACCGTGGACTCATCGCACGTAAGGCGCCTCCTTGTTCACGAGAACCGTCCCAGCTCCCGGCCGCCCGTCACACCCAATGACCTTGTCACAAACGCACATACAAGCAGGCGCAACACCTAAATAGACTTTTATTTTTCCCTTTGACTGGTTTGGACAGCAGAGAAAACTCCCCCCTCCCCCCCTGCCAGCTTGCATTCGTGTCTCCCCAAGCGGGGGTTGGGGGGGGAACACACTCAGCTCAGAAACGGCGGACCCTGTAGAAAAAGCGTCACAAATTAAAAATAGATTCTCACGTGGAAAAAAAGCTCCTGGTCCCGGGGAACGGGCGAGGCGTCCGGACACACGAGTTCGGATCCGGCCGGCCGCGCCGAGGGGCCCCGAGGGGACTCCAGGCCTCGGGGCACGGAGGTGGGCATGCTGCCGGCACACGTGACTGACGGGGGAGAACGGACGGACTCTGCGATGGTGAACTGAGAGGCTCGTCCGTGGGCGGGAGGGGAGCACGTGGCGCCAGAAGGGACTCGTGGCTCATTTTGAAGACCATAGGCCCCGGCTGCCCGCGGCCTGTCCTGTCATGGTGTCCCCTCGGGAGATCGCACAGTCCGGCCAGCAGCCCTCCCCTCGTCGGTGTGCGACGCCAACCCCCATCCAAGTGCCACCGAGACAGGCGCACACGGGCCCACGGGCACCGAGACGCAGCCGTGGCCGTCCTGGCGACGGTCTGTCTGTTCGGGCCACGCTGCGTGTTTGCCAAGACCAGTCGTCCCGCCAATGACACGCGAGAGGCTCTCGGGCAACCGGGGTCCCCGGTTCCCCCGTCTGAGCTGCCCTCACAGGCCCGAGCCTGGGCGCGGGGCGCAGAACCCAGACCCGGGATCGTGCTGGGAGCCGGGGGAAGGTGGGGGGGGGCAGGCGTGGGGAAGAAGGGAGACATTTCCTTTTACAGACGACCTTAAGCAACAGTAAGAAAATAACCTGAAGATATATTTAAAAATAAAAAATAGCATCGCACTTCGTTCGCGCGGACGGACGGCAGGAGCGGGAGGGAGGCCTCGCTCAGCCCCAGCGCGGAGCCCCCTCCGCGCCCGCGCACACCGCCCCCTCCGCGCACCGGCCGGCTCAGCCGCACGGCCCGCCCGCTGGCTGAGGCCACGTCCACACGGCAGCGAGCCAGGCCGCACGTCTGGACGGAGCGGGCGCCTCCAGCTCCACGGGCCACGCTCCCCCTGCCCCTGGCACCGCGGGGCACCAGCCCTCCCGGCCGCGGTGCTGAGCCGTGGCACAGGGGTGGCACGTGGCGTGTGGAGTCGGGGTGGGCGCCCCTCCTTGCACCGCGTCCCCGGGCCCCGGGGCCCTGGGCGGGCAGGTCGACGGCAGGCGCTCCCCCCAACCTGGTCCGTCCCGAGCCCGGCCCTCAGGGGGTCGGCGAGGCGGCCTCCAGGCCCAGCAGCTCCCGCACGAGTCTCTCTCCGAACTGGGCGCGGCTGAGCCTGTGCGTGTGGTAGGCGTCCGAGAGCTTGTAGAGGATGTAGGCGTTGTTGACGGCGATGCTGACGGCGAACCAGAACACCTGCTGCCACGTCTTGTTGGGCTTGTGAGCGATGAAGTACCTGCGTGGACACGGGGGTCAGGGGCCGCCCACCCTGCCGGCCGGCGGGGCCCAGAGGGTGAGTGTCCACCTGGGAACCAGGTCACGGTGCGATTTCCGCTCAGGGCACAGGCCCGGGTGGCGGGCTCCATCCCCAGTGTGGGGCCACGGGCAGACACGCAGCCACGGGAAGACACAGGTCGTGGGTAGACATGTGGCCAAGGGCAGACACGTGGCCACGGGAAGACACAGGTCATGGGCAGACACGCAGGCACGGGAAGGCACAGGTCATGGGAAGACATGTGGCCACAGGCAGACACGCGGCCACGGGCAGACACAGGCCACGGGAGGGTCAGGAGCAGGTGGGGCAGGGGTGCGGGGTCTGGGCCAGGGAGGAGGGAGAGGTGAGCAGGCGGAGGAGGCACCTCTGTGCAGGGAAGTAGGGGCCAGGGAAGGGGCAGGTGCGGAGGACGGCTGGGCTGCTGGCAGAGCCGGGGAGCCGGGGGAGGGCTCCATCCGGGCCTGTTCTTTCCATCTTTCCATGATGTGAAATGGGGCCACTCCCGACCCCCGGTCCCTGTGTCTGTGCCGGTGACGGCAGGCCCCCCCCCCCCCCCGCCCTCCCTGACCCCGCGCCCGGATGGGGGCGCCTACTTGCTGTACTTGTCGTCGTATCTGCAGATGTAGCTGAGGTGCGCCGCGAACGCCTCCACGGCCAGGGGGCAGGGCACCTCCCCGCTCCTCCGCTTGATGATCACCCCTGCGGGGACAGAGCGGGGCAGCCCGGGGCGGGCGGGCACGTCTCACTCACCCCGTGTCCCCCCGGCACCCCGCGCCCCGCACCGCCCGCCCGCACGGCGCCCACCTTGCTGCACGGGCGAGTAGGCGTTGGTGAGGAAGCGGAAGTGGCCCTTGTTGTACCAGCAGATGAGCGACATGTTGCCCTTGGTGCGGATGCGGTGCTGGCCCCGGGCGGGCGGCGTGGCGGGGCTGGCCAGCATGGACCGCGGCAGGCCCGTGCAGTCGCTCTTCCGGGAGCTGAGCAGCCCACAGCAGTAGATCCCTGAGGAGGGCACGGACCACGGATGGCATCAGGCCCCGGCCGCCCAGCCCGAGGCTCCCCAGCCCGGCGGCTCCCAGCCCGGCGGCTCCCAGCCCGGCGGCTCCCAGCCCCGGAGGCTCCCCAGCCCGGCGGCTCCCAGCCCCGGAGGCTCCCCAGTCCCGGCGGCTCCCCAGCCCAGTGGCTCCCAGCCCCGGCGGCTCCCCAGCCCAGCGGGCTCGGGACAGGACAAATGCTCATCAGACTTCCCGTCTGCGGCCGGTGTGTGGGACACGTGTGTATAGGCGTGTGAGTGCATGTAGGTGGTGTGTGTGTACAGGCGAGTGTGAGTGCAATGCACCCGGTGGTCTGTGGGCCCCGCCTGTGGCCTCTCGTTACGGCAGCGAATGGACCTCAGGCTCCTGCAGCGGCCGGGGCCTGCCCGGCGGGCTATGTGCTGGCCGGCCCCCCGGAGCCGGGCTCGGGCCCCTCAGCTCCGGTGCCCGGCGGTGCCCGGCGGGTCCCGGGGTCGTGGCGATCTGCTCCCCGGGTCTGCCCTCCTCTCACGGCCTGTGCTGGACGCCACCCCCCCACCCCCCACCCCAGCACCTCCGTCCGGGCCGCAGCCAGGACCGACCTTGCTTCTCGAACTCCTCGAACAGCGCCAGGCTGGTGATGCTGGGCCCCGTGAACACGATGTAGTTCTTGCCGCCCGCGTTGCGGCACAGGCTGCGGGCCACGGCGCCGTGCAGCTGCGGCCTGTTCTTCAGCGCGTCCAGCCCGTCGGGGCCCGCGCCCTCCTTCAGGTGCACGTAGATCTGCGGGGAGACAGCGGGCCGGTGAGCCACAGCGCGGCGGCGGCCAGGCCCACGCCGGGCAGCACGGCTCCCGGCCCCAACGGCTTCATTTTTTATAAAAATATATTTTATTGATTTTTTAACAGAGAGAGAGGGACAGAGAGTTAGAAACATCGATGAGAGAGAATCATCGATCAGCTGCCTCCTGCACACCTCCCACCGGGGATGTGCCCGCAACCAAGGTCCATGCCCTTGACCGGAATCGAACCTGGGACCTTTCAGTCCACAGGCCGACGTTCTATCCACTGAGCCACACCGGCTTCAGCTCTAACGACTTCATTTTAACCCAATCATTGCTCTTTCTCTTAAATATATTTTTATTGATTTCCTAGAGGGAGCGGTGGGGAGAGAGAAGAGAAGTGTCAAGGATGAGACTCATGGATCGGCTGCCTCCTGCACGCCCCCCACTGGGGATGGAGCCCACAATCCAGGCACGTGCCCTGACCGGGAATCGAACCGTGACCTCCTGGTTCCTAGGTGGACGCTCAATCACTGAGCCACGCCGGCCGGGTGGGGCCTGCGTCTGGGTCAGTTTAACCGGAGGGCTGAGGTGTGTGGGACGAACGTGCAGGGGACAGCGCCGGCCACCCCAGTGCTCAGCGTGGAGGGCAGCACGGGGCCCAGCCTCGGCGGGAACAAAGGCCGTGAGGGAGCGGTCACCGTTGCCCCGCCTCTCCTCGGCCCCGCCCCCCGGGCTCACCTGGATGATGAAGCCGGTGGACGAACACTGCCGGACCCACAGGCTGAACTTCCGCTTTTTCCTCTTGCGCAGCTCGCGCTCCGTGCACGTGGCGATGAACACGGGGTCCTCGTCAATCAGGGGTTCGTGTAGCACCTGCCGGGCGGGAGAGGGCGAGCAGAGATGCTCAGGGCCTCATCAGGCCTGGGCTCAGGGGGGCGGACTTGCTAACGGGCCGGCTCTGATTCAGCAAGTAGGGGGCAGGGCCCGAGGCCTGCCTCTCGGACAGGCTCCGGCGGAGTCAGGATGCGCCGGGCCAAGGGCAGAGCGAAGGGTCACGCTCACCTACCCTCCACCCTCTCCTCCGTGCCGCCTGGATGCCATTAAAAACCACAGGGGCGTCGGGTCCTGCCCCCGCCCTCGGCTTTCCTGTGGTTAGAGGGGGGGCAAGCCCAGCGGCTCCTGCTCAGAGGGGAGGCCTGGCGAGCTGCCTGGAGGAGGCGCCTCCCCGCTGCCTCCTGAACCGGCCGGCTCTGGGTGGCCCAGCAAACATTCGAGAGCCTCTTGGAACCACTCTAGGCCCATCTCGGAGGGAGAGGGAGCAGGGGAGGGGGGGTCGCAGAGGCCGCTCCGGCTGCCCGCTCCACGCACGCTCCCAGGGCCAACGCCTCCACTCCGCCTGCATGATCGGCGCAAACCACACGCCTCACCGGCGTGGCAGGGCCAGCGAGAATTCCTTTCCTGTCTGCGTTAAAGCGAATCCCGCCCGGGCTGCGTGGCTCAGTGGTTAGAGCGTGGACGTGTGAACCAGGAGGTCACGGTTCGATTCCCGGTCAGGGCTCATGTCCCGGTTGCGGGCTCCATCCCCAGCGGCGGGGGGGAGGAGGGGGCGTGCAGGGGGCAGCCGGTCCATGATTCTCTCTCATCATGGATGTTTCTCTCTCTCCCCATCTCCCTTCCTCTCTGACATCAATGAAAACACTATTTTTGGAAAAATAAAATAAAGGAGAGGGAGGGTGGGGAGAAAAAAGGGCATCTCAGAGCAAAACCCCGAGTTCTGAGCGTCCGTGGTGGGGAGCTGCTGACCTGCGCGACCTGGGTCTTGCGTGGATGACCCTGAAGTGACCTCAGAGTCCAGGCAGGAAGGGAGGACCCCAGGGTGACCCCCCCAGCGCAGCTGCCGAGCGGTGGGGACCGCGGGGGGGCCCGCCGCGCCACCTACCTGGGTCTGGGAGGGCCTGAAGGCGGCGTCAAAGCCGCTCTGCAGGGCGTCAAGGAAGGGCTGCACCTTGTAGAGGCCGGGCGCCGCCGGGCCGGAGCGGAAGGCCACCACATGGAAGTACTTGAGGATCCGCTCGAAGCGGGCCTGGCTCATGGCGCCCGCCAGGCCGCCGTTGCTGTAGAAGCCGCCGCTCCATATGCTGAGGACGGACTCGCAGTGGGAGATGCTGGTGGAGATCATGTAGCCCAGGAAGGCCTTCATCTCGGCCAGCGTCACGTCCGCCCAGGCGCCGTCGCCGCCGAAGCGCTCCTGGAACTTGCGGGCGTACATGTTGGTCTGCGCCGCCATGCTCTTCAGCAGGTTGTCGGGGACGAAGAGCTGGAAGAAGTCCATGGCGCTGGCACCGGGGGGCATCTTCCGGGTGGGACCTGCAACCAACGGCGGGGCCGGGGGGCTGAGTGCTGCCGCCGCCGGCCCGCCCGCCGCGGCCAGGGTGGGGGCGCTGCCGTCGCTGCCCCTCTGCCCGCGGGCCACCGTCTCCTGCGTCTCGCACACCACCAGGGGCCCCTCTTCACGCTGCACGCACCCTTCTTACAAATCTGGCAAATTCAGAAACACTGATCCCGAGCAAGGGAGCCCGGCCGGTGTGGATCAGTGGTGGAGCGTCAACCTATGAAGCAGGAGGGTCGTGGCTCGATTCCCGGTCAGGGCACAGGCCCCGGTTGCGTGCTCAGCGCAGGGGCTGCCCCCTGGTGGTCAGTGCGCTCCCTTAGAGGGTGGGTCCACCCTGCCACAGCAGACAGATCTCCGCAGGCTGCCCCTCTCCCTTAACCCCGCCCCCTCCCCAGACCCCACCTAAACGTCTAAGAAGGAAGAGGAGCAGACAAGCCCGGACACCCAAACTTAGGAGACGGAGAGCAGCCAGGCCTCGGGGGATGAATTTTTCATGAGTTGGGGGCGGGGGGGAGGAAGAAAAGAATTTTTTAAATGCTACGTGGGCATCAAATGCTCCTTTGTGCTGTCCCGGTTATAAATATCCCCGAGAAACCCGGGCTATTGTTTGCCAGGACTCGGAGGAAAGCAGCCTGAGCAGATACTGCTAATATGCAGGGAAGAGACCAACTGGGGGAAGGAGGGCACTACTTGGAGGGGTGGGGCAGGTGCTAAATGTCAAAGATGGGGAACCCCCCCACTTCTGATTGGCTGGGCGCCGGCCTAAACCCAGGGAGCAGGTTGGCAGCTTGAAAGTGCCACACTGGCCGCCTTCCATGACCCAGGGAAGAACTCTCCAGACCCTTCCCGGTCAGAGAGGAGGCGGCTGGGACCGCACGTGCCGTTTTCACCGGGGCCTGCCCTTCTGTCTCTTTTCTGGAAGCGGCTCCCAGTGAGACAGCAAAATAGCCAGGAGGACGTGGGCAGACAGCGCCTGGCTTCCCTCCCCGCGCTGACGTGGGCACGAACACATGAGATTTAAAAAAAAAAAAAAAAAAGCTGTAGGTCTAGCTCTTTAAAACGTTGCCTAACTGTCCCCTTAAAACACAAGGCCATTCCTGCCAGCACCCCTGCGTGGGAGGAAGCTGCTAATGACCGGGCATCTGTCCCCTCCACTCCCGGGCCAGGCCGCTCAGCCAGCGGCAGGTGATTCCGCAGACACGGGGGCAGAGTGAGCTATGGGGGCACCTCCATCCGGGCCCTGACACCAAGCCGGGGCGGGTGTGCATACATCGCGGGAGGGAGGGAAGAAAGAAAGAAATCCACTTCCATTCGGAACGCGAGGCTGACAAGGCGAAGTGAAAGGCAGCGATTTCACTGTCACCTTTGCAAAGGGCAGAGTGGAGTTCAGTGACTAAAAACATATTTAGCAGGAAGGTCCCTTCCCCGAGTCCTCACTATGGCTCAGGGGAGAGTGCGTCAGCCAGGACACCGGCAAGCCCGCAGCTGCTCCCTGGACCAACTGGGTACTCCAGGAAGCAGCTCAGAGATCGGAGAAGCCCTGAGGGGAGGGGAGAGGAGGAAGGGCACGAATAATTTGGCCACGGCCCTGTGGGTACAGAGGATGGTGTTAGGACTTGAACACACAATTCCCTGGTATCACAAATACCCATTTCACAGATGAGGAGACTGAGGTGAAGAGGCAGTGTGGCCTAAAGGGCCATCCAGCAGCCCTGAGGGCCTCGCTCTGCCCTTACCAGCTGGGTGACCTTGGACGAGCAGCTTCTAGCCTCAGTTTGCGTTTCTTCACGTGTAAAAGGAGGACAATGAGCCCCCCACCCCCACCCCCATCCCCAAGACTCGGGAAGTGGGGCCCAGGGCACAGATGGCAGGTTCCTGGCAGGGTGCCCAGCGCATGGTGGGTGTGCGGCAGACGGAAGGCGCCAGGAGGAGGGTTTGGACTTGGCCCAAGGGCCCAGCCCCGCAGGCCAGAGGCAGGATTGGAACCCCGGGCCATCTCTCCCAGGGTCCCTTCACCCCCTGACCAAGTTCCGTATTCATCCATCACTCAGAAGCCCTCTCCCTCACTGCCGCCTCCCCCCTGGACACGTCCAGCATCAAACCGAGACGCAGGAGGACGGAGAGCAGCCCTGGGTCGTCCACAAACCAGCTCCTGCAGGAATTTAGTGCAATTACGAGGCTGTGCCATTTCCCAGAGAAATAAACCTCACCCTCACCATCGCTGACGGCAATAAACGCAACGGGCCTGACACCCATTAAGCGGCCCCAGAGGCACGGTCCTCGTCACCCCATTAACCAGAGGAAGGCGGAGCCCAGCCTTTCCTCCTGCCCCGGAGCGGAGCGGAGCGGGCCACGGCGAGCTGGACACGGCCCCGGCCGGGCACCGCTCATTAGCGACGCGGCTGCGAAGAGATGAAATGGCCTTTTTACGGAAAAGGCCGGACTGCTGCTCCCGGGACGGTGAGGATTGCCCGCCAAGATCGCACACCCACGAAAACCTTCCTGCCTTTGAACTGCTCAAAGGGCCTTCACAGGCTGATCCAGAGCGGCGGGCCCTGCCCAAGGCGCCCAGGAACTGGACCGGGGGGGAGAGGAGGGACTGGGGGAGGGCTGCCTATTTCTTGTCACCCCTCTCCCCCTCTGCTCCCCCTCCTCTCGCCCCCACCCCTCTCCCCCACCTCGTTAGATGAAGGCAGTGCCAGGTCTGCGCTCAGGCCAGCGCCCAAGCATCTCTCTGCAGTCACACCGGGCCAGGGTGCCCTCAGCCAGAACCACTGAGCTCCCGCTGCCCCCAGGTGAGAGCCACATCCTTACAATGGCCTGGACGACCCTCCATGCTCCTGCCACCTGGGAGCCCCTGCCCCTCCCCTCACGTGCCCTGCTGGCACCAGCCCCAGCACACTCCACCTGGCCTCCCGCTGGCCGCTCCCCACCTGCTGAGAAGGGTGTCCACGTGGCCTTCCTCCCCCTCCCATCCAGGCTGGGAGGCATCAGGGGTTTATTGCAGAGGAGAGAGCGGAGGCTCAGGTGAAGGGACTCTGCCAAGTGAGTCCTAGAGGCTGGGAGGGGGGAGAGTTTAAGGACGTGGCTGGGCTCAGTGCAGACTCAGGAAGTTGGCTCAGAAGCCATGTTCTCACCCGGCCGGCGCGGCTCACTTGTTGAGCATCGACCTATGACCTGGGAGGTCAGGGTTCGATTCCCGGTCAGGGCACAGGCCTGGGTTGCAGGCTCCATCCCCAGTGTGGGGCGTGCAGGAGGCAGCAATCAATGATTCTCTCATCATTGATGCTTCTATCTCTTTCTCTCTCCCTTCTTCTCTGAAGTCAACTTAAAAATATATGTAGACATGTAAACATATAAATGTATAGATAGACATGTAGATATGTGGATATGCATATGTATTGATATAAAAGCCTCATCCCCCCACCCCAGTCAGGGGCAGGGCCGGATAGCCAATTGCCTGTGGCCCCTCCCTCCCCCTGGTCCAGCCCAATGGGCCCCCATGGGGCAAGCTGGCCAGATCCCACCTGTGTATGAATTTGTGCACCAGGCCCCTATTATAGCTATATAGATATATGGATAGAGAGGGCACCCGTGTTCTTTACAACATCACACCAGACGCTTCCCAGACTCCCTTGCACCCGGTGCCTAATGCACTGACCCCACGTGCTGGGGGAGGTCACAGAACCCTGCTGAGCCACGACCCGAGCGCCATGGCTCCACGGAGCTGGCCTTTTAATCTCCAGGTAGAAAGAGCGGAAAATAGGTCAAAACAATTTTAAGCTCTCCTGAAAGACCAAGGCTGAAAGCCTCTGATGATAGCGACAGCAACATCTGAATGCGCCCGTTATGTAACAGCCCGGCAGCGGCAGGTAACTCATGGCCACGGCGGCTCCGGCAACTGTGCGTGCGGCCCTTGACCCTGGTTCAGGCGGAGGCTCTTCATGGCTGCCCCTCATGGCCTCCATCTTCCCCAAGCAACCACCAGACCAAGTCCTCGTTACAAGGTCTGAGAGCCCTGGCTGGGTAGTACTGTTGGTTAGAGCATCGTCCAGCTATACCAAGGCTGTGGGTTCAATCCCATCAGGGCACATCCAAGAATCAATGAATACATAAACAAGTGGAATAACAGATCAAAGTGTTCTCTCTCTCTCTCCCTTCTGTTCTCTCTACAATCAAATAAAAATAAAGTTTGAAAAAAGTAAGTTTGACCCAGCCAGTGTGGCTCAGTGGTTGAGCTCCCAGAGAAAACGGAGCCCTCCCATGGTCTCAGTGAGAGTGAGATGGCCCAGAAGCAGCAGAACCCGCACCCAGAGAGACAGCTCCTGGGAGATACAGACACAACTTGAATCTCAATGAAAACAATAATAGCTTTCAAAGAGATGCGTGGAAAGCACACAGGGAGGGGGGGGACGATGTTCCTTTCACTAAAAACGTGATTTCTTAACAAAATAGCTCTTCAGACAGAGAGAGGGTGAGGTGGTCACACAATGATTTTTTTTTTAATTGATTCTAGAGAGTTATCCCAGTAACTTCAAAAGGAATATTCTTTCAGATTGACTTTTATAAAATGTAAATAACGATACCAAGCAGTATAATAGAGTTTAAGTTATATCCTAATTATAATTTTGGTAGAATTATCCTATGTATTAGCTTTTCATAACATTAAACAAAATAGCCCTTAAGAATATAATGTAATTGTGTAGTCACTTGATTTCATTCAGGCTATGAGTATTTGGAGACAGAGTCCTATTGGGGAATTGTTCATCTGGTGACGATAAACTCAGAAAGTCAATGCTTCCACCTTAAAAATTCAGGTACGGGAAAAAATTCCCCAGTTTTTACCCAGAGGGATTGCCACCCACTGAGTCTTTGATTCTTAAATATATTTTCATTTATTTCAGAGATGGAGAGAAAGGAGAGAGAGAGAGAGAGAGAGAGAGAGAGAGAGAGAGAGAGAGAGAGAGAGAAGCATCAATGATGAATCACTGATTGGCTGCCTCCTGCACACCCCACACTGGGGCATGTGCCCTGACCGGGAATCGAACCATGACTACTAGGTTCATAGGTCGACGCTCTACCACTGAGCCACACCGGCTGGACAAATATAAAGCTTTTTTACTGAGAGAGTTATAAAGAAAAGGGGAGCGCACCACCTTTTCTGAATGAAATTCTGACTAGTTGTTGGTGATCGTTAACCGGTGATCACCCTTCTCACCACCCCCGACTCGGCCTCAGAAGACCCACCTGCGCTCTCTGTACTGGGCTGAGAAGCAGGGCGAGCCTTGCTCTGTGGCCATGGTCCTCGTCATGGGCGCAGGTTCCCCGGGCACATGAGCGAACTCCTCCTCCAGGAAGCCCCCCCCCCCCCCCGTGGTTTCTGGGGCCCGGCACATGCCTGACATTGCGTGGCACTTCGTAAGGCTTATCCTGCAACAACCAAGACGTAGGACTCTCATTCCTGGAGCCACAGAGCTCAAGGTAGGAAACATCTTTCCCCCAAGACAGGGGTCCAGGTAGCTTTGCTCATGAATCCTATTACACCCTGGCTGGTGTGGCTCAGTGGTTGAGCACTGACCTAGGAACCACAGGTCACGGTTCCATTCCCGGTCAGGGCACGTGCCCGGGTTGCGGGCTCCATCCCAAGTAGGGAGCGTGCAGGAGGCAGCCGATCCATGATTCTCCCTTATCATGGATGCTTCTGTCTCTCTCAACCTCTCCCTTCCTCTCTCTGAAATCAATCAATAAATATATATATATATATTTTTTAACCCTATGACTGGTGAATGCTGGTTTTAAGAAGAAGACTTTCCTCCTCTTTCTGGTTATTCTTTATTCCCAGCGCACCAGCCGGCTCTCCGAAGATAAAGCAGCGAGCAGTGCTAATTTCCAACGCCATCTGCTCCTCTGCAGCTTCCCAAGGTCGTGGCTCCCTTCCGGAACAACTCCAGAGGCCGCTGCCACGGAGCACGGGAGGGAAACTCCCGTGAAGTCCGACCTCTGATGGAAAATGCAAACGGCCCGGACCCCAGGCAGCACGACCCAGACCGGCGACCCAGAACAGACAGCAGCCCGAGCATCTGCGGCTCTGTCTGCTCCTTCCCTCCTCGGAGAGAACGAATCACAAGATGCTCAGAGAGAGAACCACAAGGGCAAGAGCCAGAAAGCAGCCAGGCCTGCATCCCAGGCCGCCTCCCAAGAGCTTGCTCGCTCGCACGCTGCAGTCATTTGCAGGCTGGGCAGGCGAGGCTGTTGGCCTGCGGGAGCTATTTTAGGGGGTTCGTTGCAAAAATGGTGGGAGAGGGCCCGGCCCCGAGTTCCCAGAACGCAGTAGCTGCCCCTCCATCCTAGGGGCCAGAGAGCCTGCCAGGCAGCATCCACATCCTCCTTAGGGAACTCCTAATTCAAGACGGAGCCAGGACCTGGGGGAGGAGGGGCGCGAAGGGTGAGAGATGGACCCTCTCTGCCCATCACGGTGGGCTGCACTTCTGCAGAGCCTGACCCAGGACCTAAACCCACAAAACACACAGAAGGCAGAGGCTGGGAGGACTGGGACAGCCTGCAGAGCGGTTAGGAGTCTCAACCCTGACCACGGGGATGCTCACCGCTTCCCTCCCTCCTCCTATCAGCTGGACACCAAGGGGCCCCCCTTTTCTGAAGGCAGATCGCAGGACAGTGGTACCCAGTGCCTCCCCCTTGGTGCACGGGGTCTCGGTCATCGCAGGTCCCAGACAGCAGTCCTCCCTCCGTCTCAGAGAAGAAACCTGACTCAGCCAAAGCCAGCACAGCAACGCAGTTACACACGAGACACAGTCACTCACACACACACACACACACACACACACACACACACACGCATGCACGCACACGTTTATGTAACAGGAGGTGGGCAGGACGCCTGTTCCTCATCTGTTTCTATCAGCAACATATATTCCTGTTACAAGTTTTCTATTATGAAGATTGATTACAGATCAAAATGTCACTCTCTTCTCTTTCTATATATATTTTGTAATTGATCTCAGAGAGGAAGGGAGAGAGAGAGAGAGAGAGAGAGATAGAAATATACATGATGAGAGAGAATCAAGGGTCGGCAGCCTCCTGCATGCCCCACAGTGGGGATGGAGCCTGCAACCCGGGCCTGTGCCCCGACCGGGAATCGAACCCTGACCTCCTGGTTCCTAGGTCAACGCTCACCCACTGAGTCCCGCCAGCCGGACCCCAATTCCACTCTTTCCCTGAGATGTAGGGAGAGTCACTGTGTCCTCTCTCCCAGGTGGACATGGATTTCAAGTGTTCCAAGATCACAAGCCAGATCAGACGCGCCTCGAATACAGCCTGCCAGACGAGGGCTGGCAGACTAACAACAAACCAGAAAACGCAGGGGGTAGAAAAGAAGCAGACAACATAGCCAGCATGGCTCCGTGGTTGAGCATCAACCTGTGAGCCTGGAGGTCACGATTGGATTCCCCTGTGAGGGCACCTGCCCCAGTTGCAGGCTCCATCCCCAGTGCGGGGCGTGCAGGAGGCAGCCCATCAGTGGTTCTCTCCCCTCGGAGATGTTTCTATCTCTCTCCTTCTCCCTTCTTCTCTGAAATCAATAAAAAAAACAAACATTTTAAAGAATAAAAATAAAAGGAGTACACAGAGCGATGTGACTTTGAAAATTCCAAAACTCCCCTAAATCCCGACCGAGAACACGCTTTTAAACCTCCCACCCCAAGCACTGCTGCAGCTCAGCACATCCCCACTGCAGCCTGCCTGCCGGCCTGCCTGCCAGCGGGCGGTTTGCAGACCACTCCCTGCTGGGAGCCCGCCAGGCCCGCCGGCTGAGCAGCAGGCTGCAGCGCAGGGTGCAGATCCAAGGCCAGAGGCCCCAGACTCAGCCCCTCGCAGCTGCCTCCGGGGTGCTGATTCAAGTCTGGGTGAACTGCCACAGAGGAGCCACGTCACCACCAGCATCACCACCACCAACACCAGCATCACCACCACCACCAGCACCACCACCACCACCACCACCACCACCAACACCAACACCACCACCCTCACCCCGCTCAGTGCGGCCACTCCCTGGCCTTCAGCAGCACGGGCTGCACACACACTCCCATCCACGAACACAACCGGTGCAGAATCCAGGGCCTGCCACTGCCGGTCATCGAGCAGAGGAACCTGCCACAGCCGGTCACCGAGTGAGGAACAGAGCCTCCAACGCCAGGGAAAGGGCTGGTGTCCACTCTGTCCACCTGTCAGAGAGCAGGGGCGGCCGAGTGACATTTAAAAACAAACCTCCCTCAAAGGCAGGCAGTAGGAAGGCCCACATCTGGCCTGGCCGGCGTGGCTCAGTGGTGGAGTGCTGACCTATGTAAGACCTATGTAAAGGTCAGGGCACAGGCCGGGGTTGCAGGCTCCATCCCGTGGGGGGCAATCAGTGATTCTCTCTCATCGTTGATGTTTCTCTCTCCCTCTCTCTCCCTTCCTCTCTGAGATAAATATATGCTTTTTTTTTTTTTTTTTTTTTTTAAGAAGCAGCAGCAGCAGCCACCTCTACCAGCACTCCAGTGAGCGTCTCTGGGGTCAGGCACCGTCTGTGGCCAGGAGCAGAGCAGAACCAGGCCCGGGAGCGCCCCACACCTTACCGCAGCCAGGCCGGTCCTTCCGCTGTTGCCTGTGGCTCACCAGCGATCCCAAGCAGCGCGGACGGCCCAAGTTTCCCAGGCAGAACACTCGGACCATGAAGACACCGTGGATCGATGCCCTCTCGCCTGGCCCAGGGCCTCGCTCTGACGGCCACCTGCCCCGCCAGGCCCCGGCACCTGGGTCCGGCTGGCCCAGAGCCCTCCCCAAGCCACGTCGGGGTCTCAGAGTCCCCTCAGCCAGGCAAGCCCACCTGTCACCCAGACCCGAGGTGCAAGCCTGCGAGTGGGGCTGGCTTCCCCTGCAGGCCGCCGGGACACCCCTAGTGCAAGTGCGGGGCGCCCGATCCCCCCACGTCCTTGCCATTGCCAAGGGTTGGCCCCACCTCGCTTCATCCTCTCCCTCCCCCCCCCTACAAGGAGGTCGCACCCCCTCCCACGCAGTCCGGTGGGTTCTTGCACTTGACCCGCTCCCGCCCCGCCCCGCCCCGCACAGATGCCAGGGACCCGCCGCCCCAGGAGCATCTGGAATCCCCGCCCCGCACTCACGCGACCCCGGGCCCGGGGTTCCCTGGCTGGGGTTCCCTGGTACCCCCTCCCCGGGGAACCCCCCCCCCCAAAGGGCCGCGTCTTACCGCCCGTGTCCTCGAAGCGCGGGGGCGGCCGGTCCCGCAGCGCCGCGCTCCAGCCCGAGCCGGCCTCGTCCTCCTCGGGCTCCGGCGCGGATGGGGCGGCGGGGACGCAGGGCGGGGGCCCCGGCGGCCGCTCGTGCTCGTCGTCCGAGGAGGCGGCCGAGGAGGAGCGCGAGGCGGCCGAGGTGCTGTAGAAGGGGTTGCCGCCGCCGCTGTCGGGGCCCGACTCGCCGAACACGTCGTCCGAGATGTGCAGGCTCTCGTAGCGCGCGCGGGCCGCCTCGAGCAGCGCCGGCGCCCGCCGCCGCGCGCCCCCGCCGCCCTCGGCCATCGCCCCGGCCGCCGCCGCCCGCGCGCCCGCCCCGCGCAGCGCCTCCCGGCCGCACGCGCCGGGGCCCGGGCCCGCCGCCCCCCACCAGCGCAGCCGGCAGCACAGCGCCCGCCGCTCCGCGCCCGGCCGGCCCGCCGTCTTGGCCGCCTGGGACCCCCGCGCCCCGGGGAAGCGCACTCGCAGCTGGGGCGCCGCCGGCTGCGGGCCGCGGCGGGAGACGAGGGCGGCGGCTGGACCCGGGGCCGCCGCTGCGTCCTCAGGCACCGACCGCGACGTCTCCACACCTAGCGCTCGCCGGCCGACCTTCCCGGCGCGAGCCGCCAGCGACGGCCCCGCCCCCTCGCACGCCCCGCCCCGTCGCCCTTCCAGCCCTCCGGCCAATGGGGAGCCAGCGCTGGGCGCGGTGGGCGGGGCCTGAGCCGGGGATGCTCCAACCTCCTCTCCCGGGCTCGAGCTGTCAGCGGAGGCCACGCCCTCCAGAACGCCCCGCCTCCTCGCCCTGTCAGCCCTCCGGCCAATGGGGAGCCAGCGCTGGGCGCGGTGGGCGGGGCCTTCGCCGGGGATGCTCCAACCTCCTCTCTCGGGCTCGAGCTGTCAGGGGAGGCCACGCCCTCCAGAACGCCCCGCCCCCTCGCCCTGTCAGCCCTCCGGCCAATGGGGAGCCAACGCTAGGCGCGGTGGGCGGGGTCTGCGCCGGGGACGCTCCACCCTTCTCTCCCTGGCGGGGCGGTGCCAGCGGGAGGGGCAGGGCCGCCGCGGCGTGGCTGGTCGGCCGGTCTGCAGGGACCAGCCCCCCCCCCCCCGGGACGGCAACCCGCCAGCCCCGACCTGCCCGCAGGGTGGGTGCGGGAGGGGGGACCCAGCGGGTTCTTCCTTGTCCAACCCGCCGCGATCAGGGGCCCCGGTTCTCCACCAGGCGCTGCGGGAACGCTGCTGGCAGGTGGGGGCGGCGGCGGCTGCCTCCCCGAGGAGGAGAGGGGGGGATCGCGGCCGGCTGCGCCGCCTGCTCCTCCAAACACAGGGCTGTCTGGCTTCCTGGGTTCTTGCTCTAGTGAGGACCCCGCCTCGCCGGTCCGTTTCTGGGGTCCCGGGGGGTTGAACTGAGTCGCGGTTCATTACCCCTTGTCATAGGAGGGGGCAGCATCTGGAGTTAGGTAGATCGTCATTCCTCATCGCGTTTGACATTTTGACATCTTGTAAACTCAAAATATTTTAAAAATAAATATTTTATTGATTTTTATTTTTATTTTATTTTATTTTATTTTTTTACAGAGAGGAAAGGAGAGGGATAGAGTTTTTAGAAGCATCAATTAGAGAGAAACGTTGATCAGCTGCCTCCTGCACATACTGGGGATGTGCCCCCCAACCAAGGTACATGCTCTTGACCAGAATCAAACCTGAGACCCTTCAGTCCAGAGGCTGATGCTCCCACCACTGAGCCAAACCAGTTTCGGCTGAAGGGGTGTTTTTAAAACAAGTAATTGTTTTGCTTCTCCTAGAAAGCACCAAACAGAGCCATAGCAGTTACAAAGAACGGACACAATCTTTCTTTGTCTGTAGTGTGCACTTGTATCATGTTAATCCTGAGAAAATGTGGGCCTTCCTGGGCTCTCAGGTGCTTGTAGCCACACGGGACAGGCAACATCGGGAAGAGGATTAGATGGTCCCAGAAGGAACAGACTGGGACATCCAATGGTTACCCCAAAGCGTGTCACGTATAAATGAGATGGTTAGTTCCGCTCAGAATCCAGTGTTTTGCATGTTGCTTTGTTTAAGCAAATGTTTTCCACCAAGAAGAATAAAATTATTCCAGCCAAAAATATTCCCGGAGGCAGGTGGCGGCTTCTCGTTGCAGAGGGAAGAAAGGAAAAGGGAGAAAACAAAACCCCAAACTTTCCATCTGCCTGGCAACCTCCCACCAGTGTGATTGTGCATTGTGTTGTGTGGTTTTTTTATATACATTTTATTGATTTTTTTTTTTTTTTACAGAGAGGAAGGGAGAGAGAGGCAGAGAGCTAGAAACATCGATGAGAGAGAAACATTCATCAGCTGCCTCCTGCACACCCCCTACTGGGGATGTGCCTGTAACCAAGGTACATGCCCTTGACCGGAATCGAACCCGGGACTGACGCTCTATCCGCAGGCTGACGCTCTATCCACTGAGCCAAACCGGTTTCAGCTGATTGTGCATTGTTAACTTCTATGATGGAGCCTGCAACCTGGGCATGTGTCCTTGACCCTGCCTTCCCCTGCTTTCTCTCTGAGGGTTGACGGTCTATTCGATGCTTCTGTGTCTCTGGATCTATTTTGTTCATCAGTGTATGTTGTTCATTATATTCCACACTAGAGTGGTTTATGGCGCTGACATGATTCCTAGCCTTCACCTTTGAGAACCAAGGTGACAGTTGTGAAAGGTCCTCGTCAATGACCAGCTCCTGTCACTCACTGCTCAAGTTCAGGGAACAGACCTCAGCAGCGACCTTAAACCCTGCCGTCCTCTAAATCCGTTCGGTGTGACCCAGTTTTGCTTTGTGCCAAGGTCAAAAGCACTTGTGGTCCTTGGGACTGAGTGTTTCCATTTCCAATGAACAGAGGCGTGCTCAGGACATTGCGGGGGGGTAGGGGGAGTGGTTGGGGGTTGAGGAGAGAAGGGACAGCGGCGGGGCAGAAAAGAAATGCCAGACCTTGAATTTGTGGGAGCAAAGCCATCAAGATGGAGAATCGTCCTTTCTTTTTCATCGCACGACAGAGAATGAACTTTTTCAGCTCCTTGGAGTTTTCAAAGGGGAGAAGGGTTGATGATTTCAACAAAAAAGAGTTTCCATGAATCATAAGACCTCGCAGTTAGCCGTGAGTCATGCTTGCCTGTGGATGCAGAAAAAAAAAGAAAGAAAGAAAGAAAAAGAAACGGGGCTGTAAGCAATTGTGAGTGAGCTTTGGCCTCTGGAGTCGGGCAGTCTGGCCCCAAACCCTGGATCCATCACTTACCGAGCGCCCTTGGCCAAGGATGTCAGCTCTCCGTCTCCATTTTCTCGTTTGCAAAGGAAGGTAATGGTCAGAGTTCTTACCTTATGGGGTCATAGGGTCAAAAGAGATGCCTGCAAATTGCTTGACATGAAGAATGAAACATTTCCAAAAATATGTTTTTATTGATTTCAGAGAAGAAAGGAGAGAGAGATGGAAACATCAATGATTGATCGGCTGCCTCCTGCACGCCCCACACTGGGGATCCAGCCCGCAACCCAGGCATGTGCCCTGACCGGGAATGGAACTGCGATCTCCTGGTTCCTGGGTCAATGTGCAACTACTGAGCCACATTGGTTGGGCAGTTTCCTTTATAAAATATATTTTATTGATTTTTTTTTTTTTCAGAGAGGAGAAAGAGGGAGAGTCAGAAACATCGATGAGAAAGAAACATTGATCAGCTCTCCTGCATACCCCCTACTGGGGATGTGCCCGCAACCAAGGTGTATGCCCTTGACCGGAATCGAACCTGGGACCCTTCAGTCCACAGGCTGATGCTCTATCCATTGAGCCAAACCGGCCAGGGCAATTTAGCTGATTTCAATGCCAGTGGCTGTTGGCCACAGACATGAACATGAGATTTTCCCCATAGAAGCACCATTGATGTCTTTCCTACCACCAAAAGTGTTCTCACCCCTGTTAGCACGCCGTATGGTGCGGGAAGGGGCAGGAAGCTGGCTTTGATTTCCCCTCTGTAGTCAGAGGAAGCCTGAACCACTCTAAGCAGGCAAGTCTCACCGGTGCCTTAGAAAGGTTACCTTGATCACAGGTGAGACTTAGGGAGTTAGGCATCTGCGGTAACCAAAGAGATGTTCCAGAAGGCTCTGGCTGGCCGCAGTAGCATGTGCAGTGTTATTTTTACCCTCCCCAACCAGAAGGAATCGCTTTGCCGTGGTTGCTAGGGAAATGATGTGGTTGCATTTTGGCTCCTGATTTAAGAAGTCCTGTAGAGGGGGGGGGGTAAGGGGAGAGGAGGAAATGTCTTGGGGACCGGTGTGGCTCAGTGGATAGAGCATCGGTCTGCGAACTCAAGGGTCTCAGGTTCGATTCCGGTCAAGGGCATGTACTTTGGTGGCGGGCACATCCTCAGTAGGGGGTGTGCAGGAGGCAGCTGATAGATGTTTCTCTCTCAACAATGTTTCTAACTCTATCCCTCTCCCTTCCTCTCTGTAAAAAAATCAATAAAATATATTTTAAAAAATAAATAAAAAGTGTGATCTTTAAAAATATTTTTTTAAAAGAACAAAAAAACAAAACAAACAAACAAACAAAACATCTAGAAAACTTTGTAAGCCAGTACTGGTAAGCCAGGTAGTACTGTGCACCTGCTCAATGTATGCATGGGTGACTGTCACTATAGCAACACGATGCTGGCCAATACTGGGCCACTGATAGAGGAACCGTGCCGGGTCTGTGATGGAGGCCAGTCCAGGAAGCCCTGCTCAGGATTGCAGGCAGGTGTTGGAGCAGATGGAGGCGCTGGTGGCCAAATCTGAAGGGAGCATCGGATTTCCACTCCCCCATTGGCGTCATGTTACCGCTATTTGACTAAATCCCGCCTCCTTGGCATTAGGCTAAGGCTCAGGGTGGCTTCTTGGGCACAGAAAACCTGAAGACCACGTTCATCAGATGAAAGGCATTTCACCCAGCTGGCGTGGCTCAGTGGTTGAGCATCCACCTATGAACCAGGAGGTCATGGCTCGATTCCCGGTCAGGGCACAGGCCCGGGTTGCAGGCTTGATCCCCAGTGAGGGGCGAGCAGGCAACAGCCGATCATTGATTCTCTCTCATCATGGATGTTTCTCTCTCTCTTCCTCTCCCTTCCTCTCTGAAGTCAACAAAAATATACTTTAAAAAGAATAAAAAAATAAACTTGTGTTTGTTGCTTTGAGGACATGGTCCCTCGAGGCCCGTGTAGAAAACTAGCCTTTACTAGTATTTGTTCTTTTCTGCTCCATTTTCTTTATTTTTTTATTTATTATTCATTTATTTATTATTTATGGAGAGGAAGGGAGAGGGATAGAGAGTTAGAAACATGGATGAGAGAGAAACATTGATCAGCTGCCTCCTGCACACCTCCTACTGGGGATGTACCCGCAACCAAGGTCCATGCCCTTGACCGGAATCGAACCCGGGACCCTTCAGTCCGCAGGCTGACGCTCTATCCACGGGGGCACACCAGCTGGTGCCTGATCAGTGTCCTTTGAAAAAGACTAGACACAGACACACACAGCGTGAGTGCATGTGGGGACACAAGGAGGACGGCCTTCTGCTCCCCCCTCCCCTGCCACAAGGACAAGGCCTCTGAAGGAACCAACTTGGCCTTGGACGTTCAGCCTCCAGAATCGGAGACACTGCAGTTCTGTCTCTGCAGCCACCCGTCTGGGGCAGTCCTCCCCGGGAGCACAGCTGGCCTTGCCGAACGGCTGACACGGTCCCCATTGAGATTGCACGAGGAATTCCGAGCTGAAGGGACGTGTATTTCTGCAAAGGATGGTCCCTGGCCTCTTCGGGGCAGGAAAATAAAGGTATTGTTAACAGGGTCCCTTGCTCAGCTGGAAGCCAAGGGCGTTAGATCTTTAGATCTGTGACTTGTGCTCACAAGCGCTTGATTCTTGCTCCTTTTGAAAATCTGCAGAGCCTACGTGTGAAATCCCGACTCTATTTAGGGCTCAGCTGTCCTTCAGCTGGTGAGGAGGGAGGGATGCAGGGAGCCTCACTTGGCCTTCCCCGCTGTGTTCTCCCTCCTCTGACCCCGCTCCTGTGCCTCCGGCTGTGTGTGATGGAGAAAAAAAGGAGGGGAGGAAGCAGATAGTGATCCCCATCCCAGGCCCCTTCCCCCCAGGGGAAATGTGAGTTTTCACTCTCCCCTGCAGTCTTTTTGTTTGTTCATCCTCACCTGAGGGTATCTTTCCATTGGTTTTTAGGGAGAGCGGGAGGGAGGGGGAGAGACAGAGAGAAACATCGATGGGAGAGAGACACATAGAAGTTGGGTGAACATGACCCGGGCCGGGGCCGGGGCCAGGGAGAAGCCTGCAACCAAGGTACGTGCCCTGGACTGGGATCGAACCCAGAACCCTCCAGTCCGTAGGTGAACGCTCTATCCATGGAGCCACACACCTGCTGGGGCCTCCCCTTCGGTCTTAGGTCCTCACAGCACCCAGGTTCCTGTGTGGCCACAGGTGCCAAAGTAAACAGACCTGTTCTGTGGTGTGGACAGAACGAATATAAGTGCCCGCCTGTACCCAGGCGACCCAGGGGTCCGGGCTGCCTGCCACGATCGAGCCCATGAAGCAGAGCCAGGGTTGGGCGTTTATTCCAATCCTGCTGGCAGCGTGGGAGAGCGGTGTAACCCCTCTCCCCACACCCCGCCTTGCCAGGTGGCTGGTTATAGACACAGGAGGGAGGAGGTTGCCACGTGCAGCCGAGAGCCATACGGACACGGACAGGGGAGGGGAGAGCCTGCCGTCTGGCCTTCGGGAGCTCCAAGCCTGATAACAAGGTGGTTAATCTTCTATGAGGTTACACACGGCTCAGCCCGTTCCTGGGACCTCAGAGTGGTCAGTGTTCCCGAGGCAAACTCCCGGAAGGGGTCAGGGTCAGGGTCAGGGTCAGGGTCAGGGTTCAGGTGCAAGCCACCACATCAAAAACCTGTCACGGGTCTCTTCTCCGAATGGTTTTCTTTCCTCTGAGTCCTGGGCCCTATCTGGGCTCCGCGGTGTCTGGTCCAGGGTCTGTAAGCAGACGTCTCTTCTATCTCCTTAAGCAAGTGACATTAAGCATCAGACAACCGTGGCTCTATTCTGATGACATGCCCTTCCCCCCCAGCACACCTACCCACCGAAACGATCTCATCACGCAATGAAAATGTCCACTAAGATAAGCCAAAACACGAAACCTTTCCAAAAAAACGGAACTTGAAGCTGGGCCGGTGTGGCTCAGGGTTGAGCGTCGACCAACGAACCAGGAAGTCAGGGTTCCGTTTCCCGTCAGAGCACAGGCTCGGGTTGCTTTCGGCCTCAATGCCGAGTGTGGGGCATACAGGAGGCAGTTGATGCATGATTCTCTCATCATGGATGCTTCTCTCTCTCTCTCTCTCTCTCTCTTCCTCTCTGAAATTAATAATAATTAATATATTTATAAATCACAAATATGCAGGCACACATATCCGTCCGCTGTGTTTGGACTAAGCAGGGAGGGAGGGCACTCCTTTGAGAATCTGGCCACCCTGGACCTGAGTGCTACCACCTGTTCTTCCCTAGAACTTTGTGGAACTGAGGGTGCCAACGTTAAGGGTGGGGCCCCCGAATCCCACGGAGGCCTCACTGCACAGGGACCGACAGCGGGAAGAAGCCGGTGATGTGCCCGCCCCTGGAAGACTAACCTGAGAACCGAAGGGCCGGCGCTAGGCCATCCACGGAGGAGCCATCTGGGGAGGAGACTTTGGGATGGAGAGGTCCCCCTCTCGGGGCCCAGCCAAGGAGCGCGCGGGGCTGCAGTGCCGCCCCCCGCGGCCAGGGGGCAGCACCGCCCGCCGGCGCGACCCTAGCGGCGCGCGCCGTCCCTCTTGGCGGCGCCGGCGGGGGCGGGCCCGCGGGGCTCCTCGCTGATTGGCTGCGGCGCGGGGCGCTGCCATGTTGGCGGAAGCGGTGCCTCCCCGACCGTGGAAATTGATCGTGGCTGCGGCCGCCCGGGTCGGTCCGTTGGGCGCCGCCTCCTGCTCCCGGGCCTCGCTCCGATCTGGGCGCCGTGAGGCGGCGGCCGGCGGGATGGAGAGGAGCAGGATGAACCTGCCCACGGGGCCGGACACTCTGTGCTTCGACAAGGACGAGTTCATGAAGGTACCGGGGCGTTTCTGCCCGGAGCCGGGCCGCGGGGGGCCGCCCCCCTCTGCCCGCCGCCCCCGGGGCCTCCCCACGGGCTCCGGCTTGGCTGGTGCCGCCTGGAGAAAGCCCTTCTGCGACATGGGGCGTTTTGGGTGGAAAGACCTGGAAGTTGTGAGTCGCTGTCGGTCCCGGGTCCCGGGCAGCGCCGTCCGATGGCCGGTCCCCTCGCAGGACAGAAGCGTGGAGACCAGTGTCCTGTCCTCCGAGGATCAGGAATTCTGTCCTGAACAAATCGCTGAGCGCATGTGCCTCCTTCCAGGGTCGGGTCCGAAATAAAAGGCTCCTTAGTCTGAAGCTTCTGGAATGAGACTTAAAAAAAAAAAAAGTATATTTAAAAACATATATATCTTGATGGACTTCAGAGAGGAAAGGAGAGGGAGAGAGAGCTAGAAACATGAATGATGAGAGAGAATCACGGGGAGAGATCAACCAAAGGACTTGTGTGCATACAAATGAGCCCCATCAGTGGTCAAGGACAAGAGGGGGGTCGGGGCATGCATGGGGAGGGGTGGGGGATGGGAATGGGGGTATGAGGACAAATATGTGATACCTTAATTAATATAAAGTAATTTAAAAAAATCACACATGGGCTGACCTCCATGACCTCCTGGTTCATAGGTCACGCTCAGCCACCCAGCCAAGCCGGCCGGGCTGGAATGAGACATTTAAAAAACAGTGGGATATTTTTAAAAATATATTTTATTGTTTTTTTTTTTATAGAGGGGAAGGGAGAGGGATAGAGAGTTAGAAACATCAATGAGAAACATCGATCAGCTGCCTCCTGCACGCCCCCTACTGAGGATCGAGCCTGCAATGGAGGTCCATGCCCTTGACTTGAATGGATCCGGACCCTTCAGGCTGTGATGTGGCCCCTGCTCTATCCACTGAGCCCAACCGGGGAGGGCAGAGTGGATGTTCGGTTCCTACTGGTGGTGCTGCAGTCAGCAAAACACACCAGTCTCTCATTCTCCCGGTGCCCCGCCCTCTGGATGAGGGGAACAGGATGTGGGTGTGTGCAGATTGTCCTCCTCCTATATAATAAAAGCCTACTATGCCAATTGTCCCCTCCACCGGGAGTTTGACCAGGGGGCGGGGCCAGCCAGGGGAAGGGAAGGAGGGAGGGAGGCCCTGGCCTGCTGCAGCTGCTATAGCAGGTGGCCTGGGAAGGGAGGGAGTACCAGTTGGCCACCGGCTACTGCTAGGGACCCTTCCAGTGCACAGATTTCGTGCATCGGGCCTCTAGTAGCACACAGACATACATAACGGAAGGGTCAGCTGAGACGGTTTTACTGGCAACAAAGGATCTGCAGGCACGGCCTTGGAAGTGTTCGGGGGTGACTCAGAGCTGCTCCGGTTGTGTTTCCAGGAAGACTTTGATGTCGATCACTTCGTTTCTGACTGCCGGAAGCGCGTGCAGCTGGAGGAGCTGAGGGATGACCTGGAACTCTACTACAAGCTGCTGAAGACCGCCATGGTGGAGCTCATCAACAAGGACTACGCGGACTTCGTCAACCTCTCCACAAACCTGGTACCGAGACCCCCACTTCCCGCAGCGGGTGCCCCTGCACCCGCACCCGCACCCGCACCGGCAGCTCAGGCTTCTTCTTAAAAGTGCTGAGGATTGCCGAAACCGGTTTGGCTCAGTGGATAGAGCGTCGGCTTGGGGACTGAAAGGTCCCGGGTTCGATTCCGGTCAAGGGCATGTACCTTGGTTACGGGCATACCCCCAGTAGGGGGTGTGCAAGAGGCAGCTGATCGATGACTCTCTCTCATCGATGTTTCTAGCTCTCTATCTCTCTCCCTTCCTCTCTGTACAAAATCAATAAAAAATAAAAATAAAAAAAAGTGCTGAGGATTTTAGAAGTCTTTCCGTTGCTATTTCACCCCTGAGAACTTAAAGAGGCTACTAATCTCATTAATGAATAAAAAGAACTAAACTTTCTTTTTCTACACAGTTTTTTTCATTTTTTCTCATTCAAGACTGTTTTAGTTTGATTATTTTGGAATTCGTTATTAAGGATAACTATATATAGTTATGTGCTTAAGTTATATGTAACCATAACACATATGTAGCAAAAGATAAAGGATAATAATAGCAAAGTAGTCGCTTTTGTTAGTTTCCAAGTGATTACATGAAATCTTGCTGGTTGAGACTAATTTGCAAGAGTAAATATCAGCTCTTTTTCTTTTTAAAAAATATATTATTGATTTTTTTTTATAGAGAGGAAGGGAGAGCGATGAGAGAGAAACATCAATCATCTGTCTCCTGCACACCCCCCACTGGGGATGTGCCCACAACCAAGGTACATGCCACTGACCTGAATCGAACCTGGGACTTTTCAGTCCACAGGCCAACGCTCTATCCACTGAACCACACCGGTTTTGGCTATCAACTTGTCTTAAGGAAATGCTTGCTTTACTTTGAGGCATGCGCTGGCTAGAGCCAGGTTGCGGGAGCAGCGGTCAGTCTTGCTCTGTAGGAGGCTTGCTTCATAAAAATGTGCGAGAGGTTTGTAAAAGTCATTGAGAAATAGATGTTTGGGGTTTAGTACTTGCCGAAAAGTTGTCTTGTCCATATTTTATTTTGTTTTTCAACCTATCTGCTTAAAGAAGTACAGAAAGTCGTTATCTCCATGGGGGTTTCAAGAAGCATTAAGGTTAATGAGCTGTATTTGCTTGTGGGAAATCTGCCACTAAGGTTAATGTTTCCGTAGATTAGAAATCCAATGAATTTTATCTCCCTTCTTTTTAATGTGGCTTTTCCCCAAAGGTGACAATCCTGTTTAGAAGAGCTAGATCCATCCATCAGACTTTTACACCAACTCTACTCACCTCCCGTGAAAATGTTTTTCAGATTCATTTAAAATCTCATCCAAAAGCAAATGGTGCATAAAGAAGCGTTCATTTATCATGACTTCCCTTATGTATTGGCTCACGTGTATCAACAGATTGTTTTTTTAAACCTATGAGCAATATTTATGGCAAAATAACATTAGTTATTTAGTTAGTTGCTTAGCAGTCTATGGTTATGCAGAGAGAGTACGTCTAGTACTGCTTTGATCATTAAACAGATACTTCACTCTCACTCCTGCCTCTGATGTGTGTGCCAACGTGATTTTGCTTTTAGGTTGGCATGGACAAAGTCCTCAACCAGCTTTCGGTGCCCTTGGGACAGTTACGAGAAGAAGTTCTGGTAAGTCCCCAAATTCTATGGCACAGACCACCATCAAGTATGTGATCTTGTGTTCTCCTGCAGGAATTGGGGGTCTGTGACTAGCAACCACTGGGCCACACCGGCCGGGCTGTCCTGTTTATTCTCATTGTTTGCCTTACCTTCGTCTTGGACCCAATTTTTAATGACTGCATATGTGCCTTGATCCTCTGACCTCTCCCTTTTCCTGGCCCTTCTGTTCCTTCTTGCTTCCTAATATTCCCAAAATAACTTTACATCGTGATATATCTTTAGTTCTCCAAAATGTATAGAATCTAGTCTGCTAGATTATCGGAATGGAGTCCTTCTAAGTCAACCCCTTCCTTTTTATTTCTACTTCTCTGCATCCTCCGCTAAACTCTCCTGTATTCGGATTCAGACTATCCTTTCCCTACCCTGACCCTCTCTGTGACAGTCATTGTAGATAATTCTCTGGGCCATTGATCCTGTGTGACCCTAGCTTTATATATCATTTCGCCCCCAAATCAATAGCAGTTGTGTCTGAAACTTGGTATTTTGCCAATATCTGTATAATACGGGCCTGTAGCTACTGTATTGAATTAATCATGTAAATTAAGTTCAGTTCTGTGGAATGAAATATGTAAAATGTTATGAAACTATTTCAACAGTACATTTCCTTTCTGTTTTAGAGTCTCAGGTCATCTGTGAGTGAAGGAATTCGGGCGGTCGATGAACGGATGTCTAAACAAGAGGACATTAGGGGGAAAAAGGTACAGTACGGTGTCATACAACATGTGGTAGCCTGGACTGTGACAGACAGCACCTTGACGGAAGGCACAATACATGTAGTAGCAGCTGAGAGGTTCATTTAAGATGGGAAAGGAAGGGAGGAATGAGAGTACAGAGCATGAGAAAGCAAAGAAGTCCATTTTCTTTCTTACAATAACCTTGCAATAGAATGGTGAAATATGCTTGTAGACAGAAAGCCCGAGTTAAGATTCACATTCTTGCAAGCTCAATGTCATATAGACATTCAAAAGGTAGGGTGCTCTCAAGAGTCTAAGTTCACTGTCGGCTTCATATTTTCCTGCATTTAGCATGCGGAAGTAAGATAATTAGGATTACACATCACAACATGTTTTTGCTTAATTTTAATAGATGTGTGTGTTGAGGCTTATACAAGTTATCCGATCGGTTGAGAAGATTGAAAAGATCTTAAATTCTCCGAGTTCTAAAGACACCTCTGCACTGGAAGGACACAGGTAACTATTTCTTACTGAGTCGCACATAAGCTAATGCTTTATAGTGTGTGTTAGGGAAAACAGGGACTTATTAGACTCCGGGGAAGATACACGGTGAATGTCCTCTCGCTGGGACCAGAGCGTGTAAACCCCTGCTCTCTCAGCCATAGGTAAATGGTGACGTAAAGGAAGCTGTTTGGCAGTATTTTACTTGTTGCTCCAAGAAGATCAGTTTGATTCGCTGAGGGAAACAACAGTACTTGGTGTTTGAGAAGCATTAGAGGTGCTTTATTTAGGAAAAGTGTGAATGAGAGGAAAGGGCAAGAGGAGAGCAGGGAGGTTAAAGGTCAGGAAGGAGGTTAAAGGTGAATGGGAGAGCCTGGTGAAGGTGGGGGAACAGACAGGATTGCACCCCACTGATCTGCTCTGGCTCCGGCTTCGGCTCCTGTCTGGCCCTGAGGCCTGTGGCCAGCCAGCATCCAGCTCCCGTAACCTCCCCACTGCACCTACTACGTGCTGTGCCTGTGGCTTGTAGTGAAAACGACGGCCCAAAGGATGCGTTAGCTTCACCCGGACCAGGAGGGTGTGAACCCTCGGGGGAAAGTTCTAGCACAGTGGTGCTCCAGGACCCGCTGCTAACCGAGCGGTGTGTTCTCTCGGGAATGAACCAACATCAGGAATCACGTGTCTGTCCCTGTCCTTGTCTCCGCCAGCCCGCTTCTGACCGGCCAGATTTTGGAGAGGATCGCTACAGAATTCAACCAGTTACAGTTTCACGCCGTCCAAAGCAAAGGCATGCCTCTCCTGGACAAAGTCAGACCAGTGAGTGTTTTCAGTCCTCACACGTCACACATGGCGTCTAGGACTTTGCCAGATAATCTTGGTTTAACCTAGCAATGCCCTTGCTAGTTGTTGATCCACTGGGTTGAGAAGCTAGCTGTGAATTTTTTCTTTCATTTTTCTGCTTCCTACGTGTCATGCATTATAGGTTTTGGGTAAACACTCAGGCATATTCTGTGAATTGCAAGAAGGAGTAACTTGACATTCTGTATGACTCAGAGTTCATGTGTCCAGGGCCCTTGACTACACTTTACATCCATGTGCTTGTCAGATTTACTCTAGCTGAAGGGGAAAATAACTTTTTTCTCCATCTATGATTTTCTCTAACCTCGCCTCTCACGATGCCAAGGTTTACTGTGGGGAGGAGGCGAGAGTCACTGTTAGTCTTCAGGAGAGGTGAGCGTGTTCCTCTCACATACATGACTCCCGGTAGAATAAGGAGGTCACGTGTGTGTGTGTGTGTGTGTGTGTGTGTGTGCGCGCGTGTGTGTGTGTGTGTAGCTTTGCTCTCACCTGACTCCTTGCAGCGGATCGCGGGCATCACGGCCATGCTGCAGCAGTCGCTGGAGGGCCTCCTGCTGGAAGGGCTGCAGACGTCGGACGTGGCCATCGTCCGCCACTGCCTACGCACGTACGCCACCATCGACAAGACCCGCGACGCAGAGGCCCTCGTTGGGCAAGTCCTGGTGAAGCCGTACATGGACCAGGTCTGTGCCTCCCAGGTCTTCACTCCACCGCCATCCTCAGGGCATTTGCTCCGGCTTCAGTACCCCCGGGGGCGAGGCTAGGTCAGAGAGCTCTCTGGGCAGCATGTGTCTGCTGCAGCACGGGGTGGAAAGAAAGGCTGCTCCCGCCGAAACTGGTGTGGCTCAGTGGATAGAGCGTCGGTCTGTGGACTGAGGGGTCCCAGGTTGGATTCCGGTCAAGGGCATGCATGTACCTTGGTTGCGGGCACATCCCCAGTAGGGGGTGTGCATGAGACAGCTGATCGATGATTCTCTCTCATCAATGTTTCTAACTCTCTATCCCTCTCTCTTCCTCTCTGTAAAAAAAATCGATAAAATATATTGAAAAAATTAAAATTACAAAAAAGAAAACATGTCAGTTGGGGAGGAGGGCGGATATTCTCAATTCTTCTCTTTGTACCATATAGTTTATATGTCTCTTAGATGCTTTTTAAAAACGCTCCTTCTGCCGGGACCGGTTTGGCTCAATGGATAGAGCGTCGGCTTGGGGACTAAAGGGTCCCGGGTTCGATTCCGGTCAAGGGCATGTACCTTGGTTGCGGGCATATCCCCAGTAGGGGGTGTGCAAGAGGCGGCTGATCGATGTCTCTCTTTCATCGATGTTTCTAACTCTCTATCTCTCTCCCTTCCTCTCTGTACAAAAATATATATTTTTTTAAAAACGCTCCTTCTTTTCCCAGGTGATTATAGAGCAGGTGGTTGAGTCCCATCCAAACGGCCTTCAGCTCATGTACAACAAGCTCCTGGAGTTCGTCCCTCACCACTGCCGCCTCCTCCGGGAAGTCACCGGCGGAGCCATCTCCAGGTGCTTGTCTCCGGTGCCAGAGCGCCCCTGGGTGCCATGGCTGCGCCTGCTGCCTGGTGCATGCTGATGGGGGGTGCTGGAGCGCCCCCGGGTGCCATGGCTACGCCTGCTGCCAGGAGCACGCGGATGGGGGGTGCCAGAGTGCCCCTGGGTGCAGTGGCTGTGCCTGCTGCCTGGAGCACGCGGATGGGGGGTGCCAGAGCGCCCCCGGGTGCCATGGCTGCGCCTGCTGCCTGGTGCACGCTGGTAGGCGCTGACTTGTACCATCTGGGCCCAGTCACCCCAGAGGGGTGGTGGCCGCTGCCCTAGAATGCAGCAGTGAAGTGAATATCGCAATAAAGCGAGTCCCCTTCTGCTTTCCCGGTGCATCTAAAAGCTACGGTCCACCATGCCGTAGTCTGTTAGGTGTGCAACAGCCTTATTTCTAAATAAGCGCGCCCGCCTTCACTGTCAAATACTGTGAGCTGAAAAGCGCTCACCGCCGACTCAGTCTTTTTGGAAGGGTCTCGCCTCAATTGGTGAAAAACATGAGCGCAATGAAACGAGGCTTACCAGGTCTCCATTAGCTGGCGGCGGTGTGCTTGACGGCAGCTCTGCTCTCGCCCCGCAGTGAGAAGGGCAGCACTGTGCCCGGGTATGACTTCCTGGTGAACTCGGTGTGGCCGGAAACAGTGCGAGGACTGGAGGAGAACCTGCCCTCGCTCTTCAACCCCGGGGACCCCGATGCCTTTCACGAGGTACCTTTCCCTCCTTCCTGTTGGCTCTCGGAGATGCTCCCCGGAGGCTTGAGATCAGCCGTGCTGTCTCCTGCGCAGGCGTGGCCCTGTGGGTGGGTCAGAACCACAGTTTGAGGTGCTACGTGGGCACTGACCGTAAAGCATACACACGGCTTTATTCGTGTAACAATCCTAGGGCCGTGGTCGGCAAATTGCAGCTCGAGAGCCACATGCGACTCTTTGGCCCTTTGAGTGTGGCTCTTCCACAAAATACCACGGCCTGGGCGAGTCTGTGTTGAAGAAGTGGCGTTAGAAGTAGTTTAAGTTTAAACAATGTGGCTCTCCAAAGACATGTCAATCATGTGCTGTTGATATTTGGCTCTGTGGACTGATGAGTTTGCCGACCACTGGCCTAGAGAATGAGAGCTGTCGCGTCAAGAGCATGGCTCTACAGCATCCAGGTGTCCAGATGACTGGCCATGGAAGACCTTGAGCCTGCCACGGGCCACGGGGGCCACGGGCCACGGGGGCCTTGCCTGGTGTTTACGTGGCTGGAAGGGCGGTCCCTCAGGGCCCCTGTAGCTCTGGAAGCTGCCGTTCTGTGCTGCCCTCCTTTATCTGGTCAGTTTAGTGGATGGTCCCCTCTGGGTGCTCGCCTGCGGTGCAAATGCCCGCCTGTTCTTATTTTAGAAATACACCGTCAGCATGGGGTTCGTGAGAGCATTCGAGCGGCAGTGTGGGTCCCAGGCCAGCGTGCGGAGGCTGCGAGCGCACCCCGCCTACCACAGCTTCAACAACAAGTGGAACCTGCCTGTGTACTTCCAGATCCGGTCAGTCCTCCTTTCACTCCCGCCGCCACCTTTCCAGGAGAGCGTTCCAGCCAGGGGTCAGGACGCTGTGGCCCGTTACCAGCCTTTTCGTGCTGTTCGCCATGCTATCCTTTGGGAAACAAAGGGAAATGTACGACATTATGGCTTGCCTGAGCAAACATAAAGTTGAGTTTCTGGTGACCAGCGAGCTGCACACACTGGCTCAGCAGGCTGGACTCCAAGCCCAGCTTCCCTCCCACCATCCTCTCATCCATCGTGGGGAGAAGGAGCAGGAGTCACAGCAGCTTTTGCCTGCCGCTGTCCCTGTCTCGTCACCGCCTCCACGATGGGCCTGAGGACATTGGCCGGTGCTTTTGTCATCCATGCCTGGAGTTAGATGCCATTAGAGCATCCTTCTCTCTACTGCCTGCGAGCTCCTCTTTCTTCTTCTTTTCTTTTATATGTATTTTTTATTTCAGAGAGGAAGGGAGAATGAGAGAGATTGATGGATGGGCTGCCTCTTGCACGCTCCACATTGGGGATGGAGCCGAAACCCGGGCATGTGTCCTGACCAGGAATCGAACCCTGACCTCCTGGTTCACAGGTCGATGCTCAACCACTGGGCCACGCGGGCCAGGCAAACTCCCCTTGACTATCGTTCCCCTGGCCCCGCGCCCCATGCTTAGGAACCTTGCACTGTCACCCATGTCCCGTCATGGCCCTGGGCTTGTTGTGGGAAAAAAATTTTCCGGATATGGAACTTGTTCTCAATACATTTGTTTTTCCGTTCAAAAATAAACTCAAGTCATGCTTTGTAGGACTCTCCTATTGATTTTTATCAGGCGTTGGATTGTTTACCCTGAATTATGACATAGAACCCTGCAAACATGACTGGGGTCAGAGTTGCACTGTTATCTGACTCAGCTTGAGGTCATGTGAAGGAAGTTTCAAAACCAGTGGGAGGGGACTGTTTGACTTGTCGCTCAGGAGAAATGTCCCCATTGCTCTCTCAGTCACGAGTGTGTGTGCCTGCATCCGACGGCGCGTATGCCCCCACCCCCGCCGCCGTTCTTGTGCATAAAACTTAGCGTTTGCGTCTCTGTCTGCTGAGTCTTCCAGTTCTCCCCCAGCCTCCTCCTTTTAAGGAGCCCGTGATGGCACCCCGATAATCTAGGATCTCGTCCTCCCCTCAGGGTCTCATTAATTCCACCTGCAAAGCCCCCTGTGCTCCAGGGATTAGGACCTAGTACTCGGAAGAAGGGAGAATGGGCAGGAACGGTCAGCAGCAGCAGAAACACTCATTTGTGCTCTTGTTTTACCCCAGGTTCAGAGAGATCGCGGGATCCTTAGAAGCAGCCCTGACAGGTGCCCTGGAAGACGCTCCAGGTAAGGCCTCAGGAGGCAGATGTCCCCTCGGGAGCACGGAGCTTGCTATCCAGACCCTGATCCCGAGGGCCCTGTCCCCTTTCCCGGGATCCAGGAAGCTGGCCCTTAGGCTTACTGTGACTGGCCTTTGTAAGAGACAGAAGAAATCAGATCTTGTGGTTTCCATGGTTTCTTGCTTTGCAGAGATAACAAGGGGCTGCTGTAAGAATACAGGGTATGTTGGTTCCTGAATGTCACACGCAGAGCCAAGTGACCAGCCCTTTTATAGCAAACTGGCTCCAGGCTGCCTTTTTCCCAGGATCTGGACGGCCCTTCCCTCCCTGGGGCTGGGCCCCCAGAGCTCGGGCACAGTCCTGGCATCTGGGGCAGGCGGCGCTGGTGGGATGCAGGCTTTCCAGCCGTGTCTGCGTTCCTTCCAGCCCCAGTCCTGTCAGCAAGTAAAGAGGTTCCTGTTGGATGACAGCCTGTTGACTAAGATAGTCGCTCACAGAACACGGGTTGTGTCTGTAGCCATGTAGGTCTGCCCTGCACTCCATGGCCTGAAAGTTAGTTCTCACTCGACTTTGCCAGAAACGCTCAAGTGCAGTGAACGTCCTACATACAAATGGTGTGTTCAGGTAGGGCAGAGAAGGTGACGAATGAAACAGGACAAATTCAAATCCAAAGTCTAAACCCTGCAATTGACGGCCACTTTGACTCGGATCGCTGATGTGGTATAAAGCACTTCTTAACTATTTCCGAATGCCGTATATGGTTAATAGTCATCGAACCCCTGGGAGGTGGAATCGTGTGAAATCAGAAAATGCATCGCTGAGCGGGGTCGCTGACCATACAGACTTCAGAATGCCACTCTGCACCCCCAGATCACACACCAAAGATACCAGATTGCAGTCCCGATTGACGGGCGCCTGCCTTCGCGTGTGCTTTCTCTGCAGCCGGCAGCTCCTACTGCCTGCTGGCCTCACACAGGACGTGGAGCTGCCTGCAGAGGTGCTGGTCGGAGCAGATGTTCCTGCCGTCGCTGGCGCACCGGCTGTGGAGGCTCACGCTGCAGGTGCTGGCGCGGTACTCCGTGTTCATCCGCGAGGTGAGCTTTACAGGCGACAGGGCTGTAAAGATACATGAGCTGCTGAGTGCACTGAGATCGAAGAGGCCATGTTGCCATGGGAGGTGCGTTTGATGGTAGATGCTAGCATTTCCCGTGACTTGATGGCCCATGTATGTAAGTCTCATGGCTCTTCCTGGTGGAGACGTGTGTAACCGTTGAAATCCTGTTTCAGCTGCTGCTCAGGCCCATCTCCAACGAGAGCGCCAAGGACATTAGGAAGCCCCTGGGAACTGGTAGCAAAGACGCTCCGGCTGCCCAGGGGAACAGCGAGGACCCGGGCAGTGGTCCTTCCGAGGCGAAGCCCGTGGCTTCGGTCACCAGCACGCAGCTCGTGCACGCGGCCGCCGACCTGGCCCGGCTGCAGGAGCAGGTAAGCCCGGGTCCCAGAATGCCACGCGCCGACACTGACAGCAGCCACAGGGGTGCAGACCACGGCCCAGGCCCCTCAAGAGCCACTTCCTGGATCTCCCCTCATCCAGCCTTCCCTGGCAGCCGCTCTTCCTCCCCTCCCGGCCGGGTCTGCCTCCGGATTTTCCTGGGATGGCATCCAGCCCTTTTTCACCCTCAACTTCCTGTGCGGCCCGATCCGTCTGGGCTGGGTTTTAATGATTTCCCTTCAAGCACCCAAATACTTCTTAATCACATTCACTCTTCAGCTCCACCGTGAAAGCCTTGAACTATTAATTCTCTCTCTGTTTCTGCACCTGCCCATGCTTTTGCTTTTATTAAGAGAACTTGGTGGCTAAATTTGCGTTTATGTCCTCTGATATGCAAAGGGGATTGCCTCTTGCTTAAAAAGTAGCTGCAGCCTCAACTGCACGTTTGTTTCAGCTCCCGGAACTCTTGGAAACCATCAGGCCCAAACTGGAGACGATTGGCTTTAAGAATTTCTCTTCCATCTCAGGTAAAAGCAAATCTCAGACTTAGCACATCTGTGAGTAAGAAAGGAGTTAGAAGGAAATTTGAGAGGCTGGCTATAAACCCCTGGTGGTTACTCTATCATGTGACTATAACGGCCCTCGGTGGGCAGTGGGGTCCCATGCCGGCCGTTTGATTTCATGTGTTATGCTCTCTAAATGCCGCGGCGGCATTTAAAGTAACAGTCACGCCGGCCTGGGTGGTGGCTGAGCTAGTCTGTGTGTCACAGCCGCCCTGGAGGACTCGCGGCTGTCCCTGTCGGCCTGCGTGCCCGCCCTCAGCGCCAGGATCGTCCAGGACTTGAGTGAGTCCTGCTTCGGTTACCTGAAAAGCGCCCTGGAGGTGCCCCGGCTTTACCGAAGGACCAACAAGGTCGGCGCCATTCCCTGGGGAGAGTTGTGAGGCAGGGGGAGGTGGCAGGAGACCTTGAGGTTTGAACGACGGCCTCTCTCTCGTTTTCTCTGTGCATCTCTCCCGCCACCGCCTCCACCCCAGGAGGTGCCCACGACCGCGTCCTCCTATGTGGACAGCGCTCTGCGGCCATGCCACCAGCTGCGCAGCGGGCACCAGGACAAGCTCCCGCCGGGGCTGGTCCAGCAGTGGCTACAGGGCGCGCTCTCGGAGAGCACGCACAGGTGAGGACCCTCATGGGGGCCGCGCTGGGCTTCCCCAGAGAGGCCATGTTCAAGGTCGCTGAGCCATCAGAGGGCGGCCAGGCGGGGAGACCGTTATGTGGCTGCATTGCTGGACCAAGCAGGGCAGCCTGGTCTCTGCCCGTCTGAGTGGGCGCCGCGCTGTGCTCAATGCCCAGCTCTGCCCCGGGCACCATCTCCTGCAGGCATCACTCTGTACGTCCCGTCACATGCTTTCCTGGGAGGGCCTTTCTCCTCGCTCCGTTGACCCAAAATGCCACGTGGCCAGAGAGCTGGCAGTGGGGAGACTGTCGGGCTGAGGAGAGGGGTGCCCACAGCCCGTGCCAGGGCGAGGAGGCCTCAGCCACGGGGTGGATGGCTCATCTCACTCAGCCTGCTTCTCCCAGGAGCCCACGCGGACTGTGCCAGGACCCGTGGCTCCGTTTTGTTGTTGAGTTTCGTTCAGTTATTAATTTTCCCATAGTATTATACTTACTTCAATTATAATACTTAGCGGTTAAGTGGATTTGTGGGCTCATTTCAAGCATCACAATGAATTCTAATATGATTTCTGTGTAAAAGCCAAGTAACCATCTTGTAAACAAAGTCTTTGAATGTAACTCATTCATCATTGGGACGGAACTTGGAGACTGTTTGAAGGAGTTTTATTAAAATCTTGAAACGCTTTTAAAAGATGAACTTCCCAGACCTGATGGTAAGTGAACTTGCTTCTTTGTTGGAATGCGCTGCAGACGCTCACGCCACGGAAGACAGGCAGTGTGGCCCATGACTTCCTCGGAGTGGCCAGGACTGAAATTTTGAATAAAACCCACGTACATATTTCTTAAGTTCAGAGGGAGTGTAGTGCTAGGCAAGCAATTTTCTTCCAGTCTTAAAAACATTAAATATTTACCACGGTTGATTTTTTTTTTTTTTTAATTGGAAGTGAATTTTTATCTTAAAAATTGTTTTTCTCCCTTTTGGGTCCACATTGCCAGAGTGCGTCTGTGTCCGTGCCGGTGTCTGTCGCACCCGTAACGTGTCTCGTGCTCTAGGTTCTATGAGACGGTGTCGGACGTCCTGCTCTCGGTGAAGAAGATGGAGGAGAGCCTGAAGAGGCTCAAGCAGGCCCGGAAGTCCTCGCCCGCCACCCCCGGCGGCTCCGGCAGCGGCGGCATGAGCGATGACGACAAGATCCGGCTGCAGCTGGCCCTGGACGTGGCGCACCTGGGCGACCAGGTAACCGCGTCCGAGGGCCCGCTGGGGACTCCTGTGGGCCCAGAGGGGCCTGGGAGGCTGTTCCCTCGCGCTGGGGAAGGGGTCGGCCCCAAATACTTGAAGTCAGATCTCACCGAGAGTGTGGGGGCTCGTTGCTGAGCCCCATGGGGACGCGCTGTGCCGTCGGTTACCAAGCGATTCACAGGAGACGCTGTGCCAGGGTTCCCATTCAGCAGGTTTGAGAGAAGGCTGTCCAGGCTACGCCGTGAGGGCCTGTCCCTATGGAGGCCTCTCCTCTGGGAGAGCAGCTCACTCTCCTCCTGTCGGTGGGCTTGCCTCCAGCCCTCGGAGGCCTCCTGCAGGCTCGGGGCGGGTGGGTGGAGGCAAACTCACACGCCGGCTCTCAAATGCCAAGCGTCCGGCCCAGCGTGGGGTTTGGCAATCAGCACAAAAAGGAGCGAGCACTCTGTGTCCTCGGGGAGCTGCTCTCTCCGCTCAGGGCCTCCCGTCCCTCCCGTCGAGCGTCTCACCGTTCGTTCTCACGGCCGTTGCAGATACAGAAGCTGGGCCTGCGCACAGAGGACGTCAGGAGCTTCCCGGCCCTCACAGAGCTGGTGGCCGCCGCCAGGGACCAGGCCGCCAAGGACCAGGCGACCGCAGAGCAGCCCTAGGCCCAGGCCCCGGGAGCCGAGAGCCGGGCTGGAGCCGAAGGAGCCGGACGCACCAGGACGTCTCTGCTCTCGCCTCAGCCCCAGCCAAGCGCTTCCCGGGCCTGGCACCTGCCCGCACCTCTGGGTCAGGACCTCCCCGCCCAGAACACTACGCCTTTTCCGTTGTATGGAAGATCCTTTTTAAGACACATGACACTTTCTACTCTAGTTTACAGAGCAGATGATTTTATTTTTATTGTGAATCTCGGTGAGGAAGCGCTCGTTTCTGATCGACGATGGACGTGAATGCACATGGACGCCCGGGGCAGGGCGGCCGCCGGCGGCTCGGGGTGAGCGCCCGGCTCGGCTCAGGCGCGGAAGATGCTGGTCCTTCTCCCACCAGGTGCTGGGAGCCGCTGCTCGTCGCTCTTCCCGACCTGTCAGAGCCAGAGCCCTCGGAGGCTTTATTTTCTAAATAAAAAGTGTCTGCCAAGAGCACGTGTAGCTCCTCTGAGTCCACTCATGCCCGTGGGCCCGTCCGTCACAGATGGTCCTCGGACGGCTGGGAGCTGGTCCCTGAGGAGTGATCCCGGGTGGGGGTCAGGGTGGGGTGCCGAGGGCCAGAGAGCTGGGAATCTTGGGAAAGGACCCACAGCGTGTGGGTGGTCTGCTACCCCGACCCTCACATGCACCTGCACACGTGTGCTGAGCGGTGGCATCTGTCCTCAGCACCATGGTGACAGGAAGCAGGCGTGCAGGGTCCTCTGGCCCCGGGGGAGGAGGGGACAAACCTACCGCAGAGTCCCCGCTGTTCAGGGTGCGGGGCCTCATGAGTTCTCGGGGCCACGGGACGCCCTGCCTCCTGGGCTCCTGGGCTCCTGGCCACGAATCCCTGATGAGGTGACCAGTTGCTGAGTAAGTGTCTCACCTGCCAGGCACACACTTTGCAGCCCAGGAGGACTTGGGATGCAGTGAAGAAATGTTTTAAGAAAAACCCTTGGGCCCGGCCTGTGTGGCTTAGTGGTTGCGTGTCAACCTAGGAACCAGGAGGTCACGGATTCCCAGTCAGGGCACAGGCCTGGGTTGTGGGCTCCATCCCGTGTGGGGCGTGCAGGAGGCAGCCGATCCATGAATTCTCATCATTGATGTTTCTATCTCTCTATCCCCTCCCCCTTCCTCTCTGAAATCAATTTTCTGAACAAATTAAAAAGGAAAATGAAAAACCCTTAGAAGGAGCGGTTGGGATTTTGTATCCTGGGAACGTCCTGACCCAAATCCCATTCATAGAAATTCTGGGAACAGAGACGGCGGGCGGTTGGCAGCGTCTGCCTCCTGGCAGCGGCCGAAGCGCAGCCGCCCGCCGAGCAGAGAACCGTTAGTGCCCGTGTCCTCCCGCTAGCCGGCCGTGGCGGGGCCCGCCCGCGTGCTCCGTCCCCCCGGGGTGACTTCAGGACGGCCTCCCAGGTGGTAACTGGGCGCCCGGCTGCTCCCCACGCCCAGCACAAAGCCAGGCACTGGGCGGGCACCTCCGAACGTGCAGCTAATGGGCCTGGCTGGCAGGGCTCAGAGGTCCAGTGCCAACCTACGAACCAGGAGGGCCAGCCGGGCCAGGCCGAGATGGTCGGCATAGATGGCAGGGAGGGAGGAAGTGCTCACTGTAGCTCAACAGACATAAGGCAACGGGCACAGTGAGTGACAGCCCAGGCAGCTCCCGTCTGCCCCGTCCCTGCCAGCCCGTCCAGCACACAGACGGCCACTGCCCGTAGGAAGGAAGGTCCGGAAAACACTGCCTTAAGCTTCTTCTAAGGATGGCTACGTGCAGGCCCTGCCTTCCATGGAATGCCGTCCTAGCTATGCTCAGAGCCCTGCTGGGTTGCTCAGTGGTTAGAGCAGTCTCCCCATACACCAAGGTTACGGGTTCCATCCCCAGTCAGGGCACATACCAGAATCAACCAATACTGCAGAAATAAGTGGAATAATAAATCAGTCTCTCTCTCTCTCTCTCTCTCTTCCCCCACCCCACCAATTTAAAACATTTTAAAGAGAGAAAAAAGAAAAGAAAAAAAACAAACAAAAACCACATGTGACTCCGAGTGCCTGTGTGTCTGCGCAACGACGTATATTTGTTGTGCTCAGTGAAGGAGAGACTCGTCCCTTCGTGCCTTCCATGATAAGATTTATTAGTAGCAGGATTGCCAGCCGCGGGGTGACATGCTAACGCACTCAGGCACCGGCGTTTTCCAAAACCCCCACGCGCCGCGGGAAAGGAACACGGGGAGACCAAGAAGGACGCGGGCTCCGCTTCCATACGCTGCACCCCCTCCCCACACACACACACGCCCCGGGTCGCACCCCGAAACCCGGTGTCCGTTCCCAATGAGAGAGGAAGCGTCGATCGTGCCCACACACAGGCTGGTCTGGGCAAACGCTTTCCGGGACAGTCGTCCTGAGCTGAACGCTGGTTCTAACCTGCCCCCCACCCACCCCGTTGCCCCAGATCCCCCCGAAATCTGAGGTCCAGAGAAGGGCTGCTCTCAGCTCCTGGCTGACTCATGGGGAGACGAAGTGGAAGGCGGTGCTGACAAGCTTGTGCTCTGCGGGATGGTGGCTGGGTGGCCGGGGCGGTGGCTGGGTGGCCAGGGCGGTGGCTGGGTGGCCAGGGCGGTGGCTGGGTGGCCGGGGTGGTGGCTGGGTGGCCGGGGCGGTGGCCGGGTGGCCGGGCGCCCGGGGCCGGCCTCACGCCGCGCTCTGCGGGTTGGTCACGCGGCCCAGGAAGTGCAGGGCGGTGGAGTCCCGATCGTAGACGGCGAACAGGAAGGGCCGGTCCAGCGTCACCTCCAGGACCTCGGCGGACTCCGTGGGAGGATGGGCTGACCCCGTGGGCTGCTCCCCCTTGTCCGCTTTGAGCTCAAACAGAACGCTGTTCAGCACCTGCAAAGCAGCCAGCGTTGGGGTCGCTCCTGGGAGCCCCCCGGGGCCCGAGGTCGGGGTGCAGAGGTTTGCTCGGACCCGCCTGTCTCCACCTTCCACCGGGCGGTCCTGGCGGGCGGGACCCCCGCCCCCCCCCCCCCCACGTGCGTGGGTGATGTAGGTGTGAGCTGATCACAAGGTCCTGTGATCCCACTCGTTCGTTTTTATTTCTTTGTTTTTGTTTGTTCTTTTTAATCCTCACCCGAGGCTATTTTCCCATTGATTTTTAGGGACAGTGAAAGAAAGAGGGAAATACAAAAGAGAAGTATGGATGTGAGAGAAACACATGGATTGGTTCCCTCTTGCCTGGGCCTGGGCCAGGGAGGAGCCGGCAACCAAGGTGTGTGCCCTTGACCGGAATCGAACCCGGAACCCTTCAGTCTGCAGGCTGACGCTCTATCCACTGAACCGAACCGACTAGGGCTACGTTTCTTTATTTTTTAATCCTCGCCCGAAGATATTTTCCCATTGATTTTTAGAGAGAGTAAAAAGGAGAGGGAGAGACAGAGAGAGAAACATCGATGTGAGACACATATCAATTGCTTGCCTCCTGCAAGCGCCCCAATCAGGGCTGGGACCTAGCAACCAAGCTCCGTGCCCTTGATCGGAGTCGAACCCGGGACCCTCCAGTCCGAGGGCCGGCGCTCTATCCACTGAGCCGAACCGGCCAGGCCTGACCCCAGGCATTGAGCACAGATAGCTCTTGCGCCCAACAGTGGGCTCTGAGGCCGGGCCTGGGCAGTACCTCGTGCATCCATGGCACTGAGCACCGAGCCTGAGCTGGCAGGCCCCTTGTCATAGCTGGGGAGCATGGTCTCCCGTGGCCGCGGGACCGTCTGTCCCCTGGGGGGCGCTTCCTGGCAGCCAGGAGCTGCACCATGGGCCGGCCCTGGGCCGGGGGCACCTTCCTGGGCTGGACCCCAGAGCTGCCAGCACGGGGCGGGAGGGATTGCCCTCTCCACCCACCTCTGCACAGGCCCAGAACGTGCTGGTCATGTCTCTCCCACCCGGACACACCCCCCTGGCCACGCATCCCCTCCGTCCGGCCCCGCCCCACCTTCCGGAAGCTTCCTCCGTGTCGCATGCACGGACACCCCCCGCCCCGGGAGCCATCAGACCCATCAGGCGGGGCCGCCCAGTACCTGTCCGACGCGGAGCTGGTCCTCGCTGATCCCGCCCAGGCTGGCCTCGGCGCCCAGCAGGGTGGACAGCTTGGCCTGGGCCAGCAGGTCCTGCAGGTCGTAGGAGCCTCGCAGCGCCAGCTGGGGCAGCGTCAGCCGGACGGCCCTGCAGAGAAGGGGACCCCGGTCAGGTGGCCCCGGGGGCTCCCCCCGGGCGGCTGGGCCCCCCCGGAGCAGGTGCCTGGGCCCATCCCTGCTGGAGGGGGTGCTGGCCTCCCCCCGCCCCCTGAGCTGGTCCCCCCGGGGTGGGTGGGGGGCGAGGGCGTACCGGGGAGCCAGGTGCTTGGTCCAGGTCAGCAGGCCGTGCTGGAAGGTGAGGGCCTCGGCCTCGGCCAGGGCCGCGGGGTCGTGCGGCTGCACCAGCAGCAGCCCCACGTTGGCGCTGAGCGGCACGCGGGTCAGCGAGAGGTTGCGGCGGGCGTCGCTCCAGTGCGGGAAGCTGCCCGTGCCCGTCAGCATGGGCACGGCCACGGACGTGGCGTTGTCCACACGGAACTCCCGTGGTCCCGGCAGCAGCGAGAAGCCCTTCATCCGACCTGCAGGCGGAGGAGGAGGAGAAAGGGGGCGTCGGCGGGCGGTGGGCACGGGGAGAGGGGGTGCCTGCATAGGAGCCTGGTGCACGGGGACCCCAAAGGCCTCTGCTTTCCCCCCGCTGAGGCCCCCCAAGTCCTGCTCCTGAGAAACCCAGGCCCGGGAGCCGCTCAGGGAACGGCTGCTGCCAACGCGAGGTCGCACCTGAGCTTGTGCCGCTGCCCCCTTACTGGGGGCCCAAGGGGCACCCCAGGGCTCAGGCGCCTCCCCAACTAGGAACTGACGGGGCAACCCCCCCAGAACCGGCCGGGCCTGGAGCCTGAGGTCCAGCAGGCTGGCAGGATGGCTCTGTGTTTTTTTTTTTTTTTTTTTTTTTTTTTTTTTTATATATTTTATTGATTTTTTTTTACAGAGAGGAAAAGAGAGGGATAGAAAGCTAGAAACATCAATGAGAGAGAAACAGCCATCAGCTGCCTCCTGCACACCCCCCACCAGGGATGCGCCCGCCACCAAGGTCCATGCCCTTGACCGGAATCGAACCCAGGACCCCTCAGAGTCCGCAGGCCGACGCTCTATCCCCTGAGCCACACCGGTTTCGGCAGTGTGGTTGTTTTTTTAGTCACGTTGCTTTTTGTTTTTCCTGTATTCTTATTGATCTCAGAGAAGAAGGGAGAGGGAGAGAGATAGAAACATCCGAGATGACAGAGAACCATGGATCGGCTGCCTCCCATAAGTCCCCCACCGGGGATGGAGCCCACAACCCTGGGCATGTGCCCTTGACCGGAATCAAACCGGGGACCCCTCAGTCCACAGGCAGACACTCTATCCACGGAGCCACACCGGCCAGAGCAGTTTTACGTCTCGGGAAAATGAAGAGGTGGCACCGAGGTTTCCGTGTGCCTGGGACCCCCCCACCCACCACCCCCGACTCTGATGAGCCAGGCAGAGAAAGACAAGCACCCAAGGGTGTCACTCACGTGGGAGATCTAATGCCCACCATGACTGACCAATTAAACAGAGACCGAGGGCATATGGACAAGCTGTCGGGTGGGAGGGGTTGAGTGAAAAAGGTGAAGAGATGAAGAAAAGAAAACACACCTCGCATCCCACTTAAAAAAAAGAAAAAAGAAAAAAAAAGTCGCTTCCGCCCAGCCAGTGTGGCTCAGTGGTTAAGCATCGACCTCTGAACCAGGAGGCCACAGTTCGATCTCTGGTCAGGTCACAGGCCCGGATTGCAGGCTCCATCCCCGGTGCGGGGAGTGCAGGAGGCGGCTGATGCATAATTCTCTCTCATCATGGATGTTTCTCTCCCTCCCTCCCTCTCTCTCTCTCTCTCTCTCTCTCCCCCCCTTCCTCTCTGAAATCAATAATTTTTTTTTTTTTTTTAAGAAGCGTTGGTGACCTCCCCCGGCCTAGCAGGAGGCTTTTGCGCTTAGAGAGAGGGGAAAAAGGACTCAGTTTTCCCCACCAACAAATGGAAACAAGCAGACGCTGGAATCTGCACGGAGGGGCCGCCCGCCTCTCCCTCCGACCCCCCTGCAGGCTCCCTCCTCGCCCAGAGGTTAAGTCAATCTCTCCGGGTTAAGTCAACGGATGTGGCAGAACCTGCCAGGGCCAGCACTGGGGCCAGCAGGGGGGGGGGTGTTGCGGGGGGGGGGGTGGTCAGCGGAGCTGGGCAAAGGGCGGCCGCAGCCCATGGGAGGGACATCCAGCTGTGCCCGGAGGCCCTCGTAACGGGATGTCACGCTATTACTATTTTTTTAGACAGAGGGGAAGGGAGGAGGGGAGAGGAGAGACACAGGGATGCGAGAGAGACAGAGCCGCGCGCGGAGTGGCCTCCCACACAGGTTCTGATTGGGGGTGGGGCGAGGGTTGGACCTGCAAACCCCGGTACATGCCCTTGACCAGGAATCACACGCGGGACCCTCCGGTGCGCACGCGGGTGCTCTAACCACTGGGCCACGCCAGCCAGGGCGAGGTTGGGCCGTGGAGAGACGGAGCGCCGCTCACCTTGGAAGCGGACGAGGGCGCTGAAGACCAGGTTGCTGTCCGGGCTGACCTCCCGCAGCGGGCTGCCCGCCTTCCAGCCGGTCACGGCCTGCATGAACCTGTTGATCCTCTCGGCAGCCAGCCGGGGGTCGGCGGCCAGGTCGAGGGAGCGCGGAAGGGTCACGGGGGCGAAGGGGGCCAGGCCGCCCACGAAGGGCTGCTTGAGGCGCAGGCCGGGCGCCGTGAACAGGCCCAGCACCGTGGCCGCCCGCAGGCGGGCCTGGCCGGCCGCCCCGCCCTGCAGCACCAGGAGGCCCTGGATGGCCTGCAGCGCGGACAGCACCTTGTGGCCGTCCAGCCGGGAGGTGCAGCCCTGGTTCTCCCCGGGGACCCCCAGGAAGGCCTGCAGCCGGCCGGCCGTGGGGTGCTGGGCCCCCAGGTAGAAGGCGGTGAGGGTGCCGAAGAGGGCGGTCGGGGAGAGCAGGGCGGCGGCCTCTGGGGCCTGGGTCTCGGCCAGCGTCCGGTACAGGCGGAGGCCCAGGAAGTTGAGCAGCATGCCCACCATGGCCACCCGCGCCTTGTCATCGCCCTGCAGCCCCCGGGCGGCGGCCACCAGCCGCTCCTGCAGCGCCTCCTCGTCCACGGGGGCCGTCTTGGCCTGGATGGGCACCGCCGTGAAGGTGGGGTCCGGGGTCGGCACCTCGCTGGGCCTCTCCAGCTGCTCGCAGACGCTCTGGTTGTAGACCAGCATGTGGAAGGGGTGGATGTACAGCCGGTCGGCGGCCAGCAGGCCGGCCCAGGCCAGGAGGCAGAGCACGGCGGCTCGGAGGCCCACGCCCGCGGGGCTCATGGCGCGTCTGGAAGGGGAAAGGTGGAGGGTGAAAGGTTATTGAGTGTCCGGGAGCCTGATTGGCTCCCGATTGGCCCAGGGCAGCGGTCGGCAAACTCATCCGTCCGCAGAGCCAAACATCAACAGCACCACGATGGACGTGTCTCTGGAGAGCCACATTTTTTTAAAAAAACGTTAACGTCTCCTAACGCCGCGTCTTCAACACAGACTCGCCCAGGGCCGGGGTCTTTTTGTGGGAGAGCCACGCTCACGGGGCCGAAGAGCCACATGAGGCTCTTGAGCCACTGTTTGCTGAGTACAAACCCTTCATGTATGTGAGCTTCCAGAAGAAATGGATTCAAGGTCCCCAGAAAACTTCGACAGCCCGGCCGGCGTGATTCATGATTCTCTCTCCGCATGGATGTGTTTCTCTCTCTCTCTCTCTCTCCCTCTCCCTTCCTCTCTGAGATCAATAAAGGTGTAGAACTATATTTTATAAAAATTTATAAATATATACCTTGGGAGGGGGGAATAAGGGAAAGGGAGAGAGAGTTAGAAACCTCCATGAGGAGAGAGATTCGTGGATCGGCTGCCTCCCACACGCCCACAACCCTGGCATGTGTCCCCAGCAGGAATCGAACCCGACCACAGCCCTAGGCCACGAGCAAGGGAGGCCAGGATTGCTATCGGCCCCGTTTACAGGTGAGCAGACCCAGGCTCAGGGCGACGGCGATGAGCTTGACCTCAGGGACCCAGGCCGTGAGCCCAGGATCGGAGGGAGAAAGGTCTGCTCAAAAGGGGTTCAGAGACTCAGCGCTGGGCCCCCTGAGCCTGGCCCCTCTGTCCCCCAGCCTCCCCACCACCACCCCCTCTGCCTGCACCGCAAGCTGCCCAGTCCCTCTGGCTGGGAGAGGACCCAGTGGACTCCTGGCCACCATGAACCTGGGGTGAAGGGCTGGACCGGCCATGGTGACGCTTGGGAGAGGACCAGGTCTCTGGCGGGGCCCAGACTGAGGCCGAGGGGGGACAGCCCAGGTCTGCACGGCTGGCTTGACGGGAGGGCAGCACATTTCCTGGGTCGTCAGTGGTCAAGTCGCCTGTAGTGCAGGTCACCACTGCCCCCTGGCCCCTGGTCCTGGCCCCTGGCCCCTGGGCCCAGGCTGCAGGTTAGCTACCACCCTCCAGCCGCTCTGGCCCCATCCCAGCACCCACCCCACCTTCTGGGCTCAGCAGACGGCTCAGCTGTCCTGGGAGCGCCTGGTGCGGGTGGTGTGTGGAGAGGGGGTCCCGGCTTACCGTCCGTCTGCGTCAGCCCCAAGACCAGCACCCTCTGCGCCCGCTCCCAGCACCAAGACCTTCTGCTTCTGTCCCCAAAAACAGGACCTTCTGCTTCTGTCCCCAAAAACAGGACCTTCTGCTCTGTCCCCGAGACCAGTACGCACTGTTCTGTCCTCAGGATCAGGACAGCTTTCCCCCCGCCGGCCAGGGGCCCTCTTTATAAGTGAGGGGCGGGGACGGAGCCGGCCCAGGCTGGCCTGTGCCCCGCTGGGGAGGGGGGTTACATCACGGAGGGGGAGGGCCCAGCAGCCGATGAGGGGCTGGCCGGAAGCCAGAGGGACTCCTGCTGGGACGGCTTCCAGGAAGCGGGCTGATCGATGTGCCCGCTGCCGAACACAACGCACTGGGACGGGACGCGGCCCAGTTACACATTCACTGGAGTTCCCGGGAGGCCATCCTGCGCGCGCGTGTGTGTGTGTGTGGTGGCGCCTCTGCCCCTCGGCCCGAGAACGTGCCCCTCAAGGCCTGGGGGTCACTCTTTCTTTCCTTTTTTTTATTTTTATTTTTTCCCCTCACCAGTGTGGCTCAGTGGATAGAGCGTCGGCCTGCGGACTCAAGGGTCCCAGGTTCGATCCCGGTCAAGGGCTTGTACCTTGGTTGCGGGCATGAGCGAGTCCAGTAGGGGGTGTGCAGGAGGCAGCTGATGGATGTTTCTCTCTCACGGATGTTTCTAGCTCTCTATCCCCCTCTCTTCCTCTCTGTAAAATATCAATAATATATATATTTACAAAGAGCCAGATATTTGTGTTGATGTCAGAGAGGAAGGGAGAGGGAGAGAGAGAGAGAGGCATCAATGAGGAGAGAGAATCATGGACCGGCTGCCTCCTGCACGCCATCGATCCAGCCCACACCGCGGGCACGGGCCCCGACTGGCCATCCAACTGGGACCTCCTGGTTCACAGGCCGTGGCTCCACCACGGAGCCACGCAGGCCGGCCTGCTTCCCCTAAGTGTCTCCGCAATGTTTTCCGTGGAGGAAGAGCTGATCGCTGAGTAAATATTGTTTTTTCCGGAGCTTGGTTGTTGCAAGAGCTAGCCCCTCGGGCCCCTAGGACAGCACGTCAGTCAGGCCAGCGACAGAGTGTCCGCGGAGCAGGCGGGCGACATGTTTCCATCCGGGCAGCCGATCCTTATCTCGCTCACCGCCCGGTGCGCGGAACTGCCCTCTGCGGGCGCTTCCCCGGGGCCGGCGCCAAGGCAAACACGGAGCCACCGCCCGCGGGCAGGCGGGGGCGCCAGCCTGAGAGGCCTCCGTGGAGCGTGGGGTTAGGCCTTGTGCTTCCCGTGTCTGATTTCCCGGACGAGGAGAGGGCCCCAAAGCACACCGAGGGCACCTGAGCAAGTGCCCTGGTCAATCAGAGCACACCCGGCCGGTGTGGCTCAGTGGTGAGCGTCGACCTAGGAACCAGGAGGTCAGGGTTCGATTCCCGGTCAGGGCACAGGCCCGGGTGGCGGGCTCCATCCCCAGTGTGGGGTGAGCAGGAGGCAGCGGATCTGTGATTCTCTCGCCTCATGGATGTTTCTATCTCTGTCCCCCTCTGCCTTCCTCACTAAAATCAATTAAAAAAATACATTATATTTATTTTAAATATATATATATATATAGTTGTTTTTTTACAGAGAGGGAGGGAGAGGGATAGAGAGTTAGAAACACCGATGAGAGAGAAACATCCATCAGCTGCCTCCTGCACCCCCCCACTGGGGATGTGCCCTCAACCAAAGTACATGCCCCCGACCGGAATCAAACCTGGGACCTTTCAGTCCACAGGCCAACGCTCTATCCACTGAGCCACACCGGGTGGGGCTGGCTCTTTACAGAAAGGGTCTGCCAGCCCCTCCTCTGAATAAAAACGAGACCCCGTGAGCGAGCTCTGTCCCTGTCATGCAGGCCGTGGCCATCAGTAGCGGCCGTGACAGGTGCTATTTCATGGTGACAGGTTCTATTCCTGGGCCCCCTCCAGAGGGCAGCACCACGGTTTTCCGACTCAGGACCTGCCCTCGTCCTGAGCAACACCGGTCCTGGCCACCCCCTCCGGGCCCAGTGTGGCTCCTGCTCTCTCCCCAGAGCCATCTCCACCTCCCACCTCTCCCCGCCGGCCCCACTCGGTCTCCCCAGCACATTTGGCAGAGGGTCCTGCCCCACCTTGGCCCTGGCCAAGGACCCTGGACCCTGTGGGCAGAGGCCTCTCCCTGGCGTTTGCCATCCGGGCGTGCCCCACCTCCGAGGGCAGGGAGGTTCCCGGGCAAAGAGGCAGAGCCAGGGCCGGGTGGCGGTTCCGTCCTGCCTGGCACTCACTCGCATCTCGCTCCTTCCTTCCCGCCCCTCGCCGGCCCCGCGTCCCACGTCCGCTGCCCGGGGACCGGCCATGCCTTCCCTCCGCCTGGACCCGGGGCCCCAGGGGCACCCCACGCCCAGGGATGCCCGCGGCACCCACTCCTCCGGCCAGAGCTTCGAGCAGCTGCGGCGGGAGTGCCTGCAGAAGGGGGTCCTGTTTGAGGACCCCGACTTCCCGGCCACCAGCGCCTCCCTTTTCTACAGCGAGAGGCCCCCGATCGCCTTTGTGTGGAAGCGGCCGGAGGTGAGTGCAGGGGGGCGGGGCGGGGGGAGAGACAGGGAAGGGGGGGACTCCTGGGAGGGGCAGCAAGGACAGGAGGGGCCGGAGGGGTGCCCACCCATGGCTGGCTCACCTGCTCTGGGGGCACAGGAGCTGTAACCCCACAACCCAGGGGTCCGGTCTGCCTGTCACTGGAGCCAATTCAGCAGAGACCTAGGGCTGAGGCCTAGGAAAGCGTGTATCTCGGTCCTGCCGGCAGCGAGGGGAGCGGCAGGGCACCCACAGACGTCCGCTCTGCCCCCCAGCTGCCAGCTGCCTATATGGGGCGGGAGGACGAGGGGGACGTGAGGATGCAGGAATGACGGACGTGGGCATGACGCACGGAGCATCCTCACTGGCTGCGGGCCGTGCGGGCGGGGAGGGGGCAGGGGGAGGGGGGGGGCGGGCGCCGCCGGGCACCCTGGGGCCAGGTTCCCGCCGCAGGGGCTGGGGCTGTGCGTACAGAGCGGGTGCCTCCGGGGCTGGGTGGTGTGGGCCTCAGGGCTGTCTGTCTGTCCGTGAGGGTGGACTGCATTCCGACGTGAGCGCCGTGTCCCGGGCAGCTGGCCCCACTGTCCTATTCCTGCCCCCGGCAGAGGGATGTGCAGGGACACACGCCAGCAGGTGGGGCCGCAGGGGCTGGTACCCCGGGCCCCTGGGTGGTTGCCCCCCACTCCCAGCTCTCTGCCTCCCTCCCACCCACGCTCAGGAGGCGGAGAGCCAGCGTGACCACAGGTTCCTGCAGGACAAGACTCAGGGGACGCATCGAGGGTGAAGCCGTAGATGGTGGGGGCCATTCAGAGCCCCCCGTGGCCCCCCGCCGTGGGCACCAACGCTGGGTGGGCATGTGGAGTGCCCGGGTGCCAGTGCCGGTGGGAGGGAGGGAGACCACGAATCAGGTTCACTCCCAGCCAGCAGCTTGCGTGCCCCAAGGGAGCCAGCGTCCATCCCGCCCCGCCCAGCAGCCTGAGGGCCCGAGGACCACCAGCTGGTGCCCGGGAGTCAATATTTGCCAGGCTGGATAGTCAGGGCCGCCCTCTGCCCGGGCAGCACCGGCCGGCTCACTCCCTCGGGGTGGGGATTGGCCTGGAGGCGGCTCCCCGGGGGGACAGGTCGCCATGGACAAAGAGGGCGGACCCTGACGGTGAGAGCTGAGTGCCGGTCCCACTCACCTGCCCTGTGACCGCCCGGGCCTCAGTCTTCCCACCTGTGAGGTGGGCCCATGAGGACCTGGGCGGGCCCAGGCCCGGCACAGGCGTTCCCCATCAGCAATGATGTTCTCGCCGGGCTCTTCCCGGCGGCATCGGCTCCAGCGTCAGCTGAGTCTCGTCTCACGGGCGAGCCTCCTGAGCTCCCTGCGTCTGTGTCCATTTCACACAACCACCTCGGGCTCCTCAGGCCCGGCCCAAAGGGCACACACACTGTGGACATATTGCTATTTCCTGGTGGAGGCAGAGTGTGTGCATGTGTGTGTGTGCACGTGTGTGCACGTATGAGCATGGGTATGGATGTATATGCTTGCACATGTGTGCATGGGTGTGCGTGTGCACTTTGTACCTGTGTGCAAGTGCATGTGTGTGCATGTGTGTGCATGTGTGTGCGTGTGTGCACGTGTGCGCGTGTGTGATGTGCTCGCCAACACGCCATCCCGCCGGGTACCTTGCAAGCTGCTCCGGTCCTCTGGGCTCTCCCTGGGCCTGGCAGGGCTGCCCTGGGGCGGCTGAGCTTTCCTTCTGAGCAGCAGTCGGCAAACTCTTTAGCCCCCAGAGCCAAATGCCAACAGCACCACGATGGACATGTCTCTGGAGAGCCAGCTTTTTAAACGTAAACCTCTAACGCCACGTCTTCCACACAGACGCGCCCAGGCCGTGGTGTTTTGTGGAAGAGCCACCCTCCAGGGGCCAGAGAGCCGCCTGTGGCTCGCGAGCCGCCGTTTGCCGACCACGGCTTCTGCGGAATCCAGCAGCTTCCTCCCCTCCTAACGGGGCTCCTGCCTCCTGCCTGGCCTACGCCCTCCCCTCCCCTACCTCCCGGGCTCCTGCCAGCCCTGCCCAGCGCCCTCGGGGGGCTCAGCCTAGCCTGGGAATGAGGCAGGATCCCCCGCACCCCCTCCCTGTGCCCTGCACCCTGCCCCTCCTCACACAGCACCCATCCCCCCCGGCCCGCACGCTCCGGCTGCAGTGGCCTGGGAGGCTCTTCCCCCGGGAAACCCGGACTCCGCTCATGGAGCCTCTGCCCCGGGGCCGCCCCCGTGTGCAGCGTCGGACGCAGCTGCCTCAGAGCGTGCCCCGTGGGCAGGAGCCCTGTGTCCCGAGCCCCACTGCGCCCTCAACCGCTCACACCGTCTGGCACAGTTGCAGCTGTTACCGTGGCAACAGCCAATGGTTGCTATGCAAACCGTTCACAGCTACCATGGCAACAGCCGATGGTCACGATGACAACTGCCAGTGGTCACTATGGCAACAGTCGATGGTTATGATGGCAACTGCCAGTGGTCACTATGGCAACAGCCGATGGTTACGATGGCCAGGGCAACATTCCCCGTTAGCCAGGATTACTATAAACCGCCTCATCTCAAACAGGGACCCATGCCACCCAGAGCGAGGGCAGGGCAGTGCCAGGGCTGGGAGGGGGGACCGTGGGTTGTGGGGTGGCCCCCGTGCCGGGGTCAGCCAAGGGCACGGGGCGCTCGGAGCCAGGAGGGTCCCTTGTGTCCCACCCGCCAGCCCAGCTTCGGGTCTTGGTCAAAACTGGCATTTCTCCGAGGCCAAAGCTCGACACACACACAGCTCCTGCCGGACACAGTGTCCTCTCCAGGGGTGGGGCTGGGGGAGGGAGGCTGGGGCTTTGCATCATTCCTACAGACTGGGGGACGGGGACAAGGTGTGGGGTGGGGGTCGGGGTTCCGCTTGCAGGACGGAGCTCAGGCACCTGGTGGGGGGCCGCGGGGGCAGCCGGGAAATGGTCAGATCCCCCTCCGCCCCCCCTCCACTCCCCTGGCCTCTGTGGCTCCAGTGTGCCTGTGTGTCTGCTCCGCACGCCTGTGGTGCGTGTGCTCCCAGCACCGCCCGCTTGTCAAACACGGCTGAGCTCGGGCGGGGAGTGGCCGCCGGAATCAGACACCTCCAGGGACATCGCAGGGTGGGGGGCAGCCAGCCCGGCCCTCCAGGGAGCCGGGGGCAAGGAGTCCCCGAGGCGGTTGTCCCGGGGGCCTGGCCTGGGGGTGGGGGGCGGGCACAGGCTCTCCCAGTGGGCGAGGCTGCCCCCGGCCGCGGGGAGGAGCTGTGGGCCTGAGTGGGTCGGGGACGTCCCAGCCTGAGGGGTCCAGGGCGAGTTCCGATTTCAGAGAGCATCTCGCTCGTCCAGGAGATAGTGGAGAACCCAGAGTTCATCCTCGGAGGGGCCACCAGGACGGACATCTGCCAGGGGGAGCTCGGTGAGTGCGAGCGGCGAAAGCAGGGGCGGCCGGAGGGACAGACCCTCCTCCCCTGGGCCGCCCGGCTGCTCCGATGGAGGGACCCCAGGGCTCTGGGTCCCTGGGGTGGACGTGTCTGGGGTTGGGGACCCATGGCTGCAATGGGGGGGGTCTGGAATGACACAGAAAATACTGTCTAGCCCCAGCCGGCGTGGCTCAGTGGATAGAGCCACTGCCTGCGGACTGAAGGGTCCCGGGTTCGATTCCAGCCAAGGGCACATGCCCGGGTTGCAGACTCGATCCATGAATGACTCTCATCACGGATGTTTCTCTCTCTCTCTCCTTCTCCCTGCCACTCTGAAATCAATCCAGAAATATATTGAAAAGAAGAAAAAAGAAAATACTGTCTGATATTTGACTTCGTTTTTGTTTTGTTTTGTTTTTTTAAACATATTTTTATTGATTTCAAAGAAGATGGGAGAGGGAGGGAGAGAGAAACATCCATGTTGAGAGAGAATCATGCATCGGCGGCCCCCTGCACGCCCCCTATTGGGGATGGAGCCCACAACCCGGGCATGTGCCCTGACTGGGAATCGAACAGTGACCTCCTGGTTCACAGGTCGATGCTCAGCCCCTGAGCCACACCAGCCGGGCTGTCCGTTTTCAATGCCGGGAGGCCGTGCCCATGCCCGGAGCGCCCGCCTCTCCCGGCACGGCCTGTCCCCAGCTGCTGTGCACGGGGACGGGAGCCAGCCTCTCCGGCTTCCCCTCTGCAGGCGACTGCTGGCTGCTGGCGGCCATCGCCTCCCTCACGCTCAACGAGAAGGCGCTGGCGAGGGTGGTGCCCCAGGACCAGAGCTTCGGGCCCGGGTACGCCGGGATTTTCCACTTCCAGGTAAGCGGGCACCGTCCTGGTCACCAAAACGTCCCGGGTTCGATGCCCCGTCAGGGCTCCGGCCCAGGTGTCAGGCTCCATCCTTGGTCGGGACACCTCAAGGCGACGGATGGATGTTTCTCTCTCACATCCGCGTGTCCCTCTCTGTCCCTTCCTCTCTCTGACCATGTCCTCGGGAGGATTTAAAGAAAGAAAGAGAAAAAAACTTGCAGTGGTGTTTTGGCAAATCCACAGTAAAGGTCCGTGTTAAGAGCTTTGACTTTTGGAAATTCTTTTTTTTATTATTATTTTATTTATTGTTTTAAAGCATATTTTATTGATTTTTTACAGAGAGGAAGGGAGAGGGAGAGGGAGCTAGAAACATCGATGAGAAATAAACATTGATCAGCTGCCTCCTGCACACCTCCTACTGGGGGGATGTGCCCGCAACCAAGGTCCATGCCCTTAACCGCAATCGAACCCGGGACTTTTCCGTCCGCAGGCCGACGCTCTATCCACTGAGTCAAACCAGTTAGGGCTCTTAAAAAATATATATATATATATTTCAGACAGGAAGGGAGAGGGAGAGAGAGAGAAACATCCATGAGGAGAGAGAATCATGGACCGGCTGCTTCCTGCACACCCCACCCTGGGGATCGAGCCCTCCAATGTCCCTCCATCCATCCGTCCGTCTGTCTGTCCGTCCCCACCGCCCGCAGTTCTGGCAGCACAGCGAGTGGCTGGACGTGGTGGTGGACGACCGGCTGCCCACCTTCCGGGACCGGCTGGTCTTCCTGCACTCGGCCGACCACAACGAGTTCTGGAGCGCCCTGCTGGAGAAGGCCTATGCCAAGTGAGATTCCCCGGGGCCACCCCCTGCCCTTTCCATAAAGCAGCGGGGAGACTCAGCTCGGGTTCCCCACCCTGGGGGACGTGCCCTAGACCGGGAATCGAGCCTGTGACCTCCTGGTCGCTAGATCGACGCTCACCACTGAGCCACACAGGCCGGGCCCCACGCTGCTCTCCCTGCCCTTCCAGGCTGAACGGGAGCTACGAGGCGCTGAAGGGGGGCAGCGCCATCGAGGCCATGGAGGACTTCACGGGGGGCGTGGCGGAGGCCTTCGCCACCAAGGAGGCGCCCGCCAACTTCCACGAGATCCTGGGGAAGGCGCTGCAGAGGGGCTCGCTGGTGGGCTGCTCCATCGACGTGAGTGGCTCCCGTCCCGCCCGGTCCCGCCCCGTCCCGGCCCCGAGGAACAGGGCTTCCAGCCGGGGAGGGGGGAGGCACTCTTTCTAATTAAATGTTCATTTATTTTAATGAAAGCGAAAGCTTTTGTTTAAAGGTTTTTGGGTATTGTTTTTTGTTTGGTTTGTTTGTTTTTTAAAATATATTTTAATGATTTTTTTACAGAGAGGAAGGGAGAGGGATAGAGAGTTAGAAACGTCAATGAGAATCATCAACCAGCTGCCTCCCGCACACCCCCCGCTGGGGATGTGCCCGCAACCAAGGTCCATGCCCTTGATCGGAGTCGAACCTGGGACCCTTCCGTCCGCAGGCTGACGCTCTACCCACCGAACCACAAAGGTTTCAGCTCTCAATGGTTTTTAGAAGGCGTGGAAGAGAGAGGGAGAGAGACAGAGACACATCGATGGGAGAGAGGCACACCGATGGGTTGCCTCCTGCTCGCACCCCAATCCGGGTCGGGGAACCTGTCCCCCGGAGGGGCGGACTCTGTGTCCGGGGCACGTGAAATGGGTGCACAGGACACCCGAGGGCGGCGAGCAGGGACGCTCACCACGTCAGGAGACCCTGCCCGGCTAGGATGCCAGCGGTCAGTTCACTTCCTGCTTCCAAACAGAACAACCTGACCATCCCCATTTCTCCGGGCCGGAGCGGCTGGGCAGGCACGGAGCTGGGCCGGCACAGAGCTGGGCCGGGCACGGAGCTGGGCCGGGCACAGAGCTGGCCCGGGCACAGAGCTGGGCCGGCACGGAGCTGGGTCTGGCCGGGCACGGAGCTGGGCCGGGCACAGAGCTGGGCCGGCACGGAGCTGGGTCTGGCCGGGCACAGAGCTGGGTCTGGCCGGGCAGCCCAGGCTCCACCAGCCTCACCCCGTGGGTCAACGCCACTGCCCTCTCGTGTTTCAGATAAAAAATTCTGCGGAATCAGAAGCCCGGACGCCCTTTGGTCTCATTAAGGGTCATGCCTACACCGTGACGGCAGTCGACCAGGTAGGTGAGGTGAGCCCGTGCAGGCACGGGCCACACCGCTCAGGCGCATGGAGTTCAGACGTGTCATTAGCATGTCGTGGCCCAGAGGCGGAGCTCCCAATGCACCTGTCACTTCCCGTTTCCCTCTCACCGCCTCCCAGGTCCGCTTCCGAGGCCGGGACACCGAGCTCATCCGGGTCCGCAACCCGTGGGGGCAGGTGGAGTGGAACGGCGCCTGGAGCGACAAGTGAGTCCGCCCGTCTCTGTGGCGGGTGCTCCTCCTCTGCGGCCACGGCCACGGCCACGGCCACGGCCACGGCCACGTCACACGGAGGCCAGGCTGGCGGAGGGCAGCGTGCCCGAGGTCCTGAGGGCCTTTCCCTGCCTGCCGGCCCCCGGGCCCTGGCACCTCGCCGGGCCCAGCGAGCTCTCACCTACCGGGACCCAGTCCCCGCGCCGGGCACACACCGCCCCCCAGAGACCGGGTCCTAACGCACACCTGTCCGCTCCCAGCTCCCCCGAGTGGCAGGCCGTGGGCCCCACCGAGCAGCAGCGCCTGAGCCACGCCGCCCTGGACGACGGGGAGTTCTGGTACCGACGGTGCCCCCTCCTTCCTCTCTGCGCCCCCTCCTTCCTCTCTGTGCCCCCTCCTTCCTCTCTGCGCCTCCTCCTTCCTCTCTGAGCCCCCTCCTTCCTCTCTGAGCCTCCTCCTTTCTCTCTGCGCCCCCTCCTTCCTCTCTGAGCCTCCTCCTTCCTCTCTGAGCCCCCTCCTTCCTCTCTGACCCTGAATGAATTAGAAGATGGGGGTGAAGGGCTTGGTACTCACCGGGTCCCCTCCCTCCATGCCCACCCGAGGACAGGGACCCTGAAGGCAGTTACCCTGAGAGCATGTGGAAGCATAGGCCGAGGCAGTATCGCCAGAGGCAGGCACCCTCCTGAGAGGCAGGCAGTAATGAGTGAATGAATGAGTGAATGAATAAAGGAAGGAATGAGCCCTGACCCGTGTGGCTCAGTGGATAGAGCGTCGGCCTGCGGACTGAAGGGTCCCAGGTTTGATTCCGGTCAAGGGCACATCCCCAGTGGGGAGTGTGCAGGAGGCAGCTGATCGATGTTTCTCTTCATCCATGTTTCTAACTCTCTATCCCTCTCCCTTCCTCTCTGTAAAAAAAAAAATCAATAAAATATACATTTTTAAAAAATAAATGAAGGAAGGAAGGAGTGGATGAATGAGTGAATGAATGAGTGGTTGGATACATGAATACATGAGCGAGTGAATAAGTGAATGAGTGAGGGAATGAGAATAAGTGAGTGAATAAATAAAGGAAGGAACCAGTGAATGAATATATGAGTGCATGAAGGAGTGATTGAACACATGAATGCGTGATTGAGTGAATGAATGAATGAATGAGTGGATGAATGAGTGCATGAATACATGAGTGCATGAAGGAGTGACTGAGCACACGAATGCGTGAACGAGCGGACGAGTGGCTGAGTGAACGGGCGACGAGGGGTGATGGCGTGGTCCCTGCCCGCCCACGCCCCGTGTCCCTCCGTGGCAGGATGGCGCTCGGTGACTTCCGGGCCCACTTCGACAAGGTGGAGATCTGCAACCTCACGCCGGACGCCCTGGAGGAGGGCGCGCCGCACAAGTGGGAGGTGACGGTGCACCAGGGCAGCTGGGTGCGGGGCTCCACGGCCGGGGGCTGCCGCAACTTCCTGGGTGCGTATCCGCCCGCCCTCCCCGTCCTCTCCCTCCCCCCCCTCCTCCTCCCCGTGTGTCCGGCCCACCTCCAGGTCTCAGGGGTCCGGGCCAGGACCTAAGGGGAAGCCTGAGCCATGGGGTCAGGCCGGAGGGTTTCAGGGATGGGTGGGGAAGGAGGGCGAGGGGCCACCTGGCAGGGTGCTGGCCAAGAACCGCACGGTGTGGCTCAGTGGATAGAGCGTCGGCCTGCGGACTGAAGGGTCCCAGGCTCGATTCCGGTCAGGGGCATGTACCTTGGTTGCGGGCACATCCCCAGTGGGGAGTGAGCAGGGGGCAGCTGATGGATGTATCTCTCTCATCGGTGTTTCTAGTTCTCTCTCCCTCTCCCTTCCTCTCTGTAAAAAAATCAGTAAAATATATTTAATACCTACATAAAATAAAACATATATATCTATATTTTTTAAAAAGAATTGCTCTGAGAAGGGCCCTGGTTTCGCCACTGGGTTAGTTTCCAATCCAAGGGACAGAAAACACAACACACGCAGTCCTGCGTGCTTGTGTGTGTGTGCACGTGTGCGTGTCCCTCATGCTTTTTAAAAGGAGGAAAAACAGCCAAGACCGGTGTGGCTCAGTGGATAGAGCGTCGGCCTGAGGACTGAAAGGTCCCAGGTTCGATTCCGGTCAAGGGCATGCACCTTGGTTGCGGGCACATCCCCAGTGAGGGGTGTGCAGGAGGCAGCTAATGGATGTTTCTCTCCCATGGATGTTTCTAGCTCTCTATCCCTCTCCCTTCCTCTCTGTAAAAAAATCAGTAAAATATATATTTTTTTAAAAAATAAAAAAGGAGGCAAAGCAGTGTGCCTCTGTCCCTTGCAGACACCTTCTGGACCAACCCGCAGATCAGGCTGTCCCTGGCGGAGCGGGACGAGGGGCAGGAGGCGTGCACGCTGCTCGTGGCGCTGATGCAGAAGGACCGCCGGAGGCTCAGGCGCGTCGGCGCCGACATGCTGACCATCGGCTACGCCATCTACCGGGTGGGGGGCCGCACGGGGGGCAGCCCATCGCCGTGTCTCCCTCACATCCATGCTCTCTCTCTCTCTCCATCTTTCCCTCTCCCTGCCACTCTCTCTAAGAAACCCACGGGAAAATATCCCCGGGTGAGGATTAGAACATAATGATAACAAATAGTGGAGGCCTCAGCCGGTTTGGCTCAGTGGGTAGAGCGTCGGCCTGCGGATGGAAAGGTCCCAGGTTCCATTCCGGCCAAGGGCACAGGCCCGGGGTTGCAGGCTCCATCCCCAGTAGGGGGACTTGCAGGAGGCAGCCGATCCATGATTCTCTCTCCTCGTGGATGTCTCTCTCTCTCTCTCCCTCTCCCTTCCTCTCTGACATCAATAAAAATATATATATTTAAAAAGTAACCGGCAGCCTCGCCCCTCCCCTCCCCCAGTGCCCCGGGAAGGAGGGCCACCTGGACAAGGACTTCTTCCGGTTCCACGCCTCCCAGGCCCGCAGCAAGTCCTTCATCAACCTGAGGGAGGTCTCCGACCGGTTCCGGCTGCCCCCCGGGGACTACATCCTCGTCCCCAGCACCTTTGAGCCCCACCAGGAGGCCGACTTCTGCCTGAGGATCTTCTCAGACAAGAAAACCACCAGCCGGTGAGTCCCAGGCCCGAGGCCCGTGGGACCGAGGGACCACGACCCCCTTCTCCCCTTTCCCATGATGCACCTGTGAAATGGGCACAGGATATTCTCTTTTTATTGCAGAGAGGAAGGGAGACGGGGAGAGAGAGAGAGAGAGAGAGAGAGAGAGAGAGAGAGAGAGAGAGAGAGAGAGAGAGAGAGAGAGAGAGAGAGAGAGAGAGAGAGAGAGAGAGAGAGAGAGAGAGAGAGAGAGAGAGAGAGAGAGAGAGAGGAACATTAATGATGAGAGAGAATCATGGATCCGCTGCCTCCTGGTTCCTAGGTCGATGCTAAACCCCTGAGCCCTGCCAGCCGGGCCAGGGGGCAGTGCTTAGCCCATCCCACACAGCAGCTCTGCCCCTACCCCCACCCCACCCCCATCCCCGCTCCAGACAAGCCGTTAAGACGTGTTTCCCGCCCCCGCAGGGACCTGGACGGACACGTGGCCATTGACCTACCCGAGGTGAGCCAGGCCCGCGCGGGGCTTGTCCCCAACATGTCACATAAAACGCGGGAGTTCAGGGAAGGGTTACCTGTGGTCAGGGGTTCAGCGTCCACCTAGGAACCAGGAGGTTAGGGTTCGATTCCCCGTCAGGGCACAGGCCCGGGTGGCGGGCTCCATCCCCAGTGTGGGGCGTGCAGGAGGCAGCCGGTCCATGACTCTCTCTCATCACGGATGTTTCTCTCTCTCTCTCTCTCTCTCTCTCTCTCTCTCTCTCTCTCTCTTTCTCTCTCTCTCTTCTACTCTGAAATCAATAAAAATATATATTAAAAATACAATAGATTATGGCGATGGTTGCCCGCCTCTATGAACATATCAGAAACCACTGAATTGCATTGACTATTGATCCTAAGCTCCTGGAGAATAGGGCTCTGCCTTAAAAAAAAATACATATATATATATATATATATATATATATATATATATATATATATATATATTTCAGAGAGGAAGGGAGAGGGAGAGAGAAGCATCAATGATGAGAGAGAACCATGGACCGGCTGCCTCCTGCACGCCCCACACTGGGGATGGAGCCCGAAACCCGGGCCTGTGCCCTGACCGGGAATCGAACCGTGACCTCCTGGTTCCTAGGTGGAGGCTCACCCTGGGCCCCGCAGCCGGCCCCGGCTGTGTCTGTGGGGCAGCAGATGCCAGTGGCCTTTGTATGGCCCAATGCAGCTCCTGTGGTCCGTTTGCAGCCCCCGAAGCCGACACCGCGGGACCAGGAGACGGAGGAGCAGCAGCAGTTCAGGGCCCTGTTTGCACGCGTGGCCGGGGAGGTGAGCGTGGCTGCGGCTGCCCAGGCGCGGTGCCCGGCGTGGTGCCCGGCCTAGCGGGGCTAGATGGCCAGGGAGACCAGCCCTGGTCGCCGAGAGCCCCCCGGACGGCCTCCAGAAACCAGAGGAGGCGCGGAGGGGTGTCCAGCCACGTCTCCGCTCTCGCAGGACATGGAGGTGACCCCAGAGGAGCTGCAGCATGTCTTAAACGCCGTGCTGAGCAAGAGTGAGTGCCCCACCCCCCGCCGGGGGCCGGCTCCCGGGAGGGGCCTGGCACGGCTCCCCGGCCCTGCTGCTCAGAGCCACAGGCCTGCTGCCCTGCAATAATCTAACGCGGGCATCACTTACTGCCTCGTTCCTATATAGATGTTTTCCACCATAAAGAATCTGATGGGGAAAAAATACACACACACACACACACACACACACACACATACTGATTTCAGAGAGGGAGAAGGAGCTAGAAACATCAAGGATGAGAGAGAGAGCATCATGGATCAGCTGCCTCCTGCACGCCCCCTACTGGGGATCGGGCCCACAACCCCGGGGCGTGTGCCCCGGGACCCTTCAGTCTGCAGGCCGACGCTCTATCCACTGAGCCACACCAGCCAGGGAGATGAGAAAAGTCTCACTTGGGAATACTTTCCTTGGCCTTCTTTTATATATATATATATATATATATATATATATATATATATATATATATATATATGAGAGAGGGATAGAGAGCTAGAAACGTCGATGAGAGAGAAACATCGATCAGCTGCCTCTTGCGCATCCCCTACTGGGGATGTGCCCACAACCAAGGTCCATGCCCTTGACCGGAATCAAACCTGGGACCTTTCAGTCCGCAGGCCGACGCTCTATCTACTGAGCCACACCGGTTTCGGCTCCTTGGCCTTCTTAAACCTAGAATCCATGGGAGGAAAGGATAGCCCCATTTTTAAGGTTCTCCCCCACTTTTGTGAGTTTCCCTCCCGAAAGGCCGTGCCAGCTTCTCCCGGCACCACCCTCGGAGAGGGACACGCCACTCTGGGCCCCGCCCCAGAGCTGACCCCACGGCGGGCTCCGGCAGATGGCAGCGGGCGTGCCGGCCGGGGGTGACCTGAATCCTGCCGTCTGTGTGATTTCAGAAAAGGGCATCCGATTCGAGAGGCTGAGCCTGATCTGCTGTAAGAACATCGTTTCTCTGATGGACGTATCCTCCCCAGTGGATAATATTGTATTGATTTTTTTATAAAGAGGAAGGGAGAGGGACAGAGAGCCAGACACATCGATGAGAGAGAACCACCAATCAGCTGCCTCCTGCACACCCGCTACTGGGGATGTGCCTGCCACCAAGGTCCATGCCTTTGACTGAAATCGAACCCGGGACCCTTCAGTCTGCAGGCCGACGCTCTATCCACTGAGCTAAACTGGCTAGGGCTAAAAACATATATATATATATATTATTTTAGAGAGGAAGGGAGCAGGAGAGAGAGAAACCACCTCTCTCCAAGCTGAGACTGTGTCCCCCAGGCCAGGCAGGCCAGCCCCTGCCCTTCTCCCTGTAGCCCCAGGCGGGAGGTCCCCCAGGAGCCTCCGTGGGAACATGCGTGTCTTCCTTCATGCACTCGGCACAGACCAGTGGCAACGGGAAACTGGAGTTCGATGAATTCAAGGTGTTCTGGGAAAAGCTGAAGGCCTGGACGGTATGTGCCCTGGGGTACGTGTGGCCTCCAGCACCCCCCCCCCCGAAAAGCGAGAGGAGAGAGGGCTCTAGATTTTATATATATATACACACATACACACACATATGTGTGTGTGTGTGTGTGTGTGTGTGTGTGTGTGTATAGTGTGTGTGTGTGTGTGTGTGTGAGTTTATTTGAGCCTTACTGTCGACATATGCCGGGAAGCAGAACCTCAACAGATTGAGATAATGCTCCAGAGAATGGCGGATTTCATTTATTTATACATTGCCATCAAAGGAGGGACACAGGTGGGTTCCCTGAAATCCATTGGTGATGGAGTAAGGAGGCGGGAGAAAGCAAAGCGGTGGGAAACCCCTGGGGTTGGATAAAAAAATAAAATGACGGCCGGGACCGGTTTGGCTCAATGGATAGAGCGTCGGCTTGGGGACTGAAGGGCCCCGGGTTCGATTCCAGTCAAGGGCATGTACCTTGGTTGCGGGCATATCCCCAGTAGGGGGTGTGCAAGAGGCAACTGATCAATGACTCTCTCTCATTGATGTTTCGAACTCTCTATCTCTCTCCCTTCCACTCTGTACAAAAATCAATAAAAATATATTTAAAAATAAATAAATAAATAAATAAAAAAAAAATAAAATAAAAAAAAATAAAAATAAAATGACGGACGTGTACTCAGGTGCGAGCAGGAACCATGAACATGGTAACGAAGGAACCTGAGGCATCTGTCCTGGCGCCCACCACATCTGGTTGTGCCCCGGAGGCTAATGTATTTTTATTGCTTCCAGAGAGGATGGGAGAGGGAGAGAGAGAGAGAGAGAGAGAGAGAGAGAGAGATCCATGGTGAGAGAGAATCATGGATCCGCTGCCTCCTGTATGCCCCCCACCGGGCATGTGCCCTGACTGGGAATGGACCGTGATTTTCCTGGTTCATAGGTCGATGCTCAACCCCTGAGCCACGCTGGGCCAGGCCAGAGGGGGTTTTACTTTTTTATTCTTATTTACTTATTTTTATTTTTAAAAATATATTTTATTGATTTTTTACAGAGAGGAAGGGAGAGGGAGAGAGAGTTAGAAACATCGATGAGAGAGAATCATAGATCAGCTGCCTCCTACACACCCTCTCCTGGGGATGTGCCCGCAACCAAGGTCCATGCCCTTGACCAGTATCGAACCTGGGACCCTTCAGTCCGCAGGCCGACGCTCTATCCACGGAGCCACAGCGGTTTTGGCCAGAGGGGGTTTTAAAAGGCCAAAATGCAGCTGGCCCAGGGTTTGTGCACAGAGGGTGCAGCCAGCCGGGGGTCTGTGGTCCTCACGGCCTCCGTGCCCCCCAGAACCTTTTCCTTCAGTTCGATGCTGACAAGTCCGGCACCATGTCCTCCTATGAGCTGCGGACCGCGCTGAGAGCCGCAGGTGAGAGAGCCTGGTGCGGGGACACAGCCGATGGGGGGAATGGGGGGTGATGGGGGGAGCTCTAGGGAGGGCCAGCCAGGGGCCGGCAGGGTGGTCAGGCGTCTCACGCCCTAGGAGGGGCTGGTCTCTGACCTCCCGGGCTGGTGCTCCCTCAGGGCACAGAGCCCGGCTGGTGTGGCTCAGGGGTGGAGCATCGGCCCGTGAACCAGGAGGCCCCGGTTCGATTCCCGGTCAGGGCACAGGCCGGGGTTGCGGGCCCGATCCCCAGTGGGGGGCGCGCAGGAGGCAGCCGATCCGTGATTCTCTCTCTCATGGATGTTCCTATCTCTCTCCCCCTCTCCCTTCCTCTCTCTAAAATCGGTAAAAATACATCTTTAAAAACTAAAACAAAAAATAGCTAAGACCATGAGCTCAATGAACTCTGAAGGGACAGCTGTGACTTCCCCTCCCCCGGCCCCCAGCACACACGGAGGTGTCCTCACCGGGAATGGAATGGAACCATGACCACTGAGCAATGCCAGGCGCACACACACACACACACACACACACACACACGTACACACACACAGAGACACACACAGACACATACACACACGTACAGAAACAGAGACACAGAGACACATGCACACACACGTACAGAAACACACAGACACACACAGACACACACAGACACACGCACACACACGCACACACACGTACAGAAACACACACAGAGACACACACAGAAACATGCACACATGTACAGAAACACACAGAAAAACACAGACACATGCATACACACGTACAGAGACACAGGGACACATGCACACACATACACACACACACAGAGACACAAGCACACACACGTACAGAAACAGACACCCACAGAGAGAATCACACACACACAGGCATAGACACACACACACCCACATACAGAGAGACACAGATACACACACAAACACACACAGACATAGACACGCGCGCACACAGACACAGAGACACACATACAGACACACAGGGACACTACACACAGACACATACAGAGACAGAGACACACACAGACACGTGCATACACACAGACCTACACACACAAACACACATAGACACAGACACAGACAGATGTGCGCGCACACACACACACACACACACACACACACTGCCAACTGCATTCAGAATTCAGACCGGGTCGGGGAGCCCCGTCGGCAGCTCCCCGCTGCCCGCCCGGGGGCTCAGCCGTCCTGCCCGCCCGGGGGCTCAGCCGCCCTGCCCACCCGCAGGCTTCCAGCTGAGCGGCCGCCTCCTGCAGCTGGTGGTGCTGCGGTACTCGGACCCGGACCTGCAGCTCGGCTTCGACGACTTCCTCACCTGCCTGGTGCGTCTGGAGAACGCCAGCCGTGAGTGTCCCGCCGGCCGCGCCCCCTCCGCCCCTCGGCCACCCGGGGCCAGGGACAGACAGACCTGCCCAAAAGCGGGGCCAAGGCCGACCGCCCGGCCCCCAGGCCGACGCTCAGCCACGGAGCCCTCAGGCCCCGCTGACCGTCAGGGGCAGCCGGGGGGCGGGGAGGAGGCGGACACGGGCTGGACCACCCGGACTGAGAGGGAAACCGAGGCTGAGGAGCACAGCCGCTCGGGTGATCGGGAGACGCAGCTCCCGGCTCCTCCCCCGCGTGGGAGCACCCGCAGGCTCCCCTCTCCTAAGGGACCCCCAGGCCTGCAAACCTCCACCTGCTGCCCGTTCGCCCTGCGGGGAGGGGCGTGGGCTGCAAGGGGTCTGAGCACCCCAACAGCTCGGATCAGGGGATGTTTGGGACCCAGGGGCCGGCTGGATATTGTGGGGTGACAACACGTACACACACACACACTCCTGCCCTCCGGGGCTAAGGCCAAACCCTCTGAGTAAAATCCCATCAGCTGGCATAGTCAGGCAATACCCGCGCCCACCACCAGGGGGGAGCAGCTCCTCTGCAGCCTTGGGGTGGGGGTGAAGGTGGGGGTGGGGGTGGGCGCAGTGCCCTGAGCCTGTGGAAGGACCCATCCCCACATGGATGCCTCTCTCCGTCTCCCCATCAGGTGTGTTCCAGGCTCTCAGCACCGAGAACAAGGAGTTCCTTCATCTCAACATCAACGAGGTAGGGCCCAGCCAGGCCTCGGGCTCAGGGACCCAGAATGCAGGAGGGCCTGCGAGGGCTGACGTTTAGCTTTTGGGGCAAAAATAGCAACACACACACGGCTGCTATGTTCGTGTCCCGGGCCCTTAGCCGTCCACGGAATGGTCACCGGAGCCCCTCCGAGCGCGGGGCGAAGAGTCTCCCCATTTTGCAGAAGTGGAAACTGAGGCATAGAGAGATTTGGGTCCCTGGGGAGCGGGGAGCAGGGAGCTAGCAAGCCCCGCCTTCTCCTCCTCCTCTTCCTGCGACCACAGGGCTCCTCAGCCTGCCTTCCAGGCCCCGCCTGGCTCCTGTCATCCTGTCTCGTGGTTCCTGGCGTGTGTGTGTGTGTGTGTGTGTGTGTGTGTGTGTGTGTGTGTGAGAGAGAGAGAGAGAGAGAGAGAGCGCATGTAGGAAGTATGCACACGTGCAAACTCCTCAAAATACCCAGGTGCATGGGCTGATGACAGCAAACATGATGGAGGGAAGGGCAGGAAGGGGGTTCCGGGGCTGGGAAGAGGCCTGGAGGTGTGCATTGTCCCCTCCCAGCTGCCCCGTGGGTCCCACAGCCAGCAGCGTGGGGGCCACCTAGGGGAGGCGGTTAGAAATGCAGCGACTAGAGGCAGCCATGGGGCCATAGCCCTCAAAGCTGCTGAGCGCCTGGACCTTGTATGTTGCATGCCTGGACCTTGCATGTTCCACGTCTGGAGTTTGCATGTTGCACCTGGAGGGTAACCAGAGGGCGGAGCTCCAGGGCCTGAGCCCACAGGGCCGCTCCTGAGGCGGGTGGGGAGGTGGAGAACTCACCGGTTCCTCTCTCTCTCTCTCTCTCTCTTCCCAGTTCCTCTACCTGACAATGAACATCTGAGGCTTCGCCGAGGTGACCCAGCCGGCCCATTTGGGACCGGACACTCTCTCCCTGCCCGCTGTCGAACCCTGTCCGCCCCCACAGCCCCCACACCACCTGATCTGGGGAGACTGACAACTGAGGTGGCCTCACTCCGCTGCCCAAGTTCATGCTTCTTCTGTGTGACACCGCTGCCCGGGGATGGCACCCCAGGTCCAGGCCCCAGCCCATTCCTCCCTCTCCTCCCCCCACCTCCCTCCGTTACTGATCTCCCGGCCATCCGTTCAACAAAACGCAATCTGAGCTGAGCTTCAGCCCGTCTAAGTCTGTCTATTAATTTTCCATTGTTTAGTAATAGAGACATCGGCTGGGTTGGGGGGAAATATGTCTGTACTGAGACAGCTTATGCTCCCTTCCCCAACGGCAGGGTGATAGTCAAATATTAAACAACCACGTGGACTTTAAAATATATTTATAGCCAAAACCGGTGTGGCTCAGTGGATAGAGTGTGGACCTGAGGACGGAAGGGTCCCAGGTTCGATTCCGTTCAAGGGCATGTACCTTGGTTGCGGGCACATCCCCGGTAAGGGTTGTGTAAGAGGCAGCTGATGGATGTTTTTCTCTCATTGTATGTTTCTAACTCTCTATCCCTCTTCCTTCCTCTCTGTAAAAAAAAGCCAATAAAATCTACTTAAATATATATATATATATATATATATATATATATATATATATATATATATATATTTGATTTCTGAGAAGAAGGGAGAGGGAGAGAGGGAGAGAAACATCCATGATGAGAGAGAATCCTGGATTGGCTGCCTCCCCCACCCCCCACCCTGGGGATGGAGCCTGCAATCCGGGCCTGTGCCCTGACCGGGAATCCAACCGTGACCTCCTGGTTCCTAGGTCAACACTCAGCCACCGAGCCACACTGGCCAGACGATGGGGACAGTTAGGGGGGAACCACTGTGTTCGGTTGATTTACCTCCGATTGCCCACCTGGACCTGGGACTGGACAGGTGCCCGTGGGCCCGTGGGCCCTCCTGGGACAGTGCCGGGGGTTTGGACCTCGGACCTCGGTTTGGTGCCGAGCTCCGAGGCACCAACCACCAGAGCACATGGCCCGGCTGGCAGGGCTGGCAGGGTGGCAGGGCGGCCGGGGTCACCGTGCCAGCTCGGTTCACACGCCGGCTCGTCTGCGGTAACAAAGCACCATTATCCCGGGAGCCAGGGCCACCTGCCAAGCGCCGGGGTGAAGGCCTCGTGGGCTCTGCAGCTGTGAGCTGGCAGCAGGCGGTGCTTGCTACTGATGCCCGCCCGCCCGGGGCACTTTCCCAGGGCCAGGTGCCCTCCTGGAAGGGGCCGGGGCTGGGGGACAGAAGAGGGGGGAGGGAGGGAGGAAGAGAGGGCGGGGAGGATGGAGAAAGGGGGAGAGAGACTCCCCTTGGACCTGCATGGCCTTCTCCCCATCAGGGGCGGAAGGCTGCCCATCAGGGATGCTCTCTCATCATCACAGTTGGTCCGCTCACCATCTGCAGAGCCCGCCAGGAGGAAAAATCCCTCTTCCTTTAGGCCAGGGCTCGGCAAACGCATCCGTCCACGGAGCCCACGATCCATGGCGCCGACGGACATGTCTCTGGAGAGCCACGTTTTCTACACGTAAACTCCCTCTCACGCCACGTCTTCCACACAGACCCGCCCAGGCCGTGGTGTTTTTTGTGGAAGAGCCACCCTCCGGGGGCCCAGGAGCCGCCTGTGGCTCGAGGGCCACGGTCTGCCGGCCACGGCTTTGGCCGACGGAATCCCAAGGAGCCAGTGCGTGACCGCTGGGCGGACGTGGCCTTGGACTTGCGTCTGGAGCCTTGTGGGACCTCCTCCCTCGTAGCCCTGGCCCTGACGGGGCTGCCTTGCTCCGTGCTCGTAGGGTTCCTGCTCTGATGTCCCGTGCGGCTGCGTCCTGTCTGGCTGGGCGGAGGGAGAGGCCGTGGGGGGCGGGGGTAGCCGGCCATGGCTCAGGTCCCCGGACGGCTCCAGGCTCCAGGCCTGGAGGGGAGGGGACCGTCCTCAGGGGTCCCGTGTGGGTGGCAGCAGGACCCAGCCTCTCCTTCCTTCCTCTCAGCATCTCCACCTGCTCGGAGCCTTCCTTGTCTACGCTCGGCCGAGCTGGGCTTCTGCACGTGAGCTTGCCTTGCCTCTCTCTCTCCCTCCCAGGGGACCGTTAGGGGGTGGTCCCCACCCGGGCCGGTCCCTATAAACAAGGAGGCCACGGTTCGATTCCCGGTCAGGGCACACGCCCGGGTTGTGGGCTCCATGCCCAGTGTGGGGCGTGCAGGGGGCAGCAGGTCGATGGGTTTCTCTCACATCGGTATTTCCGTCTCTCCCTCTCTCTACAAATCAATGGGGAAAACATCCTCGGGCGAGGATGAAGAAATAATAAATAAAATAAAAGCTAGAGGGACTTAGGAGGCTGGGGTGCCCCCCCCCCCAACGTGGGGTGCACACAGACCCAGAACCAGCTCAGATCCAGAACCCAGGAGGGTGGAGGGGGCGGGGGAGGCGGCCGTCTGCCCGGAGCCTGCAGACGAGACACATGTGTGTCCAATTACGGGGAGACCAGGGCACGTGGCGTAGTGTGCTTGCTACCACGTGCCAAGAACTACAAGTCCGACTCAGGAGTCCCCCCCGCCCGAATCCCAGCTCCCTCAGAGCCACAGCCCCTCTATACCTGGTCAACCCCCCCAAAGGAACAACCCCCACATGCCCTCAGAGTCACATTGCTCGGGCTGCATTTGGACAAGCCCTCCATCTGCGTGAGAACCTGCCGCCAGGCCTGGCCGGCGTGGCTCAGTGGTTTGCGCGCCCTCCCGCACCTTCATCTGGATACACAGACCCACGGACGGGTGGGCCTCTGGCCGGGGGCTTCGGGGAACCAGATGCGTCCTCACAGGCCCCCACTCCCCCCGCCCCCCCCTCAGGGGCCCCCACAGACAGCTCGGGACTCTCTGAAATGGATTTATTAAAGGCTATTCGTAGAAAAGACCGCCGCTTACAGGGAGTCGGTAAGAACGTTCATCTTGGAAAACTTGTGTATCAAAGGAGGAGAGGATCTAAGAAAAGGAGGCGCCACCCCGAGACACCCCCCCCTCCACGTGGGGCGGCACGCCCGGATCCAGAGTTTGGGGGGGCAGACCAGGAGGGCAGAGGTCATGGGGGCGGGGGGAGGACTCGGGGCTGAGGCTGGCTTCTGGGGAGCGTCTGCCAGACAGTCACCCGGAGAAAGACGCTGGATCCTTAAGCTGAATCCGGGGCTTAGAGGGCCGTAGGGGGGGGGGGGGGGGCGGGGTGTGAACCTCAACACATACAGGCTTCTGCCGAAAAGGGTGTATATCTAAAAAATAATAATAATAAACAGAAACTCCTGGTTTTATAATAAGGTGGCCAGACGTCCCGATTGTTAACCATGTGTCCCGCGTCCCTTTTAAAAAGTCCCGATTTTTTTTTCGAAAAAAATCAGGACTTTTCAAAAAAGGGACGCGGGACAAATGGTTAAAATTCGGGGCTGCCCCGCCAAAAGCGGGACGTCTGGCCACCTTATTTTAAAAGCTCCGTCCCGATAGCCAGTGGGGGGAGAAAAGGTGGCCAGCACAAGAGCTTAATCTCCCCCAGTTTGGGTTCCCGGGGGGGCGGGGGGGGGGCCCTGGCTGCTGCGGGTCCGAGGAACCCCCAGGCCGGGCGGGGTGCAGGCCTTGGGCCTCGGCTCCTCCCTCTCGGGTTCCCTTCCAAGTGGAGCAAAGCAACGGGGGGTGGGGGTGGGGGACTCGGGGACCCCTCTGGGGTTTCCCAGGAGGTCACGAAGGGGCTCCGTGAGAAAGGGGGAGAGAGATTCTCATCGTCTCCCGGGACAGACAGACAGACACAGACATCACCTCGCAGGGATGGTCCCAGGACACGGATCTTTCTATCCTGCTACCCACATGGGGGGGCGCAAACGCACGCCTGCACGTCTCGGGGTTCTTAAGGGTCCCCGCTTCCCGGGCTGGGGCCTGAGTGCCGGGTGCCCCCGTCGGGGCCGGAGGGAAGCCGGGGTCTGGACCCTCCTCCCCGCACTGCTCCCGGGGGGGACCTCAGGCTCACAGCTCGCTGGAAAGACTCTGCTTTTGTTTGGTTAAATTACATCTACACGGCACAGGAAGAACCTGCGTTTGCCGCAATAAAGACAGTCAGCAGCCCGGCCGGCCGGCCCGTGTGGCTCAGGGATTGAGCGTCGACCCGTGAACCAGGAGGTCAGGGTCCGACTCCCGGGCTGTGGGCTCCATCCCCAGCGTGGGGCGTGCAGGAGGCAGCTGGTCCATGGTTCTCTCTCATCGCTGGTGTTTCTATCCCTCTCTCCCTCTCCCTTCCTCTCTCTGAAATCAATGCAAACATATTCTTTTTAAAAACGACAGAGTCCGGAGAAGGAGGAGGGTCGCACCCGGGACCGAGGGGGCCGGGGAGGTTCGGGGACGCGCGGGGGCCGGGCTGCGGCTTTGGCAGGGCCGCTCCTGGGGAGAACGACGGCCGAGCGTGGCCCGGGGCTCCCCTCGGAGCCAGAGAAAATATTCGGGGAGTCGGCTCCGATCTGTTCCCGGGGAACAAAGAGGCGAGTTTCTTAAAATAACAAAAATAAAAAACCCACACACGCACACAAAAAAAACAAACACCCCAAAAACACAGGCTTGGACGCTGGGCCCAGGTGCCGGCTGGCAGGACGGGCGGGAGTTAAGGCGTCGGTGAGCAGGGCACAGTGAGAGGTGCGTGTCCATCACGCCGGGGTGAATCCTGGGGTGCAGGTTCCCGGGGTTCACCCAGCTCTGGGCTGGGGGTGGGCCCACTCCTCCCTCCCCGGGCAGAGGCAGGTGCGGGGGCCGCCCCCTCTGGAGCATCAGGGGGGCCGAGAGGTCCTTCTCCAGGAGATGCTGTTGCTATGACGACAGAGGTCTCCGGGTCCCCGCAGACTCTGGGCTCGTGAGGATCTATGATGCCCGGCGGCACCTGCCCGGGGGGCGGGGGGGGGGGGGGGAGCCCCAGCCTGGGTCAGGCCGGAAGGTCTCACAACCAATCAGAAGGGCCTCGTCCTCGGGTGACCCTGCCCGCCGCCTCCAGTGGGGGGGGGGGGGACGTGGACGTGGACACCCACAGGCCACAGAAGCAGAGAAGAACCACGTCCAGGAGAAAAACGGTGCAAACGCCAAGCAGAAGGACAGCCCTACTGCCGCTGGGTCCGGACAGGCCACCGGGGGACGTGAGCACAACGCACTGGGGGTCCCGAAGGGTGGGGTCAGCGAGGGGAGCCCTGGGCGGCCGGGAGCCGGGGTGGGGGGCGCAGGGGGGTGGGTACGTGGGGGACAGATCTGCCCACCATCACAGCCGGCGTGCCGAGGCCGCCGCCAACAGCCACCCCCCCCACAAGGTCACCCGAGGTCACCCACCCACGGAAACCGCCAGGAGGAAAAGGGGGAGGGGGTGGGGGGATGAAGGACACGGGGACGGAGGGAGCCGATTTGTCACTTCTGTGCCTGGTGGACAGAGAGCCCTTCCTCGGAGGAGGGGAAGCCCTGTGGCGGGGACAGACAGACGCTGGAGTCACAGGACGCCCAACGGGAATGCCCAGCCGTCTCTGAACAGTCCAAACGCGAAACCTGGGTTGTCCAGTCGTGGAAAACAGCAGAGGCGCCGGGTCTTAGCAAAAAAGGGGGTGGGTGGGGGGAGCTGGAAATCTGGACTCGGCGATTCTTGACTAGTTTCCAAAAGATTTAAAAAAAACAAAACAAAAAAACAAAAAAAAAACTGGGTCCAGAGCCGGGAAGTGGCCCCACCACCGCCGCCGCTGGCCGCCCCACGGTGGCGGGGGCGTCGGGGTCCTCGGCTCTCCGCGGGCGCGTGTGCCTGTGTCTGCCTCGGTTTACCAGTTGTCCAGGAAGTCGAACCCGGTCTTCAGGATGACATTGCTGCCGCTGACCTGCGGGGAGAGGGACGGGAGGCCATTTTTTTAGCGCCGCGTTAACCCAAAAACAGCGGCTCGTTTAAAAGGACCCAAATGAGGGAGCCGCCCCGCGGGCCAGGCCCCCCGGCCGCCACGGGCCTCGGTGCCGGGAACCGGGACGTTCTGTCAGGCGCAAGGCAACCGACCTGCCTCGAGGTGGGGTTGGGGGGACGCGTGTACCTACAGGCACAGCCCGTGGACATGGGCGATGGGGTGGTGAGGACGGGGGGGAGGGGCTAGGAGAGGGGGAACGGGGGGAAGGCGAGATATCTGTACGCGATCAACAATAAAAATTTAAAAAAAAATCAAATTCAATGCTAGCTACACTCGCCCGAATCCACACTCTCCTCTCTGTCCCCAGACATGCCTGTGAGCAGCTGCTAGACCAACCGGCACAGCAAAGACAGGCATGTGCACACGTCGTCACCACGGAATAAGAGAACACGTGACAAAGTCTTTCTGATGTAACATACGCACACCACACGCGCACACACACCCACACTGCACATACCACACACACGCACACACACATACACCACACACACCACACCACACACACACACACACACACACACGCACAGGCACATACACCACACACACCACACACCCACACACACCACACACCCCCATACACCACCCCCCCACACACATGCACATGAACACACACACGCACACACGAACACATACACCATACACGCACACACCCACACACATACCCACACACACACGCACATACACCAAACACACCACACACACACACACACATGCAGATGAACACACACATACACCATACACACACACACACACACACACACACACGAACACACACACACACGCACACCTTGCAAAGCGGAAAGAATAAAAAGTACTGGGAGGCCAGCCAGCATGGCTCCGTGGTTGAGCATCGACCTAGGAACCAGGAGGTCACGGTTCGATTCCCGGTCAGGGCACAGGCCCGGGGTGTGGGTTTGATCCCCTGTGGGGGGGAGGGGGTGTGCAGGAGGCAGCTGATCGATGTTTCTCTCTCATCGATGTTTCTCGCTCTCTGTCTCTCTCCCTTCCTCTCTGTAAAAAAATCAATAAAATATATTTTTTAAAAAACAAAACAAAAAACAAATGAAAGCAGGACCTCCAACAGGTATGTGCTCAGCATTCACAGCATCCCCGAGGGGGGAATCTCCCACGTCCCCCTCGGAGGAGGGACCCCCCGCCACCCCCCACCAGCAGCGAGACCACCACCCACCTGGGCAGCGCCGGGTTCGGGGAACAGCTCCTCGGTCGCCGTCTCCCCGTCCATCGGGCCGGCCTCGGGGGCCAGCGGCTTGGCCACGGGCTCCGAGGGGGCGCCCTCCCCGGACGCCCCGGTGCAGCCGGCCTGGACGGGCCCCGGGGGCTGGAGGCCGGGCCGCGCGGCCGGGGCCTCCCGGTCCCTCGGGGCGGACTCCGGCCTGCAGCCGGCGGGCAGCACCTTCTCGCCCTTCTCCATGGACTTGATCTGGCTCGGGGTGAGCGAGGGGAACTCGGCCTCGGGGCCCTCTCCGCGGGCCCGCTCGGCGTTGATCTTCCAGAAGGCGGCCCCCTCGTCCGGGCCGCAGGACTTGCCCCCCGGGGCCGGCCGGGGGGCCTGCAGGCGGGGCTCCCCCCCGGGCTCCTGGATGGACAAGGAGGAGATGCTGAACTCCATCTGGCTCTGCCGGGGAGGCGGGGAGGAGGGAGAGAACAGAGAGGACCCTTAGAACCCGCGGACCACACAGCCCCAGCCCCAGCGAGAACCAAGCTCTGCTGTCCATTTTCTAGAACTCTCTCTCTCTCTTTAAAAAAAATATATTTTATTGATTTTTTTACAGAGAAGAAGGGAGAGGATTGAGAGCTAGAAACATCAATGAGAGAGAAACATCGACCAGCTGCCTCCTGCACACCCTCTCCTGGGGATGTGCCTGCAACCAAGGTCCATGCCCTTGACCGGAATCGAACCCGGGACCTTTCAGTCTGCAGGCTGACGCTCTATCCACTGAGCCACACCGGTTTCAGCTCTCTCTCTCTCTCTTTAAAATATATCAGAGAGGAAGGGAGAAGGAGAGAGAGAGTGATAGAAACATCCATGCTGAGAGAGAGTCGTGGACTGGCTGCCTCCTGCACGCCCCATCCTGGGGATGGAGCCCGCAACCCGGGCCTATGCCCCGACCTCGGATTGAACCCTGACCTCCTGGTTCCTAGATCAGCGCTCAACCCCGGAGCCACGCTGGCCGGGGCTAAAAGCCTGTTTCTGAGTCAGCCATCTGCACCCGGCGCCTTTCCAAGCTCCAGGACAGAAGAGACACAGAGAGGATGGTTTCTTTAAATAAGCAAACGGCTAAAAAAAACAAAAAACTACAAAACAACAACAACAAAAAAACAGAGCCGACTCTGATGTGGAAATTGCAGGGTGAGGAGGACAGTGAGGCCTTTTTTGGGAGCAGCAATGCCTCCCCGGGGATCCCTGCGGAGAAGCCTCCAGAAAGCCAGGCTGTTTGCCTGCGTGGAGGGGAGGGGAGGGGAGGGACGGGGAGGGGAGGGGAGGGGACAGGGCCAGAGGCTCAGGCAGAGGGCCTGTCTGCCTGGGGCGGGTGGAAGGGACACGCGGGCAGCATTGGGCTGGGTGTGACCTCCTCCAGCGGGGACAGACCTGCTCCCTCGGCCCCTCGGCCCCTGGGGCACACGGAGACCAGTCCCCGCTCCTCCCGGGGGGCGGGGAGGGGGGGCGTCCCCTGGCGAGCAGAGAGGGCTGTGAGGCTGACCAGGTCTGGGCGCTTTGGGATGAAGATGGAGGAAAACAAGAGCTTACGAGATTAAGAACCCAGGCAGATGGTGTTTTCTGTCCTGCAATTAAGAAGGACTACAATCTCCTCTTAAAAACAGCCCCCTTGCCAAAACCGGTGTGGCTCAGTAGATAGATCGTTGGCCTGCAGATTCAAGGGTCCCAGGTTCGATTCCGGTCGGGGGCATGTACCTTGGTTGCGGGCACATCCCCAGTGGGGAGGTGTGCAGGAGACAGCTGGTGGATGTTTCTCTCTCATCGATGTTTTCTAGCTCTCATCCCTCTCCCTTCCTCTCTATAAAAAAAATCAATAAAATATATATAAAAACAAAACAAAACAAAACAAAAAACAGGCCCCTGCCCTGCACGTCTCAGTGGTTGAGCATCAACCTCTGAACCAGGAGGTCAGGGTTCAATTCCCGGTCAGGGCATGTGCCTGGGTTGCAGGCTCCATCCCCAGTGGGGGGCGTTGCAGGAGGCAGCAGGTCCATGATTCTCATCATGGATGTTTCTCTCCCTCTCTCCCCTCTCCTCTCTGAAATAAAAAAACATATGCTTGGAAAACAGTCCTCCTTGACCCTCCATGGGGGTGCTCTCTCTCCTCCCACAGCCTCCCCCCCAGATCCAGGGGTTTGTTTTTCATGTTTAGCGCCCCCTCCCCCCCCTCACGCCAGGAAAGCCCCGGAGGAAGGGGGAGAGAGGGAGACGGGCCTTTGCTCCTCTCCTGTCAGATCTCGTCTCCCTCAGCCTCAGGACCCCGGCATGCCCGACGGAGGCGCGGGTCCGGGCCTGCCAGGGGCTGTGACCTCCGCCCTCCGACCTGCCTCTGAGGGTCAGGGCGCTGGGCAGGCTCTGACAGGTGGGGCCCTCGGGCCCGGGGGCGGACCAGCGGGCGGGCGAGAGGGGGGCAGCCCTGGTGGGGGACACTCTGCACCCCGTGGTGAGCGACCATTGAGCTCCAGGGGGGCTGTTCTCATTTCTGGAAAGAGAATCCGTTTTCCCGGCGTGGAGAGAGCATCCTCGGGGGAGGTGACCCTGCCCCGGGCCACGGAGCAGAGCCACGTGGAGCCGGGCCACGGCGGGGAAGACAGATGGGTGAGCAGGTGGGTAGGAGGTCCAGGAAGCCCTCCGTCTTTTTTAAAAAAAAAAAATATATATATATATATATATTTTTTTTTTTTAATTGATTTTTTTACGGAGAGGAAGGGAGAGGGATGGAGAGTGAGAAACATCGATGAGAGAGAAACATCCATCAGCTGCCTCCTGCGCCCTCCCCACTGGGGACGTGCCCACAACCCAGGTGCATGCCCTTGACCGGAATCGAACCTGCGACCCTTCAGTCCGCAGGCCGACGCTCTATCCACTGAGCCACACCGGTGAGGGCTTTTTTTTTTTATTTGTAATTGATTTCAGAGAGGAAGGGAGAGAATCACGGGTCGGCTGCCTCCTGCACGCCCCACACTGGGGGAATCGAGCCTGCAACCCGAGCAGGGGCCCTTGGCTGGACTTGAACCCGGGACCCTTCAGCCCGCAGGCCGGCGCTCTGTCCGCTGAGCCACACCGGCCGGGGCTGGCCTCGGCTGTGTGAGAGGAGAGATGGGGAGTGAGTCCAAGCCCCACGGCAGAGCCGGCCGGGGCGGGTGTGCAGGGGGTGGTGGGGTGGGGGAGGGCGTCGGTCCGGCCAGGACAGGGTGTCAGTGACCCCAGGGGGGGGCCGGGGCTCAGGCGGCCACGTCCGTTCTAAAAACAGAAAGACCGCAGCGGGGCCCAGCGCCTATTTCTGTGTCCCACTCAGAGCAGAGGAATGTGAGGTCCCGGCCGGGCGGCCGGGCGGCCAGAGCCAACTGTTGGGCTTGGCGGCCTCGGCCGCGCTGGACACCGACCAGCGGCTGCAGCAACGTCGTGGGGGGGGGGGGAACACGAGTTTTCTGGAGCAAATCCCCAAAAACCTACAAACCGCTGAACGTCCACGCTTCCCACGGTCCCCGAGAGGGGAGAGGGCGGAGGAGGGGGAAATGGGGCCCTCGCAGCGGCTGCGTGTCGACCTGTGAACCAGGAGGTCAGGGTTCGATTCCCGGTCCAGGGCACAGGCCCGGGTTGTGGCTGGATCCCCAGCGTGGGGCGTGCAGGAGGCCACCGATCTGTGACTCTCATCATGGATGCTTCTCTCTCTCCCCCCCCCCCCTCTCTCTCTCTCTCCCTCTCCCTCTCCCTCTCCCTTCTTCTCTGAAATCAATAAAGAAAATACATATAATTTTTTTAAAAGGCAAAGTCCAGACACCTTGGGGGTGGAAAGTACAGTGGGGCTGGGGGCAGGGTGAGGGACCAGCCCAGAGGCAGGAATGCCAAGAATCCTCCGGCCCCCTCCCCCTCCCCCTCCCGGGAGCATTCCACCAGCTGGGTTTTTCCTCTTGAAATACCAGGAGCCTGAGAGAGGCATCCACCGCGGTCCCAGGGGCACCCTGCCGCCCCCGCTCGCCTGCCAGGCCGACGGGAGTGGGAGGACACTGGTCTGACCGCCCCCACCCCAGCTGGGCCCCGCAGCCTCCCGCTGAGCCCCCCTCCCAGCCCCCTCCCAGCCTCCCTCTCCGATGGAGAAGTCAGAACCAGAGCCTCAATCCTCATCCAGGTGAAAAGCAGACCAAACGGGCCTGGCTGGCATCACTCCGGGGGTGAGGGCTGATCTAGGAACCAGGAGGTCAGGGTTCGATTCCCGCTCAGGGCACAGGCCCGGGTTGCAGGCTGGATCCCCAGTGTGGGGCGTGCAGGAGGCAGCCGGTCCATGATTCCCGCTTGTCATTGAAGCTCCAATCACAGCTCGGCCCCACAGAGCAAGCACCTCCATGGAGGCCCTCGGAGCGAAGCCTGCCACACCCCAGGCAGCCAGAGAGGGGCTAACTCCTCCCCAGCCCTCCCCCTTCCTCCCCCTCTCCTCCTCTTCCCCTCCAGCTCATCACACACACACACACACACACACACACACACACACACACACACGCACACACACACCCTGGCAAACCCAGGCTCCATCCCACTCACCCGAGTCTCCCAGGAGAAGGGGGCCGAGTGCTCGTCCTGCCACGTTATGTCCTGAAAGGAAAGTTCGAGAAGACACCTGAGCCACAAGCCCCATCGCCTCCCCCGGCAGCCGTCGGCCGGGGCCGCGGACCCACTGTGCGCGCTCGGGGGCCCACGCGGGACGGGGATGCGGCCTTCCCACCACCCCGCCCGCCGTTTCCCGTGCCAGGGCCCATCTGTGCCCAGCTCCTACCCGGGTCCGATTTCTTTTCTCGTTACTCTTTACCGATGCCAGAGAGGAAGGGAGAGAAACATCGATGAGAGAGAGAAACATCAAAGAGAGAGAGAAACATCGATGAGAGAGAGAGAAACATCAAAGAGAGAGAAACATCAAAGAGAGAGAAACATTGATGAGAGAGAAACATCAACGAGAGAAACATCGATCAGAGAGAAACATCGATGAGAGAGAAACATCGATGAGAGAAAGAAACATCAGAGAGAGAGAAACATCAAAGAGAGAGAGAAACACCAATGAGGAGAGAGAATCTCGGACGGATGGGCTGCCTCCTGCACGCCCCACACTGGGGATCGAGCCTGCAGCCCGAGCCTTTGCCCTGACCGGGAATCGAACCCTGACCTTCTGGTTCACAGGTCAACGCTCACGCCCAGGAGGCGGCCGGCTCCATCCCTAATGGGGGGCGTGCAGGAGAGAGAATCCAGGATTCTCTCTCACCGTGGATGTTTCTCTTCCCCTCTCCCTTCCTCGCTGACATCAATAGAAATATGTTTATACAAAGTTCGTAAAAATAATAAAAACGAGAGGAGCGTGGGTGGGCCAGGGCCCTCCCGTGGAGAATGTCCGTTAAACCTGAGTTATTTCCATTTACAAACGCCTTCCCTCCTCAAAGGGCAGCTGCCGGGAGGAATGCCGGTCAGCCAGCCTCTGGGGCCAGGCGTCTGCCTGCAGCTGCGGGCGCCCGCGGTCCGGCCCCCTGCGGGTGGGTGGGGGTGGGGGTGGGGATGGGGGTGCGGGTGATGCGGGGAGAGAGAAGCTGGTGGGGGATTAATGCAGTTGAGCCATATGACCTGACGGTCCTACAGTGCTAAGATCTCAGAAACCATGGAACAGGAGGAACCGGTGTGGCTCAGTGGATAGAGCGTCGGCCTGCGGACTGAAGGGTCCCAGGTTCGATTCCCGTCAAGGGCATGTGCCTTGGTGGCGGGCACATCCCCGGTGGGGGGTGCGCAAGAGGCAGCTGATGGATGTTTCTCTCTCATCGGTGTTTCTAACTCTCTATCCCTCTCCCTTCCTCTCTGTAAGAAAAAAAAAAATCAATCCCTCCTCGTGGGATGTGTTCTCCCTCCTAAACATCAACCATGCAGCTCTCATCCCTCCGCTGAACCGGCTCTGGTGGGGACAGGTGGCCGGGCCCCCTCAGCCGTCGGTCCCGGGGGAATGAGGCCGGGTGCTCAGCCCCAAACCCTCGGCCTGGGGCTCCGAGAGGCCACCGTCTCCCGGGGCGGGCGTCTCGCCGCGATCTCTCCCCAATTTGGTGTCAAGCCGGATAGCCTGCTGTTTGCTCCCGCAAGAAACCGAGTCAAGGGGCACATTCCGGAGATGGCTGCCATTCTGAGCTCATAGAAAAATGACAGCGTGCCGGACAAAAATAAACACGCCGCACAAAAATGCCGCCGGGGCTCTGAGTGATGTCAGCGCCCGGGCAGTGGGGGCTGGGCCCCCCCACGGCCCTGATTCGGGGTGTCACCGGGGGCCTGGATGGGGTGTCACCGTGCTCATCCCCAAACACTCCTCCCTGCAGCCAACGGTCCACACCCCACACGAAATGTCATTTCTGCGACTCGATGTCTGAAGGATCTGGGTATTTCGCTTTTGAGATTCTTTGGTTGCGAGTAACTCTTATCACTGGCTGTGATTTGTTTTAAAATCTGGTTTTATTGATTTCAGAGGGGAAGGGATACAGGGGGAGAGAGAGAGAGAGAGAGAGAGAGAGAGAGAGAGAGAGAGAGAGAGAGAGAGAGAGGCATCCGTGAGGAGGGAGAATCATCGATCGGCTGCCTCCTGCATGTCCCCCACTACTGGGGATTGAGCCTGCAACCCGGGCCTGTGCCCTTGACCGGAATCCAACCTGGGACCCTTCAGTCCGTAGGCTGATGCTCTATCCACTGAGCCAATCCGGCTAGGGCTGACTGGCTATGATTTTTAAAAAATTTTCTTGCCGAAACCGGTGTGACTCGGTGGGTAGAACATCGGCCTGCGGACTGAAGGGTCCCAGGTTCAATTCCAGTCAAGGGCATGTACCTTGGTTGCGGGCACATCCCCAGTAGAAGGTGTGCAGGAGGCAGCTGATCGATGTTTCTCTCTCATGGATGTTTCTAACTCTCCATTCCTCTCTGTACAAAATCAATAAAATATAATATATTTTAAAAAATAAAAATAAAAAAGAGCCGAAACCGGTGTGGCTCAGTGGATAGAGCGTCGGCCTGCGGACTGAAGGGTCCCGGGTTCGATTCCGACCAAGGGCACGTACCTTGGTTGCGGGCACATCCCTGGTGCAGGCAGCTGATGGATGTTTCTCTCTCATCAATGTTTCTAGCTCTCTATCCCTCTCCCTTCCTCTCTGTCAAAAATCAATTTATATATATATATATATATATATATATATATATATATATATATATATATATATATATATATAAATGCTATATCTATTAATGCTATTTCGTCCAGTTCTGAGGGAATCTCTTGCTCAGAGGGTACAAGTGACTCCTGCCAGTCAGCTGGGGACTCCGGGCCAGCCACGTGGTCTCGGCGGTCCCCTCCCTGCCTGACAGGAACCAGCGTTTCATTTCTCCCCAAACCTGTTCCCCGGGAGCCGGGCTCCCTCCCAGGGCCCAGCTGGGTCACCGGCTTTTCTCCCAGGAGCCCCCGGGGCAGGGTGCCTGCCAGGTGCTGCCCTGGGTAAAGGACCCCTCCCCCATTCTCCCCCCCTCCCCCCCTGCCATCTGCAGGGCAGCTTGTGCCCCTGGCTCTGGACTCGTGGCCACATCCTCAGCGTGTGCCAAGGCCCAGGACGCCAGCAGGGCAGGGCCCCAGAGCCACACCACCCTGTCATCTCTCCTAAAAACCCGCAGCTCTGCCAGGCGAATGCGGTGGGGACCATAATGACACATCCACATTCTTAAACACACACACACACACACACACACACACACACACACACAAGTAAGTAAGTCCGGGATGCTGAAAAGCAGCTCTCAGATTTCCCTTTTGCGTTTTTCTGCCAGAGGCTGCCCTAGCCGGTTTGGCTCAGTGGTTAGAGCGGCTGCCGGCGTTCTGAATGGTCACGGTTTGATTCCCGGCCGAGGGCAAGCACCTGGGTTGCAGGTTTGATCCAGGGCTCAGGGTCGGGGCTCGAGCAGGGTGCATCCAATCCATGTCTCTCTCACACTGACGTTTCTCTCTTCCTCTCTCTCTCCCCTTCCTCTCATTTAAAACGCTGCTCTGGGGCCCGGCCAGCGTGGCTCAGGGGATGAGTGGTGACCCATGAACCAGGAGGTCAGGGTTCGATTCCCGGTCAGGGCACAGGCCCGGGTTGCAGGCTCCATCCCCAGGGTGGGGCGTGCAGGAGGCGGCGGATCCATGATTCTCTCTCCTCATCAACAAACGGCCCTCCTTCTGGACACTAGACCACCAACTCCACCTTTCGTCAGCTCTAGGGGATGCATTTTTATTGACTTACTTATTTTTAAATATATTTTTTATTGATGTCAGAGAGGAAGGGAGAGGGGCAGAGAGATAGAAACATCCATGATGAGAGAGAATCACGGACCAGCTGCCTCCTGCACGCCCCACTCAAAGGATGGAGCCCACAACCCGGGCCTGTGCCCTGACCGGGAATCGAACCCTGACCTCCTGGTTCATGGGTCACAGCTCAACCACTCCGGCCGGGCTAGGGGATGCATTTTAAATTCCACGGTGCCCTGAAACCACGGCCAGTGCCGGCAGAAAGACAGTGTCTGCAGGCCGTGTCTGTGTCTGTGTCTGTGCTGAGCGGGGGCAGGGCCTCGGCCGCCTGCTCCCGGCCCGTCCGGCACAACCCAAGGCGGACACGCAGGGCCGGTTTGGTCTGGAAGCGCCCGCGGGTAGGGCCGTACCAGTTTGTTTTGAAATCACATGGATGTGCACACGCACAAAGGGCTCAGCCAGGAAGGACAGTCCTGAGTGACCGTGGCCACAGCTTCCTCATCAGGGACCCTGGGCCCTTGTCTGGCCCGGGCTTTGTGATGGTGAGCAGGCCTGTGGGTATTCTTTGTTTTTTAAAAAAATATATTTTATTGATTCTCTACAGAGAGGAAGGGAGAGCGATAGAGAGCTAGAAATATTGATGAGAGAGAAACATCGATCAGTTGCCTCCTGCACAGCCCCTTCTGAGGATGTGCCCGCTACCAAGGTACATGCCCTTGACCGGAATCGAACCCGGGACCCTTCAGTCCGCAGGCCGATGCTCTATCCACTGAGCCACACCGGTTAGGCCCTGTGGATATTCTTAGCCAGACCCCAAACTGACAGTCACTCACCAACATTTGGGGGTTTTTTTTGTGTATGTGGTTTTGTTTTTAATATTTTTTTATTAATTTCAGAGAGGAAGGGAGAGAAAAAGAGAAAGAAATATCATTGATGAAAGAGAATCACGGATCGGCAGCCTCCTGCGCGCCCCACCCTGGGATCCAGCCCAACCTGGGCCTGTGCCCTGACCGGGAATCGAACCTGGGACCCCCTGGTTCATCACAGGTCAACGCTCCACCCCTGAGCCACGTCGGCCTGGCACTGGCCAACATTACTGTAAGTACAGTACTTACAGGCTGACTTCCTCTCGTATTTACTTCTTTATGACTTTTCCAGAGGAGCTGCCGGCATTTCTCCCCCACCCCCACCCCCTCCGGCCTCCTCTGAGCACAGACCCGCGATCAACATCGAGAGGGAAAAGGTCTCTGCCCCGGGAATATACATTTTTTCGACCTTTACTGTCTTCCCTCTGGCCGACCCCACCCTCTTTTTCCTGGCGAAGCGTCCAGAAGTTCATGTCTAATGTAGACTCCTTCCCCCCCCCCCCCGTAAATATATTTTTATTGATTCCAGAGAGGATGGGAGAGGGACAGAGAGACAGAAATATCCGTGATGAGAGAGCATCATGGATCCGCTGCCTCCTGCACGCCCCACCCTGGGCATGGAGCCCGCAACCCCGGGGCACGTGGCCAGACCAGGAATCGATGCTCAACCACGGAGCTGGTGCCAGCCTTTTGCCAGCTCCAGAGGAATGCATTTTTACTTCTTTTATTTATTTTTAACGATATGTTTATTGATGTCAGAGAGGAAGGGAGAGGGGGAGGCAGAAACCTCCGCGGTGAGAGAGACAGACACTGGGACGCTCTCAGCTCTCAGAATCGGCCGCCCATTTCCGTCCACCCCGTGTCCCGGGCATCGGCCTGGGCTCAGGACCACAGACCTTTTGTTCACAAATGTCTCCGCAGCCCCAGGCCTGGGGCTCGGATGCAAACCGCCTTCCCAGCTCCAACCCCTCCCACCGCCCACAGCTTCCTTGGAAAATCTGCCCCCAGCCAGGCGCCTCCTCCTCCTGCTCCCTGGCACCCCGATAATTTGCATATTAGGCTTTTATGGTCCGGGTTCGCCACTGGCACCCCCAGCCTGGGCCACTGGCACCCCAGCCGTGGCCACCAGCTCGTGGGGACCTCCTTTTTACACCCCTCGTTTCTTCTGGCAAAAGTTGAGTTTCAAAGGGCCCCCCCCCAAAAAAAATAAAATCCCCATGCTAAGCCTAAGGGCAGCAGGCAGGCTTCAGGTCCACAAATTTCCAAGAAAAAAATGAAAACAAAACAAAACAAAACAAAAAACAGGCTTCTGGGCAGCGCAGGACGGGGTGTGGGGCGCCCCAAGTTTTCCTCGCAGAGTCCGTGTCCCCCTCAGTCCCCAGGGGCCCCCCCTGAGGTCCGGCCACCCCCTTAGAAACGGACCGAGTCCGGGGGACACAGGCCGCCGCGCTCACCCCCAAAGCCCAGCTCCCCGGGGACACCCCCTTATCTCCGAGGGCGCCGCTTCCGCCCCTGATCGTGCGCAGCGGTTCCAGGGGCCCCTCGCCGGGCACCCGCAGGCTCTGGAGCTTCGGGGCGCCCCCCGGGGGCGGGGAGCGGGTCTGCCCCGCGGGGGCGCGCGGATCGGAACCGCTGGTCCGGCTCGGACCCCCGCTGTGTCCGCTTTGAGCAACGGCATCTGGGCGGCCCCGCGGTGGGCAGGGGGGGTCTTTGGAGACCTCCTCCTGCTCTGGGGAGCCCCCCAAACTCCGGGGAGCCCCCCAAACTCCCGAGGAGCCCCCCAAACTCCGGGGAGCCCCCCAAACTCCGGGGACCCCCCCCAAACTCCGGGGGAGGCCCCAAACTCCGGGGACCCCCCAAACTCCGGGGAGCCCCCAAACTCCGGGACCCCCCCAAACTCCGGGGAGCCCCCCACGCCGACCCTCGGCCCCCCGACCGCCCTCTCCCCCCCATCCCGGGCGGCTCCGCGCGGGGAGGTGCCCCTCTCCCCTCCCCGCCCCCCCCGGCCGGGCAGCCGGGCGCGGGAGGGGGGTCCGGTCCGGCCGGCCGGCCGGCCGCGCCTACCTCGTCGCCGAAGCGCACCAGCTTCTGGCCGGGCGGCGCGCGCGGGCCGGGCGGCGCGGGGGCCCCGGGCGGCGGGCCCACCAGGCAGCGGTCGATGATCGCGTCCTGCTGCGCGGGCGGCAGCCGCGCCCACTCGGGCCCGTAGCGCTGGCGGACGCGCTCCTTGTCCTGCAGGATCTTGCGCGCCATGGGGCTCAGCGAGGCCAGGTACGACAGGCGCTGCCGCTCGCGCTCGTCCAGCGGCCGGTTCCCGCTCATGACGACCGAGCGCGAGGCCGCGATCGCCGCCGCCATGGACGCCATGCCCCGCCGCCGCCCCGCCCGCCCCGCGCCCCTCCTCCCCGCCCGGCGCCCCTCCTCCCCGCCCCGCGCCCTCCTCCCCGCCCGGCGCCCCTCCTCCCCGCCCGGGCGCCCCTCCTCCCCGCCCCGCGCCCTCCTCCCCGCCCGGCGCCCCTCCTCCCCGCCCCGCGCCCTCCTCCCCGCCCGGCGCCCCTCCTCCCCGCCCCGCGCCCCTCCTCCCCGCCCCGCGCGCCCTCCTCCCCGCGATCCTCCCCGCGATCCTCCCCGCCCGCGCCCCTCCTCCCCGCCCGGAGCCCCTCCTCCCCGCCCCGCGCCCCCCCCACCCCGCCCGGAGCCCCTCCTCCCCGCCCCGCGCCCCTCCTCCCCGCCCGGAGCCCTCCTCCCCGCCCCGCGCCCCTCCTCCCCGCCCGGAGCCCTCCTCCCCGCCCCGCGTCCCTCCTCCCCGCCCCGCGCCCCTCCTCCCCGCGCGCCCCTCCCCGCCCGGAGCCCCGCCCCTCCCCGCGCGCCCCTCCCCGCGCGCCCTTCCGCCCCAGAAGCCCCGCCCCCACGGCCCCCGCCCCCGGAGTCTGTCCTCCGCACCCCTCACCCCCTAGGACCCGCCCCCTTATCTCCGCCCCGGGACCCCGCCCCCCAGGACTCCGCCCCCGGGACCCCGCCTCCGTGTTTGTCCCCTGATGACGCCCCGCAGGTTCCGGGGTCCGGTCCGCCCTCCGGGTCCCCCCGCCAGGCCAGCTCCGGAGGCGGCTGGCGGCGCGCCCCCTGGTCCCGGTCCGGCCCCGCGGCCCGCGGAGCCGCCATGGCGCCACGTGGCCGCTGTTTGACAAAGGAAACTTTTCCGCCCAGAAATGTACCGGCCACCGCCTGTTCCTCCCTTTCCCAACCCCGATGAGCATCATCTGCTTCTGTTTTTAAAGTCTTAATATTTTTTAAATATATATATTATATTTTTTAAAGATATATGTTATTAATTTTTTACAGAGAGGAAGGGAGAGGGATAGAGAGCTAGAAATGTCATTGAGAGAGAAGCACGGATCAGCTGCCTCCTGCACCCCCCACTGGGGATGTGCCCGCAACCAAGGCACATGCCCTTGACCGGAATCGAACCCAGGACCCCTCAATCCACAGGCCAACGCTCTATCCACTGAGCCAAACCGGCTTCGGTGTTTTTAAAGATTTTTAAAATTGATTTCAGAGAGGAAGGGAGAGGGATAAAGATGGAACCATCCATGATGATCGAGAACCCACTCTGGGGACCTGAAACCACCGGGGCCTGTGCCCGTGACCATGGAACCGTGGCCTCCTGGTCCATAGGTCCTCGCTCAACCACTGAGCCACACCACCCGGCTCGTCTGCTTTCCTCTGAGCCCAGGACACTGGGCCCTTGTCCCGGTGAGAGGAGCTGGGACCCTTCGGCCTGCAGGCTGACGCTCTATCCACGGAGCCACATCAGCCAGGGCCAAAGTTCTGTTTTAAATTCGAGATGGCCTTACCACAGCCTGGCCCAGAAAGCCTAAGAAAACATTTTTTAGAAAGTCGTGAATGTGGCCGGCTCTATCATACAAGATTGCTGATATCAACAATGTCATCAGCATGATATCCTGGGCACAGCCACCAGACAGAGCCTGGATGGCACAGTTTGGGGAAGATTATAGGATTTCAGCAGCCACATAGGTCAGGTACCCTAACCTGAGCCCCACTGATTTCTCCTGGGGATCCTTGGTTAGAAGGGAGGGGGGCATAGAAACCTGTGTTCCTCAGAGTTCATTGACATCTTGGCACTTGCTTTAAAATTCGCATGGGAAATGTTCGCTGCTATCAGAAACTCGGGCCCCCTCGGCTGCCACAAACCAGTGTCGCTTTAAAAAAAAAAAAAAAGGCACGACCCAGTTACCTTTTTTCAGACCAAATGTAAGTTATTGCCTGAGAAGTCGTGATATAAAGATGGCCTGACAGACCCAATTTAAGGCCGTCAGCCAAAAAGTATGTCAGGTCCACAGTCTGGAAGATCAGGGGCAGCAGCTAAAAGCAAACTCGCTTCCAGATTATAAGACCCTCAGGGAATTAAAGAACGTGGCTGGAACTGGTGGGGAATGAATATACATAGTCCTGCACTCCAGGGACGTGATAAAAATAGACAAATGACAAATGTGTAATAAGGTAAACTCGGGAGATGGTGGTTCTAGTGTAAGAATTGTAAAGATGAATATAAACAGAGCCGTTTTTCTAGAGAGAGCGAGGAAGGGAGAGAGAAAGATCCGTTGGCTGTCTCCTGCACGCTCCCTAGTGGAGATCGACAGCAGACCCGGGCATGTGCCTTCACAGGGGAATCAAATTAGTGACCTCTGGGCCCATGCTCAGCCAACTGAGCCACACCGGCCGGGCCCAAAGGGTGCTACTTCCTGTGTGTTCGTACCCTGGTGATCCATTAATCTAAATAAGATGATAGGCCGGCTGGTGTGGCTCAGTGGTTGAGCATCGACCTATGAACCAGGAGGTCAGGGTTCGATTCCCGGTCAGGGCACAGGCCCGGGGTTGTAGGCTCCATCCTCAGTGTGGGGGCATGCAGGAGGCAGCCCATTAACGATTCTCTCTCATCATTGTTTCTATCGCTCTCTCCCTCTCCCTTCTTCTTTGAAATCAATAAAAATATAAAAAAAGCAAAAAGATGGGGATGAAGGCAGCAAAAAGATGGGGATGAAGGCATCTTCTGGGGAAGATGGTGCATGTGCTGTATGTGTCATGTTCAACCACATGTCATGTTCTGAAGGGCTATTCCAGGACGGTTACCTTCCTAGCTGAAGATCACAGCATGTCTCCTCTCCTCTCTCCAATGCCCATCCCAACGAGCCAAGGACAGCCGAACGTCAGCCACCTGTTATTAGGCTGTTAGGACGGGTGTCCGGGGAATAGCCCGGTCCATGTGGCTCGGTGGTCGAGCATCGACCCAATGAACCAGAAGATCACCGTTCAATTCCTGGTCCGGGCACAGGCCATGGTTGCGGGCTCCATCCCAAGGATCTCCAGTGGAAGGCATGCAGGAGGCAGCTGAACAATGATTCTGGTCATTGATGTTTCTCTCCCTCTCCCTCTCCTCTCCTCTCTGAGATCAATAAAAGTATATTCACACACACACACACACACACACACACACACACACACACACACTGTCTGGGGAATGAATTTGTTTTCCCAGTTTCCACCTTCCTTACAGACGCTTTCTGTGGGGATGCGGGCGGGCAGGCCCTGAGGATGGTGACTCATCCGGCATCTGTGACTGGTTATTCCGGATGCCGCCCGGCCTGGGCTCCACTCCCACCCCGGAGAGGATGGGCGGGGGCGGGGGGTGAGGGTGCGGGTGTGGGTGAGCCTGGCTTATATTTTTGGTGTGGTTCACCCACTCACCTGAGGATAATTCCCTATTGATTTACGGAGTGGAAAAAAGAGGGGAGAGAGACAGAGAGAGAAACATCAATGTGAGAGAGACACATGGTGCCTGCACCCGAGGTACATGCCTGGACCAGAATGGGACCCGTGACTCTTCAGTCTGCAGGCCGACGCTCTATCCACTGAGCCGCACTGGCCAGAGCGAACCTGGTGGATATAGACCAGCCGGTGCGTGGTGTGGTTGGAGGGCTGAGTTCAGGACTGAGACGAGGAGGAAGGGAAGGACGGAGGACTTGACAGATTCACTCTCGGCAGAAATGTGAATGTTTTGAGGGAATCATAGTCTGTCACCAAGTCTGAGCAGGGGCAAGGCACCCATGTCTAAGGAACAGAACCGCCTTCTCCGGGCAAAGCCACAGGACCCAAAACAGGGCCCTTCTGTCCTCTGATATCATTCTTTTATATATATATATTTATTTGTATTGATTTCAGATTGGAAGAGGGAGAGATAGAAACATCAATGCTGAGAATCACTGATCAGCTGCCTCCTGAGTGCCCCACACTGGGAATCGAGCCCCAAACCCAGGCATGTGCCCCGACTGGGAATCGAACCGTGACCTCCTGGCTCATGGGCCGAAGCTCAATCCCTGGGCCACCCGGATGGGCTGGAAGCTTCTGGAATCTGGTACAGAGGCTCTTAATGGGCAGAGCTCTTGCTAGGAAGCAAGCCCACGCCTCATGAGCTGCTCGGGGGCACGAGGCAAGCAGACCCGCTGGCGAGGTGTCACAGGGCCTGGCCTGCGTGTACGGGCGCCCGCTGCCGTCATGGCTGACGTGTGCAGGCACAGGACCGGGTACAAGTGGAATTTTCCGTGGCGAGGCCGAGGCCGGTAATTTTCCAGACTAATTTAAACCAGGTTCCTGTCAATGGCAGCGAGTCCAGCCATGGCGGAGGTAGAAGCCCCAGGCTCGGTGCTGTCACCCGACTGGCGTCAACACTCCATGGTCACCCCGTTTCCTGGCCCTGGGTGGCTTCCCGAGCATCCTCGCATCGGGTGGCTAGACGGACGTCCGTCCCAAGGGGGACCCCCACCCGACGGGTCGGCCGTGCCCTGCGGAGCCTGGCGGGTCACCGGCTAACGTCCAGCGATTACATCCCAGGAGCACGGACCCTCAGCGAGGCCCGACGTAAACACGGGAACGGGACAGGGGGCCGGTTGGCGCTTTCACCGAAAGCAGAGGACAGGCAGACGGCTGGAAACGGCAGTTTAATGGGCCCGTCTCACGGCGCTCACGCACTCTGCCTGCGGAGGGGGACCGGTGCTTTCCAGAAAGTTCTGAGGCCTGAGGTGAAGCCGGTTCACGAAATGAAAGCATACATGATCCAGTGTCTGAGACCGGGGAGTCGGAGACACCGCCCCTGTTTATTTTTCCCAGCGGAGAGGAAAAACAAAACAGAACAAAAACGTGGTTCGGTGATTCCGTGTGCGGGTCGGCACCGTTCAGAGCTGAGCTCCGGGCTGTGGGCTCCGCTGACAACCCCAGCGGGAGCCCCCACGGGAGGCCACGGGAGGCGGCCCAGAATGATGTCATAACATAAAACCTGGGAAGTGATGTCATAAAATCAATCCCGTGCGGGGATGCAGGCACGCCTGCCTGCTGTGTTGCTTCTGCCCCTTCTCGCCGTTAGCTTTTGGTTGTGAAGTAAACGTTTGCTGGGAGGGAGGGCAGAGGGGGGGCGGGGGGAGCCAGCAGGCCCCTGGCGAACCCCCTCCCCCTCCCCCAGATCCTCGCATGATTGCTGTTCCCGTGCCCACCGTACAGGAAGCGATTTCAAGTATTCGATCCCTATCAAAAGTTGGTATCAAAAGTAAGAAAGGACCTAATTCCTCTGTGATTCCACGTTTTAAAAAATAACTTAAGGAACAAGAGTCCGGCCCTTTGGCGGAGAGACCCCGAGGCGGGGCTAGAGCTGCTGCAGGCAGCGCGGCGAGGCGTCGGCGTTGAGCGCCTCGATCATGGACCGCAGCGTGGGGAAGGTCTCCGACACGGAGGGCAGGGCCTTGTAGGAAGGCGGGATGCTGGAGGGAGACACAGGAGGGTGAGCAGCCTCACGGATGTACAGAGACAGCGAGGCTTATGCTGTGTTCCTTCCCGCCGTCACCCTCTCTCCATCAATCCCTCCTCCCCCGTCCGCTCGACCCCCTCTCTCCTCTGCGGGCCTCTGAAACCCACCTTTTCAAGTTCATCCAGCTCCTGGCTGCTTTGCTGAAGGCCTCGGAGCCGGGGGCTGTCATGGCTTCGAAGTCAACCAGCTGAGATGGAAGGAGCATCGGGAGGGGGTCAGACACGAGGAGCGGCTCTCGGGGGCATCCGGTCCCTCCCGGGGTCCCTCCAGGGGCCTCGCCGCCCGTTGCCCGCTGGCACGGCCACCCGCCCCGGCTGCCACCTACCTTGCCCTTGGGGATCTTGCCGGCTACCTCCTTGCCGCTGGCCATCAGCGCCCCCACGATCACCGAGTACGCGATCACGCTGTGAGAGGAGGCAGGGTCAGTCCCCGGCTCCGGGCTGCCCGTCGTCAAAGATGGCAGTTCCCTTCCCTTAAAACCCTCTGGACATTAAACCTAAGACTGCCTCCTGGGGCCTAAAGAGCACTTACTGATTCACCGCAAAAGCGGAAGGGCCCATGTGACCAAGAACACCCTTGTTCTGAGGAATAAACGCCACCTTGTAATTAGGACGTTCCTTCCCTCAGGCGCTCCGTTCCCAGGACAGTGAATTAGAAAGTACGCCTGTTTCTATCTAACAGCTGCCCGTAACGCGCCCATCGGCAATACGCTCTGCAGATCCAGGCGGATCCCATCGGTTCAGCATTAAAAACTTTCGTACCCACGCCCACAGAAGGAGGTGTAAGCAAAGAAAGAACACTTCTCTCCACGTAAAACCTTTTACAGTACCGGCACTCACCTGGATCCTCGAGAGAGCGGCATCAAGTTATAGAAGTAATAAACTAAGGATAAGATTAAGTTGCAAACAGCGTCAGCCTCCTAGGAAAAAAGACGCATGCCCGTGAGCTCGCTCTTCGATGACAGACGGAGGCTTTATCGGGGGACAGTCTTCTCCCTCCTCCCCACACCTGCTCCCCCTCCTGACACCTGGCCCTTTACCGTAGTTTTGCTAAAAAAGTGTGCACGGTCCAGTTTAGAACCTACCTTCCCAGCTGTTTTTACATCTGCAAACATTTCTGTGAAGCACACAAATCTCTATCTGCTCTAATATCATTTGCGAGGTCAAAGTACACATGGAGATGAAGATAAGGCACTTTCTAGTATGGATTATGCCTTTTACAAGCCTCTCTACCTCAAGAGACGCTGGTAAGCCCCCCTTTGCACAGAGATGTAGGTGGTATAAAACTTGATGCTTAATTATGTGAAGCACTTGATTAAAAATTGAGAGAGAAAGTAGGTGCCTGCGAGGGGCCTCTGGACGTGGATGGAGCCTCAGCCTCTCGGCCCAGGGGCAGCGCAGGCATCCGGGGACCGGCCAGGCCCCCCTCCAGGGAGCCCCCTGGCGTTGGGGTGGGCAATGGAGGGACAAGGTCACAGACCAGAAAAGGTCACTTTGATCAGGGTCCGAAGTTTTCATCAGTCGTGACAAAGCCCGAATGTATGATAAAACAGCAAATAATAAATTCATTTCCCTTCCCCAATTACTGCAGTTACTGAGGGTGGGGACGTTTTGATAAGAACGATTTAAAATGCATACAGGGCCACGAGAGCTGATTTCAAGCATGAAGTGCACAATTCCCAGGAGGGGGAGGGAGGGCAAAGAAGCGCAGGCGGCGTGGACCAGAGGAACACACACCCACCCCGAACTCGGACGAGAGGATGAGCACTTTGCCTTTGGCGGTCAGGTCTCTGTAGAGGGCGTCGATTTCCGCGTGATATAACTGGGTCCTCTCCTCCGTGGTCTGAGTCTCCACAGAAAACAGGATGTTGCCGACCCTGAAGACACAAGAGCGCGCGTCAGAGGCAGGTGCTCCACGCCCAGAGCCAAACACAGAGAGTGAAACGGGAAGCCACAGGCTCGCTGACGTGGCACAGGCCCTGCGGACAGCAGGTCCTGCCTTTCCAACCGCAGGGAGGGGCTGGGCCACAGGATGCCGTTTTTCTCACAACACGGTAGCTGGCTCGGTCTAACAACGTGCATCTATTCTAGGAGCTTAAGCGAATACAGGGGAAAACAGCTCCCCATGGCAGAGAGGGCGTCTAAACGCCCAGAAAGAGCCCCCCCCCCCCCGCCCCGGTGTGATCGGGGCACAGGGCGTCAGAAAGCTCCGGGACACAGCTTCCTCTCCTTTCTTTTTTATTTTTTTTTTAATAAAAATATTTTGATTTTTTTTTTTTTTTTTTTTTTACAGAGAGGAAGAGAGAGGGACAGAGAGTTAGAAACATCGATAAGAGAGGAACATCGACCAGCTGCCTCCTGCACACCTCCCACACTGGGGATGTGCCCGCAACCAAGGCACATGCCCTTGACCGGAATCGAACCTGGGACCTTTCAGTCGGCAGGCCGACGCTCTATCCACTGAGCCACACCGGTTTAGGCTCCTCTCCCTTCTTTAAGCCTCTGCTGCAGGCGCGGCTCCAGGCCAGGGCCGGGAGGATGTCATTTGGCGCCAGAGGTGTTTGAGGGAGGCGGCAGAAGTGAGGCACGAAGTGTGGACTGACACTGTATTCCGGGGGCACGAGGCTCCGGATGAAGTCTGGATTTTATTTTATTTTATTTATTTTATTTATTTGTTTTAAGTCTGGATTTCAGACGTCTATGCATAGAAAAGGCGAAGCGGCTGGAGAACCCGCGGCCGGGCACGTACCTGTCCCCCGTGATGGTGATGGTGAAGCCGTCGTACTCCTTGCCCTGGTCCTTGAGGCTGGGCACCTTGGTGTTCACCGTGAAGCCGTCCTTGGTCTTCGTGTTGAACTGCTTTCGGGGGGAAGGAAAAGCACGTCACTCGTGTGCACGTCACTCGTGTGCACGTCACTCGTGTGCACGTCACTGTCCATACCCACCGGCCGCTGTGCAGGCGGACTCCACACTGCGCTCCCCGGAGGCCACAGCGGTGCCCGGGGCACAGCCCGGCCGTCAGGGGCAGAGCACAGTGTACCCCGTAGTGTTTGGAACTTTCCCGAGCGTGGTTTACCATCTCAGAGAACCCTGTCCCCCTGGCCTCGGCACTCGTGAGCCCCGAGGCACCACGCAATGGAAGCAGGATTCACCTGACCGTATTTTTCACTTTCCTTCCGTCTCCCACACCCACTGCCTCCTCACGGGCTTGCTTCTCTGCCTTAGCGCGGTGCGGTGTTTTGTTTTATGTTGGTTACTACACCGCGTGGATATGCCAGGGTTTTCGGGCAGCAGCTTTATAAGCTTTACACCACCGACGGCGGGAATCTTAACCGACGTGGCCGTCAGCAGCCCGAGGAAGGCGGCCCTTGACTTGGTCCCCGAACGTGAGCCGCGCAGGGACGGCGAGCTTACCTTCATGATGGGAAGCAGGTCCTCCACCTTATGCACCTTCTCCAGGGCCTCCCTCACCTCCAGCAGGCCTTTGGGGTTGTTGGCACTGAGAGAGAGAGAGAGAGAGAGAGAGAGCGCTACCATCAACAGAACGGGTGATTGCGTGGTTACCTCCCGCTGGGCCACAGCGAAAGTTTCTAAATAACGGGAAGGTTTAATCCAAGTGAGTTTGGCCCGGAGATGAGAATGGAGGAAGCAGGAGTGGCCCATCCAGACGGGGAAACAGGGAGCAGCAGATTGGACGAGCACCCTGTTTGGCCATAAAACCTCATTCGCTGAGTCCAATGCTGAAATGAGAGGCAAATGCTTTTTCTTTGCTCACACAGAAGGACACTGCTAGGTTTTCGGTGTTTTGTGTGTTTTTTTAATTTTTTATTTCCCTGTTAGGCTTTTATATCAACTTTATATTTACTTGGTGATAATGACTAAGTCAGATTTTTTTCTCTCCAGTGTTCTGTTATGTCTATAGCTTTACATCTCCCTGCCTCTCGGGGGAGGAGGGATGGATGCGGAGGCTGACGTCCCTGGGAAAGAAGGCCAGAGGGGCAGCCTGCCTTTGAGAAGGAGGAGACTAGGAAAGCCACGACTCCGAGGTCCGCGGAGTCCGTTAGGTTATGAGGAAGGCTGAGAAGTCACCAAACGCGATGTAAACATTTAATGCACTTCCTTCACTCCGTCAACAGGCTTAGTTTTCAAGCTTCATAAACACAACACATACGTGAAACCGACCCATGACTACGAAAAAGAATGTAAAGGATTACCCGTGATAAATAAGAATCCTGTCTTTAATAAAATGAAGAATCTTCTCGAAGTACTCCAGATAGCGCATGTTTACCACCTGGCCCCTGAAAGAGACAACTGCGAGTTTTCACAAAGGAAGAGATTCCAAACAGCATCGGATGTCCAAGTTAATGTCAGAGAACGGTGAGAAAGCGAATAGGATGATGCAGCCACACCTACAGGGAATTCACTCGTTTGCCACCAAGGCACGGAGAGGCGAGGACTGCTGGTCGGCTCCAGGAGCCGGTTCTGGGGGGGAAGGTGCTAGTTCTGGGGGTGAAGGTGCCGGTTCTGGGGGGGGAAGGTACGGGCCCCTGCCCAGCTCAGCAGGAAAAGAGCCACGGGTCTCTCCTGGGCCCCGGGACGCCCGTTTTAGGATAAACCCGGACGAGGACTGAAGAGATGCACGGGGGTCCTACCTGATTAAATTGATGTGGTTGTTAAAACCTCTGCTCAGACTGCGTGCCGGCATCTGGTCTAACCACAGCACCGGCTGGTCCGGGTCGGCGATCCTGTGAAAACGGAGATATCGATGTGAGAGACACACATTGAGTAGTTGCCTCTTGCGTGAGTCCTGACCAGGGCCCGGGCCGGGGAGAAGCCTGCAACCGGGGTACGTGCCCTTGACAGGAATGGAACCCGGGACCCTTCGGTCTGAAGGCCGAGGCTCTACCCACTGAGCCACACCGGCCAGGGCGAGGAAGAGACCCCCCCCCCCCCCCGTCTTGCCGTGCAGATGCTGGTTACCGTCTCCACTTCACTGCGATGTCGAACATGTCCCTCCACTGCATCAGCCGCGTCTTCCCGTTCATGCGCACCTTCGAGCTGGTCCAGGTCCGCTGCACGGCCTGCATGACCTCCAGCGCGGCCAGGCCCATGGCTGCGGGACACACACACGGCGGCCTGAGCCCACGGTCCATATTACGTCGGCGCCATGGCAACCGCACGGAGCCGGGGCAGGAGGCAGTGCCCCTTCGGAATGCGGGTGAATGAACCCGCACGTCTGTGTGATGATGCTGTGAGGGGGGGGGATGCTGAGTAATAAGCACAACAAATGCTGGTGTTTTTTTTTTTTTTGTTTTGTTTTTTAAATATTTTAATGATTTTATACAGAGAGGAAGGGAGAGAGAGAGAGAGTTAGAAACATCGATGAGAGAGAGTCATCGATCAGCTGCCTCTTGCACACCCCCCACCGGGGATATGCCCGCAACCAAGGTACATGCCCTTAACCGGAATCGAACCCGGGACCCTTCAGTCCCCAAGCCGAGGCTCTATCCACTGAGCCAAACCGGTCCCGGCTTGTTTTTTTTTTTTAAAGCAAAGCGCGGTCTGCCGAAGCCGGTTTGGCTCAGTGGTAGAGCGTCGGTCTGCGGACTGAAAGGTCCCGGGTTCGATTCCGGTCAGGGGCATGTACGATGGCTGCGGGGACATCCCCAGTAGGGGGTGTGCAAGAGGCAGCTGGTCGATGTTTCTCTCTCATCGACGTTTCTAACTCTCTCTCTCTCTCTCTCTCTCCCTTACTCTCTGTAAAATATCAATAAAATATATTTAAAAAAAAAAAAAAAAAAAGCAAAGCGCGGTTTAGCGATCCTCGCTCCTCGGTCTGGAATGTTCCGTGTGCGGAGCGCTTCACGTACCTCTGTGGATCCTCTTGTTGGGCAGGAAGCCCGGCGTCTCGTACTGCATCAGCGAGCCCAGGCGGTCCGCCACGCAGATGAGCTCCTGTACCTCGGGCTTGTAGCTCTGGAAGTTCTGGTGCAGCACATCCCTGGAAGAGACCGTCCGGGCACCGTGAGGACCTTCGCGACCGGCACCGGGGCGACGGATTCCCCCGGGGGAGCGGCCGCCGCCCCCACCGAGAGCCAATCGCATGAGCCGTCTGGCTCCTGGGATGCGGGGCCCGAATCCGCACCTCCCTCCCCTCCCCTATGGGGTCCGTGCAGCCCTTTGCGGTTCAGCCACGCCCTCCTGCCTGTGCCTCCAGCATGCTTTTTAAATTTTTTATTTTATGTTAACATATTGTTATTGATTTTTAGAGAGGAAGGGAGAGGGAGAGATAGAAACATCCAGGATGAGAGAGAATCATGGATCGGCTGCCTCCTGCAAGTCCCCCACTGGGGATCGAGCCCACAACCCAGGCAGGTGCCCTTGACTGGAATCAAACCTGGGACCCTTCAGTTCACAGGCCAACGCTCTACCCACTGAGCCAGACCAGCCAGGCTATCATATATATGTATGTATGTGTGTGTGTGTATATATATATATATATATATATATATATATATATATATATATATATATATAAATATTTGCAGACGTGTCAAATACAGGAGGAATCGGAGGCGTGGACAGAAAGCCCTGAATGGTGGAGAGGGAGCCGGAGGGACTGATGGCTCCGCCCGAACGGGAGGCCGCTGCCCCAGGGCGCTCACTTGATGTGGGGCTGCAGGCCCGGCTGCTCCTCGTAATCCTCTATGAGGAAGGGCAGGCTCTTGGCCCAGTGGTCCTTGAAGCTCCCGGGCAGGTCCGCGTCCACGTTGTACTCCGTGAGGGGCGTGTCCAGGTGCGAGTGGAGGTACCGGGAGTACTCTGAGGGCGGAAGGGAGCACTCACACACCGCCTCCACGCAGGGAGCGCCTGCGACGGCGGGCTGCCACGCACGTGCTTCGTGACAACGTTACGCAATGACGGGAACTCAAGTGGGGAGCATACGCCAAACGGGAGGCGCCAGCCAGAGGAAGACAAGCATCACATGACCTCACTCAGGAGTGGGATCTAAGGATCAAAACAGACCCGGGGAAGGCGGGAGTGGGTGGGAAGAGATTAACCAGGGAACTTTTATGCTTGTAAACATAACAATAACGCAGTGTGGGAGCGAGGGGGAGGGAAGGTCAACGGGGGGGGGGGGGGGGGGTAGACATCTGTAATACTTTCAACAATAAAGATAAGTTTTAAAAAAAAACAAACCCTAGCCCTTTGACCAGTGTTGCTCAGTGGATAGAGCATTGGTCTGCAGACTGAAGGGTCCCAGGTTTAATTCCGGTCAAGGGCATGTGCCTTGGTTTTGGGCACATCCCCAGTAGGAGATGTGCGGGAGATAGCTGATGGATGTTTCTCTCTCATCGATGTTTCTGGCTCTCTATCCCTCTCCCTTCCTCTCTGTAAAAAATCAAATACATATATATATATATATATATATATATATATATATATATATATATATAATTTTTTTTTTTTAAACCTAACTGGAGCCGGGACCGGTTTGGCTCAGTGGATAGGGCGTCGGCCTGCGGACTGAAAGGTCCCGGGTTCGATTCCGGGCAAGGGCATGGACCTTGGTTGCGGGCACATCCCCAGTGGGGGTGTGTGCAAGAGGCAGCTGATCGATGATTCTCTCTCATCGATGTTTCTAACTCTCTATCCCTCTCTCTTCCTCTCTGTAAAAAAATCAATAAAATATATATTTTTTAAAAAAAAACCTAACTGGAGACTCCAGATTTAATTAAGTCCCTTTTCTATATGCCAATCGGAGTGCCCTGCCACGGACCGGAGTCCCCGGGGTGGAATGCGAGGGCCGCTGCGGCTGGGTTGTAACCACCTTTCCACGCACTGCACACAGAGCTCACGTGTCCATCGCAGGCGCTGCGAATCCGAGCGTCAGGCTGGGAGCCTGGTTCCCTCGCCTGCTCGGTGAGTCACTGCCGGTACGGTTTCACCGGCGGACCGACCGCTGCTTCTCTCTGCGAGGCGGCGCGGAAAGCACCCGGGGCCTGGGCCCCGTCCCGCGGTCTAGAGCTCACAAGCCCCAGTCCTCCGAGCCAGGGAGAGGGGGGGCCTCAGAGGCCGGGGCTGTGCCTTCCCGCATTCCGTGTCAGCGCGCGTGCGCGGCGCGGGGGACTCACCGCGTAGGTACTTCACCTTCAGGTACTCGGGGCTGGCCTTCTGGCCGGGGAGCGGGTCGTTGAGCATGACTTTGGTCTGCGCCTTGATGCCCTCGTAGAACTGGCCCATGGCCACGTGGCTGAGGCCCCTCATGTACTGGCACACCTCGTTGTAGGGCTCCAGCTGCAGACACCGCTGGGCGGCGAGGGAGGGGGGAGGGGGAGCGCCGTTAGTGTCAGTCCGGTTCGGTGCAATCAGACCCAGCACACGCTGTGAACGAGCCCACGGGACAGGGCTCCCCGCCGGCCCGTTCACCCCACGACTCCCCCGGGGAGACACATACACACACACACACACGCACACACACGCGCACACACACACACACACACACACACACACACACACACACGGCAGGCCACGCTGCTCACCTTGAAGTTCTTCAGCGCCTCCTGCAGGCTGCCGTGGTGATAGAGCATCAGGCCCCGGAGCTGCAGGGTCTGCACGTGGTTCTGGTTGAGCAGCAGAGCCTTCTGGAAGCTCTCGGTGGCGGCCTCGAAGTTGCCCAGCTCCCTAAGGGTTTCACAAGAGTCACGCACACGGTACAGACACGTCAGTTCACACACTCGGCAAGTCGCCTGCAGAGTGAAGGTCTGATTTGGGGATCAGACAGCGTGGCGTGGGTGTCCCCTTTTTACTTTTGTGGATGTCGGAGAGGAAGGGAGAGGGAGAGAGAGAGAGAGAGAAACATCCATGACGAGGGAGGCTCGTGGATCGGCTGCCTCGTCCTGTACGCCCCGCACTGGGGATGGAGCCTGCCTGTGCCCTGACCGGGAATCGAACCGTGACCTCTGGGTTCATAGGCGGATGCTCAACCACTGAGCCACGCCGGCCAGGCCCTCAGAGGTTTGAAGAGAGTCTCTGTTGCTTGTCTTCCTTTCCAACTTTTTCAGGACCTCTGAGTAAGTCACTGAGAGACCACTCCTCTCTGAGGCTCTGGCTTCCCTCTCGCCACCCGCCTGCTACCCCCCCCCCCCCCCCCCCCGGCGCTGCTCCCCTCACCTGTAGGCCTGCCCCAGGCTTTTGTACGCATCGATGAAGTCAACCTTCTGCTTCAGCGCTTCTTTGAAGGATTCGATCGCTTCCTGCAAAAAGCACAGGCATTGTTGTTTCACTCGCATAACAGTTCAACTTGGGTTTTGCTTAAATCGCTAAAGCGTCTGACTGTCCGTTACGCATGGTCTCTGAGCGACTTTCTGACTAGGAGGACTTCAAAGAGAGAGAGAGAGAGGGAGGGAGGAAGTGCAACCTCTGAACCTGGAGGGTGTGCTTCCGTCCACAGCTGCCTCCCCAGGAACCACAGCCTCTCCCTGCCTTTCCTCAGGACGCTCAGCCTCAAGCTCCAAGCTCCACCTTCCTGTGAGTCACTACCACTTCCTTCACGAATGGAAGCCTCTGGAACCAGAGCCCACCGGCTGTGGGGATAACGCAGACGCTCACAACCAGCAGCAAAAAAAAACAGGCCCGACAAAGAGATTGGAAAGCAAGCCCCCAGGGAAACTGCTCACAAAGCCATCAAAAGGCTCCCGGCTGTCTGTCTGAAGGCTCCCCGGAACAGGGGCACAAACTAAAACAGAAACCTTGAAGGTGGGCATGTGGGGCCCGGCTCCTGGCAGCATCGTGGCAGGTCTGCGGCTGAGGGGGGAGGAGGGGGCCCCTGCCGGGAGGACCCTTCTATTTCAGAACCGACACCCCAGGCTCACACGGGCACCAAGTGTCCTTTTCACTCTGATGGGATCGTGGAAGGTGATAAGAGGTTATTTTACACATTTCCCCGGGGGAAAGAAGTGTCTCGCTGAAGTGGATGGCTACAGAGTCTCATGCTTTAAGGAGAAAGATGGTACAGCTTCCGCGATCATCGTTGCATCCTCATGAGATAGCTCAGAGCAGGAAACTACGAGAGAGGTCACACGCCCTGCACATCGTAGGCACTCGATAAATATTGAATGACCCGGAAGGCACACAGGTAATTCTGCAAAAGCCGTACCATCCTAATTCTTTTTTATCTTTTTAAAGTTATGCATCCCCTGCTTCTGGATTTTCTCAGGGGCGAGGAGGGAGCAGCGGGGCGAGAGGCTGGCTTTTAAAAATTCTTCCAAGGCAACAACGGGACCACCCGCACCTGAAGGAATTCAACCGAATGCTGTTTGGTAGAAAGAGGACAGGGAAATCCGATGTTTAAAGAAATGTCAAAGACCACCGTAAACTAAGCTTCCCGTTAGGGCGTAATTTGATTTTTTTTTTTTTAATTTTGCAACTCTATCTTCACTTCAACAAATACGTTTTGAGCGCCTACTACGGGCAGGGCAGTGTGAGGCACGGAGAGACAGAGGTGAGTGGGTCACGACCTCTGACCTCCAGGCACTCAGGGGCGTTAGAAGCTAGGATCTACCCAGGTTATTAGAATCCGCACGAAGATCTACGAAGAGGCGTGAGCCCGCGTCCTGGGGGCAGCGGGGACACGGCGACCTGGCCGGGATGGCACAGGCTCCCGGGGGGAGGTGGCGGGGAGGAGCTGGGCCTCAGAGGACGTGAAGGAGAGGAACTGGGGAAGGACAGAGCCTGGTGGACGGGAAGGGGCGGAGCAGGCCACACGGTGCTCAGAATTGGGGGCGGGGGTAGGGGGTAGGAAGGGGTCAGCAGGAGTGCAGGCAGCGGGGGGGGGGGGGGGGGGGCACGTGGTGGAGATGTGAGAGCCAGGGACCAGGCCGGTGTCAGGGCTAGGGGCTGCAGGCGGAGGTGTGACCTACGTTTGGGCTCTAGACGGGGTCACGGCTGAGCACAGCAGAGCGGACAGACTGGAGAGGGGAGAGATGGGGGCCCGGGAGGAGGGGCTGGACGGAGACAGTGTCTCAGGGAAAGAAAAGAAGGGTCCGATCCGGGAGACACCCCAAGAGCAAACTAAGAGACGCTGGCGGCTGTGTGGGTGTAGGGACAAGGAAACAGGGAGTTAGGGAGCGTCTCAGCTGAAGAGCCTGGGTGAGAGGAGGACTACCCATTGGGAGGAGGGCGGGAGGACGGACAGAGGCGGGAGGGGAGGGGAGAGGCGGAGCCCGGAGGGGGGGCGGGCTCCGTCTGGGTGACTGTGGGCGTCTGGGGAGGCAGGTGCCCAGGGCCGTCGGCTGCCCACTGCACTTACAGCATGCTCGGACGCCACACATCTTCAATGTCTGATTTCTCTTCAGCTTTTAAGAGGCTTTGGTTTCGGGGTTCCTGTCTAATGACTGCACAGCTCTCTACCTCATTCTGCCAAAGAGGGGACATAGCAGAATCAAGATGTGAAGCCGTTGGGAACAAAGAAAGTGCGTCAGCCTCGACGGGTGCGCGCTGGCTCTGGGCTGGTGGCGGAGGGGGGCGGCCGGCTCTCCGCCACCCCCTGGCCGCAGCACCACCTCAGGGAACCCTCAGGGTCAAGGCTGATCGGAATACGTGCTCAGAACGTACAATTTCTTAAGCATCCTTGAAACGCAGATACAACAGAGAGAACCCAATAGGAAAATCCCACGTCTGGTACAGCTACGCACCGGACAGCTGTGCTGTCTGCCATGAGATGCTGCCTGGTAGACTTCTAATGGGTTAGCCCAGTGGTCGGCAAACTCATTAGTCAGCAGAGCCAAATATCAACAGGACGAGAGCCAACGTCTGCGCATGGGCCACGAAGTTTCAATCGCACTGTGTGCGTGCGCCTGCACGTGGTATTTTGTGGAAGAGCCACACGCAAGGGGCCAAGGAGCCGCATGTGGCTCGCGAGCCGCAGATTGCCAACCACTGGGCTAGATTATGATGTGAATGAGGGATCACCCGTCACCCACTTCCTGGATTTCTGAACGGCTGTTGGCCTGGAGGAACCCTTCACCAGGGATAATCTAAACTTTAAGTTTGTTCATTGAGTGAAGGCCTTTCACCACTGACTCGGTTTCCCTCTGTGCCAAGCTCAATGCCACGGCACCCTCCCCGCTGCGCGGCGAAGGCAGAGTCCGCAGACGGCGCCCGCGCTGCCCACCGCGGTCACCTTGAGCAGGCCTCGGTGGAAGAAGGTCAGCCCCTTGTACAGCATGGCGATGGGCTGGTTCCTGTTCAGCTCCAGGGACTGCTGGAAGTCTTGGTGGGCCGTGGCGTAGTCCTGTAGGGAGAGCGGACAGAATGAGGGGGGTCCGCCGGACAGCTGGGCATTCCCTACATCTGGCCGGGAGAGAGAAAAAACCATTTATTCTGCGCCCTTTCAAACTGAGAGGAAACATTTCAGGGCCATAAATAACTGGAGTTCTGTCCTAACCGGTGTGGCTCAGGGGATAGAGTGTCGGCCTGCGGACTGAAGGGTCCCAGGTTCGATTCCGGTCAAGGGCATGGACCTTGGTTGTGGGCACATCCCCAGGGGGAGGTGTGCAGGAGGCAGCTGATGGACGTTTCTCTCTCATTGATGTTTCTAACTCTCTTGCCCTTTCCCTTCCTCTGTGTAAAAAAGTTAATAGATATATTTTTTAAAAAATAACTGGAGTTCTTAAACTATTAAAATAGTTGATTTTTTTTTTTTTAGGAAATTGGTGGGAAAAATGTCCAAGGTTTAATATAAGTACGCTGTTTCAACTATTAAGAGAATATTACTTTCAGTAATACTCAAATCATAACCTAAAATTTACTTTCTGGTACTAACAGGTTATTATATTAAGTACTTCTAAAACAATTCACAAACTTCAAATGTATTGTGCTGGAATTTAAAAAATGTGTATATTTCTTGCATTAAAAATTATTATAAAAATCACAAAAACCCACAAAGGGGAACTGGGCCAATCAGGAATGCCGCTGTGATGACAGAAGACCAGTCTGCTAGGCCAAGACCACTCATAGGAACCTGCGGCCTGGGGAGCCACGTTAGCCCAGGTCATGGCTCTCGGGTTGATGATACCCAGAGGAATTCAAACTGTCTTTCCGAGTTTAATAATCACACTGGCAGCAGCCACCTGCTTCCCTACGCAGATCTCTGCGAGGAAGACTGAAGTGTAAGCCAGGAGCCCAATTTCTCTTCTGCTTCTCTCTCGCCCTCCCCGCTCCACCCCTCGCCAGAGTGAGTTTCCTACTGACAGTTCAAGCAAGAAGTATATTCTTGGTACTTGCTATTTCTCTACGGGTTCTATTTCAGCTACAAAAATGAAATAAAAACGCTCTTATAACTCATGGTCTTGTGTCACCAGCATATTACTATACAGCCCCGAACCCAAACCTTCCCGAAGCAGAAGGAGAAGTGAACTCGATGTTTATCGTCGCGAAAGGACGTGTTTGTGGGCAGACACCACGCACCTCGGAGATGAAGTGCAGGGTCCCCCGGTGTCGGTACAGGCGCGCGGAGGGCTGCAGCTGGATGGCCTTCGTCAGGTCGCTCACGGCCTCGTTAATTCGTCCCAGGGGGGAGAGAATCTACAAACCCGAAAAGGGGGTCAGGGGAGAAAACTCCCAATGGTCAACCCTAAAACTGCCCCCATGTTCAGTTACACGTCAGCACGCTCCATGCTGAGCATTCCTCTCTCCGCAGACCGGAGTCCTGGACCCCAGGCACTGGGCAGTGAGGTTCAAGGTCAGCTGGGCCTGCAGCCCCGGCCTGGTGCTTGTTCCACAGTGTGGGTGAGCACGAATGTTGCTTTTCTAGAAATGGGAACATTTACCCCTCAACCTGTAATGACTCTTTCAGACGCAAATGGGGCGTGTCCGAATCAACCAGAAAGAAAACGGGGAGCCGAAACCGGTGTGGCTCAGTGGATAGAGCGTCGGCCTGCAGACTGAAAGGCCCGGGTTCGATTCCAGTCAAGGGCATGGACCTTGGTTGCAGGCACATCCCCAGTTGGGGGTGTTCAGGAGGCAGCTGATTGATGATTCTCTCTCATCGATGTTTCTAACTCTCTGTCCCTCTCTCTTCCTCTCTGTAAAAAAAAAAAATCCCCAATAAAACACAAATTCCTTTTAAGAAACTGAACTCTAATTTAAGAGGCTATAATTTAGAGAACAAAAACATCATAAATAGTTTGAAATTACTAAAATATGGCCGGTGTGGGTCAGTGGTTGAGCGTCAACCTATGAACCAGTCAGGGCACATGCCCGGGTTGTGGGCTCAATCCCCAGCAGGGGGCGTGCAGGAGGCAGCCCATCAATGATTCTCTCTCATCGTTGATGTTTCTCTCTCTCTCCCTCTCCCAATAAAAACATATTAAAAATAAAATAAGATGCTTAGTGCTTCCTTGCTAAGTTTTCTCTCCCCAAAGAGGAAAAAGAAGTTCAACTATGACATGGCACCTGATCAGATGACTAAAGTTACGCTTTATTCTGGTTAAACACATTAACACAAACTCTAAGCATTCCACATGCTATGTGTGCAGTAAAATAAACACCACGGGAAACGTGGATGTTCACTATCATCTTCTGAGAACGGTAAAATGAACACATTTCATTAAAAAACATTAAAAGTGAGTGCCCTCGCGCACATCCTTTCTCTGATCTGCACCCTCTCCTCTGTGTTGTTCCCCAGGAGATTTGACCTGTCTCAGATCTCCTCCCGTGAGGGTGAGGCCTGCGCCTGGTGAAGCTGGCCCCGGCCCACTCCTTGCCAACCTCGCAGAGGATGCTGGGGGCCGAGGCCACACCGCCCGGCTCCTGAGGAAGACCCTCACGTCTGCTCTCGCGATGGCCTGGGGTTTCCACCTCATGTGACCTCCTGCTCCCCTAGCGTTCCGTCACGGTCTGGGGACAGGCACGCTGCCCTGAGCTGTCTCCACGTGGGCAGGTGTGTCTCACAGGAATTACAGATAAACATGCGCATACACGCACGCACACACACAGGCGCACATACTCACACACGCTTCTAAAGGCGACATGTTTCACTTTGACCATCCATCATATTACGTTTTGCTAAGATATGTCATATAGACAATATTATACTTTTCCATGAACACTGACAGTAGTACTTGTCGTAAATATAAATATTACATTATGTGTTAAATCAGGAGTAGCATGTTTTAACGCTAAATATTACTATTATGCGCTAAGTCAGGAGTATCGTGTTTTATTACTAAATATTACTATTATATGCTAAGTCAGGAGTATCAAGTTTTAATACTAAATATTACTATTATATGCTAAGTCAGGAGTATCGTGTTTTATTACTAAATATTACTATTACATGCTAAGTCAGGAGTATCAAGTTTTAATACTAAATATTACTATTATATGCTAACTCAGGAGTATCATGTTTTATTACTAAATATTACTATTACATGCTAAGTCAGGAGTATCATCGGCCCACAGTTGTTTGAAAGCATTAAGTACCGAGGAGGAAAACAGAGCAGACATAAGGAGCTTTAAAGTTGACAAGTGATGAGATCATAAAAAAAGAAACTTGAGACTAAACTACTCGGGGAAGGGCAGGGGGAAAAGAAAGCACTCACTTCAGCTCGCTGCTCAAATACCTCTGGGCGGTCTGGTTCCAGGGAAATGACCCGGCTCAGCTCGAACAGAGCAAGTTCGGCATTCTTAATGTCCTTGAAAAGGCAGCAGCTCAGTGTGAGATTACTCAAGATGTCTGCAATAACAACTCAGCAATGACAGAACTACTGATTTAGAAATAAAATCCCAACTTAGCATCTCTAAGTCAAATGAGTCCAAGTACCAGGATCCAGCTCGCTCTGTCTACCCACTCATCGACAGCACACTGGACCCGACTCCTATCCCAGCTCCACAGATGGCAGAATCGTTTCTAAACTGAATCCAGTTCAACCCCGAAGCAAAGCATCTCAAGGGATGAGCAGGTGGACACCAGCGGGCAGAGGACGCTGCTGACCAGCGGCATTGTGGGAAGCGAAGGGGCCAAGTTGGTGTCAATCAGACCCCTGAGCATCCTACTCAACAGGAAGTCCAGGTAGGTTCTCTTTAAAATACGCCCAGGCCTCAGCCAGTGTGGCTCAGTGGGTGTGCGTCGACCTATGAACCAGGAGGTCATGGCTCAATTCCCGGTCAGGGCAGCACATGCCCAGGTTGTAGGCTAGGTCCCCAGCGGGAGGTCAGTTTGGCGGGGGGGGGGGGGCATGGCAAATGCAGGAGGCAACTGATCAATGATTCTCTCTAATCATGGATGTTTCTATCTCTCCCTTCCTCTCTGAAATCAATAACATATATATATATATATATATATATATATATATATATATATATATATATATTAAAAAAAAAAAAAAGAAAGAAAAGAAAAAACACATTTATCCTGACCGGTGTGGCTCAGTGGATAGAGTGTCGACCTGCAGACTGAAGGGTCTCAGGCTCGATTCCGGTCAAGGGCATGGACCTTGGTTGCGGGCACATCCCCAGTGAGGGATGTGCAGGAGGCAGCTGATGGTTGTTTCTCTCTCATCGATGTTTCTAACTCTCTATCCCTCTCCCGTCCTCTCTGTAAAAAAAATCAATAAAACATATTAAAAAAACAGAACAAAAACAAAACCCCACCACGGCGAAAGGAGCTCCAATTTGGAGCCCTCCTGCGCTGCCGCTGCCCAGCCGCTGCCCGCACCAGGGATGTGCCTCAGGAATCCGTTCCGGTCTCCCGCTTTGCTGGTCTATGCCCAGTTCACGTGCGGGCTGGCCAAGACTGCCCTTGTGGAGGAGACAGTATTGCAGAATGGACCTCCGAAGACCTGGGCAGACACCTTCCTCCCGGCCACCTGCTCTCCAGTCAGTCCTCTCCTGCCACCTGCTCCCTGCTCCCTGGACGGCCCTCCGCACGTCCCACCAGCGCTCAGCCAGCAGCGAGCGTTCCGTCCACCCTGGCCGTGCAGGCACTACGCAGGCGCGACTATTCCATACTCACATGTAGGCCCTTCTTTCCATAGGCTATGCCTCGGCCATAAATGGCACTAACCAGATCAGGCTCCTCCTAGTCAGACCAAAACAGAAACACGTCAAAAACTAGAAACAAAACAAAACAAAACAAAACAAAAGTCAGTTTCTGCTTCAAGCACGTTCACGCCCCAAGTGACAGCTCTGTGCTACCACACCTCCGTCCACGCGCAGTCCCCAACCAGGGAAATCTGTGTGCTTACGCCCATGGGAGTGAGAGTTTTGCATAAAAAAACGAACAAAAAAAACCCTAAAATATTGAGCCCTGGGCTGGTGTCTTTCACAGCATCCTCTTTAGAATGCAGGCCACCCCTCAACCACTCCAATGCTGACGGCATCTGCAAGCAAGTCTCCCTGAAAATGGAGGCTTAGGGGGTGGTCAGCTGGGGCAGGCCCCTTCCCGGCATGCCTCCTGTCCTGTCCTCATGAAGCCACCTGGAAAGGGCCGCCTGCGGAGCCAGCACGGTGAGGCGCAGGACACCCGTGGGCTCCACGGGCGGGTGGGGACACGTGGTCCTTGCACTTAATGGTCAGACCGTTCTGCAGCCTGCGGGAAATACCACTCTCCTGCCTTCTGTTCAGCCCGCTCACAGGCATGTGCCCGCGCTCTGGAGGTCAGCACTCCGGACAGCTCCTGGACACCAAGCTCCCCCAGCTCCCTGCATCTGCTAGTGCCACCGCCCCCCTCTCCCCTCGTCCATTCACCCGGGTTTCCAGAAAACAAATATTCCCTCTTTTACATATTATCTACTACGTGCAAATGAAAAACCCTGGTACAATAAGGTAGCTCCTTTGTTGGGATGATGCCCACTTAGTTGTCTCAAATAAACGTCTAGCTCACTATCCTCATCGCATCATTTACACAGTGACTTTAGATTTTAAAAAGACTTATTCTTCCACCACAAGGCTGGCTTTTTAAATTAAAACTCCAAAGTCATGGGATCGCAGACAGATGAATCCAAAAAGCCATCACTCAGCAATGCAAGGAGGACTACAGTGGGCTAAGTGGCAGACACACAGACGTATAGACATAAAGGATGTTTATTAAGATCACACTGGAGTCACTTCCACCAGAATCAGATCACAGGAGGGTGAGCTTTAGGTCACACAATCAGCCGCAAAAGCCAACTAACTGCCCCATTAAATGGTTCTAATATGGCGAGCGGAAGGCACCCCCATTCTGGGGACTGAATTCAGAAAGGTGTTGTTGGGATAAAAGTCAATTTCACTCCCCAAGGAAGAGTCCCACTGCATTTGCCAATGATTGAAAAAGAAGAGCAGTTAGGTTTCAAGAGCGATCACACTTCTAAAATATTACCTAGAGAGACTGATTTATAAAACTGAGTCATGGTGAGAAACGAAGCAATGATTGTTCTTTGCACACCTGCCACCACTGACTTGTATGGTTTCTTGATGAGACTGGCTATCAAGAATTTGAAGAACTCAACGAAAATTTCTCATTTTCAAACATAAAGCCTAATATGGAAAAGTTCTGGCCAGAAAAGCAGGAACGAATTTCTTACTAAAGTAGTAAAAAGAACATTAGCGTGTGGTATCAAGTCCTTGTAGGTTATGTTTGTTATAGTCCTAGAACCTGAAGACATGGGACCAAGGTCACCACACTCCATCTGAAATGTAAGTGGGCCTCAGGTCACTCCGTGTGCCGTGCACATATGATTTTCCACCATCAGAGAAATCACCCGGCCGGTGTGGCTCAGTGGTTGAGCATCCACCTGGGAACCAGGAGGTCACGGTTCAATTCCCGGTCAGGGCATATGTGTTCACTGTGTACAAGTGCTGGCTTACCTTTTTAAATACTGTCCTGTTAAACAGAAAGGTGACTTTAAAACTATTTACACTCTATTCTTTGCACTTGACACTCAGTACTGAAGAGTATTATTCCCTATGTCCACCCAAACGCACAGCTCCTTGGGGACTTTCAAGTAAAAACTAAAAAATGGACCATCAATTTTTTTGAGAGCCAAGTTAGGATTAGCAACCTAACTGAACCCAGGCTTTAAAAAAGAGAAAACAGAAGCGCAGCAAAAAATGTCAAAATTATTTTCTTAAAATGAAGTCTACGTGCTATTAGCCCGTGCTGTATCAGCAAAGATAGGTATGCCGGAATGGTGCTCCGAGCCGTTAAAATTTACTGGGCGTTTATGTGTGCCAAGTACTGGCTACGGAGTACTTTGTGGGGCATCTCATTTAGGACTAACAGGAATATTTTGGGAGGTAGTTATTATCCTCATAGCCCAGAAGGCTAAGTAACTTGCTAGAGAGCAGCTAAGTGGGTTGGAACCTGAGCATCCCTAACTCCAAAGTTCACGTGTTCGTCACTGTTCTCCACGTCAATCATCGGCAATGGTGAAGTAGCTACAGAAATAAGCTTAGGGCACAGAAGGCCAACAATGTAAAGCTCCACGAAGGGTCCCCTGGCAACTACGTATTTAAGCATTTCACCTTAACCAGATGTTAGCGCAGTTATCCGCCATCAAAGGCCCGATAATCCCACTAAAGAGTCTCATAATTATACTTAAACGTGAGAAACAGCCAAAACTGGTTTGGCTCAGTGGATAGAGCATCAGCCTGTGGACAGAAAGATCCCAGGTTCGATTCCAGCCAAGGGCATGTACATTGGTTGAAGGCACATCCCCAGGAGGGGGTGTGCAGGAAGCAGCTGATCGATGTTTCTAACTCTCTATCCCTCTCTCTTCCTCTCTGTAAAAAAAAAAATCAATAAAATATATTTTTTAATAAAAAAGTGAGAAACAAATCCATGAGTGGAACTTAAGCTAACCACAGAGAGCAATTCCTGCATAGAGTAATGTTTTAACAATATTTTGAATAGGAGAGGTAGACTGCAAACATCTGGATTCCAAGAAGCACCCGTGTCCACCCTATGGGAAGAGGCCATGGGAGAGAAGAAAGTGAACTTAGCTAATGACTATCTTTTAAACTTGCATTTGAATCCCGCCTGCCACCTTGTGATGGACACTCGCTTCCCTCACTGACAGTAACACTGCGGATGGAACGAGACCCCAGGACGAGGCCTGCACCATGGAAGTGCTCCCAGTCAGGGTGGATTTCCTTAAAACAGGTGGCTTATTGCAACACTTGAACGACGCGTAAGTCCATGCTTATGTCATGACTATGAACTTGAAATTACATATTGAAGAAGGAACATTACCTGAAGCATTGTTGAGAAATGTCTAATGGCTTCATCATAGAGACCACTGCCAATCAACACATAGGCAATAGCTGTGGAAGAAATACAAAAAGATTCAAGGTCAGAAGCGAGGATCTCAGACTAGAATCAGTAACGAAAACGCGTTACTACATCTTAGAAGGCAGCTCCGAGGACCAGGAGCTGTTCCAGAAACCCGAGAAGCTATAAGATGTAATCGAATTCCTCTACCAACTCCGCACTTGCTAATCAGTCTCCTAGTTTTATCTGGATGTAAATTATTAAAGCCAGCGATAAAACATCTGCCTACAAGAAGTAATTATCTTTTTCAAGTCCATCACTCACTTTCAAATACCCAATAACCTTTACGAGCCTTTCTATCTATATCTCAAAAGAACTACTAATGGGTCTGAATAATATCCACATAATAGGCGATTTTACTGTGAAAGTCTTAATACCCAAAGAGCATCACAAATCTCGATTCCTGGGGATGCTAAGTTTACTACCAATCACCTAATGAGAACAGAAACAGAGGCTCAAATGAATATATATTAACGTCATACTTAACTGTAAATAATTCACAGGACTGCAATCTACCGCTCCTATTCAAAATATCGTAAAAACACTACTCAAAACGTACACTAGTGAAGAATGAGTAGTTTTGATAAAATTGTTTAGTTAAGTTTTAATATGATGTATTTATTATGTTTCCATCTATAATACTTGCCCAAACTCTGTACATCCCCAAATACACCCGAAAAAAATATTCCTCATTCAATGTGCCACTTGATAATTATATTTCTTTGCAAAAAAAAAAAAAAAAAAAGCTGTACCACAACTCTAATTCTAAGCTGTCATAGATGTTCAAGAAGATGAGCAGCCCTAACTGGTTTGGCTCAGTGGGTAGATCGTCGGCTTGCGGGCTGAAAGGTCCCAGGTTCGATTCCAGTCAAGGGCATGTACCTCGGTTGCGGGCACATCCCCAGTAGGGGGTGAGCAAGAAGCAGGTGATCAATGATTCTCTTTCATCGATGTTTCTAACTCTCTATCCCTCTCTCTTCCTCTCTGTAAAAAAGAATCAATAAAATATATATATATTTTTAAAACGTAGCAAATACTCTTAAAATGCAGTAAAACATGATGAAATGCAGAAAGAGATTTAAATCACCTTTAGAACTAACTTGAGAAAAGCAAAGTTCCGAAACACTGAGCATCATAATAATGCAAGAAGAGCTTTTGAGGGCATTCTTCAAAATCAGATTTAAAAAAGGACTGTCTTTAAACTGACGTCTTTGAAGAGACACATTAAGGTCAAACTTGTATTCGCCCTAACAGTGGGTGCTATTCAGACAGCCCTATCGGATAACAAGATAAGAGAGACTCCTTTGGTGTGGCGCAGTCACATCAGAGGGAACGGCAACAACAGTGACAACAGTGACGCGTTGCTGTGCTCCTAACACGGGTGAGGCCCGGTCCTGACGCTGACACACAGATTGGAGAAGCGCCCCCCACAAAGCCTCACCCAGCTGCTCGTTAGTGCTGTCGTCGTCAGTAGCAAAGGGAAATCTCTTCTGTTCTGCGACCGACTTGGCCTGGCTCTGAAATTTAAAAAAAAGACACACACACACACACACACACACACACATACACACACACACACACGTTAGCGTATCGGAGAGGAAGAGAAACCATGACAAAAACCTATCTTTGGAAAAGTAAAGCTACATTGAATTTACAGGTGAAGCAATCAGTTGTCACTGACACATCCAACGTCAAGGGCACACCGTCTGCGTGTAACTCGTGTGCTTCCTGTGGTGGTTCCGTGTCAGACAGCCAGACCTTTCCCCTCCGTGGGGATTGGTCTCGCTGGCGGCCCAGGCCGCCTCTGCATCTCCGGGGGCCATTGAACGGCCTCAGCTGTGTTGCAAACCTCACATTCTAGTGACCCGTTCCTCAGTGGGTCTCGCTAACAGGACGCTGCTCTTAAACCCTGACACGGTTTAGAAATAAGAGCTACACGTTGCAAAGATGACACCATAGAAGGACAAACAAAATCGGACCAAGAAACAAGACAACGTTTGGCAGGACTCAAAACAGAGGTGGGGCCAGGGGGAAACAGGTTATGTAAGTTCGCTCCGTGGTCGGCAAACTGCGGCTCTGTGAACGAGCGAGTTTGCCGACCGCTGTCCTATGCTGCCCTTTACCTCTCTGCATACCATGTGCCACAACTGCCTCATCCTCACAGCTTCCAACTGCAGCGTAGCACTGAGTCTAGTCCAGTGGTCGGCAAACTCATTCGTCAACAGAGTGGCAAACCACGGCTCGCGAGCCGCAGTTAGCCGACCACTGAGTTAGCTTATACGTGGGATGATTTCAATAAGCAGCATTGGTCCAGCACACAAAATGAGGCCTCTACCGAGTTTTGGAGACAAACGGTGTCTGACAAAGAGCTGCTACATCCCCAGATACGGCTGTCGACGCTACCGTAAGACTGTACTTTCAAATCCTCTAGAGATAAGGTTCCTGGTGCCCTTTCATTCCTTAGCATTTCACAGTGACATGTACTAGGTCCCGGGGGACCGGCCTCCCGATACATAAGAGCTCAATGTGACCCAATACAAGGTGCACTATCTTCGTCTCGTGCACACAGACCCACTGGGCAGATAAGCGGGGACAAGCATTGCACACACAGGAGGCACGGGACACACACACACACACACACACACACACACACACGACGCACCAGGATCTTCTCCGTGTTGAGGGAAAGCAGAGAGTCGCAGGGCAGCGGTCCCCGGGGCTCGCAGTCCGAGTCGTGGAAGCTCAGGAAGGAGGACTCTGAAAGGCAAGCATTCCTTGTTACTGTCTGCACCTCCAATGCAGAGCTCTCTGCTGCTCACCTGGGAGCGAGCATGCGAAGGACCCTCCAAACCAGAGGGAGGACAGGTGGAGGACCGTCCACCCTGACAGCTGTGGACCGGTTTCACAGGTCCAGTATCCTGCATGCCCACTCGTGACTGTGCTCACGGCCATCCCGCAAATGGCCGAAGCCAGTGAGACTCCCCAGGTGCCAAGATGCGGTTTTGGCAAGTTAGAATGTACTGAAGGCCAACGGGGCAAACCGGTACTAGTCCAATGCTGGTCCCACGGCAAACAGGGAATCAGTTCTGTGAGTAACTGTGTCGTCTACGTGCAGTGACACCCAGGTCTTTCTAATGTGTACACTCAGCATCTGATGGCGCTAATACAACTTCAAAAAAGTGCTCAGAAACACGAGTGACCACAGGCACTCCTGCTCATCCTGGCGTTCACATTTCACTCAGATCCACACAAACGACAGGAAGAGGACTGAAATGGGAAGTTGAAGGGGAAGGACAATCCTTGAGGGAAGGATTAAACTTTGTTTAAGTCCAGAGCTTGGAGCTGTCTTGCAGGCAGGAAGTTCGTTCCAGACCGAGGTAGATAAGAGCTGTCACAGGAGCCTGGCAATCGTCACCTTGGGCTCCTTGGACACCTGGGGAAATGAGCTCGGCGTGAGTGAATGGACACGTTCAAAGTCACAAAACGAAGGAGGAGCACAGCTGAGCCTTGCCACATCGGCACTCAATCAAGGTCCAGGGTCCAGCCGCCGCCACTCCCTCCCCAGCGCTGGGTGCTGGCAGCCAACGGGGCGGCAGGGCAATGCCACCCACTTCCTTCCTCCGGGCCGCACCCACGGCCGCCCGAGGGGAGCAGTTTGGGTGCGGAGACAAGAGAGAGATTTGTCTTCATCTCTCTTTTACCGGCCTCAGAGCGTTTACAGAGGGCCACAGCCGCCGGGAGAGCCGTTACTAGAAAGATCGACAGAATGGGGGCCGAGTGCCCTGGGCTGGGAGAGGAACTGACAAGACCCCTGCGTGTCCCTGGCTCTCTGCACGGAAGGGCGAACGCTGACCACACGTGTGTTCTTCCTGTCTCCGTGTGTTCTTCCTGTCTCTTCAGCTCTGAAGTCTCAGCTCAGGATGGCATATGGGCCTCTGTTGCCCGACTGACCGCCTGTGGCTTCTGTCCTTACGGAGGCCCCCGTACAGACAAAATGACATTTTGTTTTTCTCCTGATGATCTGTTCCAGGTCGATTTCTCAGACCAGCCAGAACGGAGAAGGGTAAGGAGAAATGTTTCTTCCCCAACAGAGCTGACGGATAGGTTCGAGAGAGCCCTGGACAGGTGGAGGCGGAGCACGTGAAATCTCCTCTGAGGAAATCTGCAGAGAGATGAGGTCACGGCAGGAAAGGCCCTGGTCCTAGCCCTGCTACTTGGTTGTTTATTTTTGTTGTTGTTTTTTTCAAGATGGGGGTACTACAGGCAGGTGATGCTGATGGAAGGCAAGAGGGCGTGACATCCCGGGCATAAGGAGAGAGGCTGAAGGCAATAGCTGCATGCAGGCCCGGCCGGTGTGGCTCAGTGGTTGAGCGTTGACCCATGAACCAGGAGGTCACGGTTCAATTCCTCCTCAGGGCACATGCCCAGGTTGGGGGCTCAATCCCCAGGAGGAGTCATGCAGAAGGCAATTAATCAAAGAGTCTCTCTCATCATTGACGTCTCTCTCTCTCTTCTTCTCTGAATTCAATAAAAATATATTTTAAAAAATTCACAAGAGACTTGTCACAAAATTATATATGTCAACAAACACACAAAATCAGGATCAAGGAAAAAAAAATAATGGATTGAGCAAATATACTAATGGTAAGGGTTACCGCAGTTGCCAACAATTTACTTAACTTTCCCGTAGCCAGAGCAAGAAAGGAAACAGCTCTCGTTACAAAAGCTCCCGTCTGCTGATTCCTTATCACCTCCAAGGCACTGAGGATTGAAGTGCTGTGAGCCATCAGGCCGATTTCATTGTTTTAAACTACTGGTGCCTCAATTAAGGAAGATACCCCGTGTACTGACCACCTTTGTGTGTGTGTGTGTGTGTGTGTGTGTGTGTTATTGATTTCAGAGAGGGAGAAAGAGAAACATCAACAATGAGAGCAAATCATTGATCAACTGCCTCCTGCACACAACCACACAGGGGATGGAGCCCGCAACCCAGGCACGTGCCCTTGACTGGGATTGAACCTGGGACCCTTCAGTCCGCAGGCCCACGCTCTATCCATCCAGCCAAACCAGCTAGGACTGCACTGGACATCGTTAAGTCTCATGGACCTGGCCAGAACCAGAGCTGAATGCTAGTTGGTGAGTGCAGATCTGTCTGATCCTGACGACCCGAGTCTTGCTGGACCCTGGCACGAATCTAGACCCTGATAGGGATAATCGGGGAGTTCTGGATTCAGAACATCAGCCCCCCGGGGCCGTGGCCCAGTTCACGGTAAATCCCGAATTGGTTCCTACAACCTTTTCTTCTTCGGACAGAGAGGGGTGAGCGATGGTTTCAGAGGGTCCAGCATCCACCTGCTTGTCCAGGACGAGGAGGGAGAAAGGAGATGTCCCAGCGTCTCCACCACATGGTCAGAGCCTGCAGCCCCGAGCAGCACCAGCCTCTGGGAACAATCTGACGTCAGCAGTGACAAAGGCCCTCCAGCACCTGTCAGCAGCTGCTGGGACATGCATGTCAGCCTGCGAGGCTGGCTGAGGGACTCGCAAAGCTCATGAGCAGTGGCATGTTTAAAATTCCAAGCTAAGAAAAGAAGTACAGCCCGGGGGAGAGACAAAGTGAAGTGAAACATTGAAATAAATTACGCTTTAAGCTTCCAGGGCAGTGTGCCTCCTCCCCAGCAGAGAAGTTAGACAATGGTGTCTAGTCTACAGAGGAGGGGGAGGAAGGAGGGACAGAATGATTCCTCTACAAGCCCCGTTTAGGAAAACCCACATGCGCCCGGCCCGAGTGACTCAGTGGTTGAGCATTGACCTATGAACTAGGAGGTCACAGTTCAACTCCCAGCCAGGGCACAGGCCCGGGTGGTAAGCTCCATCCCCACTGTGGGGCGTGCAGAAGGCAGCCGATCCATGATTCTCTCTCATCACGGATATTTCTCTCTCTTCTTCTCTTTTCCTCTCTGAAATCAATAAAAAAAATTTTTTTTAAAAAGGAAACCCACATCTATCTTTATTTGGGGGTTGGGGCGAGGTGCACACGGGCATAAGCCTGATGCTACAGGATAAAAACGATCTACCTGGATCAATAACATCAATTGATCTACCTGGATCAATAACATCAATTGATGATATAAATCCAATTGTTTCTTCCCCTGCCTAGGATCTGGGTCCTTCCAGCCAGTGAGCATCACACAGCTCAGCTATACTATAGGCGGGAAGGGGAATGAGGATTTACACAGTATATACACGGAGTGGCCAGATGATGATGATCTCTGAACACATCATCATCTGGCCACTCAGTGTCTATCCTATAGAATAAAAGGCTAATATGCAAATGGTCCCCTCCACCAGGAGTGTGACCAGCAGGCAGGCCGGCCAACCATCCATGTCCCTGCACCCTGGCCAGGCTGGCCGGGCCCCACCCATGCACGAATTCATGCACCGGGCCTCTACCACACACACACACACACACACACACACACACACACACACACACACAGTGGCCAGATTATCATGCGTTCAGAGAGATCATCATCATCTGGCCACTCCGTGTATACCATTTGCTAGTAAATGCAACAGACGTGTGCTCCCACCTACAACCACTTAGCGTGAATAAGGGTTTTATCCGGGGGCCTAACCACCTGGGCTCCTCTCCTGGCAGCTGTGGGGCCGCAGGAAAGAGGTGGTTTCACCCGAAACAGGAACCACCATCCTATCTGTGCTGCGGTTACGGGTGTCCTGATCAACGGAGAGAAGAAGCTGACCGCCCTCAACTCTGACGACACAGTGAGCACTCAGATAGTTAGCGATTTCTCATTTCCCTCACCGCACACACTCTTGCCAAAGAAGAGAAAACCCTGTCCTTAGGTCACAGCGTCTTCCCCTTAGAGGGCAGACCCTTTTGCAAAGGCAGGCCATTGGCTTGTTCCCATTCACAGAGGGCCACGAAGTATGAAACGATAGACCCTCCCTTCCTCCAGCTGATGGACAGACGTAAACCCCACCTGCGGCCGGACATTCCTGAGCCCTGAACCACCCATGAGCCCCTGCCAAATACCCTGAGCCCCCGATTCCTAAGTCCCTCGGTCCCTAATCACCCATCAGCGTGTGCTGAGTGCCCTAAGCCCCGTCCCCTATCCTTCAAGGTGCTTGTACCCCGGCTCTCTCTCTCTCTCTCTCTCTCTCTCTCTGGAAGCAGCTGGCAGGGAGACTCTTCCCTCCAATAAAGCCTGTGTCCTGCCATCCCGGTGTCCGGCTACCTTCTCTATTTAATCTATCATAAAACCCATTCCTTCTTCCCAAGGCGAGACAGGCTGGCCTTGCGGTGCATGCTGTCACTAGCCAAAGTCTGCAGCCACACGCTACAACCACAATAATAAAGCAAGCGGCATGGCCCTCGGGGAACGGGGACTTCCTCCAGGAAGTGAGGCGGTGCGAAAAGGAAATCAGTGTGTGTGCTAATCTTGACATCTCATCTCAAGCAAAAAAATAATAATAACAAAAAAATACTATTGTCTTCCAGGTACAGAATGCCCACGAACACGGCTCTCAGGCCACTTCCTACGAGAGAGGGAGGTGGACTCAGACCTTTGAGAAGTGAGCCTTAAGGTGACTCAGTCCAGGGAAGGGGGGGGGGGGAAGGGGAGGGAGGGCGGCGGCGGCAGAACTTCAAAACCGGTTCTCTAAGTCACTCCTCTGCGGCACCCCTCACGGCCCATTCATTCCAGGGAGGCCAAGGGCGCCCAGCGTAATGAATGAGCGGACCCACGACGGCTGGAGGCCCGCGGGGCCCTTTTCACCTCCGGGGAGACACACCTGAAAGGTCCCAGGTCCAGCCGCAGCCACCGGAAGCGAGATGCCGACAGCAGATAAGACGGGCGGTTCGGCTCCCCTCTTTCTTCCCAGGGGATCGAATGGCACAGGCTATTTCCTACACGCATCAGCCTGCGGAGTCGCTGGGACACCCCGATTTCCAGGCCTCCCCATGGGCCAGGCCTCCCTGCTGCCCGGCGCGGGGTCCCCATCCGTCTGTCCATCCGTCTGTCCCTCCCTTGGTTCCCACGGCACCCCAGGGGGGTTCCGGGGCGGGAACAGGGGGGCTCCCCCGGCCGCCTGCCAGCTCCTCCATCACCTTTCCTTCCCGCAGCTGCTGGGGCTCGGGAGAGGCCGCCCCTGGCCCGGGAGCCTGGGGTCCGCTCTTGGCTCCGGTCACCGCCCTCCCAGGCCGCCCCCCGGGGGAGCAGGAAGCGGCCCCGGCGTGGCACCGCGTGGACCCGCCGGCAGCCCCCACGGCCCCGTCCCTTCCCCCCTCCCCATCCCCCGGCGCCGCCGCCGCCCACTCACCGCCGCACTCGGCCGCGAACTGGTCCCCCCAGTCCCCGGACTGCGGGCTGCAGCCGCCGCCGCCCGCCGGGGCCTCCTGCTGCCGGTGCTGCAGCTCCTGCTTGAGCAGCGACAGCGGCGTGTAGTGCTCGGTGGCCAGCGCGCCCGGCCTCCCGGACGGCAGGACCGCGAGCAGCAGCAGCAGCGGCGGCACCAGCGCGCGCCGAGCGGCGGCGGCCGCAGCGTCTGCCCGGCGGCAGCGGCAGCGGCAGCCGGCAGGTGCCATCTTCCCTCACGGCGCATGTGCGGCGGCCCTCGCCGGGCGCTGCCGGCCTCCCCGGCTTACCCCGCGGCCGGCAGGTGGGCGGCGGGAAGGGGCGGGGCGGCGAGCCGCATTGCCTGCTGGGCGTTGTAGTCCCGCTGGGCCAGCTCCGAGGGCCCCTCTTTTAGATGAAGGGACTACGAGTCCCGGCAAGCACCGCGCGACGCAGACCTTCCGTTCTGGCTTCTGACGGCTTCCCGCGGCGCTGAATCGGAAGTTCTGGGCTACCGGCGGCCGAAGAGATGGGGACCGGTGGGCGGGGTGGGCTGCGGCCCGGCAAGGGGAGCCCCGAGGGGGTGACAGGGGGCAAGGGGAACCCCGAAGAGGCATCAGCCGCTCCTACGGCCGCCGCCGCTCCGGCCTCCTGCCAGTACAGGTGCATCGAGTGCAACCAGGAGGCCAAGGAGCTGTACCGAGACTATAACCACGGCGTGCTGAAGATAACCATCTGCGTGAGTGGTCCCTTGGGGGGAAAGGGGGGTCCTTAGGGGAGAAAATGGGGTGGCGAGATTTGGGGGTCAGTTTGTACCAGCTTTTTAAAAAATATTTTATTGATTTTTTTTTTTTACAGAGAGGTAGAGAGAGGGACAGAGAGTTAGAAACATCGATGAGAGAGAATCATGGATCAGCTGCCTCTTGCACACCTCCTGCTGGGGATGTGCCCGCAACCAAGGTACATGGCCTTGACCGGAATCGAACCTGGGACCTTTCAGTCTGCAGGCCAACGCTCTATCCACTGAGCCAAACCGGTTTCGGCTGTATCAGCTTTTTTGAGGGTGATAAGAATTGAGTGTCAGGATCTTCAGTTGGATGCTCAGCAAAACCGGTCCGAGGTCGGTCACGACTTCCCTTGAATACCTGTAGTGACGGGGGACTCACTACCGCGCCCTGCTGTTCTCTTGGGGGGTCCTGTTTGCCGGTGGGTGAGCCCTAAACCGGCGAATGGGCCTCGGGCGGACATGGATGCAGGTGCCGTGCAAAGAAATTAAAAAGATCGGATTAGGCTGACATCTGGGTTCGCACTAAAAGCTGTTTTATTTCTAGATATTCTCCCTATGGTAGACAAGTTGCGTAGCATTCGTACACTCCATGACCCATGTTTAGGATCTCTTCGTATGAATGAGACTGGGAGACCAGAGATGCTACTTATTTTTTTTTTAAAGGTGTTTATTGATTTCAGAGAGGAAGGGAGAGGGAGAGAGAAACATCAAGGAGGAGAGAGAATCATGGATCGGCTGCCTCCTGCACACCCCACTCTGGGAATGGAGCCCTCAACCTGAGAATGTGCCCTGACTGGTAATCGAACCCTGACCTCCTGGTTCACAGGTTGACCCTCAACCACTGAGCCACGCCTGGTACCACATTCTTTACGGCTTGTAGCTCTCAGAAGCTCTGGGTGCAGGGTTCCTTTCTGAACCCTTTTCTTCAAATCATGTTTCAAGAACCACAACGTTGGGGGCCACAGGCAGCCGTTTATCAGTGGAAGTACACGATAAATGTGTAATGATTCCTACAAACGCAGAGTTTTCTGGGATATTTTCCTGCTAAAATCAGTCTTTAAATCAAACATCCTTTTAGCTTCTTAAAGGAGAGATTAAAAGGTTAATGTTCTCATATTGTTTTTGCATTCTTTCAGAAATCCTGCCAGAAGCCTGTGGACAAATATATCGAGTATGATCCTGTGATAATTTTGATTAATGCTATTTTGTGCAAAGCCCAGGCCTACAGGCATATTCTTTTCAATACTAAAATAAACGTAAGTTGTGACAATTATTTTTTTTTTAATTTCCTAATTTTACTCGATGATGCTTTTGCATTTTAAAAGAATCATTGTGAACAGAATTAAAGGACCTTTTCTTAAAAAAGAAATCTTGATGAGGGTGGGTGTTTTTTTTTTTTCTTGGCAATGTGTGGAAGTTTCTAGAAATAATCGTTGGTTAAGTACACCATGTTTAGTGAATATTGAAAAATGTGGTCACTGGTAGTAAACTGAAAAGCCATTATCTGGGTTCCCTTTCAGTAGGTTATCTTAGAAACAGATATCAATTATTTTTACAGAATAAAATTAAATATATCCAGACAGGGAGAGAATTGCACCTGTAAGAAATAAGCAAACATTAAAGAAAAATATTTTAAAATGTCATTTGTACCATTTTATACTCTGCTCTTGAGGGAATGCATGAGGTAACAGTATTGAACTTCAGCAGCCCCCATTTATAAATAAAGTTGGATTTTTCAAATATACATTTAGTGTATTGAGTTGAGAACTCTTTAAAAGATTGGTTTGAGAGAGAAATACCAATTTGTTATTCCACTTATTTATGCATTCATTGGTTATCCCTGTATGTGTCTGACAGGGGGTTTGGTTTGGAACGCACATTGAAGTGGGTGGCTTGTATTTTTACTTGCTAAAGCTGGCAACCCTGAACCGGTTTGGTTCAGTGGGTAGAGCGTCAGCCTGCGGACTCAAGGGTCCCAGGTTTGATTCTGGTCAAGGGCATGTACGTTCTAGAGTATCAGTCGCCAACTGGTGGTCCGAGGGCCCACTGGTGGTTCTCCCTAAGGTCCCAAAGATTGTTCTAGAGCATATTTCCATAGACCGAATCAGGACTGGGGCCGAGACATGGGTATTTATTTTGAAAAGTCTCCCCATGTGATTCTGATGAGGACATTGCTAATTAAAAACCACCAGTTTTATAGACTGAATGCAGCTATGCCAGTGGTCGGCAAACTGCAACTCGTGAGCCACATGCGGCTCTCGAGCCGCGGTTTGCCGCTCTGTTGACGAATGAGTTTGCCGACCACTGAGCTATGCACCCCCATGGGCAGTTGGGCATGGCGATGATGTTCAAAACCACAGATACACCCCGTGTCTGCACCCATTGGAATTAAGCGCTGCTCCCCCTGACTGGCCAGTGCCGTGCCTTTGACCTCCAGATGCACGGAAAACTCTGCATATTCTGCTTGCTCTGTGAAGCCTACCTGAGGTGGTGGCAGCTCCAGGACTCCAGCCAGAACACGGACCCCGACGACTTCATCAGATACGCCAAGGAGTGGGATTTCTACCGAATGTTTGCCATCGCGTCTCTCGGTAGGCACAGGCCACGCTTGCTTGCTTGCTTGCTTGCTTTTCTCTTTTTTTAAACTGATGTCAGGAAGGGAGAGGGAGAGAGAAAACCATCGTTCTTGGTGATACGTTATATGTTGGGGTTGGGGTTTGTTTGGATTGGGACGTTCGTTAAGATTTTTATTTCCCGTTTCCTTTTTCAGAACAAGCTGCCTTTTTTGTGGGCATTTTTACCTTCCTGTGGATAGAACGGTCCATCGCAACGAAGAAGAACCCCAACTTCCTGCTGCTGCTGAAGGCGCTGCTGTTGTCCAGCTACGGGAAGCTCCTGCTGATCCCCGCTGTCATTTGGGAGCACGAGTACACCCCGCTGTGCCTGCGGCTCATCAAGCTGTTTGTCCTTACCTCAAACTTCCAGGCAATCAGGGGTATGTCCCTTCTACTCCGTCTTCCCAGCATTCCACGGAATAAAGCTTCTAGGCTTTGCCCGGCCAGTGTGGCTCAGTGGTTGAGCTTTGACCTATGACCCAGGAGGTCATGGTTCGACTCCCTGGCAGGGCACCTGCCGGAGTTGCAGGCTCCATCCCCAGTAGGGGTTGTGCAGGCGGCCGCCAATCAGTGATTCTCATCCTTGATGTTTCTATCTCCCTCTCCCTCTTCCTTCCTCTCTGAGATCAGTAAATAAATATAAATATACATACATACATATATATATATATATATATATATATATATATATATATATATGTTTTTAAAAAGCTATAGCCTTTTATTTCTAGATCACAGTTTTTATATGACCTGTTAAACGTCGGAAATCTTTATAGAATAATGACAATGCCTACCATTTGTATACTGCGGTCTACATAGCACGTATTCAGTATCTGTTCAGTTTCACCATGTAGTTTTTCAAAATGTTTTCACCTGTCACGTCGTCATGACAGCGTCCCGCCGTTCCGCTCTGAAGACCTTACCCGTGCGCCTTTGCTTCCGCAGTGACGCTCAACACCCGCCGCAAGCTGTCCTTCCTGGCCATCGTGTGCGGCCTGCTGACAGAGGGCGCCATGGTCCACCTCTTCCAGACGATGGACTGGGACATCGGCAGCGACTGCGCCGGCTACAAGTCACAGGACTTCTGAGGAGGTACAGCGGCGCCTGGTGCCTGCACCCACAGGGGTCCCTCCCCAGGCAGGCAGGTGTCACTGTGAATAAGGAGGCCCTTACAGGGGACACACACACACACACACACACACACCTGATTGCCTCACTCACAGGGCCCTTCACTGCATCATCTTCAGGGACATCCGCACCCGGAGCCTGTCCTCACCATTTCCCTGACTCCGCGCTCCCACTCACTCCTGCAAGGACCTCAGACTCAGAAGTCGGTCCCTGCGACACCTGCTCCACCCTTTCCGACCATCTGCTCCCTCCCTCCCTCCCTCCCTCCCTCCCTCCCTCCCTCCCTCCCTCCCTCCCTCCCCCAAGGCCCAGGACCCAGTGCCCGTCCGGGATCTTCTGAGGCTGCCCCTGTGGCAGACACGATGCCCCACTATGACTTCTGTTTAGGAAAATAAGGTCACCTGGCTTTGACAGCGCTTTGAAGACCTTTCCCCGCCATTACATTGGCTCGTGTCTTACATCTGTGAATGCCTGAAATTACAGTCCCCCGTGTGTGTGCCTGACCCCCCGCAAACTGGGTCACGTTCAGCGCCCAGAGTCCAGGCCCGGGTTACTCTGCTTCCCATAGGACACGGCCTGCCCTAACCAGTGTTTGCTGTTAGGATTTCAGCAGAACGTGCGGTTCCAAATATTTGTTTTATCACCCACAGTTTTATTCTCTACTCTCTGTGGCATGGCCAGCTCCATCTGAGAAAGAGAAGACATAAATACAACCAAACTCCTCATTCCTGTGGAGCAAAACGAAGATAGACTGTCTGGAAAGAAAGCCATGGTCATGACCTTCAAAACCCCAACCCTACCCCCTCAGCCCTCACCCCACTGACGGGAGACAAAACCACAGGCACAGGCACAGACACACACCAGAACACCGGAACCACACACATACACACACACACACACACACACACACACACACACACACACGGCATTGCTGCAGGAAGGGGGCACCAGCAAAGAGGGACAGCTTGTAGGCACTGCAGGTAAGCATCTAAATGAAGAAAGGAGCATGCACTCGGATTCATCCAAATCTGTCTCCTGTCGCACTCTTGTACCTTCTCACTTAAATGTTTGCTATTGACTTAACACATTTAAAACAATATTTTGTATTCTTATGACTTTTAATAAAGTAAAAAAAAAATAAGCTTTTGTCGATCCTCAATTCAGTATCTTTCCCTGTAAGTTACCTTGCAAGTGAACAGATCCAGAAATAACTAAAAACGGCTGAGTGGTACACTTTACAGGAGTGGATTATACCTCAATGAAGCTGTTCTTAAATCAATATTACCTCGCCCCTTTTCTCTCCTCCTGTTTCACTCATTTGTTCTTTCACTCCTTGGGATGTGGCCTACTAGCAACCAACAAGGCATTTATATGGAAAACCACTCGAAGGTATAAAAATTAAAACCCTTTATTTTTTTTTAAAGTAGGTTTTTATTGATTTCAGAGAGGAAAGGAGAGTGAGAGAGAAACATGATGAGAGAATCACTGATCAGCTGCCTCCTGCACGCCCCACACCGGGGATCAAGCCCACAACCCAAGTGCCCTGACCAGGAATTGAACCATGACCACCTGATTCATGGGCGGGCACTGAGCCACACCAGCCAAGCTGAATCCCTTTTAGATATCCCATATGCTGAAAAGCATGGGCATTCAGCCTTCTGTCATGGGTCAGACGGTGGCTACACTGACAGCACCCCCTGGTGGCTGCTGAGTTTCCAACATAGCCATGAGCCAGAAGCGCTCAGTGGGACCACTATGTTGACATGAATGAGGCACATGAGACATGGACAAGGGGGCTTTTGTTCCAAGGTTTTCTATCCCTGTCTGAAGCCCTCTGAGCTAAATTTGGAAGAAAACATCGTGCTGTCTATATGAGCCAAAGAAAGAATATTTTTAGATATTTACAAGACAGAATAAAAGGCGAAAACACTTAAAAAATATTTTTTACTGATTTTATTTTTAAAATACATTTTTATTGATTTCAGAGAGGAAGACGAAGGGAGAGATAGAAGCATCAGTGATGAGAGAGAATCATGGATCGGCTGCCTCCTGCACGCCCCACACTGGAGATTGAGCCCGCAACCCAGACTGGGAATTGAATTGTGACCTGCTGGTTCAGAGGTTGACATTCAACCACTGAGCTAAAAAGTCGTTTGTAAATCATAGTCTTTAATGAAAATACTAAAGCTTAGGATGATTAAGGGATGTACTTAGGGATGGTTATATGGTGGCAACATTGGGACTAAGACCTTGGTCTCTAAGCCTGGTCTAATGGGGGACCAACCTCTGGGACCACGTTGGTCTGTGCACCCAGTTTAGTGAGGGTTTCTGGATCTATTTCCCCTTGTTAAGAAAGGGATAACTTACTGTTCATGAAACAGAACAATAAAGAAAAAGAGGAATTAAAATAAATAGGGGCCCGGCTGGCGTGGCTCAGTGATTGAGCTTCGACCTATGAACCAGGAGGTCATGGTTCGATTCCCAGTCAGGGCACATGTCCAGGTTGTGGGCTCGATCCCCAGTGTGGGGCGTGCAGGAGGCAGCCCGTCTTTACTCGTCATCGATGCTTCCCTCTCTCCCTCTCCCTTCCTCTCTGAAACCAATAAAAATATTTTTTTTAAAAAGACAGGCCCAATTCAATAGGTCCAGGTGGGCCAGCGATGGTGTGGCCTTCTCACTTCCTTTTTTCTTTTCTGTTAATCCTCACCCAGGCACATTTTCCCACTGATTTTTTAAAGAGGGGAAGAGAGGGGGAGAGAAACATCCATGTGAAAGAAACACATCAATGGCTTGCCTCCTGCACGTGCCCCGACCAGGGCCGGGATCTAGCCTGCCACCGAGGTACATGCTCTTGACTGGAATCGAACCTGTGACCCATCGGTCTACAGGCCGATGCTCTACCCACTGAACCAGACAGACTAGGGCTGGTCTTATCCCTTTCGATTTCTTGTCCCCACTGGCCAATATGTCACATGCTGAAAGCCACCCCTCCTTCCCCCCTCGTAGCTGCTCCTTTCCACGCAGGAAATGAGCAGGAACGTGCTTCCTCCCAGCACCTCGCCCAGTTCCCGACGCCGGGCCCTGCACGCACAGGCCGCCAGCACACGCTCCCGAGGAGGCTCCCCTCCCCCCTCTCTGCCACGAAAGAGGTGCCAGTAGCAATCTCCACCCCAAAAAAGGAGAGGAGCAGGGGATTAGAGTATTAAAGGCCCAATGGGCCATGGAGCGTCAGCCTGCGGCCTGAAAGGTCCTGGGTTCGATTTCAGTCAAGGGCACATTCCTCTGCCCCGGCTCTGGTCAGGCATGTGCAGGAGGCAGCCCATCGATGTGTTTCTCTGTCTTGCCCTCTCTCTTCCACTCTCTCAAAATCAATGGAAAAATATCTTCGGGAGAGGATGAACCGTTAAAAACAAACAAACAAAAAAAGGCCCAGCAGCCCTGAGACCTTCCTGCAAACGACCCCCTGTGGACACACACGTCCAGGAAACAGAGACGGGAACAGAGACAAGAACACAGACGGCCACTTCCTCCCCGTGTCCGATTCGATTCAGCGCCTTCCAGCTCCGGAAGTGGATTCTGATTTTTTTTTTTTTAGGCCCAAAGAAGACACCACCACAGGCAGAGTTCAACGTACTTTATCCTCCTCCCTTCAACCTACCACGTGCGTGACGTGTTCATAGAGGCTCCGGATAAATAGATTAAGGCTCGCGGTGATCCCTATTCTGAGTGCAGAGGGGCTGTGCTTCCTCACACCCCGGGTAACATCCAGAACCTTTGCAGACAGGAACGTCTGCCCCCGGACAGCGCATGACACAGACGGGAGCCCCGTTTCCCCCTGTCCCCCCTCGGCAGGCCCTCCCTCTCCTCCTCCAGCCGACGGGCAAAGAGCGAGACGCGTTTCCACGGGAGATCGCAGCAGCCGGTGTGACCCGCAAATCCAATTAGTGTCACCAGGTCACCCCGACGTTAACGCAGCCGACGGAGAGAGAGAGAGCTCCGGAAACAGCAGAAGAGGCTGCCACGGAGGCCGGGGAAGAAAGGGTGCCGTGAAGTGTCAGTTCTGATACATCTCAAACCCCCTCGACGGGGTGGTGTGGACCATCGGCCAGCTGTCGGGGCCTCCCCAGCCCGGAGTCCTCTCGCAGGAAACTCCGTGATGCCGTGAGCATCTTCGCCGGGGCCCTCCGTCCCATCCTCACTCCGATCCTGCCCGGCACCTCCTCGTCGCCTAAGCGGGAACCCCGCCACCACCACAGACCGCCACCGGGTGTCCCTGCCCACGGAGCTGGCCCTGGTCCCAGGCGCCTGGAGACCGGACCGCCCAGCGCAGACGCAGAGGTGCCCGGACAGGACCCTCCGGAGACCCCCTAGATGGACTCCAGAATCCAGTCGCTGCCGGAGAGGGGACCCACTGGGTCCCTGGGCAGGCCGGGCTCCTGGAAGAACTCCATCTCCTCCTCCTCTTCCTCAAAGAAGCCATTCTCCAGGGCGTAGGCGCCGTCGGGGCTGGCGGCCGCCTGGCACGCGCCCTTGAACTCCTGGATGGACTCGTAGAGGCTGTACAGCTGGCAGAGCAGCGACATGTCCAGCTGCCGGAGGCCGACCTGGGGAGACGGGGCGGGAGGGGACAGGGGGAGAAGGAGACGTCAGTTCTGCTGGCTCCGGTCCGGGGAGCCACGGCGCCCGCCTGGGCCTGCTCAGCCGGCACACGCCTCCCGCACCGACGGCTCAGGGCGGCGCCGGCACGGCCAGGGTTGAGCCACCGGAACCGAGGCGTGATTGATGCCCACACCTCAGGCCTGGCTCCACCAGGCAGGGAGGGTCCCGGAATTCACCGGCACGCCCTGCATTGCACAGGCGGGAGGCTCCCTGGATCCTCCCCGGGGAGACAGGTCCAGGTGTGTCCCGGCCTCTCGCTGTGATCAGAGTCAGAGAGGCCCCTGGGACAGTCACTGTCTACCCTGGGGCAGCAGAGAGAGGAAGGGAGGAGAGACAGAGAGAGAGAGCCATCAACAATGAGAGAGAATCCTGGATCGGCTGCCTCCTGCAGGCCCCCCACTGGGGATCAAGCCTGCAGCAACTCGGGCCTGTGCCCTGACCGGGAATCGAACCGTGGTCTCCTGGTTCCTAGGTCAATGCTCAACTCCTCAGCCACGCCAGAGTAACCATTGCACATGCAAACCTACTTCCTCTTTCTCAAGCACCTTTGAAATGTTTGAGGGCGATGTTCACTCTACCTGGGGCTCCCACCCCGGAGAAATACCCTCAAGTCCTCCTGGGTGTTGGCAAGCGCGTTGGGTCTGTTACCGTCCACCCTCCCCTCGGGACTCTCTCAGTCCTCCGTCTCCCACGTCCGGGTGTGAACACAGCCACCCAACCACGAGACCCTGACTCAGCCCGTCTTTCCCAGGATTTATGACAAGGAGCATAAACTTAGATAACGTTAAGTCACACCCTCAGGGAGTCACACCAGTATTTGCTCAGAAAGTCACAGGAGAGCCCTGGCGGGCGCGGCTCAGGTGTCAGGAGCATCGTCACATATACCACCAAAAAGGTGGCTGGTTCGATTCCCAATTGGGGCACATACCCAGGTTTGGGGTTTGATGTTTGACCTACCGGTGGGAAGCACTGATGTCTCTCTCATCCCCTCCCACTCTCTAAAAATAAAAATAAAATTTTTTTTAAATCAATAAAAAAGTATATAGCCTTAACTGATTTGGCTCAGCGGATAGAGCATCGGCCTGCGGACTGAAGGGTCCAGGTTTGATTCCGGTCGAGGGCATGGACCTTGGTTGCAGGCACATTCCCGGTGGGGCGTGTGCCGGAGGCAGCTGATGGATGTTTCTCTCTCATGGATGTTTCTAACTCTCTATCCCTCTCCCTTCCTCTCAGTGAAAAATCAATAATATATATATATATATTTGAAAAGTCACAGAAAATATTCATCTGGAAGATCACATTCCTAAGCCACTCAGTTGCCATAGGTCAGCGGGGGGATCCGGCTGGGAATGAACGGCTGAAGGACAGAAGGGGGGAGGGGGGTTACACCACCGGACCCCCGCTGACCGGCACCCTCCCAGGCCTGGGCTCACGGCTCTGCAGCCCGCACTGGAGGCTCTGACGCCCCAGGCTTTTCCCTGGAGATGCCGTTGCCAAGGTGTCCCTGGAGGAGACCAGGCTGGGCGGGAACCTGCCCCGGGCCTGCTGCCTGCAGCCGCCACTGACTCACCCGCTGCCCGCCCGCCCGGCGGAGCCTCCGCTGGCCTGGCTCACACCTCCCGCCCAACCCGGCAGATGCCAAGCGTTCAGACGGACTGGGCAGGGCCTCGAGCACAGACACACACACAGACGTGCACTCCGCGCCCACACACAGCCCAGTCCCTGCTTCTCCGGGCACCAAACTGCCTTCCATCTCCCAGAAACCCCCCCAAAGGGTAGGACACGGGGTGAGGAGCTACAGGAACAAACCTGGCCTCCCAGCCAGGACTCGCCTGAGCCTGGCCCGTGCAGTGTCCAGAGGGAAGCTGGGCATCCCTGGGTGGCCTTCTGTGGCCTGTGGTCCCGTATCTGCACCTCGTGCCGTGGGTCAGGCTGAGTCCCCACCCCCAGGCTGTCCCCTTAAAGCCTCCTTCCTGCCCGGCCGGTGTGGTTCAGTGGTTGAGCGTCTCGACCCATGAACCAGGAGGTCACGGTTCGATTCCCAGTCAGGGCACATGCCCGGGTTGCAGGTTTGATCCCCAGTAGGGGGCGTGCAGGAGGCAGCCGATCCATGATCCTCTCTCATCATGGATGTTTCTCTCTCTCTCCTTCTCCCTTCCTCTCTGACATCAGGACCGATAACACCCCGCACGAGAAAGAATCCCTCGTCCTTTCAGGAAAAAGTAGGGGTAGGGGTGCCCACTCACTCTCACCACTGTCCCCCCAATCCACCAGCACAGGAAGCCTGTGGTCCCACGTGTCCCCGGAGGACGGCTGATCTCATTCACAGCTGGATTCCGAAAATAACTCTTCTTTTTTTCTTGTGTGTTTGTTTGTTTGGTTAATCCTCACCGAGGATATCCCTCCCCCACCCCACCCTTGATTTTTTTAGAGACCAGAAGGGAGGGGAAGAGACAGAGACACTCCCACGTGAGAGAGACATGATGGGTTGCCTCCCCCATGCACCTGGACCAAGGCCAGGGAGGAGCCTGCAACAGAGTCTTGTCCTTGATCAGAATTGAACCCGGGACCCTTCCATCCATGGACCAACGTTCTATCCACTGAACCAACCCCGGAAGGGCAGAAAAGAACTATTTTTAATATATATTATATATATATATTTTATTGACTTCAGAGAGGAAAAGAGAGATAGAAACATCCATGATGAGAGAGAATCATGGATCGGCTGCCTCCTGGACGCCCCACCCTGGGGATGAAGCCTGCAACCCGGGCCTGTGCCCTGACCGGGAATCGAACCGTGACCTCCTGGTTCCTAGGTCAACGCTCAACCACTGAGCAACACCAGCCAGGCATGATCATTCTTTTAAATCTTTGCTGGTCCGTTACATGCCAGCTCATTGTTTTCATTTGCAAACCTGCGGTATTTTTTTTTATATAAGGGATGTTAAATAGCCTGTCATCTCTCTTTAACTCTGCGGAGCGTGTCAACAACCTAATAAAAACACTCTCTTTTCACGGTCTCCAGCCTCCACACGCATTACTGTAACCTTCCGCAGCCGGGCCTCCGGGCTGGGGCCCCGGTGACCGCAGGGGCCACCCCTCCCCTGGAGCTACCCTGGTCAGAGGGCAAAACAGAGCCCTCCCTTCTCCACCTGACCGGTCAGGGACAGCCCTCCCTCCCTCGCCGATCGGTGAAGACAGGATGCTCATGCCTGCAAAACTAGGCCAGCGCCGGCGCTGAGGACCCGTCAGGGAGCGAACAGAAAGTTCTCATAAATAAAAATTTTAAAAGATGTTCTCGCTGGTTTGGCTCTGTGGCAGTGGATAGAGCGTCGGCCTACGGACAGAAGGGTCCCGGGTTCGAGTCCCAGTCAGGGCACATGCCAGAAAGTAGGGGTTGCAGGAGGCAGCTGATCATTGATGTCCCTGACTCTCTCCCTCTTCCTTCCTCTCTGAAATCAATTTTTTTAAAAATCTATCTTTTTAAAAATATATTTTTTCTTGATTTTACAGGGAAAGGGAGAGGCAGAGAGAGAGAGAGAGAGAGAGAAACATCAGTGATGAGAATCATTGATCGGCTGCCTCCTGCATGCCCCCTACTGGGGATCAATCGAGGCTGCAACCCTAGGTATGTGCCCTTGGCTGGGATCGAACCTGGGACCCTTCACTCCTAAGGCCGATGTTCTATCCACGGAGCCACACTGGCGAGGGCAATAAAAATATATCTTTAAAAGAAACGGAAAAGGCCCACCATCTTAAAAGGAAGACCACGGCTTGTCTGTCTCCCAGGTTCTTGGGGGCAAGAATAAACCCGTGTTCACCGTCCGTGAAGGAACGAACATCAGGAGAGATGGAGCCACCGGACGAGCCCTGGCTGCTTATCCCCTGGAAACATCTGGAACGTGTGGGCAATGAAGGGGGTGCCAGGAGGCCGGGGCTCGGAGGAGGAAGTGGGGCGAGAGGGGGAGCATCTTACAGGGCCGGGCCCGGGCTGGCTTCCTGTGCAGAAGCCGTGGTCTGCAGGCAGGCTTCCTGCCCGGGCCCCGGAGCGATTCCGCTTTCACGCCGGGGCCTGAGTCTCTCCGTGGAGTTAGGAGGACATCCTTACCCACCTGGCCTCTAAAATCTACAGCCGATCCCTGACCGGTGTGGCTCAGTGGATAGAGCGTCGGCTCAGAGGTTGAGCCCAAAATACTGGCAGGGTTCTCTCCAGGTGCTAGGACTGTGGGCCGCCTCACGGCACTTTCCATAAAAAGCCAGCCGAGGTCACCTCTGATTCCTTTTCATCCCTCCCCTCCCCTCACCCCTCCCCGACTCTGAATAAGGAATCAGCCTTTCCTGCTGGTCCTGCTGCAGAGAAGGGTCTTCCGCCAGGGTCTGGTCCCCCGTTCGCAGGCCCCCCACCCAGCTCTCCCCTCCTCCGTGCACACCTGTGGCATCTCACGCTCCCTCCTACACCTGCCCTCGAACCCCAGCCCGGTGCGGTCTCCTGCATCAACCCCTCCCCGGCCCTCTGGGGCCGGGCCAAGCCTAGCCTCCGTCCCAGCGCCTCTGGGGCTCACGTGCCTCCCTGAGCTGTTCCCAGGAGGGGACACTCCGTTCCTGCCTGCAGCCGTGGCCTCCGGGGGCCCAGCCCTCCTTCTGTAAGGCACAGGGCTTTTTCCAAGGATTTTTAGAGAGCGTGGAAGGGAGCAGGGGAGAGACAGAGAGAGAAACGTCGATGTGAGAGAGAAACATCGCGTCCCCCTACCCCCACCCCAACCAGGGCCTAGGGATGGAGCCTGCCACCTCAGTACCTGCCCTTGGTCCGATTCCAATCTGGGACCCTTCCCTCTGAGGGCCGGCACGCTACCCACTGAGCTAGACGGGCCAGAGCTAAATTAAAATAAATAAATAAGATCCATCACATTCTGCCGTGAATTCTAGCCGCATCCCCAGACACAGAGGGGACCTCGGGCCTTCAGGCGGAACAGACCAGCACACTGCGTGTTCCGCAAATAATCCCCTTCTTATCTCGCAAAGGGAGGGACTCAGCCGCCTCATCCTGAAGTTAGCAAATCTCCTAAAAAGCCAAAACATCGCCGGACCTTCAAAGACCTGGCGGTGTCTCTAAAGGCCTGTATCCCCTCCTCCCTTTTCTTTATCTCAGCCAAATATCAGAGGGCCGGACAGACAGACTTAGAGTGCCGTTTATTTTCCTTGTGCCCTGGCCCGACCGAGGCACCATGGCCAGGTTAGGCTGTACTTGATCCCAGCCCGCACCCCCTCACTCCCTCCCCCCCCCCACCTCGCACCCCACAACCCCCCCCAGGAACCTGGAAAATGACTTCCCAGCAGGGCTCCCTGGCCAGAGGCCACAATAGGATTTTCAGAGCCTGTTTACAAAGCAGGCAGCAGCCGCTGCACAGGAGGGGCCCCCAGGGCTTCCTGCCTGTGAGCAGGCTGAAGGGGGTAGGGAGGGGGGGGCCCTTCCTATTTCACCCCCACTGCACCCTCCCTCTGACTGCAAACTCCGGGCCTGTTCTCTAATCCCAACCCAGTTCTGTCCACAGAAACCGCTGGGGATTAAGAGTCATTGGAAGTAAGCAGCTTCGAGAACCTTCTCAGAGGGGCTTGGAGATCCGGGTCCAGGCCTGGACGAAGGGGGAGAAGACAGAACCTAATGGCTGGAAACGTGTGCAGGCTGCTTGCCCGTCTACCGGGTTTAATGAGGCCTCCGTTCTCAGAACTGACGGGAGCCTTTAAGAAAAGAGTGCACCCAGGGGGTGTTGGCCACCAATCTCAGGATGAATAAAGGATTCCTGAGGTCAGTGATTTGGAAGATGTATTCTTGGGTGACAGAGCAGCCGTCTCCGTGTATATACACTGAGCGGCCAGATGATGATGCTCTCTCAACGCATAATAATCTGGCCACTCAGTTTGGATATATATGTGTATATACAAAGACTGCTGCTATATATATATATATATATATATATATATATATATATATATATATATATATTTATAAGGCCCAGTGCATGAATTCGTGCATGGGTGGGGTCCAGCCAGCCTGGCCAGGGGGAGTGGACATGGGCGGTTGGCCGGCCTGCCCGCTGGTGGAACTCCTGGTGAGGGGACCATTTGCCTATTAGCCTTTTATTCTATAGGATGCATCCAGAGTTCATCATCGTCTGGCCACATGGTGTGTATTTGATGTCCTACATGAAGTACCCACCTGGGCCTGCAGATTCTAAAAGCAATGCCAGCGGTGGGGAAGGCGAGCCGGGCCCACAAGAGGGCTGGAAAGGAGGCAGGTTTCCGGCCTGGCCTCGCCGGGCCTGGCTGACACCCTAAGTCCCTGCCCTGGCCCCGCTTTCGGCATCCCCTAACCCGCGTGTCCTGCTCTGCAGACACCCCGGGGCTGAGCAAGACTGAGCCCCATTGTCTGGAGCCCAGACACAACCCCCAGACCCGAGGGCGCAGCTGCCGGGGCCAGACGGGATGGGGGCGCCCCGCCCCGCCAAGCGGTAACCGGACCCCGCACGCGCCCCCGGGGAGCGGGGGAGGGGGCCGGGGCTGCTCCCATCTGCCGCCCACACTCTCCTCCTGGGGGCAGGAGAACGCCAGGGCACCCAGCTCTGCGCCCCCCACCCCCTCCCCACGGATCCCCACCCGGGAAGTCGCCGGGAGGATCCGAACCGGCGGGACTGGGGGAGTGGGGGGGGGCGGCGGGTCTCTGGAAGCGGCCCCTGGAGAGTGGGGACCCCCACACCCCAGGCGATGGGACAAATGGTGAGCACACAGGGGGCGAGCCAAGGGGGTAGTGCAGCCCGGCCGGTGCGCTCTGGGGCGGAGCGTCGACCCAGGAACCAAGAGGCCGTCGGTTCGATGCCCGGTCGGTCGGGGCACATGCCCCAGGGGGTCGGGGGCTCGCAGGAGGCAGCACTCCTGTCGATGTTCCTGCTTCTCTCCCTTCCTCTCTAAAATGCCAATAAAAACTTATTCAAACAAGAAAAAGAAGGGAGAAAGGGGGATTACTGGAGAGGGCAGCGCCCGTCTTCCCCGGGCCGGCTCCCGGGGCCCTCCGCTCCGGAGAGGGGGCGGGGGTGGGGGCGCGGGGACTTCCGGAGCGGAGCGCGGGGCCCCCGATCTCGCCAGCCCCCCGATCCCCGCCCACCGGGGCCCCCCGTTACTCACCATCTCCTTGCGCAGCAGGGCGAGCGCGGCGTCCAGGTTGGGGGGCTTGGGGGGCCGCGCCTCGCTCCGGGCTCCGCCGCCCCCGCCGCGGCTCAGCTCGTCCTGGATGCGCGACTTCTGCGCGTACAGCCGCTCCAGGCGCCGCCAGCCGCCCGCGCCGCCCGCCGCCGAGCGCAGCAGCCCGCTCAGGCCCCGCGGCGGCGGCGGCAGCCCGTCCACGCGCGGCCCCCGCGCCGCGCCCGCCGCCTCCCGCGCCGCGCCGGCCCCGCTCATCGCGCGCCGGCCGCGCACCCCGCCAGCGTCCCGGCCCGAGCCCGGGGTCCCCGCCCGCCAGCCCCGCCCCCGCCCCCCGGTTCCCGGCGGCGCCCCGCCCACTTCCCGCCCCGCCCCGTCCCGCGGGCCCTGTAGCCGCCCCCGCCCCGCCCCCGCCGACTTCCAGCCCCGCCTTTTCCGACTTACAGCCCCGCCCACTTCCCCGCCGCGCCCCGCCCCGTCCCGTCTCGTCCAATCCCGCGCGCCCTGGAGCCAATCCCGCCCCCTCTAACTTCCAGTTCGCCCCCGCAGACTTCCAGCCCCGCCCCTTCCGACTTACAGCCCCGCCCCCGCTGGCTTCCAGCCCCGCCCACTTTTGACTCGGATCCGCCCCCTCAACCCCCACCTCGCTTCTTTTTTTAAAAAAATATATTTTATTGATTTTTTACAGAGAAGAAGGGAGAGGGAGAAGGAGTTAGAAACATCGATGAGAAAGAATCATCAATCAGGTGCCTCTTGCACACCCCCCACTGGGGATATGCTGGCAACCAAGGTCCATGCCCTTGAGCGGAATCGAACCTGGGATCCCCCAGTCCGCAAACAGACGCTCTATCCACTGAGCCAAACCAGTTTCGGCCTTTGTTGTTTAAAAAATATATATATTTTTTATTGATTTCAGAGAGGAAGAGAGAGGGGAAGGGAGAGAGAGAGAGAGAGAGAGAGAGAGAAACATCAATGATGAGAGAGAATCACTGATCGGCTGCCTCCTACTTGCCCCACACTGGGGACCAAGCATGAAAGTGGGCATGTGCCCTGACCGGGAATCGAACCCTGACCTCCTGGTTCCTAGGTCAACGCTCCACCACTGAGCCACGCTGGTGGGGCAGAACCCTTAAGGTTGGCAGATGTCTCCGCGGGCCCCTTGCCCCTGAGTGAGACGGGCCAGGAGAAGGCCCCGCTCAGGCAGTGTGACTTGAGGTCACCTGTTACCGCCCAGAATCCTCCACCTCGCCCCGAGCCTCGCCTTCCCCTAATCACCGAGTCACATCAAGTCACACCTCGGGATGCCAGGCCTTTATTTATCCGCCTCCTTAATCGGCGGGTGTCTCCCAGAGGGTGACACCTGTGCTGGTGTGGGAGTGAGGAAGCGTTTGATCTCTGGTCCCCCACCCTGGCCCGCATTCCTTTCACCCCTGAGTCACGTCGCTGTGGGTCCTGAAGATCAGCTGAAGCTGATGACACGGGGCCTGGCTCTCCATGGAGTCGGGAGAAACGACGTCTTTTCAAAGTGTCAGGGCAGTGATGTCATTTTAAAACACATACCTGTGCCCGGCTGGCGGGGCTCAGTGGCTGAGCGTCAACCTAGGAACCAGGAGGTCACGGTTCCATTCCCGGTTAGGGCATCGCCACCTCCATGCTTTGCTCTTCAGAGTGGCTTCCTTAGTCACCAGAGTATCCAAGGCACTGGTTTCTTTTCTTTTCTTTTTAATATATTTTATTGATTTTTTTTTTTTACAGAGAGGAAAGGAGAGGAATAAAGAGTTAGAAACATCAATCAGCTGCCTCCTGCACACCCCCTACTGGGGATGTGCCCACAACCAAGGTGCATGCCCTTGACCGGAATCGAACCTGGGACCCTTCAGTTGGCAGGTCGACGCTCTATCCACTGAGCCAAACCGGTCAGGGCCAAAGCCACCGATTTCGTTGATAAACAGAACAGGGTCAAGGACAGAATCTTGTGCCAGTGACCCTCCTCGTGTGGCAACCATTTGTTGACTCCCATTCCTTGTGTACCTTGGACTGCTGCTCAGCTGTGTGGGATTGGAGTGGCTCAGAGTCCAGTGTGACAGCCCCGAGCCACAAACGTCTGCTAACCAGGTGACCAGCCCAAACCGAGAGGCACCGTAGGAATAAAATACACAACTGGGCCCTGGCCGGCGTGGCTCAGTGGATGGAGCGTCGGACTGCGGACTGAAGGGTCCTGGGTTCGATTCTGGCCAGGGTTGAACATGCCTGGGTTGCAGACTCGATCCACAGTGGCGGGTGTGCAGGAGGCAGCCGATCCATGATTCTCTCTTATCATGGATGTTTCTCTCTCTTCCTGCCTCTCTGAAATCAATAAAAATATCTAGAAGAAGAAGAGGAAAAAGAGCACAGATTTGCACCCACATAGACAAGAGCAGGGAACCTCAGGGAGAAGACAGCTGTCCAGCCAAAGAAAGGCCCCCCGGGAGAGGCCAAACCTGCCCACACCGTGACCATGACCGTGACCTTCTGGCCTCTGGAAGGACATATATTTCTGTTGCATCCTCCTTTGCATTGGCAACCGATATTGTCTCTCCCTCCGTGACTGGAAGCCAGCAAGCGGCTGGGTTAGAGGTGGGGGGATGGCGGGGGACCAGGCTGGTCTTCCGTCTTTGCCATGAGCCTCCCAGCGGTGCCAACTCAGGATCTGCTACCCTCTTCTGCGTACGCTCAGGACAAACACGACGCTTCGGTCCCAGAGAAAAACAAAAGCTGCTTTCAGAAGCCGGCAGGCAGGAAGCGACACCTGAGCTCCCTCTCTTCGGGGCCTTGAATGAAAGCAGGCGCATCTGCCCACACCTCACCTTCTGCCCGTGTTTCCTTGGGTCAGAACTCAGTGGCTTGGCACCGTCTCTGTGTGCCATTTGTACGCATGATGCTGGCAATGGGGAAGGCGGGTGGGGGCAGGGGGGTGGGGGGCAGGCAAGGGTCCAGGATGCTCACTGCAGGCTGTGTCCACAGGCCTTTGTGGGAAAAGTGGCAACTGCTCTCATCAGAGCTTGCTGAGAGGGGTCTCTGGGTATGGTCTCGCCCTGGTACGATGGATGCCCGCTCAGGAGTAAGCAGAAAGCTACTTTATTTATTTATTTGTAAATATATTTTATTGATTTTTTTACAGAGAGGAAGGGAGAGAGATAGAGAGTTAGAAACATCGATGAGAGAGAGACATGGATCAGCTGCCTCCTGCACACCCCACACCGGGGATGTGCCCGCAACCAAGGTACATGCCCTTGACCGGAATCGAACCTGGGACCCTTCAGTCCGCAGACCGATGCTCTATCCACTGAGCCACCCTGGTAAGAGCTATGTATGTATTTTTAAAATATATTTTTATTGATGTGAGAGAGGAAGAGGGAGAGAGAGACACACATCCATAATGAGAGAGACTCATCGATCAGCTGCCTCCTGCATGCCCCACCCTGGGGATGGGTTCCGAAACCCTCTTTTCACGGTGTGCACCAGGGTCCGTGCACGGGAACCTAAGGGTGCCTTGAGCGCTGGACCTCCGGGGAGCTGGGTCAAGTGGGACCTGGCCTGGCCACACAGCGCCCCCTGGGGGCCATTGTAGGGAAGTCCTCCTCCCACATGCACAGTTGGGTTACACCCGACACCACAGGCTGACGCAGAGCAAGGTGGCTCCAGTGTTTGCCAGGTGAACACGCCAGAACACCAGGTAGGAGAGTCTGGAAGAAGCCCCCCCTGGCTCAGGAACAGGAGCTGGTGGCAGCATTCTTTAAAAAAACAAAACAAACAAACAAACAAAAAACATATCTGGCCCTGGCCGGTTTGGCTCAGTGGCTAGAATCGGCCTGTGGACTCAGGGTCCCAGGTTCCATGCCAGTCAAGTGCTCATGACTGCGTGCAGAGAAAGCGGCTTGAGGGAAGTGATTGAGCTAAGACGCCGTGTCCTTAAAAAGAAGGAAGTGGGACACAGACAGGCTCAGAGGAAAGGCCGCATGAGGACATGGCCGACGGCCAGCCCAGGACAGAGGCCTCAGCGGGAGCTAACCTTGACCTTGAACGTCCAGCCTCTGGAACCGTGAGAGATAAACACCTGTGGGTTAAGCCCCCCAGCTACGGCTCAACTGCTGTAAGGATATGGAGGGTTTTTAAAAATATCTTTTGAAATATTTTTTATTGATTTTTTTTACAGAGAGGAAGGGAGAGGGATAGAGAGTTAGAAATGTAGATGAGAGAGAATCATCCATCAGCTGCCTCTTGCACACCCCCTACTGGGGCCGCGCCCGCAACCAAGGTACGTGCCCTTGACCGGAATCGAACCCGAGATCTTTCAGTCCGCCGGCCGACGCTCTATCCACTGAGCCACACCGGCGAGGACACCATTTCATTTCTTGGCCATGTTTCTTTAAAACGAAAAAGAAAACACAAAACAAAAGATCAAAGTCTATTTAGGTCACAATGTGTGCTAGAGGGCAGGAAATGGAAGTGTCCCGGCACCTGGTCACCTTCAAAGCAAAGGCAGTGACACGCTGCCTCTCGGGAGAGTGCCGGCCACTGTCTAATTCAGGATGGAGAACCCCAAGGGCCCATTTCCCACTCGGCTGCTCCCTGGTCCTGGCCGGAAAGAGCTGCAGAAATAGAATCATTAGAGCATGACACGATCTTCTTTACCTCTCTCCCCTTCAAATGTCCTGGCTGGGCCCCGCTGGTGTGGCTCAGTGGTGGAGCATTGGCCTACGATCCAGAAGGTCAGGGTTCGATTCCCGGTCAGGGCACATGTCCATGTTGTGGGCTCGATCCCCAGTGTGGGGCGTGCAGGAGCCAGGAGATGGATGACTCTCTCTCATCGTTGATGTTTCTCTCTCTCCCATCCTATCTGGACTCAATACAAATATATACGTTTTTTAATGTATTTTATTGATTTTTTTTACCAAGAGGAAGGGAGAGGATAGAGAGTTAGAAACATCAATGAGAGAGAAACATCCATCAGCTGCCTCTTGCACACCGCCTACTGCGGATATGCCCGAAACCAAGGTACATGCCCTTGACCGGAATCGAACCTGGGACCCTTGAGTCTGCAGGCCGACGCTCTATTCACTGAGCCAAACCGGTTTCGGCTGTCCTCTTGAAGGATGGGTATTCACAGCCCTGGTGTTTCCTGCCAACCTCGCATGTCTGCCAGGCCCCCCTCCCTTTCAGACCTGGAGACTTACACAGAGCGGCCAGATGATGGTGATCTCTGAACGCATAATAATCTGTCCACTCGGTGTATAAATATATCAGAGGCCCGGTGCATGAATTCCTGCATGGACGGGGTTCGGCCAGCCTAGCCAGGGGAGGGGGATATGGGCCGTTGGCCGGCCTGCCTGCTGGTCACACTCCTGGCCGAGGGGACAATTTGCATATTAGCCTTTTATTCTATAGGATAGACTCTGGGTGGCCAGATGGTGTTGCCATCAGAGATCATCATCCTCATTTGGCTGAGCCGTGTATATCCAGGTGTTGCAGGCAGGTTTCCGCTTATGGTGGCTCTATCTATAGGTGGCAAATTAGGCCCTAACCAATGTGGCTCAGTGGATAGAGCGTCAGCCTGAGAACAGAAGGATCCTGGGTTCGATTCAGGTCAAGGGCATGTCCCTTGGTTGCAGGCTCAATCCCCAGTGGGGGTCATGCAGGAGGCAGCTGATAGATGTTTCTATTTATCCTTCTCATCGATAAAAATATTACTGCCAAAACCGGTGTGGCTCAGTGGATAGAGCATCAGCCTGCAGACTGAAAGGTCTCAGGTTCAATTCCAGTCAAGGGCATGTACCTTGGTTGCAGGCACATCCCCAGTTGGGGGTGTGCAAGAGGCAGCTAATCAATGATTCTCTTTCATCAATTCTAACTCTATCTCTCTCTCTTCCTCTCTGTAAAAAATCACTAAAAAAAAATTAAAAAAAAATATTACAAAAAAAAAAAAAGAGGGCAAATGAGGACAGGGTTGTCCCCATCTCCACCCGGTGTTCTGCTGGGGGTGAAATCACTGCTCTGAGCTTCCTGTAGCCGAGGGCGAGGGCAGGCAGGTGTCTTCACTCCTGGAGCTCTGCCCTGGCCCTAGGGGGCCTGCTCTCCAACCTGAAGCCAAACTGCTCAGCCGTGGACAAAGCTGAACTGAAGAGTCATAGGATTTTATATATACATATTTTAAAAATACATTTTTAGCCCTGACCGGTGTGGCTCAGTGGATAGAGCTTCAGCCTGCAGACTGAAAGGTCCCAGGTTTGATTCCGGTCAAGGGCATGGACCTTCGTTGCAGGCACATCCCCAGTGGGGGGAAGGGGGTGTGCAGGAGGCAGCTGACGGATGTATCTCTCTCATCGATGTTTCTGACTCTCTATCCCTCTCCCTTTCCTCTCTGTAAAAAAATCAATAAAATATATTTTTAAAATACATTTTTACATTTTTATTGATTTCAGAGATAAAGTGAGAGAGAGAGAGAGAGAGAGAGAGAGAGAGAGAGAGAGAGAGAGAGAAGACATCAATGATGTGCATAAGCTCAGGAGCTTGGCCCCCTGTGCCCTGGGCCCGGCCTCACCAGGGCTGCGGCTTCCTCCTGGTGCCCCGCCATCCACCCAGCTCTGCGCCATCCACCCAGCTCTGCGCCCTCCTGGGACGGAACCTGCAGACGCTGAGCTCCAGCTCGCAGGCCCTGCGCCGCGGAGCCAGTCCCGCCTTTGTTTGGCGCCGCGGAGACCTGCCTGCCGGAGAGGGGGAGGCGAGACTCCCACATCCCCATCGTTTTCCCAACACACGGCTCCTAATGTGTCTGCTTCCCGCCAGCCCGCCTCTCCGTGGGCCGCGCCGGCTGCGCCGCCAGCCCGGCTCCCTCCTGCCCGGTCCCCACCCCGGGGCCCGCGGGGAGAGAACCGCGGCGCAGGCCCCTGGGGGTGGAGGGAGGCTGGGCCTGCGACGTGCAGAGGTTCCCATTCATAAAACCAGCCACCCCCTTCCCTGCCCCGGGGGCCTGACCCCCCTCCCCCGGCCCCGCAGCCGGGTGGGGCCGCCGGGAAGCGGGATTTAGGAATTTTAGGAATCCAGCCCGGATTTCCTCCCTCGGGCCGCATAGGAGGCTGCCATGGGCGGATGGGCCGACACTGAGAGTCCACATGGCTCGTGTGGCTCCATCCATCCTCGCACAACCTCGTGCCTCCTTTGGACTCGGTGTCTGGCATTTTGGGACTCGCCTCCTCCTCCCGCTCCAGCCCAGATTTAGGAAGCGAGCATCAAACCCCGATCCCTATTCTCCCCCCCCCCCCCCATCGGTGAACAACTGGCCTTTTAGGAACCCGCGGTTCCCCTTCTGATGGGGGTGGGGCGGGGAGAGGGAGTGGGCAGGGCGAGGTGGGGCGGGGCTCTCCATCCCGGTCCTAGATTCTTTTTTTATATTTTATTTTATTTTATTTTTTTACACCATGATCAAGTGGAATTTATTACTATATTACAAGACTGTTACAATATTTGCAAATAAATAAATGTGATACACCCGGTCCTAGATTCTTTTAAAAAATATATATTTTTTATTGATTTTTTTTACAGAGAGGAAGAGAGAAGGATATAGAGTTAGAAACATCGATGAGAGAGAATCATCGACCAGCTGCCTGCTGCACACCCCCCACTGGGGATGCGCCCGCCACCTAGGGCCGGCCATGCCCTTGACCGGAATCGAACCTGGGACCTTCCAGTCCGCAGACCGACGCTCTATTCCAAACCGGTTTCGGCTCGATCCTGGATTCTTACTAACAATGATCCTCTCCGCGAAACCCTGAGCATCGCCCCTTCGCTTCCGTGGCTGCAAGAGGCGCTGAGCCTCCCTCATTCGCTGAGCTGACGCTTCCCCCCTCCCCATCCCCTCCCTCCTCCCCGCCACCCCCCTTCTACCTCTCCATCCCCTCCCTCCCCGACACCCCTCTCTGCCCTGGAAATTACAACTCCCCGGCGCGCCGCTCGGGGAGGAGGCTGCGGCGGCGGCGGGAGGCGGGGAGGGGATCCCCGAGCCAGCCCCGCGCTCGCCCTCCGCACCCCCATCCACCTCCCCATCCCCCCGACTGCGCACCGCGGCCAAGGACAGAGGCGCCGCCGCAGCAGCCGCCGCGGAGCAGCAGAGAGAGGGGCGGGTCCACCCATCCGGCCGCCGGAGGAACGCCCCGGGCGCATCTGGCCGCGCCGCCGGGAAGGGAGGAGAAGGGAGGTCGGTGCACGGGGGTCTCCGGGCCGCCGAGGCCCCCCCCTCCCCCGGATCGTCCGCTCTGGTCCCCGCGCCTGGAACGCGGGCTCCGCCGGAGGCTCCCGGGCGCTGTCCGCCGGGTCCTGGTGCTGAACCTCAGCCCCGCGGTGCAGCGGCCTCCTGCCCGCCCGCCCGCCTTCTCCCCAGCAGATCGCCCCTTTTGGGGGGCGGGGCAGCGGATAAACGGGGGTGCGGCCCTGGGCGGCTGCCCGTTGGAGCCGGGGGCTTTGGAGAGGCCGCCGGGGCTGCTGATTCATCCCCGCGAGCCCCGGGGAGCGGCGAGGGCAGCAGCAGCCGGGCGCTCCGGACTCGGGGGCAGGAGCCTCGCATCGCGGGCAGGAGGTGAGGACCCTTCCTTCGCCCGTTATCCGTCGTGTCGTCGTAGGGCGGCGGCCCCGGGACCGAGAGGGGCGTGCCCCCCGCGCTGCGCGGCCGGCAGACATGCCGGGCTGATGCCCGCCGCGCCCTCCCGCCGCCTCCAGCCGCCCCGGCGCTGCTGACCGCTGGGGCCCTCCCCCCGGGACCCCCCTCCCCGGGCGGCCGCGATGGAGGAGGAGCTGAAGTGCCCCGTGTGCGGCTCCCTGTTCCGGGAGCCCATCATCCTGCCCTGCTCCCACAACGTCTGCCTGCCCTGCGCCCGCACCATCGCGGTGCAGACGCCGGACGGGGAGCCGCACCTGCCGCCGCCGCTGCTGCACTCGCGGGGCTGCTCCGGGCTGCCGGCAGGGGGCGCTGCTGCTGCCACCGCCGCCGCCGCCTCGCCTTCCCCGGACCCTGAGGCTGCGCCCGGCCCGGCCGGCGGCGGCGGCGGAGGCGGAGGAGGAGGAGGCGGAGGGGGCACCGGAGGCGCAGCCAGCGGCTCGGGCGGCCCCAGCGGGGACCACGCGGACAAGCTGAGCCTGCACAGCGAGACGGACAGCGGCTACGGCTCCTACACCCCGAGCCTCAAGTCGCCCAACGGGGTGCGGGTGCTGCCCCTGGTGCCCGCGCCGCCGGGCTCCTCCTCCGCCGCTGCCGCCGCCGCCGCCGCCGCGCGGGGCGCCGCCGGCTCCTCCTCCTCCTGCTCCTCCTCCTCCTCCTCCTCCCCGCTGGCCTGCTCGGCCTCCAGCGCCATCACCTGCCCGCAGTGCCACCGCAGCGCCTCCCTGGACCAGCGCGGCCTGCGCGGCTTCCGGCGCAACCGGCTGCTGGAGGCCATCGTGCAGCGGCACCTGCAGGCGCGCGGGGCGCAGGCGGCGGCGGCGGCGGCGGCGGCGGGGGGCTCCCCGGGCCCGGCCACCTGCCAGCTGTGCGACCGCACCCCGCCCGCGCCCGCCGCCGCGCTCTGCGAGCAGTGCGACGTGCTCTACTGCGCCCCCTGCCAGCAAAAGTGCCACCCGGCGCGCGGGCCCTTCGCCAAGCACCGCCTGGTGCAGCCGCCGCCGCCGCCCGCCGAGCCCGCCGCCGCGGCGCCTCCGGCCCCGGCCCCGGCCCCGGCCCAGGGCGCCCCCGGCGGCGGCTGCAGGAGCCCCGGCGGCGCGGCGCGCAAGTCCCCCACGTGCCCGGAGCACGAGCTGGAGCACTACAGCATGTACTGCGCGGGCTGCCGCGCGCCCGTGTGCTACCTGTGCCTGGAGGACGGCCGCCACGCGCAGCACGAGGTGAAGCCGCTGGGCGCCGTGTGGAAGCAGCACAAGGTGGGGGAGCGCCCGCGCGGGGCGGGGTGGGGGGAGGAGGAAGGGGGGTGTCCGGGAGGAGGGGGCTGGCCAGAGGGTCAAGCGGACTGACCTCGTTCGTTCATTCATTCATTCATTTACGTGGGGACTGACCTCATGCATGCATGCATGCACGCATGCATTCACGCAGGGATCTCATTCATTCATTCATTCATTCACACAGGACTGACCTCATTTATTCATGCATGCATGCATGCATGCATGCATTCACGCAGGGATCTCATTCATTCATTCATTCACACAGGACTGACCTCATTTATTCATGCAGGCATGCATGTATGAATTCACGCAGGGATCTCATTCATTCATTCATGCAGGACTGACCTAATTAATTCATGCATGCATGCATGTATGCATTCACGCAGGGATCTCATTCATTCACGCAGGACTGACCTCATTTATTCATGCATGCATTCATGCAGAGATCTCATTTATTCATTTACGCAGGACCGACCCCATTTATTCATGCATGCAGGGATGATCTCATGCATGTATTCATTCATTCACTCGTTCCCTCACCTGCCATTGGACAAACACTGTAACGAGCTCCAGGTGCTCTGAGCCGGGTGTTGGAGTTGGTAAGGGCATGGAAAGATGACGTAGTAGGAAAGAGGATTCTAGAGAAAGGACCTTTTTTTTTTTCACTGGCCGAAAGTTGACCAATGAGTTACCTTTTTAAAAACATCTATTTTTGTGGATTTCAGAGCAGAAGGGAGAGGGAAAGAGAGGTACAAACATCCATGATGAGAGAGAACCATGGATCGGCTGCCTCCTGCACGCCCCACCCTGGGGATGGAGCCCGCCACCCGGTCTTGTGGCCTGACCGGGAATCGAACCTCGACTTCCCGGTTCATAGGTCAACATTCAACCACTGAGCCACGCCAGCCCGGCTCATCTTCTTATAGCACGCAGGACACCTCCCCAAAACAATGATGTAGCCCCAAATGTGGATGGTGTTTCTGCTGAGACACCCTGCTGTGTAGTTACACAGACCTACACCTGTGTCTCGGCGCCTGTAATTCTGTAAGCCTCAGGCACAGTGTAAAGCCCGCTGAATAACCACCCCTCATTCCGATCACTGTTGTGAGGGGGAAGTGTAATTCTGTGTTTAGCTTCTAGCTCGGTACCTGCCCCGCAGTAACCAATGTGTGTTATTATTTTCCAAGTTCTAACACTTCAAGCCACTAGACCTGCAGGAAAGCACAAGGGTACACAGAATGCTCATTTAACCTCAGTGGCTCGGTTTCCCACAGAAAAACATATGCTGATAACTCCTTTTTTTAAAAAAAATATATATTTTATTGATTCTTTTAAAGAGAGGGAGAGGGACAGAGAGGCAGAAATATCCATGAAAGAGAAACACTGCTCAGCTGCCTCCTGCACATCCCCCACTCGGGATGTGCCTGCAACCAAGGTACATGCCCTTACTGGAATCGAACCTGGGACCCTTCAATCCGCAGGCCGACGCTCTATCCTCTGAGCCACACCAGTCAGGGCTGATAACTTCTTTATTTTAAATATATTTTTACTGATTTCAGAGAGGAAGGGAAAGGAGGAGGGAGAGATAGAAACATCCATGATGAGAGAGAACCATGGATCAGCTGCCTCCTGCACACCCTGCAGTGGGGATGGAGCCCGCCACCCAGACATGTGCCCTGACCGGGAATCAAACCGTGACCTCCTGGTCCCTAGATGGACGCTCAACCCCAGAACCACGCCGGCAGGCAGGGCTAAGACCCACGGCTTCACAGTGAAGGAAGGCTGCCTCTAAGCCTTCCTTCTCCTCCTCCTCCACCTGTGACTCCCGTGCAGGCCCAGCTGTCCCAGGCCTTGAACGGCGTTTCGGACAAGGCCAAGGAGGCCAAGGAGTTCCTGGTGCAGCTGAAGAACATCCTGCAGCAGATCCAGGTGAGCCGGCTGCGGCGCCGGGAGGGAGGGGTCGCAGCCACCTCGGGAGGGGCGCCCGGAGGGAAGGACAGCGTGTGGCGAGCGCGTGTTCGGGAATGTGAGTGAGGAAGCTGGCTCGTCCTGCAGCCCCGGACGCTGCAGCCACCAGCTCGGTCTGCCCACCCTCACGTGGCTCCAGATACCGGCAGGAGAGAGAGGATCATAGAAGGAGCTGGAGAGAAGACGTGCCCCCCTGCATGGCCACGCCATCCTATGCAGTGCCAGCCTGTCTGTGGTGTTTGGTACCCACGCCATCCATGCATCCACATGTAAATGCATTACTTACTAAATTTTTAAAAAATATATATTTTATTGATTTTTTACAGAGAGGAAGGGAGAGAGATAGAGAGTCAGATACATTGGATGAGAGAGAATTATCTGTCAGCTGCCTCCTGCACGCCCCCTACTGGGGATGTGCCTGCAACCAAGGTACATGCCCTTGGCCAGAATCGAACCTGGAACCTTTCAGTCCCCAGGCCGACGCTCTATCCACTGAGCCAAACTGGTTTTGGCTACTTACTAAATTTTTTAAAAACATTTTTATTGATTTCAGAGAGGAAGGGAGAGGCAAGAGCTGGGTCACTTCTTAGAAGGTACATCCATGCTGAGAGACATCCGTGATGAGGGAGAATCATGGACCAGCTGCCTCCTGTACACCCCTACTGGGGACCGAGCCCGCAACCCGGGCATGTGCCCTGACCGGGAATTGAACCGTGACCTCCTGGCTCGTAGGTCGATGCTCAGCCACTGAGCCACACTGGCCGGGCCTAAACAAGTGTATTTGTAGCATTCATGCTATGTCCTATCCTGAGCCCTAAGGTACCGTGTCTGGCCTTAGGAGCTCGGTGTGTGAGGGAGAGTGCACATGCGTGTGCTCCGTGTGAACGTGCACGTGAAGGAACGTGTACATGGGGACCCTGGACAGCACCTGTGTCAGGATGGAGGAAAGGGATGGAGGGGATAAGTCGGAGATGGCTGCTTGGGACACGTGTGTGCACACAATAGGAATGGGCTATGCAATACGCAACTTGTGACCTGTTCCCGCCCCCCCTCCCATCCCGATTCTCCCCTGCCATGAGCATTTCCTGTGACAATAAAAACTCTAGAAGGATCCCAAACCAGTTTGGCTCAGTGGATAGAGCATCGGCATGCGGACTGAGGGGTTCCAGGTTTGATTCCGGTCAAGGGCATGGACCTTGGTTGCGGGCACATCCCCAGTGAGGGGTGTGCAAGAGGCAGCTGATCGATGACTCTCTCTCATCGATGTTTCTAACTCTCTATCCCTCTCCCTTCCTCGCTGTAAAAAAAACAATAAAATAAAATAAAAAACAACAACTCTGGAACGAGGTCTGAATGGCTAAGGACTATCCCGCCAGCGAGATGTGCCGCGATGCACGGTTCCCCTCCCCGGGTTCATACGGGCACCGTGTGTCCGGTTTCATCCGGTCTCAGTAACTCCAGGACGCGCGTCCCTGACCTGCGTCCGTGTATCTAGCACCCCCAGACCTCCCCCTGACCTCTCTGCGCCCCCAGGAGAACGGACTGGACTACGAGGCCTGCCTGGTCGCTCAGTGCGACGCGCTGGTCGACGCGCTGACCCGGCAGAAAGCCAAGCTACTCACCAAGGTCACGAAGGAGCGGGAGCACAAGCTGAAGGTGGGTCCCCGGAGACCAGGGCGCCCACACCCTTTCCCCCCTCCCCCCCACCTTCCTTGTCCCAAGGCTCCGATCTGTTTTACAGACATCTGCCACCTCTTCCAGAACCTTCTCTGGGACTTGAGCCGCAGCCCGGCGGCTCTTCCCTCGGAGGGGAGGGTGACGAGGGTCTCTCTCCCCGCAGATGGTCTGGGACCAGATCAACCACTGCACGCTGAAGCTGCGCCAGTCCACGGGGCTGATGGAGTATTGCCTGGAGGTGATCAAGGAGAATGACCCCGCGGGGTTCCTCCAGGTGAGCCGCTCCCTTCCTCCAGCCCCACTCCCCCTGCTGCTCTCCGAACCCCGCTAGCAAGGCCCCTTCCCTCGGCCTGGAGTTGTGCAGCCATTTAAAAAAAAAAAAGTATATATATAACTTTGCCCAAACCGTGTAGCTCAGTGGATAGAGCGACGGCCTGCAGACTGAGGGTCCTGGGTTTGATTCCAGTCAGGGGCATGTACCTTGGTTGCAGGCACATCCCCAGTAGGGGGCGTGCAGGAGGCAGCTGGTCGATGTATCTCTCTCATCGATGTTTCTAACTCTCCCTTTCTCCCCCTCTCTGTAAACAATCAATAAAATATATTTAAAATATTTTTTTTTATATCTTTATTGATTTTAGAGTGGAAGGGAGAGGGAAAGGGAGGTAGAAACATCGATGATGAGAGAGAATCATCCATTGGCTGCCTTCCGCACACCCCCTCCTGGGGACAGGACCGAGCCCGCCACCTGGGCATATGCCCATGGCCGGAATCGAACCTGGGACAACTTTGGTCCATAAGCGGACACCCCATTCACTGAGCCAAATCGGCTAGGGTGAGCTGCATAGTCTTTTGCTCAAGGGTTCCAGAAGACAAGTCCTCATCTTTTTTTTTCAATTTTTTATTATTTATTTTTATTGATTTCAGAGAGGGAGGGAGGAGAGAGAGAGAAACATCAATGGTGAGAGGGAATCACTGATGAGCTGCCTCCTGCACGCCCCACACTGGGGATGGAGCCCACAACCCAGCACGTGCCCTGATTGGGAATCAAACCGTGACCTCCTGGTTCCTAGGTCGACCCTCAACCACTGAGCAACACCAGCCGAGCTTAAGATATGATTTAAACCATACAGTGTGTTTGCATGCAGCCCCTTCCTGCCCCGGAGCATGGGGACAAGGCCCCAACCCCTCCCTCATCCCTTTGCTTCGTGATCTCTCCTCCGCAAACCCAAACCCTGACCTCCGTGCTCCCTTTTAAGATCTCGGACGCCCTGATCAAGCGGGTGCAGGTGTCCCAGGAGCAGTGGGTCAAGGGCGCCCTGGAGCCCAAGGTGTCGGCCGAGTTCGACCTGACCTTGGACAGCGAGCCGCTGCTGCAGGCCATCCACCAGCTGGACTTCATCCAGATGAAATGTAGGGGTGAGCCGGGACTGGCCGGTTCAGCCAGGGCTGCTTTCAGAACGGGTGGCCCCTCCGAGGGGCCACTGACAGGGGTGGGGAACCACCGGCCCGCGGGCCATATAAGGCCCGAGAAATCCTTTGATCTGGCCCTGCCAAGGCATTAGGGCTGAGTTCATTAAATGCTTGACCAAATATAGCAGGCTAATTTTCTTTCTTTTCTAAAATATATATATTTTATTGATTTTTTTACTGAGAAGAAAGGAGAGGGATAGAGAGCTAGAAACATCGATGAGAGAGAAACATCCATCAGCTGCCTCCTGCACACCCCCCACTGGGGATGTGCCCGCAACCAAGGTACATGCTCTTGACTGGAATTGAACCTGGGACCCTTCAGTCCGCAGGCTGACGGTCTATCCCCTGAGCCACACTGGTTAGGGTGCAGGCTAATGTTCTTTTAAAAAATTTTAAAATTTATTTCAGAGAGGAAGGGAGAGGGAGAGGGAGATAGAAACATCCATGATGAGAGAGAATCACGGATCAGCTGCCTCCTGCACGCCCCACACCGGGGATGGAGCCTGCAATCCCTGGGCATGGGCCCTGACCGGGGATTCAAACTGTGACCTCCTGATTCACCGGTCAACGCTCAACCCCTGAGCCAAGCAGGGCTGCCGCAGCAGGCTAAATCTTCCACGGGTAATTTTGTACGAATGATGTTATAAATATCTCAGTGGCCCTTGGCAGAAAAACGGTTCCCCACCCCTGCACTCCTGGGAGGGAGGTGGAGCGGGAGGGGAGGGATGCCTGCGTCACAGAGGGAGCTCAAGTCCCAGCTCGGCCACCCGCTGGCTGGGTGGCCCAGGGCAGGCGGCCCCCTGGCCTGAACCCGAGTTTTCCCACCAGTAAAAGATCATCATTGTTCATTCAGAGACCCTTTCCCGTCCTCCTGTCCTTCCCCAGGCCCTGACCTTTGCCCTCCTCCCTCCTAAGCTCCGGGGGCTCTTTTTCTCCCTCTGTGGCTTGTTTCCTGAGCCCACGCAGCCCAGCTGACTCACTTCTACCTCTATGACTCCCTAAAAAAAACGTTCTCTTAATAAATAAAATAAAATAAGGAAATAAAATAAAATATATTATGCTCCCAGCACAAGGCTTAAATGCCAGCATTTTACAGCCCCAATCCCCACCCCACCCCCAGCACCATCCCAGCCTCAGGTGTAAGAGAATCCCTGTGGGCCCTGGAGGCAAGCGGATGGAGGCTCTGCTGGAATGTCTTTTCTTATTTTTTTAAAAAAAATACATCTTATTCATTTCTTAACAGAGAAGAAGAGAGAGGGATAGAGAGTTAGAAAAATCAATGAGAGAGATACATCCATCAGCTGCCTCTTGCACACCCCCTACCGGGGATGTGCCCGCAACCAAGGTCCATGCCCTTGACCGGAATCGAACGCGGGACCTTTTAGTTCGCAGGCGGACGCTCTATCCACTGAGCCACACCGGTTTCAGCAAGGCTCTGTTGGAATTCCCAAGGATCCTCCAATCCAACAGTCCAAACCAGTGGTTGTCAGCGGGTGGGGGGTGAGGGGGAGGCACCTGCTGGGGCCCCATAGGTTCCTGGATGCCCTGTACCTGCCCTCCCCTGCCCACCCAGAGCCTAGACCCCTGGGTGAGGTGTGCACAGGACAGGCTGGGAGTGGCTGCAGGGTGGATTTCTCCTGGGGCTGGGCCCTGGGAGGGGGAGGGGGCCGCAGGGGCCCGGGTGCCCTGAGGAGGGGTTGTGCCCTAACCCGGGGGTCCCTGTCCCTGTGGCAGTGCCGCCGGGCCCCCTGCTGCAGCTGGAGACGTGCTGCACCCGCAACAACAGCGTCACGCTGGCCTGGCGGCTGCCGCCCTTCACCCACAGCCCCGTGGACGGCTACATCCTGGAGCTGGACGACGGCGACGGGGGGCAGTTCCGGGTGAGCCCCCGCGGGTCTGGGGGCCCCACGGTCCGGGCTGGGGGTGGCTCTGGACCAGCCTGAGAGGCCTCCTGTCCCTCTGATGCCACGGGAGAGGGTATTGGCTCCAAGGACAGAGGGATGGGGTGCCAAGGCCCTGAGGCAGGAATAACACACGGAGCGGCCAGATGGTGATGATCTCTGAACACATCATCATCTGGACGCTCCGTGTGTATCCTATAGAATAAAAGGCTAGTATGCAAATGGTCCCCTCGACCAGGAGTTCGACCAGCAGGCAGGCCGGCCATCCGCCTGTGTCCCCTCCCCCTGGCCAGGCTGGCCAGACCCCACCCATGCACGAATTCATGCCTCAAATATATATATATATATATATATATATATATATATATATATATTCCACACACACACACACACATATATATATATATATATATATACCATATATGTGTGTGTGTGTGTGTATATGTATGTGTGTGTATATATATATACACACACAGAGTGGCCAGATGATAATGATCTCTGAATGCATAATAATCTGGCCCCTCAGTGTGTATGTATATTTATATATACATATATTAGAGGCCCAGTGCATGAATCCGTGCATGGGTGGGGTCCAGCCAGCCTGGCCAGGGGGAGGGGACATGGGCGGTCGGCCGACTTGCCTGCTGGTCGAACTCCTGGTCAAGGGGACCATTTGCATACTAGCCTTTTATTCTATAGGACGGACACGGAGTGGCCAGATGATTATGAGTTCAGAGATCATCATCATCTGGTGCCACTCCGTGTATTTTATTGATTTCAGAGAGGAAGGGAGAGGGAGAGAGAGAGAGAAACATTCATGAGGAGAGAGAATCATGGACCGGCTGCCTCCTGCACATCCCACGCTGGGGATGGAGTCCATCACCCGGGCCTGTGCCCTGACCGGGAATCAAGTCAACCATGACCTCCTGGCTCGTAGGTCAATGCTCACCCACTGAGCCACACCGGCTGGGCACCCCTCTAACCCTTTTCCTGCCAACTCGCCACCGAGAGACATCCTCCAGGTAACGGGTGCCGGCCGCCCGGCCTTGGCTCTCTTCCAGGAGGTGTATGTGGGCAAGGAGACGCTGTGCACCATCGATGGCCTCCACTTCAACAGCACCTACAACGCCAGGGTCAAGGCCTTCAACGCGTCCGGCGTCGGGCCTTACAGCAAGACCGTGGTCCTGGAGACCTCCGACGGTGCGCCCCGGGGTCTCCGGGGAAGGGACCGCCTTGGGGGGGGGCGGCTCTGTCTCCGAGCCCCGGGGAAAGCCTGCTGGCAATGTCCCCCCGCTGACCGGCGTCTCCCCCACTTCCTTCCTTCCCAGTGGCCTGGTTCACCTTCGACCCCAACTCCGGGCACCGGGACATCATCCTGTCCAACGACAACCAGACGGCCACCTGCAGCAGCTACGATGACCGGGTGGTGCTGGGCACGGCCGCCTTCTCCAAGGGCGTGCACTACTGGGAGCTGCACGTGGATCGCTACGACAACCACCCCGACCCCGCCTTCGGGGTGGCCCGGGCCAGCGTGGTCAAGGACATGATGCTGGGCAAGGACGACAAGGCCTGGGCCATGTACGTGGACAACAACCGCAGCTGGTTCATGCACTGCAACTCCCACACCAACAGGTGCGCCCGCCCTGGCCCTGGGCCCTGGGCCCTGTGCCCTCAGCCCTTTGCCCTTTGCCCTTTGCCCCGCCCTCCTCCCAGCCTCAGGAAACTTTTAACACAAGACCCGATACACTCGAAAATCGATAGCGTGTGAGGACCTTTCTGCCATCTCCCTAGGCCCGTGTAGGAAGTTGGAGCGTTCTTTTGCCCTGGCCGGTGTGGTCAATGGTTAGAGTGTCAGCCTGCAGACCGAAGGGTCCCAGGTTCGATGCCTGGTCAAGGGCGTGTACCTTGGTTGCAGATCTCCTACCAGGTGGGAGGCAACCAATCGAGGTGTCTCTCTCACATCGATGTTTCTCTCTCTCTTCCTCTCTCTCTCTCTCTCTCTCTCCTCCTCCCTTCCTTCTAGAATTCAGTGGGAATAAAATATCTTCATGCATCGGGCCTCTAGTAAAATAATAAAATAAAGTATGCATACACACACACACACACACACACACACACTATATTTTATTGATTTTTTTTTTTTTTTACAGAGAGGAAGGGAGAGGGATAGAATGTTAGAAACAGATGAGAGAGAATCATCCATCAGCTGCCTCCTGCACGCCCACCTCTGGGGATGTGCCGCAGGCTGACACTTTACCCACCGAGCCACACCGGTCTTGGCATCCGAGCGCCCTCTAGGCAGGCGGTTGTTCTGAGCCACCCGGACGCCCCAGGCTGGGCGTGTGACAGGCCCACGGGGGGGGGGCTTCTCTCCGCAGGACGGAAGGCGGCGTGTGCAAGGGGGCCACGGTGGGCGTGCTGCTGGACCTGACCCAGCACACCCTCACCTTCTTCATCAACGGCCAGCAGCAGGGCCCCACGGCCTTCAGCCACGTGGACGGGGTCTTCATGCCGGCCCTGAGCCTCAACCGCAACGTGCAGGTACCCGCCCCGCCCCCGGGGCCCGTGGCTGCAGCCCCAGAGGCTTGGGGGGGTCGTCCACAGGGCACCTGGGCAGCCGGAGGTCCCCGATCCAAGGAGAGAGCCCCGGACCCGCTCCTGGGGGCACACGCGTGGGCCTGGCCCGAGTGACCTGAGCCCACAGCCCCGCGATGCAGAGTCGTGGCTGCCTGTGGCCACCAGGTGCTCAGGGTTCGAGGGGGCGGCCTCGCCTCCCTCACCCGTCCCACGTTCCCTTTCCAGGTCACCCTGCACACGGGACTGGACGTGCCCACTAACCTGGGGCGGCCCAAGCTGGCAGGCAACTAGCCCCCGCTCCTGCATCTGGGCGGAGCCCGCCGCCTCTCGCTGAGGTCACAGCCACGCGGGCCGATGACCCCGCCATCGCAATGCCCCCCGGAGGCCCCTGAGTATCTAGAGACACAGCGTTTCCTGTGGGGGACGGGGGCTGGGTGGCAGGCTGGGCCTGCCCGGCCGCTGGCGGCGGGAACATGGGGGTGTGCCCTCCTCAGTCCCCCCTGACGGCTCCATGCTCACGGAGGACCTGGCTCCGGGGAGGGAGAAGGGATCGGGGCCCGTGGCTGTTTCCTGGCGTCCGGCCCCAAAGCTTGTCTTCTGTGGAGGAGGACGGAGGTGGAGAGAAAGGCAGACGTGGGACTGTCGTCCCGAGAGCAGGAGGCGGGAGGCCCTCGGGGCCCGCCCGGTGCCCGGTGCCAGGGGCCCGGTGCCCGGGGCCCGGTGCCCTGTGCCCGGTCTGCCAGGAGGAGTTCTGGAGCTTTTGGGTGCCGGGCTTCAGGGAGCTCTGCCCCTGCAGGCGAGCCCGGAGTCCGAAGCAAAGGGCGCTACACAGGGATCCTCCGCCTCTCGCCCAACTGTTAGCAGCTTCTCAGTTTCCTAGGTCCTCCATCAACACCCTCTCTCTCCCGCCCCCTCTCTCTCTCTCTTCCCCTCTCTCCCTCTCTCTCTCCTTATCTCTCTCTCTCTCCCTCTCTCTCTTTCTCCCCCCTTCCCTTTCTCTCTCTTCCCCTTTCTCTCTCTCCCCCTCTCTCCCCCTCTCCCTTTCTCCTCCCCTCTTTCTCTCTCCCCCCCTCTATCCCTCTCTATCTCTCCTTCCTTCTTTTCCCTCCTTCTCTTCCCCCCTCCCTTTCTCCCCCCCCCCTCCCCCCACACACACACAATCCTCGGCTGCAGTGAACGCCCTCAGTCCTTAGTCCCTAAGCCCAGAAGGAGACCCTGCAGCCGGGGTGGCAGTGACCAGGGGAGGCGTCTCCACCTGGCGGTGGCCGCTCTGGGACGGCTCCCCCGTGACCTGCGAGCTGTCCCCGCTGAGCCCCGTCAGACTCCCCCACGGGGAGCCGCTCAGAGCCGGCCCGCTGCTGCCTGGAGACCCGCTGCCGCCGTCAGGAGAGAACCACGAGGGAGACGCGGCCACAGGGCACCCGGGCGGGCGGGACCCTGAGAGACAGGAGCGGACAGCAATGCTGGTCCTTGTCCCCCAGCTTCCCGGCGAGCCTGGGGGTGCTGGGCCACAGGGCCCGGTGGGGCTCTGGGTGCGCCCTCTACTCCCTGCTGGGAGCACCCACCCCTAACTCTCCTCCCTGCTGGGAGCACCCATCCCTCCCCTCCCCTCCCTGCTGGGAGCACCCACCCCTAACTCTCCTCCCTGCTGGGAGCACCCATCCCTCCCCTCTCCTCCCTGCTGGGAGCACCCATCCCTCCCCTCCCCTTCCTGCTGGGAGCACCCACCCCTAACTCTCCTCCCCGCTGGGAGCACCCACCCCTAACTCTCCTCCCTGCTGGGAGCACCCATCCCTCCCCTCCCCTTCCTGCTGGGAGCACCCACCCCTAACTCTCCTCCCTGCTGGGAGCACCCACCCTGTCCCTCCCCTCCCAGCTGGGAGCACTGACCTTCTGCCTGGAGACCCATCTGAATCAGGTCCATCTCTCAGAAGAAGCGCTCGCTCCTCCCTCACCCCCTCCCCGTCCTGCACTCCCTCAGCAGCTGGACGCACACCCCTCTCCTTCTCGCCAGCATCTATCTGACGAGCATCTTCCTCCTGAGGCCGGAGAGGGACTGGCCTCTTGGCCGGACTGGATTTTTCTACAACTCGGCCGGGACGCAGGCACCCACGGTGGCCCCCCGGCTCCGGCCGCTGGTCAGGCACGACCCTCACTTTCCGAGGGACCGCCCGCCCCGCAGGCCCTGCCCGCCCGCCGCCCAGCAGATCCGACCACGCCGATCCTACCTCGAGCCCCCGCTCCTGCTGTGGCCACAGCTGCCCCGTGGCCTCAGGAGCTGTCTGGTGCTGTGCCCACGCCTCGCCCACCAAGGTCCCGGCCACCAGGCACCCCGAGCGGCCACAGGCCCTCAGCTGTGCAGCCGCCTCTCCGCTCTGCCTCCGTTTCTCTCCTTCGCCAGGGCTCTGGGTGGACTCGGCTTGGGGGGAAATTCCTGAAGATGGGGGGACACAGAGGCCCCGCGGCTTCCTGCGCCTGCAGAGCCGTGGCCGGCAGGCCCGGCGGCACTGGCTTCGGGAAACGTCTTCTGGAAACGACGCAGCCAGTGCTGCCCCGGGGATAGGCGTGCAGCCGGGAAACCAGGGAGGGCTGCCTGGAGGAGGGGGCTTTGAAACCCAGAAGCTCCACGTCTTTGGAGAGAAGATGCTCACGCTCAGCCGGGACGTGGTGTCGCCTCGGAGAGCCAGCCCCGAGGTCCCGGGGAGAAGGGACATTTCCCACAATTCCAGGTGCCTCTTTGGGGGAGAACACTTCCTGAAATTCAGGAAGAAGCCACCAACACACCCTGCCTCCCCCTCCCACCGTGGCCAGGAGCCCGGGAGGCCCCCAGGGCACCCACCGGGATGGTCAGCATCCCTTCCCGATCTGCCAGGAGCACAGAGCCATACGCCTGACACCAGGGACCGGGCCACGGCCAACTCTCCTGTCTCAGCACAGGACACCTTTCAGGGACAAGGAGGGGCCTGGGAGGGAAGCCAGGCTCCTGCCACCCACAGTGTGTTGGGGCTCAGCAGCTCGTGGCCCTGCGTCCCCCTCCCGGGAGGCCCTGGCCATCAGAGATCCCACAGGCCGGGCGGGGGCATCTCATCCATCGGCCATCGAGTCCCCTGACCTTCACCCCGCAGTGACATTCTCGTTCAGAAATTGTTTATCCCGAGGATGCTTTGTTGGGCCGGCGGGGGAGTCGCCTGGTCCCTGTGCCCAGCAGCGTCTGTGAGAAGGGAATTCAGTCACGTCCAAGGTCAGACTCTCTGCCTTGCTGATAATTCCTCTGTTTCCTACCGAGTCCCCCTGCCGTTTGCCCTTGGCTGGAGAGGAAGCGCGGGCTTTGCTTTGATTTTATTTATTTTTAAAATATTTTATTGATTTTTTACAGAGAGGAAGGGAGAGGCATAGAGAGTTGGAAACATTGATGAGAGAGAATCATCGACCAGCTGCCTCCTGCACACCCCCCACTGGGGATGTGCCCGCAACAAAGGTACATGCTTTTGACCGGAATCGAACCTGGGACCCTCCAGTCTGCAGGCCAACGCTCTATCCACTGAGCCAAACCGGTTTTGGCTATTTTATTGATTTTTTTGCAGAGAGGAAGGGAGAGGGATAGAGAGTTAGAAACATCGATGAGAGAGAAATATCCATCAGCTGCTTCCTGCACACCTCCCACTAGGGATGTGCCTGCAACCAAGATACATGCCCTTGAGCAGAATCGAACCCGGGATGCTTCAACCTGCAGGCCGATGCTCTGTCCACTGAGCCACCCGGCTGGGGTCTGAGGGCCGCATACATTGCACGGCTGCCTGGCCTCTGGGGGCAACGCTGGCATGTGCAGCAGCCTTCCTCTGAGGACGGGGAGCACCACCCCCTTTTCCTGACTCCCTGGTTGCCTTAAGTTCTGGTGTCTGAGGGGTCCCCCACCCCGAGTCTGGCTCCTTTGTCTCCAAAGATCTCGGTGGAGGGGGCATTGGACGCCGGGGTCTCAGAGTGAGGGGTACAGTGTGGGACTTCTGTTACCAAGTGGGTCCCCAGCTTTTCCTTTTTTTTTTTTTTTTTTCTGCGAAGCCTGAGTTTATTTCTATATAAACATGCTCGAGAGACTTTGCAGAGGCCCACTGGCGTCCAGGTTTAAGTAAGTTAAGATCGTCCGAGGTGGCGTCTGTCTGTCTCTCCTTTGGCGAGGCGTCCATTTGATCCTGGTTCGTGAAGCACCTCGATCACTCTAGCTGGAGCGTGGCCATTCCCTGTCTCTGTCATCAATGGCCACCGGTTCTGGAGGAGGAGGCAGGGACCGCCGGAAACCAGCATAAGACGCCTGCGGGTTCCCCAGGAATGTCCTCTCCGCGTGATTCTGCGCAGGCAGGCGCGGGGATTGTCAGCTGGAGTCGGAGGTCATGACAAGTGTCCCCTGCAGACTGGCAGGAAACAGCCCTTCTGGCCGGGAACCAGCAGACACCCTTCCAGATGCAACACCCCGGCTTTCTCCGTGAGCGACATGGACCTTGTCCGGAGGAGGAGGAGGTGGAGTGGAGACCTGGGGCACTGGTCCTGGGGTGGACCCTGGGGGCTCCTGGGCAGCGAGGTGGGCACACTCACCAGGCCAGGCCCTCGGGAAGGCTCTGAGAGCCCACCCGGGGCTCAGGTTCGGGGCAGTGACAGCTGGGGTCCTCCCAGGCCCGGGGACCCCCCCAGCCCGGACCACCTCGGCACCCGGAGGCGGATGGGCTGGGCAGAAAACGTTCGATGCATGACCCGGAATGGCTGCTTTCCGCACTCAACTGTTGTATTAAGCATGAGCGATGTTTGTTGACCGTGGGCAGAGGGATTTAAAGAGTAAACGACAGAACTTCCATTTCCCTGCCTCTCTTTACCCAACCCCTCCCCCCCTCCCCACCCATCGCATCCCCGTGGTCACTGGTTGGTGGTGTTTGGTGGCAGCCCCTGGTCTCTTAGGTGTTGAGTTCCACAGGAAGCCCGGAGTGGGGGGGGGGTGCTTTTTCTAATTTTTGTATCGGTGCCCACAGCCTTTGTATTTTTTGGATTGCAGACACTGTGTTTTCTGGTCTTTGGGGGTTGGTGGAACTTTGTGTATTGCCTTTTGGAAAACCTCAGTTTGACCACGGTCTCAAGCGGATTTGAAATAAATTCTTTTGACACTGCCAGCAGCGGAAAGGCGAGGTGTGGTCTGTAATGACTGCTGGGCGCGGGTCTGCTCTTTACCGAATAGCCTATGTAATAAAAGCGTACAGTTAGACCGGGCATCCTTCCGCACGAAGCTGCAGCTGCGAGGGAGGCCCGGGTCCCAGGTGCCAGAGAGAAGCCAGTGCCAGCAGCAACCGGGGGAAAGGCAGGCCTCGTCTTGCACAAATTTCGTGTATCGGGCCTCTGGTATGTAAATAAATGACTTCAGAGAGGAAGGGAGAGGGAAAGAGAAACATCAATGGTGAGAGGGAATCACTGAATTGAGACTGTAACTGGGGCGTGTGCCCTGACCGGGAATCGAACCATGACCTTCTGGTTCATAGGTTGACGCTCAACCACTGGGCCACACTGGCTGGGCTGAGGACTTTGCTTCAATGTGCCACAAGCTCTGAGAAGCTCCAGAAATGCTCTCAGCAAGGGCAAGAGCACTAAGGAATGTGGCCAGCTGCCCGGGTTTTGCTTTAAGGAACTGGCAGTCCCTTACACGTGGGTTCTAGGACACGAGTCAAATGCACCTGTTATTCCATAGTCACGGCCACACACACTCCCAAAAATTGATTTTTATTTATGTCGCTTCCTATGAAGTAGACTTCATATACTTGACACTGAACATGGAAGCTGCTTTCCCCACAAAGTAACTTGACAAGGCGATCACATTCGTAGCTCTTTCACGATAAGAGTGACATCGAATCGTTTTTTAAAGAAAGTCAAACGGCGACTTAAAGCTCATCGTTGGCCCTTACAAACCAGTCCGTTCTGGAAAATCTTATTAGGAGCAAATGCACGAAGCACTGGTGACAGTGGGACTTGGGTGAGCTCTTTCCCAGGGTTTCTCTCCATTCCCACGGCGCGTGCATGGTGGGCCCGGCACGGCCCCTTGGACACCTGAGCCCCGCAGCTTTACTGGTCCTGATGGACGTTTTCCTCGGAGAATTGTCATGAACCAGGAAGTACAGAACCGTCTGGGGCCTCGCCGGCCCAGGCTCAGCACACGGGCGTCCCCCTCCCTCTCGCTCGGACGGCGGCTCACTTGGCCGCTCGGGAGGAGTTGATCTTCCTGATGTCCACGTGGCTCAGAATCAACGTCCCGTTTTTGAATTTTCCAACCTGGCCAACCCGCCCATTGGACAGAATGCTGGGCGCTGCTTTCTTCTTCCTGGGCTTCCTACGTGGAGAGAGAGAAGGGTTCAGAGTGAAGCTCCGAGGATCGCCAGGCCACTGGCCAGACCACGTGGTGCTCCCACTGAGCCCCGCCCTCCATGTCTTCCCTGGCCCCTCGGACCCGCCACCTGCCTAGGGTCGTCCCGGTTCCTTCCCCAGGTGCCGCCTCGCTGTCACCTCCTTGGCCCACCCGCAGGCACTTCCTTTCACAGCACTGCCTCTCAGCCCCCAGCCGGGCACCTGCGCTGTCTGTCTGTCTGTCTGTGTTTGCCTCACCACAGAGTCAGGGCCTCGAGGGCAGGGATGCACTCCAGGTGCTCATGGCTGCACCCCCTGAGCCGCCTACATGCCTGGCACGGCCAGGACTACATGCCAGCTGGAGGCGAGGGCAAGATCACTGGAGCCCAAGAAAGAGGCCAAGATACCAGGAGCCCATTTTGAAATAGTAAAGGGGGCGGAGGGGGGCGGGAAGGGAAGGAGCTAGAACAAAAGCTAAGAAACACCCATAAGCCACACAATCAATATCTGCTATTCAAATCCTGGCGCTCTGCCTGCAGGCCAGGCCCTCCCCACGGGATGGGACGTGGGATGAGACATGGTCACGTGCAAGGGGACAGGGGACAGAAATCTTGCTGGAAATGGCAACCCCAGCGCTTCCCCTGGTCACGTGCAGGGGTGGGTCTTTGGAAACGGGAGACAGTCCCCGGACCCTCCTGAGGTCGCTGCTCGGGGTAGGCAGTTGACTACATCCTGTCTCCCCTATAGGCCTGGAAAGCATGGGGCAGGCCAGATCCCGGGACCCCCGACGGCATTATCCTCAACCCTCAGCCACAGCTTCCCCACGCCGGCCGCCCTCACGTCCTGTGGTGTCACTCACCCCTCCTCAGGCCCTTTCCTCTTCTTCTTCTTGAAAATCTCTGTGTCCCGGGCCTGGTTGCAGAATGTAAGACAATATATGATCAGAAATAGCAAGAGGCCTGTGACCCAAAGCCACCGAGATGCTATTTATCTTCATGCTTTTTGAGGAGACACGTTAAAACAACACCAAGTTCCTTCCTAAAACACTTTCGAGACTGTGGAAGGCCATTCCAGGGGAGACTGACGGTAGAAACGTCCACTCTTCAGCCCTCGCCGCTCTGGCTCAGTGGAGAGAGTGTCAGCCTGCGGACTGAAGGTTCGATTCCGGTCAAGGGCACATGCCCCAGTTGCAGGCTTGATCCCCGGTAGTGGGCGTACAGGAGGCAGCGATCCAGAATTCTCTCTCATCATGGATGTTTCTCTCCCCCCCCCCCCTTTTCTCTCTGAAATCAATAAAAATACATTTTTTAAAAAGAGAGTAAATGCAAAAGCTATTAAAAAAAAAAAAAAAAAGAGCGTGGACCTTCCCGAGCAGCCGGGCCCAGCCTCCCACCGTGACAAACGGGTTTAATAAGGTCAAGGCCGTGACACCCACCATCTTCCTTTCCTCTTCCTTGGCTGCCTTCTTCTCTCTGATCTGCTCCTGCAAAACCTTGTAGTTCACGTAGCTCTTTTTGGGCGGCTGCAGTGAAGGAAGAGGGACAGGCCGCCATCACGTTGCGTTCTGCACCCGTTTCCTAGCGTCCCTTGCCCCGGCTGGCCGCGCTCGGCCTGGGCACAGGAGGCCGAGTGGGTGCTCACCTGCGCGCCCAGCATGATGGCGCGCTCCCGTTCCAGGAGCCTCTCCTTCCCTTTGCCGTAGCCCGTGATCCCGAACCGGTGCACCTCCAGCCGGGCCTGGAGACAAAGCCGGATCAGACCCGGGTGCTCCCCAAAACCTCCCCCAGAGGACACACTCACGCCCGTCTGGAGACCATGAGCAAGACTCTGTGATGGTTCAGGGAGCTGCGTGAGGCCTCCCGCACTGTGAGGGCCCCCTCCCAACACCGCCCCGTGTTTACTCAGGACACCGGAGGCAACGCATGCTCTCTGCACGCAGGAGGGTCAGGGGCAGAAAGCCACCACGTTTCAGACCAACAGCTGCTTTCCAAGAGACTGGGTGTCCCGAGGTGCTTACCCACGCCCCCTGGCTCCCGGGACGTGTTAGCACAGCCGTCTTTTTTGGCAGCAGAAAGATGGAAACGTGAACCATTTTGAAACACGTACCTTTTCCAAGTTGAATTCTTGTATAGTCACATCTTTCTCAACGAGGTTAGTTTTGGTCTGAAAAGGGAAAAAAAAAATTCTATTAAGATCATCTGTTACCGCATCATTCTAGCCTCTGTCCCCTATGGAGGGGACACATTCTAAATTTAAAGAAATATATATATTTTGTTGATTTTTTTACAGAGAGGAAGAGAGAGGGATAGAGAGTCAGAAACATCAATGAGAGAGAAACATCCATCAGCTGCCTCCTGCACACCCCCCACTGGGGATGTGCTTGCAACCAAGGTACATGCCCTTGACCGGAATCGAACCTGGGACCTTTCCGTCCACAGGTCGATGCTCTATCTCGGCAGTGGACACGTTTTAAAAGGCTGGCCCCGATGCCTACACGCCAAACGAGGACACAGGCATGCTGCCCAGGACCCTGACTGCCACCTGCTTGCTGCTCCAGTGACTCAGGGGCCTACCGGTTCGGATGGATGGGACATGTCTTCCTGAGCATAAAGCACTTCAGCGAGATGACCTGCTTCCCAACAGGGAGCTGACGTGGGACCTATTACGGACCAGGGTGTGGACCAGCTCAGGGGGACCTGAGACGGGAGGGTTTCAGGGTCAAGGCCGGGGAGTGATTTGGAAAAAGTGGAGATCAGGAGGCAGTAACTTTGGGAAACGTTATGTCGGGGAAGCCTTTGAACGGAATCAAACCTGAGCTGATACTCTACCCTGTATCCTTTTGCTGCAATAAATCATAACTGTGATATGCCCGGCCAGTGTGGCTCAGTGGGTTGAGCGTCATTCCATGAACCGAGAGGTTGCTGGTTCAATCCCCGGTCAGGGCGCATGCCCAGGTTGTGGGCTTGATCCCCAGGGTGGGGCGTGCAGGAGGCAGCCGATCAATGTTTCTATCTCATTCACATTTCTCTCTCTCTCCCCGCTTCCTCTTTCTCTTAAAAAAACCCCAAAAAACCAAAACATAACTGTGATGGTTACTGCATGCTGAGTCCTGCTAGTGCTTTGGGCAAATCCCCCCAGGCTAGGATGTGGTCCTGGGGGCCCCTGACACAGTCTAGAACGATGTTTCCCCAGTTCTACAATATCAGGGTTTCCATCCCAGACACACAAACTATCCCAGCTCGCTACCTTGGTGTTCTCATCTTGGTCCGGCGTCTGTTTCCGCTTCTTATTCCTGCTGTGGAATTCCACCACTTCCACGGGCTCCCTCCTGCTCCAGGGACAGGGCGAGGCTGCAGCCGGAGGGGCTGGCGGCCCCTCGGGGGCCTCTGGGAGGGTCACGGAGGGGGCATGCTGCAGCTCCGCCCGGAGCTCCGAGAAGAAGGTCGCAGCCCTCTTCTTCCTCGGGCCTCTTACGGGAGAACCAGGTGGGGGAGCGGGCTCGGCTCCCAATGCCACTGGGGCCCCCGCCTCTCTCTTCTTGTTTTCCTTTTTCCTTCTGGTCCTTTTCCGTTCTGCTTCATCTTCTGTCTCTCCTGTTTGCTCACCCACAAGAAGGAAAAAGAAATATTTTTATTTTTAGCCACCATTTTTATTTGAATCACGTGATTCACATATCAAATCACGTGAAGGCACGCATACGTCACCTCAAATACAAACACCCAGATCTACCTACAAAGAAAGAAAGAAAGAAAAAAAAAAGACTTGTTTTTCTTCAAAGAGGAATGCTTTTGCACAATTTATAGAATCCAAATGCCACATGGGACGATGCTTAGCCTGGGTAACTGGATTTGTGTCTCTGCCTCTTATTAGCATAAGTCATTTTATCTTCACCGTGGCTGTTCCTAGGTCATCACGGCAATAGTCCCACACTGGGCCCTGACGGGTGTGGCTCAGTGGATAGAGCGACGGCCTGCGGACTGAAAGGTCCCGGGTTCGATTCCGGTCAAGGGCATGGACCTTGGTGGCGGGCACATCCCCCAGTCGGGGGTGTGCAGGAGGCAGCTGATGGATGTTTCTCTCTCATCGATGTTTCTAACTCTCTATCCCTGGAGCCCATAACCCAGGCATGTGCCCCGACCTCCTGGGTCATACATAGGTCGACGACACTCAACCCCTGAGCCGTGCCAGCTGGGCTTCTATATATTTTTTTATTGTTGCTGGTACTACAGATATCTCTTATTCCCCCTTCATCCCTCTTGTCCTCTGTCCTCCCAGCCTCCTCCCCCTCCCCCCAACCCCAGGTCTTCACCACCCTATTGCCTTGGACCAACACCCCAGGATCCTTTCCCGGGATCTCCTTGGGACAGAGAGTAACTCGATGGAAGAGTAACTCGGAGGAAGATGACAGGCGGGGGACGGTGTGTGCTGGACCCCGTCCCGGCCGAGGGGCGCTGGCTCACGGGAGTGCTCCCCACGTGGCCTCCGAGGCTCACACTCACCGAAGTCGTAGAGGTTCTGGAGCACCGCGTCCAGCAGCTGGGGCGGGGGAGGCGGGGAGGGCGGCGGGGAGGGCCCCTGCCCCCGCCCCGGCCCCTGCGCCATCGCGACGGTCCCGCTCCGCGCGGCCGCCCGGCGCCCACGGGGGTGCAGGTTGCGCGCGTGCGCGCGGGGCAGCCTCACTTCCGGGTTCCTCCGGCCTCGCGCGCGCGCGCGCACGCGCATGCGCACGCGCGCGCCGCAGGGCCCCGCGCGGCTTCCGTCCTGGCCAAGATGGCGGCGCCCGGGGTCCCGAGCAGCGGTCGCAGAGGGTGCCACCGCCCTCGGCGAGGTCGGGCCGCCCCGCGCGGAAGAACCGCCCCCAGCCGTCACCCCGCCGCCGCCACCGCCTAGCACCGCACCCCAGGCCCCGCCCGGGACGGACGGCAGCCGCGCCATGGACCCTTCCAGCTCCTCCAGCTCCCGCTTGGCCGTCGGCTCCCCGGGTCCCAGCGCCGCCGCGCTCCAGTTCTCGGTAGGCGTCCAGGGCAAGGAGGCCCCGGCCGGGCCCGAGCGAGGACCCTCCCCTCCCGGCCTCGTCTCCCTCCGGGCCGGCGCTCCCAGAGCCCCGAAGAGCGTGGGTCCCCGACTGCCCCGGCGCGAGGAGGGCCTGGATGGTTGACTTGGTTTCCAAGGCAACGGAGCATCCCTGCGTCCCGGCGTGCGCGCTTTTCCCCAAGTTTCTCCCGGCGACGGTTCCCCGTCCGCCCGGTTCCTTCCCTCTCGCGCCTTCCCTGTCCCTCCACCGGGCGCGGGGCCTCCCGAAAGCCTGAGCTGGCCCCTGGCACCCATCCCGCCCTTCTGCCGGGCCCGTGTTCCTGGCCGGAGGAGTGTTTGGCTCATCAGTGGGCAGAGAGTTTTTATGACCCAAGTCACTTAAAAAAAAAAAAAAAATATATATATATATGTATATATATATATATATATATATATATATATATATATACATATATATATACACACACACATATTTGTGTGTGTGTGTGTGTTTACATTTTTAAAAATATATCTTTTGCAGAGAAGAAGAGAGAGGGATAGAGAGTTGGAAACATCCATCAGCTGCCTCCTGCACACCCCCTACTGGGGATGGGCCCGCAACCAAAGTACATGCCCTTGACCGGAATCGAACCTGGGACCCTTGAGTCTGCAGGCCGTTGCTCTATCCACTGAGCCAAACCGGTTGGTCAGGGCAATGTGTTTACATTTTTATTTATTTCAGAAAGGAAGGGAGAGGGAAAGAGAGAGAGAATCCTCGAAGATGAGAGGGACTCGTGAATCGGTGGCCCACCACCTGGGCCTGTGCCCTGACCTTCTGGTTCATAGGTTGATAACCACTGAGCCGCACCGGCTGGGTTTCAATATATTTTTTATTGTTGCTGATATTACAGACATCTCTTATTCCCCTTTCATTCCTCCTGTCCTCCCAGCCTCCCCCCAACTCCCAGCCCTACCCCGCCAGGTCTCCATCCCCTATTCCCTGATTCCATGGGCTGTGCCCATAAGTATATAAGTTCTTTGGTCTATCTCTTCTCGCCCCCCCTCAACCCCACATCCAGGTATGTCAGTCGGATCCATGTCTCCCTTCTTCGGGCCTTATTTAGTTGGTCAGTTCATTTTGTTGATTAGGACAAATCTAGGAAGTTTTGGGACTTCTGGAAGTTTTTATTGCCTGTTTTTGTCGTACTTTTCCCTCAAGTCATTTTGCAACCCCGCCTCTCTCCATCTTGCCTCTTCTCCCCCAACCGCCCCTCTCTTTCCCTCCTGACTTTAACAGAAAGGTCAGGACTGTGTGCCTACAGAGGCTCCCTTGACCTTTTTTTTTTGTTTGTTTTTTTAAATATATTTTATTGATTTTTCACAGAGAGGAAGGGAGAGGGATATTGAGCCAGAAACATCGATGAGAGAGAAACATCGACCAACTGCCTCCTGCACCCCCCCCCCCCCCCGGGATGTGCCCACAACCAAGGTACATGTCCTTGACCGGAATCGAACCTGGGACCTTTCAGTCCGCAGGCTAACGCTCTGTCCACTGAACCAAACTGGTTAGGGCATTAACAGGTCTTTTATGTCAACAAAACTTTTACTTACCGGTCACTCACCATTGTCAGGAGAGCTCTGTAGCTCTCAGGCTTGCATAATCCTGGCTTAACTGATGGTTGATTTTTGTGTGTTTTTTAAACAATAGATTAACTTTTACCTACTTTAGGAGGACTTAGAAGAGGGCATTTCAAAGCTTTGCCACCATGCTTGTCCTAGCAGTTAGTGTCAGTCTGACTTAAATATAACAATTTGTTTGAGAAGGGAAAACAGAAAAATGCAAGATAAACAAAAAACAAACAAACCATAACTCAAAAGAGGGTGTGTAAGCGTATGTGGCTGCCTTCCTATTGGGACATTAGGAACAAGAGGAAATGCCCATTTCCTGGCAGAGCTAGGAGCTCATAATTGCTGTTGGCTGTCCACTCTTCCCAGGCCCTTCACTCTCCTGCCCTCCCCTCGGCCTTCCCACCCGACAGGTGTGTCTTGGGAATATTTGACCTCTTAACTGCTGCTCCTGGGGGAGTCTGTAACGAAAAAGGGCTGTGGTGTGGCTCTGACATGTGTAGATCTCTTTTTCAGTCCTAAGTGGCTTGTGACTTGAATACAATCCTCCTATTTAATAAATTTAATCCTCCTATTAAATCCTCCTATTTAATATTTAATCCTCCTATTTAAGCCTGATATGCAAATTGTCCCCTCTACCCGGAGTTCAACTGGGTGTCCGACCAGGGGCAGGGCCAGCTGGCCACCCGCCGGCAGCCCCAGCCCCTGGCCAGCCCCTCCCTTGATCACCACCCCCACCCTGATCAGGTGAGTTCGTGCACTGGGCCTCTGGTCCCTACATCACTGGAGCGAGCTGATCCTTTAGTTCCCCATTCACCAGGGGTTCTTAACTGATAAGACTTTTGTCAACGTTTCATGCGAACAGCAAGGCGGTTGCATGTGAGCTTTTTCTCCTCGGACGCTGCACATGTCTTGTGATTTCATAGTTGGACTCTCATGATGTCCTGAACTTGTTCTTACTATTACTGATTCGGGCCTGCCTTGCGCGTAAATGCTCTGTCTCATCTGAGAGCGACATTCGAGGTATTTGAGACATTGCTGATTGCAACAACCATGGCAGCACGAGTGCCTGCAGAGCCCTTAGTCATTCTCCTCAGTGTTCAAGCTAAAGAGCTAGCCCTCCCCTCTCCGCACTTCAAAGGAAATCAAGAAAGTAAACAGCTAGTTGCAATGAAGTGAGACAAGGGCAGTGGTGGAAACACGTGCAGTGCATTGTGGGAGGGAGAAGGAGGAGCCCTGACCTGTTTGGAGATTAGAGAAGGTGACACCTGCGCTGAGTTCTTGAGATGTGAAGGGGGATGAGGGAGAGGAAGCCTGCTCTGGGCATCCATGAAGAACACGCACATCGGGGGGCCACGTGGTCAGGGAGGCTAGACGAGAGGGGACCCGAGGATGAAGGCCGGGAGGCAGGCGGGTTCCATTTCCTAACGGGATCTTGTGAGTCACGTTTCCCCATCCTCACCGCTAAGGTCGGAACTTTACTTGGCACCACTTCAGGGGTTCACAGTTGTACGTTGAAGGTCCAAGAGAACTGCTTGGTTTCTGCCATGATCACCTGGATGAATAATCTCTCCTACTTACGTCGAGACTGTAGGAAGAGAGGCTGGCCGGGGAGGGAATGTGATGCCAGGATGCTGGGTGTGTTATCAGGACAGATAAGGGAAGGCAGCCTGAGTGGGCAGGGGCCGTGAGTGTGGGGAAAAGGGTGATGACGGCCCCTGTGGGATGTTTGGCAGCTGGAAGGGTGGGTGAGGAAGAGGAGGCAGTCCATGGTTGACTCCTGGTTTCTGTGATTGGGCAACTGGGTGGATGAGATGCCTTTCGCAGATAGGAGATGCGGACAGAACAGGTTTGGTCAGGGTGCAACTGAGGTTGTGCTCAGTTTGAGATGGGGGAGGCAAAGCTAATGATTTAAAAATATGTGTGTGTGTGTATATATATAAATATGTGTATATATATATATAAATATGTGTATATGTATATATATATATATATATATATTTCAGAGAGAAAGGGAGAGGTAGAAACATCAATGATAAGAGAGAATCATCGATTGACTGCCTCTTGCATGCCCCCTACTGGAGATCGAGTCTGCAACCCAGGCATGTGCCCTTGACTGAATTTGAACCTGGGACCCTTCAGTCCGCAGGCCGAAGCTCTGTCTACCGAGCCAGACCAGTCAGGGCAAAGCTAATGATTTCTAATTTGTGGATTATTGTGTTATGGACCAGATACGTCACAAGAGGCTTGGATGACATCCAAATGGCGTTAGGAATATGGTAGCAGAGCAGAGAGGAAGGTCTGGTCTCAATATATAAGCTTGGCAACCCTCACAGGAAGGCTGTGTCCTAAACACTGGTCTGATGGAGAGTGTCAATGGGAATCGCTGGTTTGCTGCTGGAAATGAATGAAAAATCCCGGCTCCTTACAGTGCGCCACAGGACACCCCCTCCCCAGGCGGGCAGCCGCTGCTATTTATTAGCGAGGTCCCAGCACAGAGAGCACAGAGGGGACTTAGCCAGCCAGTCAGTCTCTCTCTCTCACACACACACACACACACACACACACACACACACACCCGCTCTCTCATTAGCCACTCTATCCCATTGTCTCAGAGGATTTCATTTCCAGTGTTGGCAGCCGGAGTTCGTAGTCCTGTACTTGCTGTCAAAGCTGATCGTGAAATTTTCATGAAGCTTGCAAGCCCAATGTTAAAGCGCAGCCATCATTAAAAATTAAAGAGTAAGCCTTGGCCGGGTAGTCTGCGGGCTTGTTTCCCATCAGGGTACACACCTGGTTCGCGGGTTCGATCCTTCATCTGGCATGTATGAGAGGCATCCAACTGATGCTTGCCCCTCTCTCTCCCTCCCCACCTTCTCCTTCCTCTCTCTATAAAAGTCAACAATCATAGCTTCAGGTGATGACTCAAAAAATATTAAAGATTAAGTTATAGATTTACAATTAAAGAAATCCTGTTAAAAAAAAATAGCCCGGCCAGTGTGGCTCAGTGGAGTGTCGCTCTAGGAACCAGGAGGTCACAGTTGGATTCCCAGTCAGGGCACATGCCCGGGTTGTGGGCTCCATCCCCACTGGGGAGCATGCAGGAGGAGCCAATGGATGTATCTCTCTGACATCTTGTTTCTCTCTCTCTCTTTCCCCCTCTCCCTCCTTCTCCCTAAAATCAATTAAAAAAACAACAACACACATTTAAAAAATAAAATAGGATGATAATTCAATATCAATTTATTGGTCCTATGTACTTTTTTTTCTTTTTCTTTTTTGGAATGTGAAAATCTAAGGTTCGATCGCTCTGCTCTTGTCATATGTCACAGAAAACAAATTGGGCAGAAATGAAGCTTTTCCCCAATCTGTCCTGCCTTGTATTACAGTATGTGTATGACTTTCTTTCGTTTCCTGTCCACAGAAGGAGCCCAAAAAGTGGGACGAGTTTGAAGATATGTTAGAGGAAAGGAGGCGTGTCAGCGACTTGAAGTTTGCGATGAAGTGCTACACCCCTCGCCTGTACAAGGCCCTCATCCCGTGCACGCCCCACGACATTAAGGGTAGCGTTCTCGACTCCGAAGAGGTGTACTACATCATCAAGGAGGTCAGGGGGCCCTCTTCCGCTCAGCCAGGTCTGCTCCTGGCCAGCAAGTCCTTTCTCTTCCTGAATCTGTGAATTTATTTCGCTTTCTTTAATGTATATTAAAAATATATATTTTTTAAAAATATATTTTTTTATTGATTTCAGAGAGGAAGGGAGAGGGAGAGAGAGAGAAACATCAATGATGAGAGAGAATCATTGATTGACTTGTCTCCTGCCCGCCCCCCTCTGGGGATCAAGCCCGCACCCCTGCGACCTTCTGGTTCATAGGCCACACTACCCACTGAGCCACACTGGCTGGGCTGGGCTTACGGTGTCCTTTTAGGTTTAGGTATATTCGGCACACCCATCGAATGTGTACCATAGCCAGACGTGTGTGAGCCTCTGTCCTGGACACGGGGGGTCTGGCAGTGAGCAACGGGAGCCGAGCTGCTGCCTCTTACGTCTGATGGGGCCTGATGACAGTTGTATCATCAACTTTGACACAAGACACGCTAGTGGGCGCCACTGCAGGGCCACTTGTGAGAGAGAAGCTCGTTTTGTGCAGGGAGCTAAAGAGAGATTTTAAAAACGAGGCCCGAACGAGGATTAGGAGTTTGCCAGGTGAGCGGGGTGGAAGGAGTGTTTTTAACAGAGCAGTAACTTCCCCCGTGGTCTTCACACCCCGCTCGGGAGCTCTGACAATCCCTGTGCGTCAGTCCCACTCCGGACCAATTACACCAGGAGGTCGGCCAGAAGCTGAAGGCAGTTTGCTATGACCAGACCACAGAGCAGAGAGGGGTCGTGGGAAGGATTGAGAGCGGAGCAGTAAGCAGGGCCTCTGGCACGGGGGCCTCTGTAAACCTCGGAGAAGGATCTCCATGGGGAGGTGGTGCGATTCGTTTATATTTTAGAAACATGTCTTGCTAAACATAGAGATAAGAAATCTGCTCATGATGCTTGGAGTGTAGGCACCCTGAGCCCGTGCACCTGCCGTCTTTTACTTGGTGCCGGCGACTCTCTTGCAGTGACGTTTGCGCTACTAAAGTGGCAACGCTCTCGGCCTTGTTTTGCCCCCGTTTTGCGATCTTGACCTTGGCCAAGTGCCAGTGTTGGCTGTGGCAAGGGATTCTGTTTATTCTCTACACACAACCCCAGGGAACAGAAGCGATGCTTGCATTGTACGTTATGTCGTCACAGTCGGTAGGTGCAGCATCTGTAGGGAAGTGAGTCGTGTAAGTTCAAGTTTATGATTAGGTGACAAGTTGACATGACCAAAAATGTGTAAAGGCTTTTAAACAGCAAAGACATTCGAGAGGTAAAGTAGACATTGTTAATGGGAGGGAAAAAGCCTTCACGGAGCCAAGGGAGCGAGGGAACAGGTGTGGAGAGAAGCTGCATTCTGTTTGGGACAGGTGTGTGTGTGTGTGTGTACATACATATACATATATGTAAACGATATATATGTATACACACATACACATATACATGTACATATATAAAAAGATCACTCTCCATAGGAGTAAAGGAGTTTCCCTGTGACAGCATGGAGCTCGCTGACCGTCTTTGAGAGTTGGAGGGTCTGTGGCAGTGCCCCATGTGTGCTGTGGTGCGAATGGGGTTCAGTGTAGTCTTGTGTCTCTATCTGGCTCAGGACCCGGTCATGGCGGTGAGCGGTCCCTGAGGGGCCCCCTGCACTGTGTTTCGGGCCTTGACTCCCGGGGGAGCTGATAGCACACCCGATGGGGAGGGAGACGCCCTCCTGGCCCCACGTGTCACCCCGGAAGCCGGTTCTCTTCAGGGCCTGGTCTTTGAAGTGGTCTAAGAAGGATCATTCATCCCCTTGTGGCGGAAGTTACACAACGCCCACTTACATGAAGGACTTCTGCAGCATGGGCCCGTGTGGACCTGGACTGGGTGAAAGAGCCATGGCTGCTTCTTTGAGAAACACATCCCCGCTTCTCTCCCCTCCCAGATCTCCAAGGAGACCCACCGGTCCCAGGAGGCCCTGCGCGAGGAAGTGTGCCAGATCTTGGACGAAATGTGCCACAAGCTGCGCCTGGGAGCCATCCGGTTTTTCGCCTTTGCCCTGAGCAAAATATTTAAACAAATCTACTCCAAAGTGTGTGTCAACGAAGAAGGCATTCAGAAAGTGAGTATTGCAGGTCACACGGCAGCCTCTCCTCGCCCCTCACTGTGTGGGCAGCCCCGCCTCCTCTCACCTGCACCCAGCGGGCATCCCGGCCGCTGGCACAGGGCGCGGCCCCTTGGCACGGTGGTGTTTGGTGATTGCCAGATGGTGAGTTTTCTAATCCCGTCACTTCTGTTCCTTAGTAATTTGCGTTTATCTGTAAGGAAGCACTTTCTTACATAGACTGCATTTTTTAATTTGCTTTTTAAATATGCGTTTATTGATTTGAGAGAGTGAGAGGGAGAGAGAAACATTGATGAGAGAGAAACCTCCATCGGTCGCCTCTGCAGGCTCTGTTTGCTCACTCACTGCCAGGCCTCTGCCCGAGAGCGGCCGGCACTGTGCTTGGACCAGGGCGTGCTGGCTGGCCGCGTCCTCCCTGATCGCAGTCTCCCTCCCTCAGGTGGTCACGCTGGGGTTCAGAGAGGAGACAGATAACACATCGGTACCAGTGGAACGTGAGGTGGTTAAAAGCGTCTCGTTCTCTTGTTTTAAAGCTGCAGCGAGCCATCCAGGAGCACCCCGTGGTCCTGCTGCCCAGCCACCGGAGCTATATCGACTTCCTGATGCTGTCCTTCCTCCTGTACAACTACGACCTGCCGGTGCCGGTCATCGCGGCGGGCATGGGTGCGTGCGCCTCCCTCCCTCCCTCCGCCACGGGCACGGGAGTGAGCCCGAACGCAGCTTTGTGTACCGGTTCATAGGTCGGCGCTCAACCCTGAGCCTTCCTGCCGGGCAGCAGGCGGATGTTTAGAGGGGGGTTGTGTATCGCCCGAGAATGTTGTTATAAATATCCACCTGGCCCTTGGCAGGAAAATCTCTCCCCTCCCTACTCTCTCCCGATCCAGCTGGTCTGGTTGTGAGCAGCAGGTGCATGGAGGGTTCAAGGTTACCTCCCAGCGAGCACCTGCCCACACAGTCCCTCCTTCCCATAATCCCATGAGACGTCTCTTCTTGGGGCCTGTCATCTCAGAAGGTCACAGGAGTGTCTTACACCCACGAAAGCCTCCTAAAAAAAGCGTGCGTTTACGTCTCTGGGCAGTCCCGGGCTCTGACGCCGGTGCTCCCTCTCCCTCCAGACTTCCTGGGGATGAAGATGGTCGGGGAGCTGCTGCGCATGTCCGGCGCCTTCTTCATACGACGCACCTTCGGCGGCAACAGGCTCTACTGGGCCGTGTTCGCCGAATACGTCAAAACCATGCTGCGGGTGAGTGCAGGCCGTCCCCGGCGCTCCAGGCCGTTTCCTTCTCATTTAACGCCCCAGTGAGGGCCGCTGAGCTGTGTTCCCCCCGGACGGGTGTGGGGGCCCCGCAGCCTGGCTGCTCCCCAGGGCTCTGGGTCCGAGCCTCCCTCCGAGCGGAGTGTGCAGAGGCCGGGGCGGGAGCTGGGGGAGGAAGCAGCGAAGCCTCGATCCTCTGAGCGGAGGCAATGGGTTTTGTGTTTTGTTGTGTGTGTTTGTGTTTTCTCTTTAAAGAATGGTTATGCTCCTGTTGAATTTTTCCTCGAAGGGAAAAGAAGCCGTTCCGCCAAGACTCTGTCTCCTCGGTTTGGTAGGTCATCGGGGGGCGGAGGAGGAGGAGGAGGACACACCCAGGGGCTCTGGGCTGGGGGTGGGGGTGTCCGTGCAGCTGCGAAGTAGAACTTGACACTTTAAAAAAAAAAAAATGTTGTTTATCTCAGAGAGGAAGGGAGAGGGAGGGAGAGAGAAACCTCCGTGATGAGAGAGAATCGTGGATCGGCTGCCTGCAGCACGCCCCACTCTGGGGATCAAGCCCGCAACCTGGGTACGTGCCCAGACCCGGAATCCAACCGTGACCTCCTGGTTCCTAGGTCAACGCTCAGCTACTGAGCCACGCCGGCCGGGCCTTGACACTTTTTTTGCAAGATGTTAATTTTTTTTTTATGAGTGTAACTCTTTAAGCGTAACTGCTTATATGTATGGGCTTAGTGTGTCCCGTCCACTTGTAGTGTCTTCCTGTGTATGTGCCGTGTTTTCAAACGCTGGGATATGCGTGCAAACCATTCCTCCTCTTGTTTCCAGGTCTCCTGAATGTTGTGATGGAACCCTTTTTCAAAAGAGAAGTCTTTGACACCTACCTTGTTCCGATTAGCATCAGTTACGATAAGATATTGGAAGAAACCCTCTATGTGTATGAGCTTTTAGGGGTGCCCAAGCCAAAGGAATCTACGACCGTACGTAAAGGGTGTCATGCCTGGGTTCACTGGGATTTAGGGGAAATGCTCTTTACAGACCAACCCATTCTCTAATTTGCTGCTTTTGCTTCTTCCCCCTGATGCTGCCACACCGGTAGGGATTGCTGAAGGCCAGGAGGATTCTCTCGGAAAACTTCGGCAGCATCCACGTGTACTTCGGGGAGCCCGTGTCGCTGCGATCGCTGGCCGCTGGGAGGCTGAGCCGAAGCCCCTATAACCTGGTCCCCAGGTGCGAGACTGGTGTTTTCATAACCGAGTTAGAGACAGGGATGGAAATCTGCAAGTGTGAAAATAGACTTAAAAAAAAAAAATACCTTTTTATGGATTTTTTTGAGAGGGGGCGGGGGAGAGGGATAGAGAGGGAGAAATGTCACTAAGAGAAGGACATCATGGATCGGCTGCCTCCTGCACGCCCCCTCCTGGGGATGGAGCCAGCAACCTGGGCCTGTGCCCTTTCCGGGAAGTGAACCGGCGACCTCTTGGTTCCTGGGTCAGCATTCCACTGCTGAGCCACACCGGCGGGGCTGAATTGTGATTCTTACTACTTCTCGGACTGAAACTTGGTGATTTGAGGTCACACATCGGGGCAGTGAAAGCCTCAATTAAAGAAGAATTCTGTATTTGGCAGAAACCGTTAGCTGTAGGGTGTAGATGTCGAATACACAGGAGACTGTTCGCTCCTCTCGGGAGCAGGCCCCGGAATGACTTCAAAGTGGGGAGAGCGACAGCGGTGCCGGCCAGCGAGCGCCTGGCCACGGTGGCCAGCACAGCGTGCGCTCAGTGTGATGGCGGGTCCCAGGAAGCACCGTGTCTCCTGCAGCCGCCTCTGTCCCTGCCTCGTAGGTACATCCCTCAGAAGCAGCCGGAGGAAATGACGGCCTTCGTCACCGAGGTGGCTTACAAGATGCAGCTCCTGCAGATCGAGAACCTGGTGCTGAGCCCGTGGGTCCTGATCGCCACGGTCCTGCTGCGGTTCGGGCCGGCCATGGACTTCGACGCCCTGGTGGAGAAGACGCTGTGGCTGAGGGGCCTGACCCAGGCCTTCGGCGGCTTCCTCCGGTGGCCCGGTAGGTAGGGCGTGTGTCCCACGGGCCAGGACCCCGCCCCGGAGCGCCGCGGGCCTGAGGCTCCCGGCAGGGACCCGCCCGCCCTGTGCCGTCGGCCTGAACGCACTGTCCCGTGTGCAGACGGTGAGCCCGTGGACGAGGTGGTCCAGGCCAGCATCCACCTGCACTCCAACATCGTCAGCCTCGACCGGGACCGCGTGGCCCTGAGAGTGGACTCCGGGGACTCAGAGACTGTGGACGGCCTCCTCTACCAGAACATCACGCTCCTCACCTGCGCCACCTACAGGAACCAGCTGCTCAACGTCTTCGCCCGGCCCGCCCTGGTGGCCCTGGCGCTGCAGGCGGCTGACGGGGGCAAGAAAGGTAACAGGGACCGAGGGCTGCAGCCGTGGGGGAAGCCCGGCCCTCGGCCTGCGCGGGGAACAGCACGGGGCCTCGTACTCCTCCTCCCCCCGCGTGTGCAGCCCACGCTCGGCCCGTGCACACGGAGCTAGGTTCGTCCCTGAATACATGCCACCTGCCTGGAGCCGGGGGCTCGGAGGGATCTGAGCACACGCGTGGCACAGGGACAGGAAGTCTCTGGGTAGCGGGCAGGTAGTGCTACGTGTCAGAGCTGTCTGGAGCAGGGGTGGGGCCGTCCCGCTGTGGCTGTGCCAGGCCGGTGAGATCCTCTGGTCTGGCCCCGCCACGGCCGCACAGGCGAGTTGATTACATGTCTGACCAGATAGGACAGGCCGGCTTCCGCGGACGATTGGGGGTGGCCTGAGTGATGTTATTCGCCTCCAATGACCTTGGCAGGAAGCGGCGCCCGGCGCCGGGCGGGGGGCGTGGCTCTCATTTGGAGCCGACCACTGGAGGGGCTGGGCCGAAGCTGGCTCTCGGGCACCATTGGGACTGCTGCAGCTCACTGGGGCCCCAGTCTCAGCCCCGGGAGGCGGTGATGGCCTCTAGTGCTGGTTTCCGGGTGTCATGGACCTCTGGCCGCTCCCGGGGTTAGAAACCAGGCTGTGATTTCCTGCAACCACTTCCTTTCCAGAGCACGTCTACTCCTGCTTCCGCTTCCTGCTTGACGTCTTGTCGGATGAGTTCATCTTCCTTCCGGGAAACCAAGTGAAGGTACGTCTGCAGCCAAGGAGCAGGAGTGTGTCTGTGCAGAGGGAGGGAAAAGCCGTCACCCACCGTCAGAACCAGCGCTTCCTTGGTTACCGCGTAACAACCTCGCTCTGGGAAGGCTGGCGGCTGATCGGCTGCTCACACCGGCGGCCGCGTCCTCGCTCAGTGGGTCCTTCTGTCTCCCCCGTTCCAGGACTTTGAAGAAGGCTGCTACCTGCTCAGTAAAATCGAGGCCATTCAGGTGGCAACGAGGGACATCCAGGTTACGGAGGAGGGGAAGACTGTGTGCGAGTTCTTAGTCGGACTCTTTAAGCCTTTTGTGGAGGGTTACCAGGTACAGCCCTCGCGCAGAAGCTCGCGTCTAACTACCTAAGACTTCCCACCGGGACTTCCTTCTGCCCGAGGGGCGAGAGGCTTCCCAGGTGCCAGGTGGGCAGGGAGACTGGGTCCTGGGACCAGGGCTGCACCTGCCGGTGAGACCCTGCTCCCTGCAGTTCACTCAGCTGCGACCATTGAAGTGAGGAAGTGTGTTTTACGCTGCGTCCGCACTGCTGCACCTCGTTTCCTAGTCGTGAGCAGTGGCAGAGCTCCCTGGCGCTCCCGAGAACCGCAGCCTAAAAAGAAAAGAGTGACCAGGAAGGGGGAGAGCACGAAGCCTGTGCGCGCTCAGGCCTCTCCGGCGGCGGGCCTGCTCGGTGCCGCCTCGGGGTGCCCCTCGCGCTGCCAAGGGGCAAAGGGTCTAGAATCCGACCGAGTGGGCGGGCGGGCGGGCGGGCGGAGGGTGCCGACTGCCCCTTGCCTCTGCCTGAGCCTCTCGTCCTCTTCAACTCACAGATCATTTGCAAATTCTTCCTGGAGGAGGAGAAAGACGGCTTCCTGGAGCAGGAGTACCTGGTCCGGGTGAGGGCGTTCACCGGCCAGCTTCTCGACCAAGGTCAGTGCCTCCGGCGGCCCCTCCTCCCTCGGCCGGGAGCGGGGCGGCCCCTCACGCCTCCCCTCCCTTCCAGGCGCCTCGCAGTGTTTCGACGTCCTGTCCGCCGACCTGCAGAAGAACGCCCTGGCGGCCCTGGCACGGCTGGGCGTGGTGGAGAAGAGGAAGGTGTAAGTCCGGGCTCTGGGGGGCAGACGCGGGGATGTGCGACGGAGCCGCGCGTGCCGTGCTCCCTCACCCGCTCCCGTCAGCACGCCCGGAGGGGTGGCCTGTGCCGTGCTCCCTCACCCGCTCCCGTCAGCACGCCCGGAGGGGTGGCCTGTGCCGTGCTCCCTCACCCGCTCCCGTCAGCACGCCCGGAGGAGTGGCCTGTGCCCCCTCGGGGCAGAGCAGAGGGACGTGCAGCCGAGCCGAGGGTGCTGCAGGCCCGCGTTTGGCCTGGCTCACCACTGACATGTATGACTTACAGGAAAGGCTTCCGTGCACATGCATGCACAGTGCCTCAGCACACGCGAGCGTGTGAAGGTAGATGTGCACTCTTCTGGGTGAACGAACGCATGAACGATAACGCTGAGGGGTCGGCTCTCCCAGCGTGTCTCTCATGTGGCCAGAGGAGGAAGCAGACGCCACGGAGGAGGACAGGAAGGAGCAGGGAGCCTTCCAGCTGTTTAACATTGACCTTCAGGAAGCCGTAAAGGCCGCCTTCCTGGGCGAGAAGAGCTAAAGCAAAGACCTTACACACTTAACAGAAGCCCAGTGCATGGATTCGTGCACCGGTGGGGTTCAGCCGGCCACGGGGAGGGGCTATGGGAGGTTGGCCGGCTGCCCTGCCCCCAATCGGGCTGGTTGGCTGGCTGGCCGCAGTGCGCAATAAGCGACTGCTCTTCCTAGTTATTTCAGTCGCTTGGCTTTTATATATATAGATGTGCTCAGCCATGGACACGGGCATGGGGTGGTGAAGACCTGGGGGCTGGGAGGGGCTGGGAGGAGGGGAAAAGGGAGAAAATGGGAGATACCCATAACACCAGCCACAATAAAACATATATTTAAAAAAAAAGATAGTCCTACTGGGTAAACAGGAAGGCTAGGCCTACTGTGTGACAGGGACGGTTGCCGTCCCCCCGGTTTACGTTGCTTTTCCTTCTAGAGAGAACAGCTATGTGTACATTGTGAACGAGCCCACGGCAGTGAAGCTAGACGAGATGCTTGGTGAGTACCGTTTGGTTTCCACGCGATGTTTGTCCACAGAGAGTGAGACACGGGAGTGTGCACAGCACCAACACTCACCAAAACGCACAGTCCAGGTCTGATACAAACAGAGAACTTTCTCACGGAGACCGAGGAGAAAGGGCAAGGAAAATGGCCGGAGAAAACGCCACAGGCAGGAACGGGGCAGCTCGGATGCAGAGGGGTCACCCTTCGCCCGCCCGCCCTCCCGCCCGCTCGGTCGGGTTCTGGACCCTGTGCACTGGCACTGGGCGCCGAGCGTGCACCTCTCTGGTCCTGGGAGTCCTCTCCCTGGGCCCCTGCCCCTCCGTTCCCGAGGGGAGGGGTCGGGCCGGGGACCACATCACTTACTCTCTGAGTCAGAGCTGGAGGCCATTGCCCTCGTGCAGGGCCTCTCGGCTCACAGAAGTATCCCGCCAGGAAGGCGGGCGGGTGGGGGCTCCAGGAAGAGTCCAGAGGGGCCTAAGCAGAGAGAAAGGCCAGGGGAGGGAGTGGACACTGCTCACAGGAGCAATAGGTGATTTCCGGAGGGTGATGTCAGCAGTTGAGAAAACCGACTACGTTGACTGAAGCTCTGGCCGCGGAGTAGGATGCTCCCAGTTGTGGTTCTGTACCTGAGCCCATCGAGTGCCTTTGTCGAACCTGCATGGAGGAGCTTTCGGTGGTGTCTGTTGGGATGAGGGGAAGGCAGGATGGCATGTGGTGAAAGGAGAGGGGGCAGGAGAGGGCAGAGGGCAGAGGAGAAATCTCGCGATGTGGAGCCTTGGAACTCGGTTTGGAATTTGGTAAGGGGGGCAAATAACACACAAACCTCACGTTGCGAGGTGATGGGATCGGTTTCTTAGTGACGGAAGCCATGTCCTATGGGTGAGACCGCAGTGGACTGGAAGTTCAGGACACGTGACTGGGTTCACCTCCTGCCTCTGCCCTGGCCCAGGGCGCTGGTCGTGTCCACCCCCCTTCTGCGATGGTGCTGCTTCTGCACGGGCCTGTGTGCTCACGAGGCCTCTTCTGTGCATGGAAGAGCAAGCTGCCCGGTGCCTCTTCTCAAAAGGGCACTAATCCCATCGGGCTGGGGCCCCACCCCCGCCTGTAAACTGCACAGTGGCAGCTGTTTCTCTCTGCCGTAGCTGAAACATCCCATGAGCATAAACTCAAGCGTCACATCATGAGCTGTCTCTTTCTTCCTCAGATGGTAAGGTGCCAGTAGGAAAACCAGCAACTGCTAAACTTTAATGACTGCCAAGCAGCTGTGGGACTGTGGTCGTACAATTACTATCATCCAAAGACTCTTGGAGCCAATGGCGGGAAGCCAGAGCCTTTCTCCTCCTCCCGAGACCCAGAGGAAGGGCACCGCCTACAGCCTCGGGCGATGTCCCCGCCCACCACAGGACCTAGAGGGCGTTTGTATAACTCTGTGTGTTTTAAAATAAAATAACCTTTTGGAAACTTGTTGGAAAACCAAGTCCAGCTCCTGTCACTAACTAACCTGCACCCGTGCTAACTCCTACACTGACGTCTGACTCAGCGCGACATCGCACCAACGGCTGCAGCCGGGAAAGCCACAGGACACGTGCCATTGGCATCTCTCAGCTCAAACAAGCACCCGGCCCACGGAGACACGGTGAGTCCCCACCGGACGTAGTCGGGAGGTTTCTGGAAATGGCGACTCCACGTGAAACATTTAACGAAACCAGCTTCACCACAGGCTGGCTGATGTAAACAAGGGTTAGGTTCCGGTGGCACATTTCTGGTCAGATAACCACCACCAAACTCCCAAATAAAACCCCAGGGCGGCTCAGTGGTTGAGCATGCCTGGATTGAGGGCTTGATCCCCAGGAGGAGCATGCAGGAGGCAGCCAGTCCATGATTCTCATCGATATTTCTCTCTCCCTCTCCCATCTTCTCTGCTCTGACATCAATAAAATACATACATATATTTTTAAAAAACCCAACACACTTCTGGTGTTAGTCATTGAAATAAGTACTTTCGTTGAATAAAAGGATGGTTATTTCTTAACCCACTGATTTCAGTTCAGGGGCAATGCCCGCCCGTCACAGGAGCACACACACTAGGACGGGGCAGCAGGGTGCGCGGTTCACCTCCGTGCACATCTCTGGGGCTTGGGAGGCATCGGGGTCCCCGGAGAAAACCCACAGACATGAGAACGCGCACACACCTCCACTGGGATGGCCCTCCAGGGACAAGCCAGGTGGGCTGCACGGGTTGGGTGACATGATCAAGTCAATTGGTTTCTGTTCTCATTTTCACAAATGCTTTTTGTGAAAGAATCCCAGGCTAACAAGACTATAAAGTCCATTTTTCTTTTTTTTTTTTTTTCAATTTCAGAGAGGAAAGGAGAGGGAGAGGTGGAAACATCAATGATGAGAGAGAATCATTGGTTGGCTGCTTCCTGCATGCACCCCCACTGGGGATCAAGTCTGCAATCTGGACATATGACCCTGATCAGAATTGAACCCGGGACCCCTCAGTCCACAAGCTGATGCTGTATCCATTGAGCCAAAATGGCCAAAACCAATTTTTATTTCCTTAAAATAAAAAAAAATCTACAGTTCAGTGGATTGACCATAATCCTATGAATCAAGAGGTCCCAGTCAGGGTGGTGGGCTTGAACCTCTCTCATTGATGTTTCTCTCCCTCTCCCTTCCTCTCTCTGAATCAATAAAACATTTTTAAAATGTTCTTTTTTAAACCTTTGTTTTTAAAAACCATATTTCACTAACAAGAACATAAATCATGATTAAACAAGAGACATAGCAGAACACGGTAATATCAACCAAGTTTATCCAGTGTAAGAAAAGTTGTCAGCTTTATTTTGATGAACATTTCAGATTGCCTCCCATCACAGCATACCAATAGGCGAAATGTATGTAGTCTGACGTCATACTGCATGTCAAGCCCCAATGCCCAGGCCCAGGTAAGCAAGTTGCAAAGTACGAACTCGGGTCATTGAACTCTAGGTAGTATCTTAAACAAAAACACGCGAGTTTTCAGCACTTGTGTGACAAGAGACTTTCGTTAAAGAGACTTCATTCCACAGGATGTTTTTTCTCAACAGTAATGAGTTCAAGTCTGCGACTCAAAGCACAGGTGACAGCAAACGAGGCAATCAACCGTGAGTGGTAAGTGGCAGCACGTGCTACTAAGCGAGTTCAAGTTTTGAACTTGACTTGGAGTCCATTGAGACAAGAATGAGAGGAGCTTTGCCCCGCCTTGCAGAGCGGCCATAACTGCTCTCCTGGCACAATGGTACACTCTTAAGATTGGTGGTCCTCTCCCAGCCTCCCACAGGAGCTGCCGGCCAGCGCACTTCCTTCAGCTACAGCTTTGATTGAGCACATACGTCTGAACAGAAGAAAATTCCCACTTCCGGTTCTAAAGAGCAGACAGTCCTAAGAAGAAGCAACCATCTGCATATCGGAGTGTACACACTTAAGTTTTGACAGCTTCACGCCTTAAAAAAGAAATTTTGATTTCAGAAGGATCGTTTTTTTTACATACCCAGCCTCAAACAGTCGCACAGGATGTGTCGCAAACAATATTTTAGAAACGGTAAGTGGCACAAAATTATTACAATTTTTTAAAAAAATCAAATCCAAGTTTCCAGTGATCTTAAAAGACAAATTATAACTTTTTGTTTAGCTGAAATATCCAGTGTGGTTATTATCTAGGAAACTCTAGATATGTAAAAAAAAGTTAGTCAAGGAAAATCTGTAACTTTGATTATTTTCAACCTTTTCAATAGGCCTAGCTAAAAATAAAGGGATCCCCTGGCATGAGTCAAATTAACTCAAGAAACGTTACAATGCTAAGCCAGCATTCGGGACCTTATTTGTGGTTTTATGTAATTTCCACAGTCTTCATACCACTATTTTTATTTAGATAAGAGAAATGACCTTTTGAAGGAACTGGCATTAGGAATGGCACTTATGGAGAAAAATCACTACAAGCTAAGGGGAAATGGATCTCAGCTGGCACAAAGTCTCCAAAGTGTGAGGCATTGTATACAATCAACATATAACAGAAGCAACAGGTTAGGAACCTTGGGAAATTCAAATTCCTTCAGTTATTCCTGTTTTCCAGAAAGAATCTGAGGTAAGCATTCTGTTCACTTTAAAGAACAAAGCAAGTAAAACAAAAGATAAAACTGTCACAAAAACACAGCCTGCAGCATTGTAGGAGTCACCCGAAGTTTCTTTTTCGTTGTTTTGGGTACATTTCGTCTCATCTTTCTGTTCTCCACTTTGTTACAAAAAAAAGCAAAAACAATTCTCTACTCAAAGCAGTTATTCTTGAGCTCACCTGATGTGGTTAGTGGTTGAGTGCTGACCTGTGAACCAGATCAGGGTTAGATTCCCTGTCAGGGCACAGGCCCAGGTTGCAGGCTCCATCCATAGTAGGGGGTGTGCAGGAGGCAGATGATCGATCTCTCTCTCTCATGATGTTTTTAATCTATCCCTCTCCCTTTCTCTCTAAAATCAACAAAAACATGTTTTTGTTTTTGTTTTTTAAAACCTGTTATCAATCAGGGGAAAAGAGACATGGAGAACACCATGGGGTTTGCATATGATTTTTCTAATTTCCCATCCACCAAACCCTGAAATCTAAACAAGTATTTCCATGAAAACTTTTGTCCCATGTGCGTGAAGGCTGAGCCACTATAGGAGGGCCAGCTGAAACTCACTGGTACTGCCAGTTCCTCAGTGTGTCCTGATTCTTATTTTCCTAACAATAAAGACAACTGCTCCAGCTGAGCATTCCCACAGTTCAGAAATATGCTGGGGGGGGGGGGAGAGGGAGGGGGTTTATCATAGTCCCTAAGATTTTCAAGTAAATGCTTCGAGCCCATTATAAAACCACCAATTAGCAGCAGAAAATAATTAGCCATTAGAATCACATTGGAAATAGCTGCTGAACTGGCTTATGAAAGCTTCCTCTTGTATAAGGATCAGAATATTTGCACAAACTAGCTATTCCTCACGTAAGAATTCTTTTGAACAAGATTTACCCTAAAACCAATTTTCCCAACTCCTTTCTTTCCCCCAAAATTGTTCCATCACATTTTAATGGGGGGAAGTGTCTATGGCACTTACCCCTTTAGAAACCTAACATTTTGGTGAACTGGAAAACTCTGCATAAAACACTTACGGACATTATTTCCCTGTGGCTGCATAATAGATACTATGAGAAAGTATGTTTGGACTCAAAGGATTCAACTGAAATGATAACTGTGACAATATACCCATTAGTAGGGAGTTAGCATAACTTAAAAAGGAAAGCATATTCTATACTTTATTAATCGCCACGTTTTTGTTATGCGGGCTTCACGGAACATTCCTTCCTCTTTCTATCTGAGAGGGCCTCTTCTATTGCTAAGCTGAGTGAGACTACAGAGACAAAGCTAACGCAGTTTGACATGAATATAAATAATCCAGGAACCGCATACACGCGTCCACGTGCGCGGGCCCGGGCGGGCGTCAGACCACGGACGTGGTGCTCTCGGGGTTGACCCGGAGGAGCCGGGCCGCGCTGCGCAGGTCCTGGAGCTGCTTGGCGGGCTTCCCCACGCCCTCCTCGAACCGCTTCTCCACCACGGGCAGCACGGTCTCGTAGAGGAAGGACGCGTTCTGGCGGATGAAGGCCTTCTTCTCCGGGTCCTGCTCGCAGCGGAGGCTGTAGTCCACGTGCTGCACGGCCACCAGGATGATCTCCACCAGGCTCTCCAGCAGCACCATGTGCAGCTCGGGGAAGTACAGCCGCAGCGCCTCCTCCAGGAAGCCCATGGTCTGCTTGGTGAAGGCCACCACCGTGTAGCTCAGGTTCACCCAGCAATCGTCGCCCGTGTACTGCTCGAAGCTGCCCACCCCGCACGCCCGCATCTCCTCCTTGAGCTTGCCCAGGGCCTCGGGCGTCATCAGGTTCATCCGCCTCCACATCTCCTCCGAGTTGCGGTGCTTGGTGGCCTCGATGATGATCTCCTTGTAGCTGTGCAGGGCGCCCTGGATGTCCTTGACCAGCAGGGCGTGGATGATGAAGGTGAGGTCCAGCCCGATGTCCCCCAGCTGCTGGCAGTGCTCCTTGGCCACCTTCACGCACTCGGCGGCCGTGGACAGGCTCTCCTTGCTGTCGAACACCTGCTTGCTGAAGGCGTCCACGAACATGCCCATGGCCGACCTGGCCCAGACCACGAAGGCCGAGTAGCAGCCGCTGTCCGTGCCGGCGAAGTCGGTCTCGAACTCCCGGGCGGTCTCCAGGAGGCTGGTGAAGAAGACGTGGCAGAGCTTGTGGATGTACAGCAGCGTGGCGCCCTCGATGCGCAGCTGGCGGATGGCCGTGTGCACGGCGGCCGCCCGGTTCCGCAGGAACAGCTCGCAGGCCCGGGTGCCCTGGCCCAGCCGGATGAGCTGGGACACGGCCCGCCGGGTGGCCTTGGGGCCGCCCCGCAGGGACCGGCCGGGGGACAGCTCGAACACCAGCACGTCCGTCAGCTGCCGCACCCGCTCGTCCACCTTGGCCCGGAGCTCCTTCACGGGCGGCGGGCTGGGCTTGTCCTCCAGGTAACGGTTCAGCTTGTCCAGCAGGTCCACGGCGCCCTCGAAGTCCCTCTGGGCAATGCACACGTCCAGGTCCTCCGGCAGCTCCTGGATCCACTCCATGGACAGGTCCACCTTCTCCTCCTCCGCCTCGGGGGCGGCCGGCTCGTCCTCCTCCTCGTCCTCCTCCTCCTCGAACGGGTTGCCGGCCTTGGCGGCCGCCGCCGGGGGCACCCCCCGCGGGGCTGCGGCCTCCTCCTGCTCCCGCCGCTTCTTCTCGCCCAGGGCCCGCTTGGTCTCCTCCAGCACCTCCAGCCACTCGCGCTTGATCTTGGCGTTCTCCGCCTGGAAAATGCGGCTCTCCGGGAACATGAGCAGCTTGAACATGTCCTTCATGGGCGGGTTGTCCTTGACGTTGACCACGGCCAGGCCGTCCAGGGGGTAGAGGGCGTTGTAGCGGTACATGCCGCGCCGCTGCGGCAGCCAGGTGGCCACCAGCAGGCAGTCGTTCATCAGGAAGCCGTGCACGCGCTGCAGCTGCGCCATGTGGTCCGCCTCGTACTCCACCAGGTCCCCGTTGTACACCAGGTACTGGCCGGGCTTCTCCAGCAGGTGCCGGCAGCCCTCCACCTTCTCCAGCAGCGTGGTGAGCGTGCGCTGCTTCCCGTCCTCGCCGGGGCCCGCGCCGTCGCGGGGGCCGCCCCCGGGGGCCGGGAACAGGCCGGCCTGGCCCCGCAGGTGCTGGTGGTGCTGGTGGGGGTGGTCCCGGCCGCCCGCCGCGCCGCCTCCCTCCTCCCCTCCCGCGGCGGCGGCGGCGGCGGCGGCGGCCCCGGCCGGCAGCAGGGTCAGAGGGATGGTCTCCAGGCTGCTCTTCTGCTCGGTGAGCAGGTGGCTGAGCTGGTACATCTCGCTCTCCAGGTAGGAGATCTCGCGCGCCGTCTCGATGAACTGCCGGTAGTTCTGGTAGACGTTGCGCTTCAGGTTCTGCGCCGTCTCCTCGGCCAGCGCCTGGATGCGCTGCCGGTGCTCCTGCAGGTCCCGGTCCCCGTCCGACTGCTGCGACAGCTGCTTCACGTACAGCCGCGCCTCGAAGCTGCCCGATTCCAGCTGCCGCCGCAGGCGGCTCGCCCCGCTGTCCGACATCATCGCCATCGCCGTTTCCGTCCGGGCCTCGCGCGCGGGCGCTGTCACTCTCGCCGCCGCCGCCGCCGCCGCCGCCTCCTCCGCGGTAGGTAGGTAGGGGCCCACCCAAGCCCAGCGGGAGCTCCGGGGGCTGCGGAAGACAGGCGAGTGCGCCTGCGCCTCCGATCGAGCGTCAGGTGTTGCGCCTGCGCGAGGGGACCGCACGCCCACAGCGCGCCTGCGCAGGAACGCCGGCGGCCTACGGCGCCTGCGCCGGAGGAGCTATCGCGGAAGTGAGTTTGGGGGCGAGACCGAGCGGGAAGTAGGCAGTGCGCTTGCGCGTAGCTTGAAGCTGTAGGCGTGTCGTGAGGGGCGGCGGCGGCGGCGGCGGCAGTTTCCTGAAAACTCCTGGCGCCCCAACTCTGGGGACCCTGAGGAGGTGCCAAGCTGAGTTCTTTTTCTTAAGCCTCAGAACTTGGCTTCGGCCTTGGGGGCGGGGGGGGCCCAACCTCAGCTTTCCTCATCCTCGAGCCCGTTTGCCCCGAGTTCTCGCGAGATCTGCGGGCTGAGCCGCGAACAGCCCAACAGCCGGCCTCTCGGCGGAGCCGAGCCCCGGGATCCGCCAACGGCGGCCGCGCCCGCGAGCCGAGCCCGGCGCCCGCGGAGACGACCGCCCGGGGACCCTGGCAGCGATGGACGAGGACCTGGTGCTGGCGCTGCGGCTCCAGGACGAGTGGAACCTGATGACGGAGCGCGAGCGGGCCCTGGAGGTCCTGGAGGCCCAGGAGCCCCTGTCGCTGGTGGACGAGACGTGGGAGCTGGTGGACCCCACGCCGGACCTGCAGGCCCTGTTCGTGCAGTTCAACGACCGCTTCTTCTGGGGCCGGCTGGAGGCCGTGGAGGTCAAGTGGAGCAAGAGGATGACCCTGTGAGTGCCGCGCGCCCGCGGGGTTAGGGCCGGGCCGGGCGGCCGGGCGGGCGGTTGCTCTCCGCCCCGCCCCGCCCCCTCCCCCTCCGGCGACGGCCTCGGGGCCGTTAACCGAGGGCCCGGCGGCGGCCCCGGCGGCGCATCCCTCCCTCCCCCGCCCTAACGGCTTGGAGAGCCGCCCGCCCCGGCCCCGCCGAGGGCAGAGGGGGGGGGTGGGCATCGCGCCTCCCGGGAAATAAACCAGCCGCTCCCCACTGGCCTTGTGGGGGCGCCCGCGGGCCCGGGCTGCGTGCCCCTCGCCCCCCCCCCCCGGGGGCGTTAGGACCCCCCCCCATCGGCCGAGAGCGCGGCGGGAGGGCGGGAGGGCGGGAGGTGGCGGCTGGGCCCCAGGGACCGGCCCCTTTCCTCCCGGAGCCCCGTCCCGAAGGTGATCGGGGTGGTTGATGCTTAGCCCGGGGGTTGCACACAGTTCAAAGGAGACAAACAAAACAAAAAACAAAAACAAAGGAGACGCTGAGGCGCCCGAGGTGTGTGGCCGGAGGCGGGGCTGCGGGGAGGGAGGGGAGGGGAGGGGAGGGGAGGGGAGGGTGGAGCTGGCAGCCCGGTAGGGAGCGGGGCCGCTGGGCACGGAGCTCGGGGCGGGCCGGGGGCTGTGGACGCTGCCCCCTTCCAGCCCGAGGGCATCCGGTGCCCGACCTCTCCGAGCGGGAGGGACCCCGAGAACCGGTGGGGTTTGACTTGCCACGTGTCCCTTGTGTGTGCGTGTGTGTCTGGGTGGGTAACGCTGGGCGGCGGCTGTCTTGCAGGTGCGCGGGCGTCTGCACGTACGAAGGGAAGGGCGGCATGTGTTCCATCCGCCTCAGCGAGCCGCTCCTGAAGCTGAGACCGCGGAAGGACCTTGTGGAGGTATTCTTTTATATATATATATATTATCGATTTCTTACAGAGAGGAAGGGAGAGGGATAGTTAGAAACATCAATGAGAGAGAAACATCCATCAGGTGCCTCTTGCACCCCCCCCACTGGGGATGTGCCCACAACCAAAGTGCATGCCCTTGACGGGACTCGAACCTTGGACCCTTCAGTCCACTGGCGGAAGCTCTATCCACTGAGCCAAACCGGTTTCGGCTTGTGGGGGTATTATTCTTTGCATAAGCCTCATTCCTCGCTCCCTAACTTAGAAAGGCTTACTTACCCGTATTTTCTGGCGTATAAGACGACTTTTGAAACGAAAAGAAGTCAACCGAAAATCGGGGGCAAAAGACCAAAATTGCACAGAATTACCTGCAGATCTTGACGGCAAAGTAAGTCTTTTCTTTGAAGTGGGGGGTAGTCTTATTCAGCCTAAACCTATGTTTTAACTGTAAAATTAGGGGGCCGTCTTATACGCCGGAAAATAATGGTAGTTAGATGGCTGAGGACTCATGAATGTAAAATAAAACAATCAGTTTTTCCTCACTGCAGACTTCAATTGTGGAGCAAATGATAATGATTACCTCCTGTTTTTCTAGTGCCTCAAAGTTAAATGCTTTCAGGTATAGTATCTAATTTGATGTGTATAACACTAATTGACAAATTTCAATGCGTGTTATACTTGTTTTTATAAGTGAAGAAATTAAGGTTCAGAGAGGTTGATTAACTGCTTTAAGTTGCATATTTAGAAACTTAGGATCCATAGCTTCCTATCAAGACACAATTTTTAAAATATGTATTTTATTGACTTTTTATAGAGAGGAAGGGAGAGGGAGAGAGAAACTTATCAGCTTCTGAGAGGAGCCGTGAGCCAAAGAAGGTTAAGCTCCTAGGGAGAGAAAGAACTTCCATTTTTATGTCAAAAGCACCATAAACTAATGAGATTGTGTTCTGTTTCAGACCCTGTTGCATGAGATGATACACGCCTATCTGTTTATCACCAACAACGACAAAGACCGGGAGGGGCATGGCCCCGAGTTCTGTAAGCACATGCACCGCGTCAATTGCCTGACCGGAGCCAACATTACGGTACGTGAGCCGCACTCGGTGATACTCAGTGGCTCCCGGGGGTTAAAGATGGAGAACTGGGTAGAAACAGATCCTGTCTTGCGGATTTTGCCAGCAAGCCAGAGGCCTGGGGACGCTGCCTCGGGAGTGGCAGCAGAGCTGGCCTTCCGGAGGCCTCTGGCCTCGTCTAGGACACCTTCCGTGCGGCCCACCAGGCCTGCAGACTCTCTGGGATGTTAACGGTGGGCTCCTACGTTGCTTCCTTAGAATGGTCTCCTCCTCCAGTCCACCCTGCATTCCTCGCTGTTTTGCATCCTTCCCTCTTCCAAGTCGTCTTCGGTTTCTGTTGCGACGTAATGTTGTAGGAGGTGCAGAGCCTGGGGCCCGAAGAGCAGGGGTTGAGTTTTTGATCGGAACGGGTGGCCTAGGTAACACTTCTGCACCTCCCTCATTCGAATGTAAAATGGAGATGAGCACAGGACCTTGGCGTGGGCCCTGATCAGGACTGAAGGAGGAAATACCTGCAGCACATTTCAGCACAGTTTGAGTACTAATTCAATCTTAGTTGTTTTATTGCTATCAATTGGTCTTATCAGATAACCTCTCCGCTCCTTTTTTCCTTACCTCCCGCATTCTCCTGCTCAGAGAGGTCTTGGGTTGCTGACTGAACTTTCCACCTCCGTTCTTTCCTCTAAACCCCCTTCCTGAACTGGCCCGGCTGTCGCAGGCGCGGAGAGCAGGCTGCCGCAGCGGCCAGGTCGTGTTTAGGGAGCTCCTTTGGAGAGGGGCCCTCAGAACCCTTTGGCGCTGATCCTTGCAGGGAAACAGTCATTTGTTACGGATGCACAGGCTCTTGTTTTTTATCCTAAGGTTTTATATTAAATTCGCTTTCTAAAACGTGAGCGTGTGTAGAGGCTCTGCATTTCTCTAAGCGGTTTCTTTCTGTCTTTTAATCCACACTGGACTGCTGCTCTTTGCCATTAAAGTGAACTTGGAACAGAGCTAAGTCTAGCTGCTGTCTTTCCCCAAATAAAACTTCAGAAAGTTATAAGAAGCTGCAAAGCTTTTAAAAAAACCAACCAAACCAAAAAAAGCTCCTGTATTTCCTTAAAGTGGTTCAGCTGCCCACTGAGCTGACCCCTCTCTCGGGACAGGTGTACCACACCTTCCACAGCGAGGTGGACGAGTACCGGCGCCACTGGTGGCGCTGCGACGGGCCGTGCCGGTTCCGGAAGCCCTACCTCGGCTACGTGAAGCGCGCCACCAACCGCGCTCCCTCCGCCAACGACTACTGGTGGGCAGAGCACCAGCACTCCTGCGGGGGCACCTTCATCAAGATCAAGGAGCCAGAGAACTACAAGAAAGGCAAAGGGAAGAGCAAGCCGGCAGCAGCGGAGAACAAAGGTAACTCCCTGCAGCTCCTCCGCAGCACTGTCTTTTAGACAGCTGGCACGCAGTATTGAGGGAAGCTTGAGGAATGGTTCTCGAAGTTTCCAGAGTGGACTTATAAACTCTTACAATCCCAGAATGATGTTAGGAAAATGTGTGTGCTCTATGTAGATGGAAGTAAAAGTAGAGATCGTTCCCACTGATAAAATCTGAGGGTCCCCCTTCCCTACCTTGACTCAGTGACTCATTAGGAAACAGAAGGCAAAAAGGATTGTCAAAACAAAAACACTAATTGCAACAACAATGCCCGGAACGTTGTGAGCCGTTACTACACCCCTTCCGATCAGCTGGGTCCTGTCCAGCTGCCTTCTCCTATTGATGTGTCCCTCCTGGGGGGAGAGCGGGGCAGGATGTGACATGTGCCTGAGGGACCTCGTCAGGCTTCTCCCTTTCCTGAGAAGCCGGCCCTGCCTTCTCAGGAAAGGTGACCGGGTTACTAGAGTTCACGCGTCCTCCCTGGGACTCAGGCACGTGGGCTGCATCTCCCGATCGGAAACCTCGGTCGAGGAGTCCGAGAATTTATGTGCAGATCACATCCCGGTGGTTCACCCTGAACATGGCTTAGAATTCTGAAAGCTTCGTCCCAGGAGAGGAAAGCTATGCTGCAGGTCATTGTATGATAAATGAGAGCACGTTTCTTATCCTTTATGTTCTGAGTACGAGCCACTGAAGACGGTCTATCTGAGTTAGAATGAGATATTTTATTGTGGAAAACTGCCTTTGGCTTAGTATTGGTTGCTGTTAATTTGGGGCCAGGAAAAACCGTTATTTGCTCTGTTGCAGATAAGACGAATGGCGTTGTCCCGTTTAGCGGGAGGGGACACGTCCTGGGAGAAACCAACAACTTACCGTCATCAGGGAAGTCCCCCTCGCCGAGCGCTGCTAACAAGACCCAGGAGCCTCTAGGTCAGGACCACCCAACCCGAGCCGGACGACAGAAGCCTAAAACCGAGGTGAAATTCGAGCAGAACGGTCCGAGGAAAAATCCGGTCTCCCCCGCGCTGAACGCCAGCCGCCAAAGCACGGTGAGCAGCTATTTCCCGCGGGCGGCCGGGGCCACGGCCTCCGCCGCTGCTCAGAGGCGGCCCTCCTCCGCCAAGGCCGCCCTCAGGAGCGCGCCCCCCACCCCTGCGGCCGCGGGGCCCCCCAGCAAACAGCGCAGGCTGGAGGACAAGACGGTCTTGGACAAGTTCTTCATCAAGACAGAGAAGGTGCCGGGCGGTGGCGGCGATCCCCGTCCTGCGGCTGCAGCGCCGACTCCCGGAAGCTCCGCCAGCCAGAGCGCAACGGTGGCCTGTCCCGTGTGTCAGGACCAAGTGCTGGAGTCTCTGATCAACGAGCACCTCGATCTGTGCCTTGAAGGTGATGGCAGCCAAGTCAAAAGCAGACATCTTTGAAAACAAGGTCTCACACGCCACCCGTGTCATCTCTCAGGGAGTCCGGGTAAATACTAAGACTTGTAGATTATAGTCTAGCCCGTGTAACCAACAGATTTATATTTACCTATGACACTGTGATTTTAAATATTTGTCTAAGGTGCTATATTTATATTTATGTTCACTCGTGCCTTATGTATGCTGCAGCCCAGTCTGCATGTTTACATGCATAGTTTTCAGAATCTCTTTCTTGCTCTTAAAAGTTTTAAATACTTTAATCTTTTTGTGTACTTCCCTCACAATATTTAGTGAAGAATTAACTGTTTGGTTAAATTGAGTATTTATTAATATTAAAACTCATTCCTAGTACTGTTAATGTGTATACGGTCAGGCATGCTGACCCAAAACACAATCTAGAATACAAAGTTAGCTGTGTTAGGGTGCTCAAAGGTTATTTAAAAAGCTTTTTAAATTTTCCCTCCCAAATCTTAACAGGAAATACATTTTATATACTTGAAAGAATTTTGTCTTAGCCGGTTTTAGGTGAAAGTAGACAGTAAAACAGATTTCTTTTGGAATATTCCTAGTAACAAATGGCCACTTAAATTTTCTAGGCCAGAGTTAGTTTTTCTCAAAATTGAGCAACATGAGTGGCTAAAACTCGGTGCTAAGTAACTAATGCCTACCACACAGCAGAGCTGCCTAGCTTATGCCCAGCTTACCTGGAAGTGGGATGACCCTGTAAGCCAAAGTGAAACCATTCTCATAAGAATATTTTAGCGAAGGAACCTACTTTCATCCGTTCCCTTCTGTCTCAGCATGTGGGCATATTCCCAAGACTCGAGTTCACAAGTTTTCTTTCTTCTTAACTTGGGTGCAGCATGATGTGTGTTCACGAGGTGCAGATATGCTCGGGGTGAAGCTGGGGTCCTCCTGGTGTTACCCATAGAACACCCACTTTTCTCCTCTGTCACACAGGTTCGCTTAGCTCCCCCTGAACTTCAGAAAGTAGCACTTTGTTCTGGGCAGCACAAGTTCATTCTTTTTTCCGTTGCCCTGTAGTATATATGTGAATATGCCAGAAGATAAACATCCATTCCACATTAATGGGCGTTTGAATTACTTCCGGTCGGAGCTGGCGATAGTGAATGATGCTGCTAAGAACAGCCTTGTCATTTTCTTGGGCTTGTACTCAGGACTGGATTGCGGGCTCTCAGAGTGTATTTATGGTTGGCTATAGGAAATGTTGCCAGTTTATGCTCTTACCAGCCATGTATGAGGGTTTCAGCTGTCTAGTTACTAACTCTGTCATCAATCCTTGTCATTTTAGCCTATCTGGTTGACAGTTCGCAAGTTTTAATATTTCTCAAGTGTGAAGTTGAAAAATAGTATTTAATAAATAGAAATTACTTAAAATGTGTGTTTTATGTCAACGATATGTAGTTACACATTTTGAACCAAAACTGAACAAGGTGCTGAGGCCACGAAGTAAATCAGACAGTCCATGTCTTCAAGCAGCTTTTCAGCCTGCGGGGGGGGGGGGGGGGGGGGGGGGGGGAGCACAGCAGGTTCGTATCCGTGTGTCAGTGCCGCCCCATTACACATGGACTGACAGCAGCCTACCCTCCAAATGCCGAGAGATCTCATGTACAATCATTACAGGTCCGACTGTCTCGGGAGTGGAAATTAACAGAAAAGGATGGGATGTGGAGATTAGCTTCTATTTTTTCTTATAAGTTATATATCTACATACTTCATCATCACATCAAATAAAAAGTAAAAGACTTTCTTAAGTGACCCTGGAACTAAAGTTTACAGCCTGTGTGTTGTGATGCAGAATCCTGCTGGTGCTAAACCTACCACAAGCTGTACCCTCTTGTTTGCTGAACACCAGGGGGCGCTCTGGGTAAGTGAAATTTCTCTGAAATGCCCCAGGGCTAAGTAAACCTCAAGGACCAGAGAGAGACTTGCCAAGAGCAGTAACAGTCACTGCCAGTTCTGATTCATGGAAAGGCGAGGATAGCTTATGATCTCACGTCCCAGGAGAGAGAAGGGAGCACAGCAAGCCAGGAGTGTGTGCTTGTTCAAACAAACAAGGACTCATCTACAGGGCAGCTCACCCCCCAACTTACTTCCCCTTTCACTCCACATGACCGAGTCTCCTGCAAGAGAGAAACCAGCGCTCACACTGAGCAAAACACGGTCATGCCTGGCAGTGTGGCTCAGTGGTTGACCACCAACCCATGAACCAGGAAGTCGCACAGTTCAATTCCCGGTCAGGGCATCTGCCTAGGTTGTGGGCTCCATCCCCAGTGAGGGGTATGCAGGAGGCAGTCAATCCATGCTTCTCATTGATGTTTCTATCCCTCTCAAATCAATAAAAACATTTTAAAATATAAAATATTAAAAAAAAACACACACCTAGAATGATACATAAATGAAAACCAAGGTAATCCTGAAAATTAAGCAAATGTTTAAAAATCAACACAAGGTTGTGCCCATCAGGAGGTCTGCCAGACAAGGAAAGCCGGGCTTTCCCCCTTTCTGAAATCCTCCCCTTCCTCTCAGCGTGTCCGCCACGGCTGTGTCGACTAAGCCAGTCTGGAAGCTTCCATCGGGCATGCCCTTTGCCCTGCATTCCAGGTCTAAGGACAGAAAGGAGCCTCTTAGATTGTTGGTGCGAGCAAGTGCGCTGGCTGGGCATTTCTCAAATTCCATCACTATGTGCTTTTCAAAACCACCGTAAGGAGCACTACCCCTTCTCCCCAGTTCTCCAAAAAATCAAAATTGGTGTATTTCCAAGCTAGATTACTCTTAAGACATCAGCCATCCCAGTTGTCAGCATTCCTGCCAACTACACACGCCTGCCCCCTGAACATGGGTTTGGACAGTGGATCAACTCACCCTGAATTTCTTTTTTCAGTAAATACTGTATTTTCCTGACGATTTTAATGTTTTTTCTCTAGCTAACTTTATTGTGAGTATACAGTATATATAATACATATACAAAATATACGTTAATCAGCCGAAACCGGTTTGGGTCAGTGGATAGAGGGCCTGCGGATTGAAAGGTCCCAGGTTCGATTCCAGTCAAGGGCATGTACCTTGGTGGTGGGCACATCCCCAGTAGGGGGGTGTGCAGGAGGCAGCTGATCCATGTTTCTCTCTCATTGATGTTTCTAACTCCCTATCCCTCTCTCTTCCTCTCTGTAAAAAATCAATAAAATGTATTAAAAAAAAAAAAAAAATATATATATATATATATATATATATATATATATTTTAACTATTTATTGGCAAGGATTCCAGTCAAGGAGCTATGAGTCACGTTTTGGGGGAGTCAAGTTACCTGTCATTTCTGACTGGGGATTGGCGCCCCTGCCCCCTGCACTGTTCAAGGGCCAACAATGTAAGAAAATCGGCATCAGCGTTAAAAAAACTGAGAGGCTACTTGTGTATCTGTATACGTTGATGATAGCCAATAGATAAGTCTAAATGTGCACACACACACACATACATGCGTTTACATACACACACATACATGCGCTTCCCAGCATGCCTGGCACTCACTGCACGGTGCTCCTGCAGACTGCTCCTCCGGGCCTCGCCGTGTGACCCGCCAGGCACGTGTGTCCAGCCTTCCCTTCTGACCTCGTGGCCGCTCCCCGCTATTCTCTTCCACTGCGTTCTCGGCGGCCGCTGTTCCCTGCGGGGTCCTTTGTAACTTCATGTTCCTCTGAGATAATGTTGTCTTTTTCTAGTTCTTTGCCGAGTTACATCAGCTCCTGTTTCACGGCTTCCTGAGCTCTCCGTTTCCGGGGGAGATTTTCTCATTTCTCGTTTCAGAGGGAAGCCTGGTGTCCGCAGTCGGTCCTGGTGGAGCTATTTCCTTCAGGCCGGGCGCTGTTCCCGTTCTCAGAGAATGTTCTGAGCCGTATGGATCCTGCCCTCTTCCCTGGGCAAGGCACCGCCGCTGGCTCTCGGGAGCCAAGGTCGGGGGCGTGAGGCTTCTCTCGTCTGTGGGGCCGGCCACACAGCGGTTCTTAGTGAGGTGGGCGCGCCTGGAGTCTCTTCTGAGTCTGGCTTTTATTGGCGTCAGGCCTCCAGGAGGCACCTTCTCCTCTCGCAGACACGGAAGCTCCCAACAGGCGACCTGTGATCTCAGGAACTTTCCAGCCTCCGCTTCTCAGGCAGCTGGTGTCGGATTTATCCGCGCTTCCTTCCCTCAAGGTGGGGTCCCCGCTTTCCCCGGGAACGGCCTGCTGGCCCCCAAGGCCAGTTTCCTCCTGACTGTCCTGATGCTGGCTCTTCAGATGCGCGTTCTCTGCTGTCCCAGAGCTGGTCCCTGCGTTATGCTGGGGGAGGGAATGGGCTGGGGGTTGAGACAGCCAGGGAGAGGTCAATGGGGGCGGGGGTGGGGGGTGCAGAGGAAGGAGACCTAGGTAATACTTCAAACAATAATTTAAAAGAAAATGTCCCCAAATGCAGGGCACGCACGCAGGCCCACGCCAAAGCACACAGGAAGCCTAAGTGCCTGGATGGAGGGCGGTCCACGGGCGTCCACCCGCAGAGAAAACCAGGTTACAGAGTCAGTGGGTGGCTCCGCACCCACTGGCCACCGACACCACGGCCAAGTTGCAGTTGGGAACGCAGACGCGTGACCCACGAGGAGGACAGCAGACACCGGCCTGGGACACGCACCACGCACACGCTCCCCACAGGAAGCACGGGGGGCCACGCCAGACCCAGGCAAACCGAGGAAGAGGAAGTGGGGGGTCCAGGAAGCCCAAGATCCACGGAGCGGGGAAGGGCCCCCTGGAACCATGGGGAGCGGGCACCGAGGAAGACAGCCGCTCAGCCCCCCTAAAGGGCAATCGCTCCCCAGAACCGCAGGTTGGAGGCCACAGGGGAAGGAGGGGAGAGCTGGGACAGGAAGGAGAACCGTCCATCATGGAAGACAAGTCACCCAGCTCCCTCTGGGCTCAGCTTCAGGTGAGCACGCAGACTGCCAGCCCGGCGTTGACCCAAGTTATAACGTGGTCACGTGAGGAAGGTGGGGGATGTGGCAGGAGCCTGTGGGAGCAGCTGGGCTGGAGAGAGGCCTGTGCATGTCTTGCGTGTTGGGAAGGTACAGATCATTTAAATATTTAAAGGCGAGATCGGTGAACACGGACATAGATCTCATTTTGTAAGAGCCCATGTGTTTTAGTCAATGACCACACACGTCAGTAACTGTTCCCACCCAACAGGGCACCCTGGCACTCAGGTCCTTTCACTGCACAGGGTGACACGGATGTGCTCAAGAGCATGCGTGTTAAGAGTCCTAAACATCCTATGTAAAGGGGCAGGACCCAAATTTGAGAATCTCAGCTTAGAGCTCAGGGACCCCAAGGGCAGTCCGACAGCCCCCAGGATGTCCCTCTCACGCTGGGCCCCGTGTGGCCTGGTTTCCTCTCTCCCTCACCACCTACTAAAAGCAACAGCGAACGTTGTGAGCCAGGCCAGAGTTGGGGACAGCAGAGCACAGTACCCGATACAAAGGAAGTCAGACTCTGAGAAAGGATTAAAAACAGGAAAAGACAGATGGAAATAACGAGCATCCTATTTGTCAAGAACAATCATACATCGCTTTAATTAATTAGCTTCTCAAGCAGCTCGGGAGCTCATAATGCAACACTGCTTTTCAAATCCCACGACTCCGCACGGTCTATACATGGATCCTAAAACCCTCTGCCTGTTGCTAAAGGTCCGTGTTTGACAGCTGGTTAGCGTGTTGAATAAAAACAGCATGAGAAGCTTTGTCTTTAACCAGGATTAGACACACAGAGACCACAAAGAATTTCAAACTTTGTTTTAAACAAGCGTCCTGCTTGGTGACAACGTAACGACCCCACTCACATGAACAGATTTTAAGTGGACGGTCAAGAAATGGCTACTCTGGTTCTTGATCCTTTCACAATGACCTCCAAAGGATTACATCAACTTCCCCAAACTACAGAGCCTCAGCCCTGCCCGGCAGCACAGCCCACCCCGCAGAGCTGCGAGGGGGGGGACATCGGACCGTGACTCGGGGCTCCCAGGCTGGGAGACTGTTGCGAACACCCCGACAGTCAGACGGACCTTCCACTCACACAGCACAATCTGCTCCACACCTCACGTGGCAGCACACGCAGAGACCAGCTGGCTGGGACGCCCCCGGACAGGCTGCAGAGGCACCTGCTGCGGAAATGTTACACTGCGTTACCGGAACGAGGAGAGGAAGTGGGGCAGGACTGAGCATGGGCTACGAAAAAGACTCCAACTGCAGCTTTGTCCTGCACTTCTCCTCAGCGAGGCCGCAACACTAGCATCCGTCCCGCCCTACGTCCACACTGTTGGTTTCACTAAGTTTTTTTTTTTTTTTTTTCATGTTTTACATGAACAACATGGACCTTTTAATAAAAATTACGGAGCTTTCCATAGAAAAAGTCTCTAATTGAGTACACACGATACAAATGCTTAAAACTGTTGTAAGCTGAAATATACAGAAATGTCTCTGTACACTCACATTCTTTTGGCCGAGAAGATCAAGGACAGAGATAGAAAACGGAGGTGGGCACTCCACCCATCATGCATGCAGAACACAGATGCCACCCTGGGCGCTTTGCCTGGGACCCTGGGGTCTGCACATCCGTTCCGGTTCATACACTGGGCGACCACGTCTGGGAGGCCCTGGGTGTGATTCTGGAACATTCCCTCTTCTACTGAAACGTAAACAGGAAAACTCCTACCACATGAGGTTACCTTGCTGTTCACTTTTGATTTTCAACACCTTTTGGTGCTGATCAAGAGGCCAGCACAGGGTGGGGACCCCCTCAGCGGCGGCCTGAGGTGTCACCAACATTCCGTCTCGGACAACACAAGTCAGTTTCGAAGCACAGTCTCCCCTAGAGGCTGCCCAATGGGAACCAGGTTCTGACCCGCAGATCAGGGGGGGGTCATAGGAGCAGGAAAACGTAACGGCAAAGCTTGAGTGCCCAGCCAGACAGCAGCCGGAGCAAAGGCCTCAGGAGCAGGCTCTTCTGCTCAGAGCAGCAGGCGCCAACGGGAGGCCCGGGACCCCGGTGCCCCGTGAGGTCCGGAAGGCTGGCGACCGCTGCTCTGAGGGCGCACCTGAGGCCGGGAAAAGCCCTTTATCCCGGAACTTGACGCTGAAGGTCGCCTCAAGTTCATGCAGTGCCAGTCCCTGTGGCTTTTTAAAAAAATTTAACTTAATATATAAAACTGCTTTTTTTTTTTTTTTTTTGCTGTGCGTTTTTTCTTATAAAACATTCGGAACTAAGAGTTATTGGTAGTAAATGGTGATGGTTTTACTGTTATGTTTCATTATTAACAATGTCAACAAAAACAACAGAAGCCGTTTTTAAGAGTTCAGATTAGTGTCAGACAGGATTACAAAAAATCCGATTTCTCAGCTGCTAATTAAAGTGCTCCTTCTTGTAAGTAAAAAGAAAATTGTCAGTCACTGGCAGCAATCATTATAAGAGGTCTTTTTAGGGCAAAATTTAATAGTACGAAGAGGTTTACAAAAATAGATTGATGCTATTTTGGGGGACAATGCTGTAATTTTTTTTTTTTTTCTCAATTCAGTTTTGATAAATTGTACCTGATCATACAAAAATTACTTCAAATCCAAACGTGACTATAAAAAAGGGAGAGATGACATGAACTCGGCTAGATGGCAGATGTGACAGGATGTAAGGATGAGACAATGCTGCCGGGGCGGGCACTCATTCACGCCCCGGTGAGGGGACCAGTCTCAGCCGGCAGCTTCGGTTCTCCAGGAGCAATCACAGGTTTGCAGTCAGTCATGCAGGACAAAGCCACACGGTCCAATCGTCTCTCTGATGCAACACGAAAAGGTCGTTTCTGTTTCCTTACTGAAATGCCAGCGGGTTGGCTCTCTTTCTGTATCCAACTTGCGTGCGGTCACACGTTGACAGTCAGCGTCAACATCGTCGGAGGTGGAGGGCATTGCTGGATCAGAGTCTATAAGACGTCTTTACTGATGGAATCAGAAGGTTTATTTAGTTCCACCCTCACACCTTTTTCACCTGCAAGGTGAGACAAAAAGCAACGACGAGAAGTCATTCACCAGGCGCCAGCCGGCTGCCGGTCCTGCTTCCCACTGAGGTCCTGGCGGTACGTGCAGGTCTCAACTTGGCCAACATACGTCACCTGACAGCTCACACCTGCACTTCCTTCCACCAGCTTCCCCGGCACTGCGCTCTGGTAGTGCGTCACTGAGCTAGCCAACCTTCGGAGGGAAAAGACATTCTCTGCCGAGATCTGTCTTTTAATCTAAGAAGTAATTTAACTTGTTATAAAAGCAGAGTGTGTTCTGCATCACTAAAAGCGCACACACTGGGCTCTGCCAAAAACGATGACTTTAGAAGCTATGAGCATCCCGTTTGTACAGTTTCATAAAAGGAGAATCTGGGATGGTCTAAGGCTCGGGGAAAACACAGCTGGTGCATCAGCAGCGTGCACACTGAGCAGACTGAGATTTAAGGTCAGAGTGAGGACAGGGGAGGGTCCGTCAGGTGGGAACTAAGACCAGCAGCTCGGGGTGGTGGGCCACCACAGCACACACACTCCCCACGCCTGGCATCTGACGCTGGCGCTTCCATTCCTCTCCTCACGCCCACGTCAGACGTGGAAGGCCTGGAGGACTCAGGGGAGCGTGTACGTTTAAAAAGGAAAGACGTGAGCCTCCTCCTGTGAGTATCGTGAGAGCAAGCCCGACGGCCGTTCTCAGGGCTCGGCAGCTTGCAACCGAGAAGGATGGTCACAGAGACACAGCCCGGGTTGTCATGTCCTCAGACTGTCTCCCGCTTCCCTACGCTTTGGACAGTTCTCTGGTTTCAGGTGACCCTGCCGCTGACTTCAGAGGCGTCCTCTGTGAAATACGGGAACCGAGGACTCTGACCACAACCAGGACTGTGGGCATCGTCCGTCCAGTGCCCCCTGGCCCCCAGTGCTGTTTACCTGTTTGATATTTTACTTTAGCTCGGGCTCTCTCATCTGCATCAAAATACCAAACAGTTATTGCGTACCTAAAAGAAAATTTAGAATAGGGTAAGAATGGTCGCACCGGGGAAGGCAGCATGCTGACAACGGTCTATAAACGGTCATGTCAAGTCACGTCTCAGCGGGAAGATCCCGGCATCAGTGAGCCGGTACCTCCCGCTCCTCCAGCCTCGATGCCCCGAGCACAGCAGGGAAGCGGGAGCCGCTGAGGGGTGGCACCCAGGGAAGGCTTCCTGGCTTCCTGGGTGCCCCTGAGCTACGTGATGCCCACAGCCCACACGCAGGTACTCGGGTGGAGAAGGCAGAGCCCCGGAAGGACAGCCTGGCAGGTCCTTGAGGAGTCAGGATGGGCGCTCACGATTTTATCACCTCGTGTCACCAGGAGAGATTTAAAACATGCCAGGAATTGTCTAGGCATTTTATCGAAACAGCTGTGCTGTCTTTAGATACACAGGTTAGCTGAACTTCATCTTCCTGAAAATTTCACTTGTTCGGGATATATCATCCCACAAATGAATGAGGAACGTCTGCTTTATCAAATACTCTCCAGCACACAGTAAAGGGGGAAATGTACACACTTGGGGAGTGGCCGAGTGCTCAGTCCCCTCCTCAGGGGAGCACGGGTGGGGCAAGCACCTCGCAGATTCTGCCAGAATCCACTGGGGAAAGCAGTACCAATCGGATGAAGAGCCAGCACGTGTGACAGAGCTAAATCGTGTGAAATATCTGAAGTGAAGAGGCAAAGGCAGAGCAGAGTCTGAGAGTTCGGACAGCTGGGGAAACTGAGGCCCGGGGAGCTGTCACACGGTGAGGGACAGACCCTAGCATTATTCAAAGCTGCCTCGCCTGGCCAGCGTGGCTCAGGGGTTGAGCATCGACCTATGAACCAGGAGGTCACGGTTCAATTCCCAGTCAGGGCACATGTCTGGGTTGCAGGCTTGATCCCCAGTAGAGGGCATGCAGGGGGCCACCCATTAATGATTCTCTCATCACTGATTGTCTCTCTTCTTCTCTGAAATCAGTAAAAATATGCATCTTTAAAAAAGCCTACTCGGGTGTCTCAGAGTATGCCTCTTCTCATCATATCAAATAATTGCACGACAGTAATTCACTATCATGATGTTCCAAGCCCTTTGATAACAAAAAATAGGTACTTAATACATGGTGCTATTTTTCTACAAGTATTTATTCTTAAACAATGTCTATATCACCTTCCATTTTAACAGTCTTAGCATTTTAATTGAGCCACAATAAATGCTAAAAAAGACTTTAAGAAACACATTACACAGAATAGGTATAGAATATTAATGTGGAAAGAGATGCTATTATTAAAACTAGAGGTTACTTTTCTTTTTTTTAATATATATATATATATATTTATTTTTTTTTTAATTGATTTTGTACAGAGAGGAAGGGAGAGAGATAGAAACATCGATGAGAGAGAGTCATCGATCAGCTGCCTCTTGCACACCCCCTACTGGGGATATGCCCGCAACCAAGGTACATGCCCTGGACCGGAATCGAACCCGGGACCTTTCAGTCCCACTGAGCCACACCGGTTTTGGCTCGAGGTTATTTTTCTAACCTTAACTCCCACACGTGACGCCTTTTCTGTCCTCTATTCTTTTTTCTCTTCCCTTCTGCTCCCTGATTTCTCTACTTGGTGTATTTTCCTACATCATCTCTCTTCCCTCCTCCCCACCTTCTGAAAATCTGCCTTTTCCTTCTCTGTCTCTTCTTTCTAGTGAACGCAGCTGACCCTGACCAACCCGGGTTTGAATGCATCACCGACACGCAGGTTTTCTTTCCAAATGTACTGTGATATGTTTATCTTCCTTGTCATTTTTCTTAACATTTTATTTCCTTCAGCTTGCTTTATGTAAGAATACAGAATGTAATACATACTACATACAGAATGTGTGCTCATCGACTCTCATCACTAAGGCTTCTGGTTAACAGTCAGCTGTTAGCAGACATGGTTTTGGGGATCAAAAGTCACACACGGGTTTCTGACTGCATGGGAGGCTGTACCCCTTTCTCCACACACTGGTCAAGGGCCAGCTCAACTCTCACCAGCTCACAGGAGGGTGAGGAGTTAAGAGACGGACAAACAAGGAGATGGGCTGGGAAGTGACAGGGCCCGTGCATCCACTTTTCCCCCAAACAAGGAGCACTGTGCAGAGTCACATGTAGTCCTGGTGTGAATAAATCCTGTAAAATTACTCCCATGCAAAGCTATGACTGAAGCATGATGATACGAGTCACTGAAGAACACGACAATACTCATTAGGAAACCTAAGTTTATCTTATCCACCCGCTCTGTCCTGCCATCATCGTTAGCCATCGTTTCTTAAAGGAACACTACCTGGTAGCATATGCTGGCTGTACTTCATGAGGGTTTCGGCGGTCAGACCAGAAAAACAGCAGTCTATCAAATTTGGGTTCAATGTCAGCAAACTGGGCTTTGCCTTCTGGGAAAATTCGCAGTATACCTCCACTTACCTAGGAAAAGAGGCAAATATCTGAGTGTGAACAACCACTATTTTAATGGAAGAGACTCAAATTCTTAACTGGATTCACCACAGATATATCTCAATTAACAAGGTCTGGAGGTGAGCTGAAATTCTAAGTAAATGCACTGACACACGAAAAAAATCATTCCCTGTGTTAGGGTCTTTGAAAATACTGGATAAAACAGAGGAGTATTATCTGAATCCAAAAGTTTTAAAATGAAGAATTAAGTTAGTAAACATTTCTTTTCTATAGGGTGGGGCACAACTAGACTTAGTTATGCATATGGAAAATTTATAATAATAAACTATGCTAATTAGACCAGACAGCCGAATAAACTTCCGGGCGAAGACCTTCCAAACGAGGGCCAAGTCCCCTTGCACAAATTTCGTGCGTCAGCCTCTAGTATTTTAATAAAACACTTTTGTAAAAGTTAAATTTTAGGTGAACACTTCAATATCTGAAAATAAAGGAACGCACTTTTTGAGATCTATTATTAGCATTTGTTTCATTTTACAAAGATCTACGCCTAATACCTAAGACTGAAACAAATCTAAGAAATTTTTGACTGTTACATGTGTTATAGACAGTCTTACCTCCAAGGAGTATAAATACCTGTGAGAAAAAGAGGTATTTATATTAAGTTCAATTAAGTTGCATACCTTGGCATCCCAGTCTTTATTAAGATAATATATACATGTCACACATCTTCCGTCTCCATTTGGATTATCAACGTGACGTACATATCCTGTTCCATTGCCTGGGTAACAAGCAACCATGGCCTGCGTGGTAATAAAGATGATTTTATAAGTCCATGTATGCATTTAGGAGAGAAAGCAGCTTATAAAAGAGATCTCTGGTTTTCTACTGCTCTTAATCTATTGGCCCGGTGCACAAATTTGTGCACCAGTGGGATCCTTTGGCCTGGCTGGCGATTGGCCGATAGGGCTGCCTCGCCCAGTCCCAATCACAGCCGGCCAGGGAGAAGGGATGTGGGGGGAGGACGGACCACGGGAGTTTGGCCGGCAGTAGGAGGCTGACTATGGGAGCCCACTGACCACCAGAGGGCAGCTCCTGCATTAAGCATCTGCCCCCTGGTGGTCGGTGTATGTCATAGCGACCAGTCAACTGGTTGTTTGGTTGACCAGTCCTAAAGGTCGCTTAGGCTTTTATATATATAGATCCTTCTCTTTAATTAAGGAAAAAAATCGCATTTTGCAGACAAGGGGAGGCTAAGATACTCTGTGTTGACGTGTTTTAGAGAACACCATCTCCGCTGGTGAGCAGCGGTGGCCTGTGACCCCTGTATCGCTGAATGAACAGAGCTGTTTACTAAACCAGAAATATTTCTCACTTCTGAGCTGCTATCCCTGGAGCCTGAGGGCCACATGGAGGTACTGGGGTGGCGGCTGGGAGGACTGTGGGCGATGCAGTGAAATGACCTTTGACTAGGGGCTGCCTTTATCTGTTTCCTTTACTTAAATGCCAACTGAGACTTTTTGAAAAGAAATAAAAGAGCCATAAAAGAGAAGCTTTAAACAACTGCGCTAATTAAGTTTTATAATCCCTGTGCTGGCTCAATTACCCCCATCTAAATGTACCAACTATGTGAGGTGGCCATTACCATCTCATCTGGAGCTCCCGGTCCCCTCAATTCTGCCAGAGGAGGAGGAAGGAAGAAGGGGTGATGCTCGCAGGGCCAGCAGCACATTGCTCCAGACGGACAAGGGATGGAATGGAAACCTCCAGGCGAACCAGGAAGCCCACCAGGGACCGGGCTCCGTGCTGGCGACCGCCAACAAAAGCCCTTCCTCTTCATCACAGTTCTGCCCGGCAGGGAGAAGAGTCCCAGACCGCAGGAGCCCCCAGGCCCTGGAACAGCCCCAGGCCCTGGGCCGGGAGACAGGACAGGGAGAGCCCAGCTCACCGGAAAAACCAGACCGTCAGGAAAAACTGGAGACCTGAGAGAGCCAGACTCCTGGAAGCTCCAGGGAGGAGGGATTCCGTAGGAAACCTGCACAAATGTGCAGGGTCATGAACCCATCCAGACGGTCGTGTGGCCAAGCAGTGACCTGTGGACCGTCCCTTAGTAATCCCGCCCGTCGGGGACTCCCCATGGGATGTCACAGCCTTTACAGGTGGTTCGGTAAGCCCCGTGTGTTAGCGAAGTTACCCTCAGCTGTGGTTGGATTACCAACATTCAAAGGTCCTTCAACGTAGCATAGCTTTTCCAGCTTTTAAATAATGCTCATGCTCGACTTCTTAGTTGATAATTTTGTGTTCTGATGTGCTTTATATGGACTTGGGTAAAAAAGACTCTGATGATGCCCTAGCAGGTGTGGCTCAGTGGATAGAGCGTCGGTGGACTAAAAGGCCCCGGGTTCGATTCCGCTCAAGGGCATGTACTTTGGTTGCAGGCACATCCCCAGTGAGGGGTGTGCAGGAGGCAGCTGGTCGATGTTTCTCTCTCGTCGACGTTTCTCACTCTCTATCCCTCTCCCTTCCTCTCTGTAAAAAAATCAATAAAATATATTTTAAGAAAAGAGACTGATGTTGCTGTTTTTGCTTAGTTTGTGTTGCATAGGCAAAAGACCCTCACACACTCTTATTCACCATATTTTTAGTAAATTCAGTTTCTTTTCTCTTTATCTCTTGGTAAAGCGAATAGTAGTAACTCCTTCTAACCGTGCTTTCACGGCCTGAAGCACCTAAAGCCATTGGCGGCGTTAAAATATTCACTGGGCGCCCGCACAGCACACGCCAGAGGGTCAGCACGGGTCCCCCCACAGGACTCGGCTGAAAAGGGAGAAGGCACCGGCAGGCACAGCCAGTCACACGAAGAACAAGACCCTGGAAGAGGAACCCTGTGGGGACAGAGCCGTGGGGCCAGGCCGGGGCCGCGCACACCTAGCTTATCTCTAAGGGACAGATGTGATTTGAAAAACTAAGGAAGAAAAGCAAACAGTGTGAGCACAACAAAGACAGGAAACAGTTAATGGCAGCGAGGTCCTTTCATGGGACCTAAATGTAATGCTCTACATAACATACCTCAGCGGCAGCGTGGATTTGGTAGAAACAGGATAGAATCTTGAAAATTAAGCGGAGGAAACAGGACGGAAGAAGTAACCAACAGTGAGCCCCTGGGGGCCTTGAGGGGGGCGGCCCTGAGGTCTGAAAGAGGCAGCGTCCCTATCCCAGGATGTCCACAGAGATGGTCATTACAGACCGAGGGGCTGCTGTGGCCCCGCCCCACCGCAGAGTCCTAGTGGCAGTGTGAGGCCACGGGGAAGCACTCAGGAACGGGATTCGTGTCTGCCCCATTCTCAGAGGACTCAGCAGAGCTCCTTCCCAGGAAGGCAGTCCTCCCTGGGAGGCCAGCATCGCTGCCCGATCTCGGCCTTCCCGGCCCCAGGACTGTGCGCAGTGACACCGTTATGCTGGTTCCCAGGTCCCGGCCTGCGGGATGTTAGCCGAATGGACTCCTAGGGCACCCTATAAAGGATACGTTATCCCAAGAGATGTCCATCAGATGCACCCGTCCTCGGGAGGAGTCCATCAAGAAGGGAAGGCTCTCCAACTCTGAGAGTGCCAGGGCCGGGGACGCCCTGGGGTTCGGTCCTCCCGCCTGGGTGGAGGCCGCAGAAGGGTCCAGACCTTTGCTGAGGAAACACCCCCCGCCCTATAGAATCCTGAGGTCGGCCCTTACCTGCCATCTGTGAGACACCAGCTTTAAATATTTCCGCTTCCCACTGGGAAAAGCCTATTTAAACATGAGCGAAACAATGAAAGACCGTTTTTCCCTTTTTGATATGAAAATATACATGGTTGGAGACATTCTTACACCCTAAATGTGTTTTTTTCCCCTCTGAGAATGAAAGGAAGGAAGAGGTTTGCGATGCTTCTCTGGAAACAAGACACTCCTTTCTGGCCCTGGAAGGCGTGCTTTCCATATGAAGCCGAACCAGGAAACTTTTAAAAAAAATTTTCCCCCCTTTTGAACTAAATGGTTTTAAAGCCCTGATTCAAAGCTAAGAGAGCTAACGTTGTATGAGCTGGCAGGGGGCTCTGTTTGCCCTGAACAAGAGGAAATGGTTTCCCAGCTGAAAATTCTGTGAAAATATATCGCCCGGGGCTTACACGCTGCCCTGAGGAATGTGGAGAGCTGACATTTAGTAAGAAGCTCACACCAGATCTGGGTGGACACAGCCTCGCCATCTGAGACCGCAGAGGAGGGGACAGCAGGAGGATAAACTTCTTGTAAGAGCCGCCGCGGAGGGGACAGTCCAGAGCGGATTTGCTCCCGTGTCCGGGCTCAGTTCCGACTCAGAGAGGCTTAGTCTGACCTGAGGGTTCAGATGAAGTTGGCTCCTCGGTGACACACATGTCAGGCATGACGCTCAGGGCTCCTGCGTAAGGCCTTTTCCAGCTCTCCCTCACACCTGTCCCCGTTCACCCCCCTTCCCCGCACAGTTTACGTAAATCAGCTCAAAAGGGGGAAAACAGGTCATCAACAGAACTGGACTGAGAGCAAGTAGGTATTCGCTGTAAGATTAACTTCTGATCCCAATGAAACCTGTGTAGCTTATGTAAATCTCACCTCCTAAAGGCAGGTTAAAAACTTTACTGAGCCGAAACCGGTTTGGCTCAGTGGTAGAGCGTCGGTCTGTGGACTGAAAGGTCCCAGGTTCGATTCCGGTCAGGGGCATGTACATTGGTTGCGGGCACATCTCCAGTAGGGGGTGTGCAAGAGGCAGCTGGTCGATGTTTCTCTCTCATCGATGTTTCTAGCTCTCTATATCTCTCCCTTCCTCTCTGTAAAAAATCAATAAAAAATATTAAAAAAAAAAAACTTTACTGAAAGTTATCCATTCTGTTCACTAAGTTAATTAGCATACTGCATGGGGGCGATGGGGAAGGGCCATCTATGTGCACTTAAACCTCTTGGCTTTTTTGCTGAATTTAATGTTATACATAAAGTGTCTCACCGTAAATAAACTCAAGACTGCGTTTTGAGAAGTAAAACTTTCAAACCTGTATCCTGGCAACAAGGAAACGAGCGCTGGAAAGAAGGCCCAACAACAAGAAAAGGCATCTTTCCCGTGGGCCTCTGTCCACGCAGGGCCAGCAGGGCCATTCGGAGACCAGGGCTCAGGCCTGCTCCGCTCCAGCCATGCAGCATAGCACCTGCGCAGGGAGCAGCACCCGCGCAGGGAGCAGCACCCGCGCAGGGAGCACCCCAAGAGCACTGGGCAGCTCAGGGCTGACCATACTCAGGAAGCAGTATCTGAGCTGTGCTTAAGGGAACATAAAAGTTGGAGAAGAGAACATTTCCTACAGAGTAGGTCACACCAAGGAGGTTTCAAATGCACAACACAGAGCACAGCTGGCGATGAGGAGCACTCGGGCTTGTAAAGCACGGAGTTCTTGGGGAAAGGGAGGAAAGCAGGAAAGTGAGAAGGGCCACCTTATGGAGACATGGAGTGCCCGCAAAGGAGAAGGACCTTCCGCAGGCGGAGGGGGGCCCCTGCTTTCTGGGCCGGGGTGCACCCTGAGCACACAGCAAGAGGAAGGCAATGGGGTAGGGGCAGGAACCACATGCCGCGGAGAAGACGAGGGAGAACAAACCATCAGGGACAAAGCAGTGGCATTCTGGTAAAGGGGCCTCGGGCAGAGGGACGGGGAGAGAAGTGAAAGGACGGGGCAAGCACTCTCACAGGCAGCGAGCGCAAGGGGCAGGCTGGATCGGAGGTGGGTGAGCGGGCTGTCTGTGGCTGAGGCCAGC